TATTCTTAATGCTCCTTTTTACCATATTTTATTATCCCAACCTCCAATAGGTTAATGAAGATCATCTGATTAAATTTTCTGGGTTTCCTTCATTATTTTACTGAGAGATTCTATTCTTGATTCCTTTCTACTTCTTTGTCTACTTTAATTTGAAATGGAAGAATTTTCTGAAGCATACAATTCATTATCATCATCAACACAACTCTCAGGGATTTATTATTCATTTATTTGTAACCCTTATCCAGGCCGACTATCAAATCCTAAATTGTTGATGACTTAGATTAATAAGAATATCTTACTTAAGGTTTCTGTATTATTTCGCATTGTCATTAATCTTGAAGAATCGGTTTTACAAATTGTGTCTATCCCCTGTCTATCCATTTTATTATGCAAATATAAATATATAAATTGAATATCATCAAATTATTTTAACTTTATTATTATGTATCATTATTAATTGTTTCATAATTGTTTTTAATTATAACTCTTTTCATTTCTTCAACAGTTAAATACAATATAAATAATATCAAAACTTGTAAAAAAATCAAAGTAATAATGAAAAAGCTTCACTAGTAGTTTTAGAATGTTGGATTGTTACCCCTACCAGCGAATCTGAATGAGCAAACACATCTGGATTATGACTTACAAGCACAAACTAAATCTAATTCGACAACAGTTTAACAATCTTTTGTAATCTATTAATTTAAAATAAAATTGTTACTTATCAGCATTATCTTAATCTAAATGAGCATCTACTTCATCAAGCAAAATAAATGGAGCATCAATTGCTGCATTTAATGCTAACAATAAAGCAATTGATGCTATTGCCTTTTCACCTCCAGAAAGTTGTTCAGAATTATCAAAAATATATTTTTTGTTAGGAGGATTAGGAGTATATATCAATCCTCCTTCAAAGGGTTCTTCTTTATTTTCCATATAGAGTAAAACTGTTCCACCAACTCTATTTTAATTTTCAGTTAGTTTTTAATATAATATTTTGATTTCCTTTTCTACTCTATCAAATAATTTATCAAATCTATCTTTTCTTAATTATTATGTCTATACTAATTAATCACTTAATTCAGCTTCTCTATTTTATAATTCTTTAATTGATCTTCCTAATGATTCAATATTTGTTTCCAATTAGACAAATTTTTCATCTGTTTTAGCTCCAATCAAACCAACTTGTAAATTTTCAGATAAATATTTAGTAATTTCTTATTCTTTTATTTCTAATTCTACATTTATCTCTTCAATTAATTTATTCCAATTAGAATGTTTTAAATCATTTTTAATAGCAGTATAATCTATAGCTTCCATATCCATTTATTAATCATCATCAAAATTTAATGAAGGTTGAAAAGTTCCTTGAGATCTCTTAAATCTAACAGGAATAGATTCAATTTCACATAATTCTATTAATCTACCTCTTTAAAATCTTAACTATTCTAATTTTCTATTAATTAAATTGATTTATTATTTTTTATCTACTCCTTTTCTAACCTATTGATTTCTCAAATCAGTAAGATTAAGCAACCTCTTTTATTATGTTTTTAATTTTTGATTAATTTCTTATTGTTTATGAGAATATTAGACTAAATCTTTATTCTTTTTTTCATGATTCTATTAGAGATCAACTTTTTTTTATTCATAATTATTAATAGCTTCAATTTTAGTTTTTATATAAGTCTAAAAATCTTCTTGTTTCTTTTTTAATTCTTCTAAATATTATTCCATACTTTATTTCTATACTTACAATTTATTTAATTATTATTATTTCATTTCTAATTATTTACCTAAATTTTATTAAAAGTCTAATTAGTTTAAATCCTATAAACTTATTGAATTTCTTTTTGCAAAATCTTAATATGCTACTTTTTATTAATTTTATATTTAATTAACAAGTTTTTCATTTTATTCATCAAATTCCTTCAATTAAACTTTTCTTTTGTTTATTTCAATATAAAGTTCATCTAATAATTTGTCAACTTATTTTAATTTCTCATTATACATTTATATTGATTTTTAAAATTAAATCTATTTATTAGATAATTAAGCTTATTATTCTTCTAATTTCATTTTTAATGCAGATTGATATTTAAGATCATCTTAAACACTAACATTTTTAAGAGTTTTAATTTTATTTTACAAATCATCAATAGACTTAATTAATTATTCTTTTGATTCTTTTGGCCCTTTTTATTATATTCTTTAATTATTTGATCTAAAATTTCTCATCTCTGATAATCTTTATTATGATCCATTAAATACAATCATACCTGAAGTTGCCAAAGTAATTCCATCCAATGTAATTATCTATTTAACATCTTGAATCTTCTCTTTTTATAATTAAACTGCTAATTAATATGAATCACAAACAACTACTCCATTTAATAATGACTTTAAAACTTTATCTAAACATTAATCATATTTTATTATATCAATTGCCAAATATGCTTTACCTGCTCTTGTCTGTCTTCTATATTATTATACAAATTATTCAACATTTTCTCTTAATTCAGATTCATCCTTATTATTTTTAACTCTATTCAATATAATTAATTCCTTAACAATATCAAGAGATCTTAGATGCATATTGATTTCTTTAGCTGTTTTCTCAGAATCAACTACTAATGCACAAAGTAATCTTTAACCAAGAGCCACTTTCAATGGAATAGCAAATTATTATTAATCAGGATTACATAAACTAGATAATTCTCCTCTAAAATCTTTGAACATTGACTTTAATTATTAAATTAACAATTATGTTTATTTTTCATCAATATTCTCAGTTTCTTAAACTTCAATTAATCTTAATTGTCTCTCTTATTCAATTTTATGTTATTAAAGTGATTTCAATTCATTTTCTTCAATTTAATTTTATCTATACAATTCATCTATTCTCTTTTATGTATTTTAATGTCTATCTTTTAATACATCAAATTCATCCTTTACATATTTTAATTATGTATTTTATTCTTCAATAGCTTATATTAATTCTTTGCGATCATCAGTATATTATTTAATTTCATCATCAATTTAATCATATATCTTTTATGCAACTCCTTATTTTTCTTATAATTTTTCTAATTCAGATTATATTTGTTAATTTTATATTTTAAATTTCATTTATAATTCTTAAAATTCTTCCATTAATTTTTTAGATAATTTTAAATTGCTTTAAGATTTTATTTTTTATAAATGTTATGTTTTACCATCAAGATCTGTTTACACTTCTTCTATCATTTCCATTTAATAATTAATATCCTTTTTCAATTTACCCAATAAACCTTCATATGTTGATACTTATTTTTTTAATAATTCTATTTCTAAATCAATAGAAGTTGTATCATATGCTTTAGATTTCTCATCTTTTTTAATCTTTTTCTCATTTTCCTCTATTTAATTTAATTCTTATTTTAACTTTTCAATTTCTAAATCACATTATTAAATATCTTCTACTAATTTCTTATTTTCACTATTTTAATCAGATTCATCATTTTTATTTTAAGTTAATTATTTAGATATATCTTCTAATTCATTATCTATTTATTTAAGTTCAAACAATTTCTATTTCAATTTCAATTAATTTATTTCATCATTTATTTTTTTGTATTTATCTGAAGTATTTTTTAATTCTTTTACTTTCTTTTATTCTGTTCTCATAGCTCCTCTTTAAAATTATAATTCTCTCATTCTAATAACTACTTTATTTAATTCACTTTAAATCTATTGACAAGTGTTTTTATATTGAACACTACCACTTACATATTCAAATAATTCTGTTAATTTTTTAGGCTCAATTGTTGTTAATGTATCAGTATCACCTTATAACATAATGAAATTCTTAGCAGGCAATATAATTTTAGACAATAAAAGAAATGAACTCAACTCTTTCTCAGTAACTTATTATTCACCAATATAAACTTATGTTTGCTATTATTTATTTATAGTTCTTTTAAGTGAAATTTAAGTCTCAATATAATTTATTGCCTCAAAAATTAATTCCACATATGCTGATCTATCCTCTTCCTAATAATTTTTATAATACATTGATTAACTATAAATTAATTCTTCTGCTCTATGACATCTCATTGATCTAATTGAAATACCTAATACAAATTAAATTGCATCTAAAACATTTGATTTTCCTATTTTATTATATTATTATTATATACCTCCACCATTTGGTCCTATTATACTTGTAAATTTTGTAAAAGGACCTATATAATGTTCATTTTCAAATGATTTAAAATTGCAAACTTTCATTCCTTTAATTTTACCTAATCTCACTTTCAATAAATCAGAGTTTTCTAATGCATTGTTTGACATATTCTCACTAATATTATAATCTACATAAGCATTAGTATCCAAAGACAAAGTTCCAATAAGTTAACTCATAAATAAAGTTAAAAAATTAATAAGCCGGGGTTTTTATTTATATGTTAATAAATTCAATTGATATAAATTTTTTATCTAAAAAATTAGTAAAAATTTCATTTAAAAGACAATTAAAAAGAAAAACAAGAATTAATTAAATTTGATATGTCTATCCAAAAATTCAAACATTACTAATAGATAATAAGATATAATTAACCAATTTATTGTTTTATTGATATTTTTTTACATTATGTTTAAAAAATTGAAAATATATGACTTAATAGTTAGTTTGTTTGATTATCATAATATTAATCAATAAAAATTAGAATATAATATTGGGAATTGTTTATTATTATAATAATAGTGTAATAAATTGCTATAATAATCTCATTATTAATTGTAGATTGTTTAAATAATAAATTATTCAATATATGGACATTTTAACCAAAATATAATTAAAATCAAAATTTGAATAGTTAAATAATGGAGCCATATTGAAAGATAAGTTTAAATATAAAAATTTATGTAGCATTTGTTATTTTTATAAATTATTATTTAACACCAGGATGGTGGAATGTTATAAAATAAATAAATATTTATTAGTATATTAATATTTCTTAAATGTTTGTAGTGACAAAAATTGGACAAGGCTATTCAGCGGAGTAATTTAATTGTTAAAAGTGAATAGTGTTTAATTAGTGAATCGATGTGGATAATTGATGGCTATGAAGGTCTTTAAATAACAATAGTCATCATTGTATGAAAATGAAATAAAAATGATGCAATTATTAAGCAACATCCCAGGAGTCATTAGAGTTAGAGAATGTGAATGTGATGGTTGCATAATGATGGACTATGCCAAATAGGGAAATCTCTTATAATATTTAAAGCTCAGAAAATTTACTGAAGAATTTTCAAGACATTACTTTAAATAAATAATCTAAAGTAACTTATAATTAAAATCATAGTAATTTCTGAAATCCATAAAAAAGGTGTAGCTCATAGAGATTTAAAATTAGAAAATATATTATTAGATGATAATTTCAATATCCTTATTTGTGATTTTGGATATGCAATTAACTTTTTAGATGCTTAAGGGAAAAGAAATAAGATTAATACGTATTTAATTTAAATAAATTTAGTTATGTTGGATCTCCATCTACAGCAGCTCCAGAAATATTCCTTTAATAACCTTATCATGGAATAGAAGCTGATTTATTTTAATTAGGAGTTATATTATTTTAGATTACTTCTGGTTTCTGTCCATTTTAGACTGCCAACATTAAAACAGATTAAGTATACTAATTAATTTACAGGTATTATTTTAATCTATTAATTCTTTTAGAAAATAACATAATAAGTTTTGGGAAGTACAATAGGTTGATTTTAGTCCTGAATTGAAGGATCTCATCATAAAATTATTGGCTTTCAATCCTAACTAAAGATTATCAGTATATATATATATAACTATTTTATTAGATTTCAGAAATTGAAGCACATCCTTGGATACTGAAATGTGGAGTTGATGATTCATTAATTGTTCATGAAATGAGTAACAGATATCAATAAATACTTTAAACATCCGAAGAATCAGAAAAATGAAATAATCTATTCTACTTTATTGAAATTTAGATATTTTTAATAATATATATATCTATAAATATAAAAATAGTCAATATGCATCTTATTTTTAATTTTTTAATCTTTCTAATTCTTTATCTGAGACTATATATTCAGTAGTAAAGATATCTAAGAAATCCAAGAATTCAACATAATTATATTATCTTTCATATATTTCATTTAATTTTCCAGTATTTAACTGATTTTTATATAATATGATATATGGCAAGCTTTTTTTTAATTGTTCCCTAGAAATATATAAAGAAGGATAATCTAATTGACTAGTAGTAAATTAATTAAGATTATCTGAATCCATTAAAGCTTTGAATAAAGATAGATAATGCATAACATCTTATCTATTTATTTTTTTCTCTAATACTATTTATTCAATATTAATCAACTTCATTATTTCTTTAAATTTTTTATTATCTTTTGAAGAGAAATTTTAAAATGGATCATTAGTTAATTCTATTTTTTTTGGTAACTTTTTATAAATTGCACTTTTAAACACATCTACTTTATCTGCAGCATCTTCTTTAATTTCATCTATTGATTAAGTGTTCTCATGTAATAATTTTCTTTCTATATGAGCTTCTTCATTAGGATCAAGCATTTATTTATACTATTTAAATATGATAAATAATATAATACCCCTTTTAATTAAATTTCTATTGATTTTCTTCTAATTATTTTAATATTCTGTTTTCTTTGTCTCATTCCAGCTTCTTCATTAGCTAAATGTTCTGAATATTTAGTTTTATTTTATAGAATATGATACTATATTGTTTTTAGATAAGCTTTCTATTAATTCTTATTCATTTGAAAAATAGACTAATCAATTACTTCATCATTTAATTATTCATCATCTGCATCTTACTGAATTGTTTCTATTTATTATAAAATAGGTGATTTCACACTTTCTTCTATTTAATTATAAGCCATAGTATAAAAAGGCAGAAAATTATCTCTCTTACCAAAGAATTTAATAATATCATCCTTTGATCTTAAATCTACCATTTTTGTGGCTAATTTTACATATTTATCTAATTAGAATTGTCCTCCTAAATTTAATGTTTATCCTATTCTATTCCAAATATCGAATTCTCCCTATCATTTATTAATAATTCATTTACATGTAAATTGCAATATATAAATTTTTCATAAGAAGGTATTTAATTTAATGTTTAAAGTTCTTTACCATCTAAAAAGTAAAACTTTACTGTGTTTATATGCTATTTATAATGTAGTAAATCTAAAAAGTGTTTAGACCAAATATTATAGTTATCTGTTAATTCACTAACATTATTAATTTTCTCATAAAGTGGAACAAAATATACTAATGAATTTAATTATAATGAAAAGGGACTATTAAATTGTTTATAAATAAATACCTATTTTTTACTTCAACTTATGAACTTTTTAAAACAAGAGTTTAATGAGGTAAGTACATTAATATAAATATTCTTTTATTGCCTCTTTTAAAGTTGACACCCTATTATACAATTTTGAGTTATAGAAATTAATTAATCATATCTGGTTTCCAATATGTATTGAATCTTTCTAAATGATGTATTTCTTTTTAGACTTCATGTGCTAAATTGATTCTGTTTACTTTATCTATTTTTTACCAAGATGTTTCATTGAATGTCGGACTAAATTATATTGCACAAGTTACCTTAGTTTACGAAATTTAATGATAGAATCATTTGAATAGGATTCCAAATTATTATCGAATATTAATGAAGAAAGATCAGTTCTTATTGGATGATTGCTTATATAACTTTGTTATTAAGAATGCAATTTAAGAGGAGATTAGCTATTTGTTTTGCTAACTTTTTTATGTTCTAATTCGTTAATAGGTTATGAAGTTGAAATTTCATCACTTATCAAAGAGAGTTGATGTTTTCGATATTTTTTGATGTCTTGTTTAGTTCTTTGAAGTATGTTTGGGAATACTATCTTTTTAATGTTATTTTAATAATTAATTATTTCTTATTGGGTTTTTGATGGAGAAATGACTTTGGATAATTTAGGTTGAGATGTTGAATGATGTGACTATTTGATAATTGGGAGTCTTGATTTGATTATAATATTACTTTTCTTCAATGTAATAGTCACTTGGTTAAATTTTGGTAGAGATTTAGAGATCAGTGAAAACAATTGGTAGGTATTCTTTAGTAGTATGAGACATTTTGGATAAATTATATAAATTGTATAAGAATATATATATATATATATTTTTAATATAATATAATATATAAGTAAGTGTAATACAATTAAATTTAGTTAAGAAGGGGATAATATTAAGTGAATAATTGAATAGGGATAATAAATAAATGAATAATAATTCGTATTAGTAATATTTAGAAATGATAACATAATACATCATGAAATAAAATAAATAAAATAAATTAAATCATAATTCCTAAATCTATAATTTGAATGACGTATAGTACGTATTATTCAAAGATGATTCATCTTGATAAAGCATCATAATTAAAAATAAAATGATTTAAACCTTCGCCAGACGTGCTCTATAACCTCAATTCAGAAGTCTAGCTAGATTTGGTTAGAGTAATGAGGAAGGCGATGTGTCTTTCTTAGAATAAGTGTATTAATACTTTGACAAGGCAGCTGCATTGACAAACATTCCTTTAGACATGCTGAAGTATTAACCATTAATAAAATAGCTATTATAAGAAGACAGATTGTGTCATTAAATTTCATTTACCACTTGTTAGAGATGATGGGACAGTTGAATGCGTAATTATATGAAACCTAATAGCCTTATTTAGATTCCAGCATTCAGAGCATAACACAAAACTCACAAATTACCAACAAAAGGTGGTACAAGATTAAGTGAACACATTCACACTGAAGAAGTAGAGGCATTGTCCTTATTAATGACATTCAAGAATGCTGTTTTAGAATTACCATATGTAATTAACAATATTATATAATGTTAGGGAGGTGCAAAAGGAGGTCTCAAAATGAATCCAAAGAAATATTCAAAAAGAGAAATTGAGTCATTGATGAGAAGATTCACTATTGAATTAGCAAAAAGAAATTTCATTGGAGCAGCCATTGATGTTCCAGGACCAGATCTTGGTACAGGAGAAAGAGAAATGAGTTGGATGAAAGTATACTATCTCTTTCTATATATTTTAAGGATGAATACACTAAATTTGCAGGACATCTTGATATTAATGCTTAAGGATGTGTAACAGGAAAGGCCATTTCTTAAGGAGGTATTTCAGGAAGAACAGAATCCACAGGTTTAGGTGTCTTCTATGGATGCAGAGAAATTTTGGAAGATTATGAATTTTGCACATAAGCTGGTATTCCAGCTGGTTTGAGAGGAAAAAGCATCATCATATAAGGTTATGGAGCTGTAAGATAAAATATTGAATATAGGTTGGTTATTATGCAGCTAAATATATGTGTGCTTATGGTGCCAAATTAGTGGGTGTAGCTGAATGGGATGGTTCTATCTATGAAGAAAATGGAATTGACCCAGATGAATTATAAGCATTCAAGGAATCAAGAAAGGGTGTTAAGGGATTCCCAAAAGCCTCAGAATATCATGAAGATGAATCTGTCATATATAAAGAATGTGATATTTTCATTCCAGCTGCTTTCGAATAAACTGTGAATAGAGTAATATCAATTTATTTATACTTAGAATAATGCTCCTAAATTCAATTGCAAAGTCATTGCAGAAGCTGCTAATGGACCTACCACTCTAGCTGCTGAAGAAATCTTAATCAAAAAAGGTGTTAAATTCCTTCCTGATATTCTACTTAATGCCGGTGGTGTTACAGTCAGTTATTTCGAATGGCTTTAAAATCTTGATCACATTAGGTTTCTATAATTATTTAGATATTTTTTAGACCAGGAAGAATGACCAGAAGATGGGAAGAAACATCCAAATATAAATTGTTAGAGGCTATTCAAATTTCTACTGGTTTGAGAGTTGATGTTACCAAAAATTAATAGGCTGCTAAACTTCTTGAAGGTCCTTCAGCTGTATTATTAATATTCTATTCCTATTTTAGAAAGATTTAGTATTCACAGGTTTGGAAGAATCTATGGCAGTAGCTGTCTAAAAAACAAAAGAAACTGCTAGCAAATTGAATATTTCTTTGAGAATGGCTGCTTATTACAATGCACTCATGACAATTCATTAACATATTGACACAGCTGGTTTAAGATGATAGATAGTATATAATAAATATTAATAAAATTGTGTTCATAAAAATAATTTTTATTTATTTTTTTATTGCTATCTAAATAAAATTGTTTATTAATTTTGAATATATAATTCAATTTAACAACAAAAATATATTTGTTGATTGATATAATTAACTTCACTTGCTTTTTTTCTTTTATATTTTTAGAATTTACTTATTTTTGATCTTCTATTGTTTTTGTTTAATCTTTTAGAATATACATATTTTTGATAACTTCCATTAAATTTATCAAAATATTATTAATATAAATTTTATGTTTTTAATAAAGATACTTTTAAATCAAATTTCATTTAATATTAATATTATACATCAAATGAGCCAACTTTTTACCAATCCACTAATCTTTACCAATTTAATCCATTAACCTTAGCTATTTACATAACATTTTCCCTTTTAAAATCCTCTATAAACTTATTATTCATAAATATAAGTACCAAGCAATTTTGCCCCTTTTCATAATTACTAGAGTTAGCAATATTTATAGTTATAATTACCATTTAATGGATATCATGATTATGGTAATGCTCTTACTAATCCTAGCCATTCACAATGAAAACTTTATAAACTCTTAAAAAACGAGTTTAGCAATTGGAAATTCTCCAACAACTTATTAAATTTTTAATCCCATTCAACAGCATCTTCTGAACAAATAAAAGCTTCGTGAATATATTGTATTAATTATTGATGACTATCATCAAATACATGATATTACATAAAACCTTAGAAACATCAATCAAACTCAATTAGCAAAGATCTTAGAAATCTTAGCTACAAAATAGTAATAATAAATCAAGAGTAGAGAAGAATTAATCAAATTTTGTTTAAGAAAAGCATTCAGGTTTATATTTAAGAAAATATCAGAAAGAGATAACATATCAAGTACATTTATCTATAATCTATTTAGAAACTAATTTAAAAACAGCTCGTTAAGAGTTTTTAACAATTATGGAGTAAGAGAAAAAGATTCCACTCATTCTTCCATTTAGAAAGAACAGTAAAAACAAAACAATGAATAATGATTTTTTAAAAGAAGTATTTTCATCTCAAATTTTCCAAAGTTTTTATAAAGAGTTTTTAGGTATTATTTATTCTAAATAATAGATCATTTAGATGATACTATATAAACAGATAGAAAGAAAAAGATTGATAAACTATAGGACAAAATTTGGTTGAGTTTAAGGGATAACAGAACCGTAATATTATATTCAATTAATATATAGACAACCTTTGATATTAAACGTCTTCCTTGGTCATAAAAAAATACAGAAAGAGTGAAGTCTATAGCTTTTGAATTGTTGACATTTTCATAAAATGATTAAATTTGAAAAACAAAAAATTTAAACATTAATGTTCTAGATACCTAATTCATCTTTATAATCATACTTTGATGGATACCAACAATAATATTAAGTTATATTCGATAAGTTTTGTTTTTATCACAAACTATCATTTAAATCCACAAATTCATTAATTTTTACAAATAAATAATTAAAATGGTATTTAATTAATGAATACTATGATCACTTTATTTTAAGAAAGAATGCTAATCTCTATCACAATTAAAAATAATAATCAACAAAAGTATAAAGTTTATCTACAAAGCCATTTTATTATTATATTAAATATTGTATTGTTTTTAAATAATGTATATTAATATGATGAAAACTAAATGATATCACTATTTTATAAAATCAGTAATTCGATCTTTAAATGGTAAAATTCTTAATTTTAATTTCAATTTATAAATCCTTATTCTGATTTACATAAGTCCAATATAAAAATTTAATTTTATATTTGACTCATTATTAGCAATTAATATATGAATTAGTCTTTTTATTCTTTGTAATTTTCAATTAATATTATTAATAATATTTATAGAAATAATTCTAAGTAATAAATATAATTATTCAATCATTAAAATTACAATCTAAATATATCAAAAATAATAGATATTAAGTATATTGATATTCAATTGTTTTTAAAAATAGATGTTCAAAATTGATATTAAAAATAAATCAAAAAATTGATTTTCTTACCAATTTATCAATAAAATTTATTATAACGAAAATTCAAAACAAATAAATGAATGGGAAACTTGTACAATCATTAATCAATTTATTCCCTTTTTAACATTAAGATATGATGATCAAATGTGTTTTCATTATTGGATTTGATAAACTTATCAAAAAGGGTTATGTCAAAAATGGAAAACCTAACATTCATGAAATAATCAATTATGCAAGTAAAGCATAAATTTAAATTTAGGCAAATTGCAATAATATGGAAGATTATTATAAGTTCAAGAACCTTGTGATATTAGACAAGAATTAGATTAATTAAGAGATGAAATAAGTAAATTAACACAATAGATCCATTATAATAATTCAATAATGTAATGACTATCAATCTATAAAGTTAAGACAACGACAGACACAAAGAAGCCATGATAGATTAATGCAGAATGTATCTCCAATATATGATGACCGAAAGAGATCTGCTTCACTTGGATTCAAATAGTAATAATAATTAATCCAAAAAAAGTCTAAAGAGATAACTCCAAAGATTACAGAAACAGCACCTTAAACAATTAATTAAATACATATAACAATATCTAAACATCATTTAGATGATACAGAGATTAAATCTGTTATGAGAGACAATTTAATTAAAGACAAACCTCCAAAACCTATTAAAACTATTTAAGATAATCATTAGAAAAAGAGTCATTATGTTGAATATTAGCATACAGATATTGAAGAACCTCCTATATTTGAAGATACAGATAGATATCCAGTAAGGGATAATTATAATCCATAATATATATAATAATAACTTTAATATAGTTAAATATCATAATAATAATAATAATAATAATAATAATTGTTATAATAATCATAAATATCTTCATAATCAAATACAAAGTAAAGTGATCATAATACACATATTACAAATTAAACATTTACTTAACCATAATCTAGTTAAAAATAATTAATATAAATATCCAAATCCTCTTATGGTCAATAAAAATCACCAAATAGATCTCCTAAATTTAAATATTCATAAAAGTAATAATCAAAAAAGAATTTAGAAACTGTGTAAGAAGAATGTTCATATTCACATGCAAAATTACACTCTGATTCTTCTAAAGGGAGAACATCAAATAGATAAACAAAAACATAACAAAACACTTAGGCAGTATCTAAAATTAAAGCTTTACTTGATTAAGATAAAAAAATGCATAAACAACATTTATTAGAAATTGCAAGTGAAAGAAATTCTTTTATAAATTCCTCAGATAAACTAAAAATGATGCATGAAGAACATCTTTCTGAAAGCAATCATTCTAAAATAAATAAGATAATCACTTAAGAATTAAATGAATCCCTTCATAAAAGAGCTTTCTCTAATAATAGTTTTTACAAATAATAGTAATAACCATTGTCACCCTAATTAGATTATGAACCAAAGATAATGGGATAATATAATTAATTACAAGGCTCTGTATCTATGACCAATTCAAATAGAGTAGGTAATCCTTCAGTATAGGATAATATTCTGATATTTAGTAAATATAAATAATAGGTTTTGGATCAATATTCACCAAAATTAAATTATCAATTTAGACCATCAAGTGTTGGGAAGTTATAGGAAAGTGAATTAAAAAGATCTGAAGATTTTAATCGAAGTTCTGTAAGTAGTACTTTTTCAATGTTCAATCCAAATGAAGAATTAAAAACATTCTTTTAAAATGATTTTTTGGAAAGAAAAAGATACACTTAATAAGGATATAGTGACATGATGAAATAAGTAAGATATATATTAATATATGTAGTCGTCTTTAAATTCATCTTAAGAGAACAATTAACATCATAGTAAGTACATATCTGCAAGTTAGATTGAGGATCATTAAAATTATAGTAAAAATTTATATAGTCCACAAAAATATTAAAATATTGATAAATCTAATGTATTCAATAATAATCGATTAAGCGTAACAAGAATACTAAATAACTCATAAATATGAAAATATATTCGTTTTTTTATTATAATGAAATTATTATTAATTGCACTCTTAGTATTAGGAAATACATAGTGGATTACATCATATGAGGCATTCCAAACAGAAGAATTTGATTCTTTGGATGGTATATTAAATAAATAATATAAAGGTTGGGTGATCTAAAATTAATTTGAAGCAACTACAGATATAATTACAAAATGTAGTGGTAAGAATATTATTGGTGGACTAAAGACTTTTGGTACTAAAAGTACAGCTACAAAATTAATTAAAGTACCACCTCATTATAAGTTGAAGTTCAATTTGCAACTATGGAAGTATTAAAATTATATATAATTTATTTTTTAGAATAGGAGAATGGGAAAATGATGTATTTTCTGCTTATGTTGATGGAGTTCCTTGGGAAATGAAGTGGGGATTTACAGAAGGAGGAATTCGTCTATGTGGAGGATCTGAATCAAAAAATAGTGATAAGGTATTTGATGTGGAATTTGAAATACTTCATAATTCTCCAACAGTTACAACAGTATTGGCTACTACTGCTTAAGGGAAAGCAGATGTATAAGCATGGGGATTTAGATAAATAAAAATATCATTTATTCCATGTCCATCAGATTGTGGGATATGTCATAATGATAAAGTTTAAGAATGCAAATATTGGAATCAAGAAGCATTGAGTTGGTTCCATGTAGATACAAAATTGGAAGGATGGAAATTAGAGAATGGTAAACCAAAAGGATTTGAATGTTCTGGTATAGTAATATTTGGAGGATATGAAAATATTGGTGCTAAGGCTTTATTATCAAATACATTTACTAATATAGTACCTCATAGTAAAGTAATGGTGAAATTTACTTTTTGGAAGGTAAAATTATGATGATATATTTTTTAGATTGATTTATGGGATAATGAAGAATTTTATGTAAAAATTGATGATAAATAAGTCTAAAAATTAGCATTTTAAAAAACAGATGGAATTGATTTATGTGGAGCGTAAATATATATATATAATTTTAGTAAATAAACAAATCCTGGTTATGGAGAGAAAATAGTATCTATTGAAATAATTTAAAAACATTCTAGTCCAACTTTAACTATTTCATTTACTACATCATTAAAAAATGATCCTGATGAATAATCATGGGGAGTTCGTGATTTCTTTTTGTTTGCAGCATAATGTACAAAGTTTTGTGATGAATGTGTTGGAACTGCTGAAAATGAATGCACAAAATGTTAACCAACACATACATTATAAGATGGTAAATGTATTAATAAAAATGAATGGTATATATTATCTAAAGAGTTCTTCACTGATGATTAATTTAATAAAATAGATGGATGGACATTTTAAGATTTTGATCCTGCTGGTCCAAATCCACCAATAACAAAATGTGGTGATTTAGGATTAGTAGGTGGATATTAAGCTTTTGGAAAAGTAATTATTATAATATTATTTATAATTTTAGAAAGCAACAGTTTAAAAAGTGTTTAAATTACCTAAACATGATTTTGTTAGAATTAAGGCAACAGTTTATAAAATAGATTAATGGGATGGAGAAGAATTGACTATGTTTGTTGATAATTAAGAATTTTGGAGTTAATTTTTAGGATGGAATGATCCTGGTTAAAGTGATATTTGTGGTAATCAAAATGGAAGTTGGAAAGAAAGAATAATGACTATAGATAAAATCATTGCTCATTCATAATCAGAATTAACTGTTGATTTCAAAAGCACATTACAAAAGACTGCAGATGAGGCTTCTTGGGGATTTAGAGAGTTTTTACTATTATATTCACCTTTAAAAGAATGTATTGAAGTCTTTAGTGAATGTAATTACAAAGGATAATCATCTAAAATTTGTGATAATGTTGAATCACTCAAAGATGTATATATTGTATTATATTTAGGCATAAATAGAATTTGATATCAAATCTATCAAAATTCCTGAAGGCTTGAAAATTACAGGATTTAAGAATCCAGGATTTAAAGGTGATAGAGTAGAATATGAAACCAATTAAGAATGTATTGACAAAATTGAATTCTCATTGATATAAAAGTAATTGACAGGAAATCTGAAATATATAAATAAATGATTGATTAATATGAAAATAACCCTACATTTTGGAATAAATTTTCATTTGCTGGTGGACCAACACAACTTCCTAGATCTGTATTACATAAATTGGAGAAATAATTTATTTAACCAAATGGTAAATCTATTTTAGAATTATCAAAATATGATCATGAATATCATCAAATTTTAGATTAAGCTATTAATGATTTGTAATCTCTTTTAGATGTAAATTTATATAATATCATAATTATTAAAGATTCCAAACTAATACAAAATTATCTTTTGTTAAGGTGGAGCATCACTTTTATTTGAAGCAATACCTATGAATTTAATGAAAACATAACATAGTTCTATATCTTATACAAATACAGGATATTGGTCTTCAAAAGCTCTAGAAGAAGCTTAAAAATTCTGTTAAAATGTTAATATTGCTACGAATATTGCAGTAAAACTTATATTTAATTGAAGTAAGATGAATTTGGTAAAAGATTTATTCCTGAACTTGAATAATGGAATATAAATAAAGAAGACTCTTATCTTCATTATTGTGATAATGAAACTGTTGAAGGATTAGAATATCAATTTATTCCTAAATTTAGTAGTGTTCCTATTGTAACAGATATGAGTTCCAATTTCTTAACTAAGTATATTAAATCAACTAATAAGACCTTTGGATTGGAGTAAATTGGACCTAGTTTATGCACATGCATAAAAAAACATTGGAATTGCAGGTTCAACCTTAATGATTATAAAACCTGAACTTATCAATAATCATCAAAATATTCCATATATGTGGGATTTCAAAGAAATGTTTAAAAAATAATCATTAATCAGTAATCTTCCAATCTTTCCAATTTATGTCAATACATTGGTTTTTGATTGGATTAGAAAATAAGGAACCTTAGATTTCTGGGATTAATACTGTAAAAAAAGATCTCAATAATTATATAAAATTATAGATAATAGTCATGGAGTGTATATAAATCAAGTAAAGAAAGAATAAAGATCAAGAATTAATATTACATTTACATTAAAAGATGAAATTGAAACAAATAAATTTATTGATTTATGCAAAAATAATAACATTATTGAAGTGAAAGGACATAGAGCCATAGGTGGATGTAGAATATGTTTATATTTGCCTATTCCATAAATAGGCATAGATAAATTATCTTTAATTATGGAAGATTTTATGAATTGATCAATATCTATGAGTTATTGTTGTAAATAAATTATCATTCAAATAAAGATCATTTCTATTATTATTAAATTGTTATTCCTATTCTTTATTTTTTTTTGGTATAATTTACTTTACTTTTTATTGCAAATTAATTAGGTGTGCTTATCTTATCTATTATTTCACATAAAATGAATTCATTTGATTTGCAAAAAAGATTTTTTTTTATATTATGGTTAATCTTTGACTGTAAACTTAGAATATTCTTCAGAGAACTTAATTGATTTTAACTTAAAACAAATTTTTTTAAGAATAATCTCTGGTTTCATCAAACATTACAATTAGCTCATAGGTCATGAATAAACATGCTAATTTATTATTCATATCTCCATATACTCCTATGTTATTATTTACTCTAATAGATAACAATGTGAAAACAAAAAAAAACTGACTAAAAATTGATTAATCTGCTACCTCCATCAAGAAATTTGTAGGTGTTCTTGAGTTAATTTTGAAAATAGATATTTCATCAATCAAAAATCAATTTGAAGGCTCTAATGTTACTTAATAATTTATTATATTTAATAATTCCATAACTTAATAAAAAATGCTGCTATAATTTTTGATTGAGCTGTAAGTTAAATATATGGTTTATTAGGAATTTTATCTTTAATATATAAGTGCTAACTAATTTTCTTTATTTAATATATGGGGATGGCTTATGTAATTAATTTCTAAATGTTTCGAAACAATATCTATCTGAATTATATTATCAGTTTAAAACTTTCAGTTTGTAACTTTCAGTATCTCATCATAAGACCGTTTCTCTGTTTAGAAATAAAGGGATTGCTTTTTTATTCAGACTTATAGATCCTGTTTTAGGAATAATTTTTGGTAATGCTTTATAGATCGAGAATAATAAAAAACTCTTTTTTCTTTTTGATGGTTAGAATACTTTTTTTTGCTATTTAATGTTGATGATATTGCATATTCAATAAAATATATAATAATTAATTGATTTATCAGCAAAGTTATAAATTTTTAATATCCATTATGTAATCAGTCATCTAAATTATTGAATGAAATATGAAAGTAAATATTAATTTATAGAATAATATTTTAAATTAGTGATATAATAAAATTTTCACAGATCAATTTCAGATTTATAGAAATTCAAATAAATTTAAGTTAATCAACAATAACAAAAAAATCTCTACTTATTATTATTCCTACATAACAATATTTTAAGTTTTGATTTTCTTTATGATATTGTTTCTTAATCAAAATCAAAAATTATTAATTATTCAATATATGCTTTAATTTTTGTTATAATTTTTGTCACAACTTAAGAACTTTAATTGAAAAGTATAGATTCTTTGTAAATTAATATCAGATATAATTAAAATCCAAAAAAAAAATGACTATTGTGTTTTATATGAAAATTGATTATAAATTTGGTAATAAAATAAAAATTAATAATTTTTTAATTCTATAAATGAGTTTCGATCCAGATCAAATTTAAAACTATCAATAGTAAAGGATTATGAGTGCAATCAATTGTTAATTAATAGAGTTTTCAAGTGATTAGACTAAATAAAAATTTTATATTATACATGGAAAAATTAATTAAAAAGTTTCATTTAACGAATAATTATATGAAGTTATAGCAAAGAATGAATGTTTTAATTTGATGTCAATAACTAATAAGATTAACAGAAATGATGAAATTTTTATTTAAATAGAACAATGCGATTTCACATTATATTAATATATGCTAAACAGAAAAACTCATTCGTTTTCTACAGACGAAATTTATGATATATTAAGTTAGATTATAAATGCATTTATGCATATAAGCAAATATACAAAACAATTTTTATAGTTAAATCCTTCCAACATTTTAGTGAGGAAATTAAAAAACTAAAAAATATTAATAAAGATATTTATTAATTTCTTCTAGGGTGATTAGCAATCAGCCTCAAATTTTACTCATTATAAAGCTCCAGAAGAATTAAATACTCCTTTAAGTCTTTCATAAAAAACTGATATTTATTTGGTAAGATAATCAATATCCTTTAGCTTGGAATTGTTTTATATTAATTATGTTACCAAATGAAAAGACCAACAGAAGGAATTAACAATGTAAATGACCTAAAAAAATTTTAAGATGATTTAATTAAAAAAAAAATCTCAGAATACCTTGATTAATATGATGAAGTTAATTAAGTCTTAAAAAAGTTGATAGGAGAGATGATGGAGTATAATGAGAACAATCGAATAACTTGGGAATAATTATCAATGCATAAAAATTTGTAACTTAATTTCCTCCTTTTAAAAAATAAATACTATATCAATTTTAATTAATAACTTGGTCGAGGTTCTTAGGGAGTCACTTATTTAGTTGAAAATTTGGAAACAAATGAAAGTTAATGTGCTAAGAAAATTGACACTACTTAAATAGAAGGTCAAAGGGAATAAGAAATTTATCAAAAATTAATTAAACAAAAGGAAAAGAATATAAATGTTATTGAAATTTTTGATATTATTGAAACTACAGACTAAAAATAAACATTTCTCATTATGGAGAAATGCGAATCAAATATTGAAGAATATTATAAATAGAAAAAAAGAGAACTTAGAGATGAAGAAATCATGGATATTCTCAAGCAAATTGTAAATGGTTATTGTTATTTAAAAAATTTAGAAATAATTCATAGAGATTTAAAACCTTAGAATATTCTTGTTAAATATGAAAATAATACTCCCATTTTTAAGGTAATAATATATTTAAATGTATTAGATCATAGATTTTGGAGTTGGAAAAATTATTGCTAATTAAGAGATAGCAGTCACTGTTGCAGGAACACCAATATTTTCTGCTCCAGAAGTTATCGAAGGAAAACAATATGATTATTAATGTGATATCTTTTCAGTACTTTTTTCTATTATTTTAGCTTGGAACCATTCTATATTATTTAATTTATGGATAATTCTATTTAAACGTTTCATCTTTAGAAGAACTAAATAGAAAGTAATAACAATTAAAATATAATCCTTTAAAATGTCCTTAAACTAAAAAAACTTTAAATAATGATCTTAGTGATAAGTTCAAATAGTTAATCGAGAATATGACACTCTATGATCCTTAAAAGAGAATAACTTGGGAAAAATTAAACTAAGAATTGAATTAATTCAATTTTAAGAATCAATAAAATGAGATTTAGGATTAGTTGTAAAATTAAGCGAATTTGATTTAATTAAAAAAAAAAAACTAAAATCCTAATATTAAGATTTATGAATAAGATTAGTAAGTACAAATAAATTCAATAGAGCAAGATCGAAATATCAATTTGATTGTTAATTAGCAAAATAAAATTATTATGTAATAGCCAAAGATTTAAAATAAAAACGAGGCTGAAAACTAATAATAATAATAAAAGGTGAAGTTTCTCACTAATGTTTAAAGCTTTTAGGAACCAAAACATATAATGCCTATTGAAAATCAAGAAATCCATTAACCTTACGATAATGAAAAAAATTAAAAAAACCATTTTAAAATAGTTTCTTAATAAAATGAAAATCCTTAGGAATTATAATCTGTAAATCAAAATTAACAAATCAAAATTTTATATTAAAATCAAAACTACTAAATGCAGAATCCAGATAAAAGATCCAATTAAAATTAGATACAAGAGGGATTTAGGATGCAATCGGAAAATTAGCATCGAATTTAATAAAACTAGTTGTTTGAATATTAAGTTTAATAATAATAATAAAACTTATATTAATAGCAATAATAATCATAAAAATCACAATAATAATCATTATAATAGCAAAATCAATAACAATAACAATACCAATAACAATAACAATAATAATAATAATAATAATTCTATTAATAATAATTACAATATTATTAATAATAATAATAATAACAATAATAACAATAATAATAATAACAATAATAATAATAATAATAGCAACAACCAAAATAATAACAATATCAATATCAATAACAATAATAATAATACTTTTAATAATAATAACAATAACAATATACAGAATTAATCGAAATTAATGACAATATTGAAAATCCATAGTAAGATGCTTAACCTACCGATCAGATTGAATAATAATATACTACTATAGGTAATTCCCCTAGAGATAGTGATTTAAATTATGAAAAAACTGTATAACTGATATAATAATATCCAGACTAAATGGATATCATTTTATATGTGTCTTGCTTTCTTGCTACAATACAAAATGCTATAGAAAAGTTGCAATAAGTATAAAAATCAGATCAGAAAATAATTTTAGAATTTTTTTTGAGAAATTGTGAAATTTCTTGTTTAGAGGACATAAAAGTATTAAAAGAAAAATAATATATATTTTTGGATGGGCATATAATAAATGTAATTTCAAATGATGTATTATCATAAGTAAGTCTTGAGTATTTAAATAATTAAATTAAAAGGATAGAATCCAAAAGTATATTATCTGAAGTTAATTAAACTATAAAATCTGAAATATTACGAAAAAAATTCTGTTATTTAAATCAATTTTTATAAAGAAAGAAAGAAGAATAATAAATTACTTGTTATGACACAATTGTTTATTTTCAAGAAGTTTTTCACCATCTAAATTAAAGTAAAGATAAGAGGATAATTAAAGAAGAGATATTCTAATCATTAATAAAAGTAGATTAATTTATTAAGAAATTTTAAGTAAAAAGATTGGATAAATTGAATAAGAATGATATGATAAATTTTTAATGATAATTTATTTATTTATTAACTAAAATCTAAGATTAATATCAAAATTAGATGTATATTTTGAATATAAACAACAAAGGAATAATAATCTTCATTCAAAATTTGATTAAAAAATCAGTGAGCTTCATTTTATAATGCTTCTTAATATATCGAATAGAATGTAGATTTCTTATCGTTTAATAGTTCTTATGTGAATCCATATTCTTTCAATTACCCTTTATCAATGACTATAATCCTAAAATAATAGTAATAGATAATACTTATCACAATGTAAAATTGTATTTATCCTATGAGCAATAGTTAATACAGTGCAATTTTGAAATGCAGATTAAATAACTTATTAAATCTTATGTTCTGTGTCCACATCAATATTTGCAGTGGCCTCATCAATAATAACAATTTTAGTTTTTTTTAAAATAGCTCTAGCTATACAAATTAATTATTTTTCACCAGCACTAAGATTGTCTCCACCTTCTGAAATTTTTGTCATCAATCCATCTCTATTACTGATTAACCTATTTAAGCAACATTAATTAATGGTTGATAAAATTTCTTCATTTGATCTTTGACCCAAAGGATCTAGATTTTCTTTAATGGTGGCATTGAATATTACAGCATCTTGTAATATGATTGTAATTGATTCTCTTAATTATTTAAGTGATAAAGTTGAAATATCAACATCATCAATCAGTAATTGTCCTTCTAATGATTCTAAGATTCTCAATAGACTCAAAGTAATGGATGATTTGCCAGCTCCAGTTCTACCAACAACTCCAATTTTTTCTTTAGAATTAATTTTGAAATTTAAATTATTTAGTGCAGGTGGGAGGTTTTATCGATATTAAACAGAGAAGTTGACAAATTAGATTTCACCAAGACTTGGCCAATTCTATACTCTAACATTATCTTCATTTCTTTTCTCTGATTTAACACTTAAAAATAATATATTAAAGATACTTTGTGTATGCTAAACATCTTTCAAAGGAAATAATTCCATTTTCTAATAGACTTAGAGATTCTACTGTTTGAAGAATGTTTACATCTATATTTGATGCATATGTCATTAAAAGTCCTGCAAATGCTGGATTTTGAGTATAATAGATGCAATAAACAATAGCTGAAATGTTAACAATAAGACTAGACAATCCTAAGATTTATAAAAACCATGCATTAGATTCAACCTATTTGTAATATATTTTTTTGTTGGTGTCTATTTTCCTAGAAAAATTATACAAAAATTCATTAGTTTGTTAATAAGCCCTTATTGTTGTTAATCCTGATAAGGTTTCAGTGAAATAACTTAGTATAGGGCTTTTACTAATTAATTCTAATCTTTGAAGCTCTCTGGAAGCTTTCATATAAAGTCTGTTCATTTTAAAACAAATCAAAAAGAATCCCATAATAGGAAATATTATTAAGTATGTACTTGCATATACATTAAGAAATGTATTACTAATCAATTGACTTACTTTAGTATAGAGCCAACTGATATTCCAATAGATTTCAGTATCTAATGAATTAATATCTTTTGTTAGTCGGTTCATAATTCTACCCTAAGGTACTCTTTCGAAAAATGAACATTAAGGAGCATAAATCAATGTTTTCATCATTTTGTTATGAATAATTTAAGCTGATTTAATTGATTAATGTATGATTGTTATTCCTCTAAGAAAAGCAAAGAATGCTTGCATAAAACCAAATGTAAAATAAATTGAAAAGTATAAGGTATTTCTTGAAAATTCTTCATCTTTTGATGATAATGCAGCCCATTTTGAAATCCATATACTTGAACCCAGATAACAAAATATCCAGACAATCATAATCACCATAACCAAAGAGAAACTTAGACAGCCTCCATTATGAGCAAAGTATTATAAGAATACATCATAATTAATATTACCTTTCTATCTCTCTTCTAAAATCATAAGATCATCAACTTCATCTTACTAAGTGGATTTAATTGGTAGAGTTATAGTAGTAGAAGAATCCAAATTAGAATTACTATCAGACTTAGAATGTTTTTTTAGATCATCTAAGGGATTGGATATCAATATAGAATCTTCTAAATCTTCATTATAATTATTATTAAATTTAGTTTTAATTTCTTAAAATTTTTAACTTTTGAGCATATTTCTATAAGTGCCTTATTCAATCACTTCTCCTTTTTCAAATAAGTAAATATAATCTGTATATTTACAATAATTTAAAGCATGTGTAATGAGAATTCTAGTAGTCTACTTTAATTTTCCTAATAAGCATTCTTTCATAATAAAATTTCCAACATGTGCATCAACAGCACTTAATGGATCATCCAAAAGAATGATATCTGAATCACTATAAATAGCTCTAGCCAAACTGATTCTTGCTTTTTGACCACCAGATAAATTGATTCCCTTTTCTCCAATCATAGTTTAATCTCCATTAATTAAAATCTACAAATCTTAAGTTAAACAAGAATAATATATGGCATTGTCATATTATTGTTAATTAAATTATTTACCAAAAAGAATATTATCTTTAACTGATGCATTTTAAATCCAAGGTTTCTAACTAACATATGCTAATTTTCCATTTAATCTTATTTTAGGTTATCCATATCCTTCTAAATATATCATCTCTCCTAAAAGTGCTTAAAAAAATGAAGTCTTTCCAGCTCCTACATCTCCTATTATTGAAACAAACTTTCCAGGTTCTATTCTCAAATTTATATTTTTTAATATCGGTTATTCTGATTATTGTGCTTAAAAACTTTCCTTAACATTATCTATTCCTTCATTTTAATCTTCTAAATTTGTTTTAAGCTCAACTGAATTATTAATTTATTTGTTCCAATAGAATACTGCATTTTAAAAATCAACTGCAGCTGTAGGATCTCTGAATTCTGATGTATGTATACAATTAGTCATTAGATCTTTAGTAGCTAGAAATTTTGATATTCTTTTTAATGAAAGTTTGGCTTCTATCAATGAATTTATAGCTATAGGTAATTGAAGGAGTGGTTATTATAAAATCTAAAATAAGCTTATTATAGCAAATGTAGTGCTAGGATTCAATTAATGACCCAAATAAACATATAATCCAAATGTCATACTCAAAATTAATTAAGGTGTCAACCATACAGAAAATATATTAATTGCTGAATAATAGAGTCTATTTTTTATGCTTTTAATTTCCTTCTCTCTTGCTTCCTCAACTTTTGACAAAAAATGTTCTTCTAAAGCATTAATTTTGATAAATTTAATTTAAGAGAATATTTCATTAGCTATTTTAGTTCTTTCATCTTTATCTTTCAATAATTTACGTTATGATTTAACAATCTACTTACCTGTAAATATATTAAATAGTATCATTATCAATATGATTGTACATCCAATCAAAAATGACAACCCTATCATACTATACATTAAATATAAACTAATTCCTAAAATAATATAAAATAACATACATTACCTAATTGTAATGGTATCATTAATACACTAGAAATGTAACTAGTAATTAAAATTAGTTTCTGAGCATCTACTTATATTAAATTTGTTATTTCTCCACTTGACCATTCAGTAGTACTTATTAATGAAACTCTTAAACATTTTCTCATTATTTCCACACTAACTACAGACATTGCATCATAGCCAACACATAACTTTTAATATTATTTTAACTCATACCATCATCCTTCTAGAATGTGCTTATGAAAAAATATTCATTATTCTTAGAAATAAAATGGCCAAAATCAAATAGATTGCATCATTTTCATCTCGATTTTCACTCTTAATAAAGTCAATAACAGTTTTTATTAATAAAGGCATACAAAGCTAACCTAATGTTAATACTAAAAGTATTAGGATAACTTTTAGAAGTGGAGCTAATATGACATAGAATATTACACATAAAGAATAATAAAAGCTATTTAATAAGTTTTCCATCCTTTTATAGATAGGAAGAAAACTATTCATGCATTTTAAGAGATCTCTTCTAAAATCTTAATTCTTTAATTTAATCACTTTCAAGCGAGACTTTTTGAGATTGCTAGATTATGAAGTTTCTCAATACCTTCATCATTGGATATACATCTAAGAAAAATAGCAAAGTTAATAAAGACCTCTTTTCACCATGGCTTTCTTCTTCAGAATTTGATAAAAGAGGTAATTATTAATTGCTAACTGGTTAAAGTTCAAGATTAAATTACGAAGGTAAGTCCATGGAATTTATTAATAATAAATGAATTAAAAATTACTTTAATAAACCATTTCATAATACGTAAAATTGTTTCAATTTTTATTATCACCTCATCTTAATTATTGTTCATTATATTTATAATATTTATATAAGACATTTAATTTAAGTGAAAGATTAATTTTTATACAATCTTTACTACTATATAGAATATAAAAATAATTGATTTTAAAAGAGGTTTTTAAAAATATTTAAAATAAAGTAAATGATGAAATATTGAAATTACTAATCCAACTTAAGAAGAATATTAATAAATCAATGATCTTTCTAAATATGTAAGGTTTATAGACTGTTTTTAATTCTCATTTATTAAATAAGAATTTTATGATCAATTAAGTGTAAAGTTATACAAATGAATAAATAATATATCAAAAAATTAATTTTTAATTATGAACAATAAAGAGTTAATAGCAATATATAAGGACAAAATAAATGATATAATTTAGAAAATATATGAACACTTTAAATCAGAACCTTAAAATTATATATGTTAAAGCAAATTGATTGGATCATAATAATACCTTGAATCACTTTAAAATACTTCCAGTATTACTCAATAAATTAATATTGTAATTCAATTCAATATATCATCTGATCAATTATTAAGAAGGAAATGAAGATATTGATGAATTTCCTTTGCCAGTTAAAAATACTAAATTTTTAGAAGTTCTTTAAGTGCTGAAGTTTTTAGAATCCACAATAAAGGAGATCTTGATAACTTATACCTAAGACAACAGAATATGAATAATAAATATTAGAGAAACTTATAAAGTGTTCATAATTAATTTTTGAGATTGTTTGGGCTTGTTTAAGATAAACTGATAAGAAATGTTAATACTTATTCTAAATATTGTTTGAATTGAAAATCTTAAGATATAAAAAATTGAATGATATAAATAAAATGATTGCAATCTTATTTTCAATTTTCTTTTTTATTTAATGATACAATAATTTATTTTTCACTTCTGTATTTCATTAATGTACTCATTAATTTTGTATCTTCTTGTGGTTCATAGGTTCCATATGGCTAATTTTCACATTCTTTCTAGAATGATTAATATTTTCTTTGTAAAAGAGTTTAATTTAAATCAAACCCATTTACCTAAGGAGGTCGTGTTGTAAGTGCAATATTTAAATGAAAGAAAAATCCTACAATTAGTCTCAAATTTGCAATCATAAATAAGAAATATGCTGAAGGGATAATATGAGATGTAAATTATGATTCATAATATTCTCTAGCAAGGGAATAAAATGTTCCAATACATATGAAGGATGGCAAATCAATTAATAATGCTTAAATTAATTCTTATATTTATCTGCTATTTAAAAGATGATTTTTCACTTGAATTCCAATTTATGGACAATATTATCTTAAAATATTTTCTAAAACATAATTATTCTCACTCATTTTCCAAATATATGAAAATAATGTTGCTTAATCAGCATCCAAATTTTTCAATAAATTATACATATTAATATAATTTGTGTAGATTACAATCATGAATTTTGTTATAGCAACTGAAGATAAGACAAAGAGTTAAACAAAAAATTTATATTACAATTCTTTCATTAAGTTTTTGTCTTATAAATAATCAATAAAACTACCACAAAGTCCAATCACCTAAAATTCAAAATAATAATCTGCTTATATAAATAATAGAATAAAAAACTAAAATAATTCCTATCTATGAGGATAATTATAAATTTAAAATTTCTTTTCTTCAAATGTTCTTATACAATAATCTGGTACTGCTTTTACTCTAATTTTCACTGCTACATATAAATTCAATACTTATATATAAAGAACCAAAAGAAAATATATCAAGCTTATTAATATTGCATATTCATTATAAGTAGAAAAATAACAAGGATCCTAATTTTTACAATCATTTTTTTATTCTCTTGGATCTATATTGTAATCATAATAAAATGCTATAATCACACTCAATATTGCCTATATTGGTACAAAAATTAACTAAATTACACAATAGGATCGAATACAAACTTTGTTTTACCTTAAAAATTTATAAAGTGAACTACTTAATTTAAAATCTGTATATTAATAGAGTTTTTTATTAATTATTTAAATTATCCATTTCACACTATTGTTCCGTTTTAATATATACATTTTAAGCTTAATCAATAAATAATACAATATTCCATCATCAAATATATTGATAATCCTTTATTAATTGTCTATTTTCCCACAAATTAGATTATATTCCATAAATTATTCATTGATCATGCTTATGTACATATGCATTTTCCCAACACTTGTACTAAATTTAGTACTACCAGAAAAATCAATGCATTCCAATTATTAAAAATTAAAATATTTAGTACCAAACCAAATAAGAAAATTATCTGTTAAATTAGAATCTCTTATTATTAAATTTTTCAGATAATCTGGAGTATTCTTTATATGATAATTCACACTATAAAGTATATAAGATTCTATTATTTAGATAGCTAATTCCTCTGATATTTAAGTCCATGTATTATAGATATATAAACCTTTGTTATTTTTTAAAAATTGCAATAGATCTTAAGTTCCAAGTGCTTTATTATTATCAATAATAAGTAATTTAAAATAAGATAATTTTTAATCACAATTAGACTATAATATTGTATTTTCTATTAAATTGCTATAACATTTAATAATATTTATACTTGGATATTGTTAATTTTTCCAAATGGCTTTTATTTAATAATATAATATTAAATAATTTATAAAATCCTTCTGATGTTATATTATTTTTATCTAAAGATAATTCTTTTAGTTTTAATTAATTTAAAAGTAATTATTGAAGTTATTCACAATGAAAATCTTAAAATTAACATTCATTAAACATAAGCTTTGTAACATTTTATAATATTGAATTTGGTTTAATTCTCTGAATAATCAATTCTAGATTAGCTTGTTGATATTTTACTCTTGATAAATCAAGTGTAGTTAAATTAAAGAACAATAATGTATTTGGTTCTTACTAATTAAAATTTATTAGAAAATCAAATTTATAATCAGGATAAATTTTGATTTAAGCTTTCTTCTTTGTTTTAGAGAATTTAAGTTTTTCAATTTATGTTATGTTATTTTTGAATACAGTAAAGAAATAATAGTAACTTTATTAAGTAATATTGTTTCTTGATAGATCTATATATTTGATAGTTTTATTATTGAGTAGAGATTGAATTAACATTTAACATTTTTCATCATTCAATTTGATATTAGCAATATTAAGTATTTATAAACTATTATTTAATGTAATACCTTAACATAAAATTTAAAATTTATGTTTATTAATTCTATTTTCACTCACATCCAATTCTATTAATTTATTGGATTATCTTAAGATTTCCTTCAAAATTTAGAAAAATTCTATTGACAAAGTAGATTTTTGTATAATTAAATATTCAAGATTTTTTAATGTTTTAATTTAAACTAATTCATGAAATGCATTTAGAAGGACATTACTTTCGATTACTTAATATTCTAAAATTAAAGAGGTCAAACATTTTGTATATTTCATTCCTTATAATAAAGTGTATAAATAATTATGTGATATTAAAGTATTGGAAATTTCAATGAGTTTTAAAGTGTGTTTGTTTTTTTTTAAAACTTATTGTAAATTTTAATAGGATTCTAATCGACATTACATTTTATTTATTGTTAATGAACTAATTGTTTTATTATCAGATAAAGCAGTAAAATTGTTCATATAATCTATTGATTAATTCATACTAATGTCAAGCATCTTAAATGAATAGATATCTGAGATAATATCAGATATTATTAATAAATCATCAGCTGTAAGTTTGAGATTAGATAATAACAATTATGGAAATGACAAATGCATTTTTTATATATAAGCTTTAATATTAAAAAGAGTTTAACCATGTATCCAATTTTTTGACATATCTACACATTATAAATTTCTATTTTTAAATAGAAGTGGTAATTTTCTAATTATCACTTCATTTTCATCAATTAAATTATTGCTAATATTCAATACTTTCAAAGAACAACAATTTGATAAACCATTAACAAGAAATAAGATGGCATTTTTTAATTTATTGTTTGAAATATCTAAATTAATTAATGTTGAATTTTTAGATAAAGCACTATTTAAAAATTCAAAAGAAGATACATTTAAATCACCTAAATTATTATGTGCAATTAATAATGTTGTTAAAGTATAAGTTTTTTCTATCAATTGACTTAATCTCTCAATCAATATTGGTTCATTAAGTTGACACTAATTTAGATTTAAATATTCAAGTCTATTATATTAATTACTTAATGATTCTAGAACTGGATACATTATATGAGGATTAAAACTAAAATCTAATTCTCTTAAATTTGTACATTTAATTTCAAAACAATCCTATTTACCACTTTATATTTCATTATCATCATTTATTAATTAAGATAATAAAAGAGTCTTTAATTTTGACTCTTTCATCATTGAAATTAATGTATATACAATATCATATCTTAATTGATTTAATGAAACATCTAAATACTATAATCTTATTTATTCATGATTAAACACATAAACTAAGATACCCTCTCCATCTATTTGATTTTTAGATACTGACAAACTAATCAGAGAAAAGTTCTCAATCAATGCATAAACTATTGATATAAAACCCTTAGTTTTAATTTTGTTATTACTTAAATCCAAATAGGCCCATTAAACAATATTGCAACATAATACTTAACTTATCTGATATGCACCTTCAGTGTCAATCAAATTATTTGATAAATTTAAATACATTACATTTAAGAAGAAATTATTTGGTATTTCTTCAATTCTATTGTGGGACAAATCAATTTTTAACAATTTTAATGTTAGAACATGTTAATTTTAAAATTCTATAATTTTATTATGAGATAAGTATAATTCTTCTAATTAAATTTTAAGAATTATTTATTCTAATTAATCAGTTTAAGTAATTTGATTTCCATTTAGATTAAGGGATTTAATTTTGATGAGTCTAACTGACATGAATAATGCTCTTGCCAATAATGCAATACCATCATTTTTTATTTAATTGTAGGATATATCTAAATAATCTAAACTCAATTTTCCTGTATAATTCAACATCATACTAGATAATGCAATTATTCCTTCATAATTCAAATTCATCAAAGATAATTTCAATCTTCTTTCTATTATTAATTATTCACTACCTTAATGAACTTAAATTATGAGTTTTATCCATAATCTAAGCTAATAATGAGTTCTCAATATTGCAATGAGATAGATTTATTTCTTATAAGAAGTTTTTACCTCCTAATACATATCTACAAAAATCTTATACAACTTATGTTGTAAATGCTTAATTGTTAAATAGATTCAAAATTTTAAGACTGGTGTGATCAATCATCTGGGATAATGAAGAAATTTTACAGCTTTAAATATACAACTCAAACCAAATGAATTTATTTTACAGTCGCCCAAGTTTAAAATCTAAATATTCTTGTTTTTTTGTATCAAACCACTAATTTCAATAGCATAGTAAACATTAATATTACACCCAGATAAATTAACTTCACTATTTAGAATTTCAAAGTATACATCACTCGATTATTTATGCTTAAGGTGTTGCATAAAGTCGTAAAGCATGTTAAAGCTCCTCTATTAATACGATAGGCAGCTTCTTCAGAGTTCCTATCTGAGTCTCGATTCATTTTCATTATTAGCTTTTAGATTAACCATCTAAAATTATTCTGGGTTTATTGTGCACTAATTTGTACTATACTCATTAATTATTATTTACATTATTATATAATAAACAATATTAAAACATAGACGTAGTTAATATTATGTTTATTATTAAAAATGAATAGCAGATATCAAATAAACATGAAGTAAAAGTTAGGAAGTGGTATGTATGGAACTGTATACACTGCTATTGATACACTCACAAATGAATTAGTAGCTGTCAAATAAATGAGCAAGTAGGAACTTGGATTAGACAATAAAATTTTTAGATAAGAAGTCGAATCTATGAGAAGTATACCTTATTAAGATGGGGAAAATGGATCCAAATATTTAATTAGGTAATGTTAATAATGTAATTGAAAAAGGTACAAGGATTTCTACTAATGTGCTAATTTCAATAATATAGTAATGGAATGTTTTAAAGACTCTTTAGATCTCAATTCTTATATCGAAAAGAAAGGCAAAATTCATGAAGATGATGCCTTATAGATATTTTATTAAATTGCTTCAGGAATAAGTTTTTTACATGATATGCATATTGTTCATAGAGATATCAAACCTTCAAACATTTTGATTCGTACTAAACCAAAATTAGAAATTAAAGTTATTGATTTTGGATTTGCCAGACTTTTAAATGATGAATAAACTACTTCAAGAACATATGTTGGAACTCCAATGTATATGAGTCCATAAACCAAATTATTGTATATATATTGGTCTATTATTTTAATTTAGATCTTAATATGATCCATATGCAAATGATATCTGGAGTTTGGGAGTTCTTTTATTTTTTATGGTCACTTAACATTATCCATGGAAAGCTAAGAAAAGTGATCAATTAGAAAAAGAAATGCTTAATTATGTTGCTTAATAAATTTAGATTAACATAAATGGAATTCCTTAATATGCCAAAGAATTGATAATTGATTGTTTATAAGTTGAAGAGTCTGCTAGAATCAAAGCTAATGATTTAGCTTGGAAAACAAAGAGAATATTATAAATTATTATAGAGAAATCCTGCTAGCCTATTTTTAAAGTACCTAGATTCAAATGGGAATAATTAGATGGATATCGACCTTCTATGTAATACCCATTTATTGGGAAGGAAGAACTTGAATAATTGGAGTTGTGAAATTAATAATAATATGAGGAATAATGATTAAGTAAATAAGATATAATTAATTTTTATTATTACTTATTTCAGACCAATAGATCTTATAAATTGTAGAACAGATTATAAAAAAAAATGCTTTTATTCTCATTTTTCATTAATTTTATAGAAAAATTTAGAAAAGCCATTTATCTAAAATTTACAATAATGTTATGGTTGCAATTAAAAATCAATTTGATATTCTTAAATTTTTTAATGAATTTTTATGTCATTGCCTAAATTTGCAATAAGAAAAACTTTGGAATTAAAAAAATATTGATTATTAAGAGATTGATAAAGTTTGAATACTACTTAAATAATCACGTAGAATTAATTAATTTAGATATTTCATGTCATTTAATTTTAAATTTAAAAGAGAATACAAAAATATATATGATAAATGGAAATAATTACAAAATTCATTAATAAATACGATAAAAATAATAGAAATCATAAAATATATTAGAATTATACTATTCTAATATAATATATTTCCATATTGATTGATAAACCTTTAATTTAAATAGGATCTATATTAGTTAATTGTAAGTTTATAGAAAATTTCAATCACAATTTAAATTAAATATTAATTCATCACGTTGTAAATTATTATTAATGTAATTATATACCTCATTATATCGTTTCTCCAGATTGGTTCCAAGATAGAGATTATCTTTAAATTAGGCTGATCCTACAATATATAGCCTGATTTAAGAAGAAATCAAAAGACAAAGAGAAAGTATCAATTTGATACCATCTGAAAACCATAGCTCAAAGGCAGTGTTAGAAGCTTTGGGCTCTGTGATGTCAACCAAATATGCTGAAGGTTTACATTTATATAAATTAAAAATAGGTTATCCTGGAGCTAGATATTATGGAGGAACACAAGTGTACGATAAAGTGGAATTACTTTGTTAATAAAGAGCTCTGAATGCATTTAATTTAAATTCTAATGAATGGGGTGTTAATGTTTAAATGTTGTCTGGAGCTCCTGCCAATTTTGCAATTTACACAGGGTTACTCGCCCCTAAAGATAGAATAATGAGTTTAGATCTTCCACATGGAGGTCATTTATCACATGGATATCAGACTGAAACTAAAAAGGTTTCTGCTGTTTCTAGTTACTTTGAAGTCATGCCTTATAGATTAAATGAAGTAAGAAACAATAAAGTAAAATATTTAGGAAACAGAACTTATAGATTATGAATAATTGGAAGTTTTGGCAAAAGCATTTAGACCTAAATTAATAGTTGCAGGAGCATCTGCTTATGCAAGGATTATAGATTTTCAAGCAATCAGAAAAATTTGTGATAGTGTCAAAGCATATTTATTAGCTGATATTTCACATACAGCAGGTATGATGGCAGCTGAATAATTACCAAGTCCATTCCCATATGCAGATGTTGTAATGACTACAACTCATAAATCGTATCAAATAACTTAATAACTTTTAGAATGAGAGGACCAAGAGGAAGTCTTATTTTCTATAGAGTTGGTTAAAAAGAAGTTGACAAGAATGGAAAACCTATCAATTATGATCTTAAATCAAAAATAGATTAAGCCGTCTTTCCTGGTTTGTAGGGAGGACCCCATTTCCATACTATTACAAGTATAGCTGTAGCTTTGGAAGAGGCCAAAACTCCTGAATTTAAGAATTATCAAAAGAATGTCTTATTGAACAGCAAAAAATTAGCAGACGAATTATTGAAGAAAAGTAATACATTCTAAATAATAAAAAGACTTTTCTTTGGTTTCAGGAGGAACTGATAATCATTTGGTATTGGTCAATTTAAAACCAAAATCAATTGATGGTGCAAGAGTGGAATCCATTTTATAAGCTGTCAATATTTCTGTAAATAAGAATACTGTTCCTAAAGATAAATCAGCTTTGGTACCAAATGGTTTAAGAATGGGGTAAGATTGAATTATATTATATATAGATCAGTGCCTATGACATCTAGAGGAGTTAATTAAGATGAATTTGCTTAAATAGCTGATTTCATTGATAGAGGTGTAGCTATAGCTTAAAAGGTTAAGGGAGAAGCTGGACCAAAAGTATAAGATTTCAAAGATTGGTTGGCAAAGAATGGTGACTAACATCCTGATATACAAAAACTTAAAAATGATGTTGTATCCTTCAGTTCTCAATTCCCTGTTCCTGGATTGGATTGATTAACAAATAAAAAATAAATAATAATTAGACATGAATTTAGAAACCTTACTAGACTAAACTCATCGTAATACTAGAAGAGGCATAGTGTTCTAACATACAAGGAAGACCTTTACAATCAAACCAGATTCACCTAAAACTCGAGAAGCATGTTTGGCTTTGGGTTATGATCCAAATATATTTTAATTCAAGTATCAGTTGAACATTTAAATATTAAGACAATTAGAAGATTTTGCTGAACCTGGGATATCTGAAAATGTTTAAAAGATGCGATTCGAACACTATATGAAAAAGACGGAAGGTAAAACTGAAATAGATTCTAGGTGCGTTGAAGGAGATTAGTAAAATGAGAAAGATCATAATAAAGAAATAAAAAAATATTACTAATTTGCATTTAGAAAAGAGTTTCCAGAGAGATGAAGAGTACCTATTTCATTTAACAAAAGATTGGTTAATGATTTAATTGAAACTTACAATAAGAAAATGAATAGTATTGATAAAGAAGATAAAGATGCTTCATATTTATCATTTGATGAAGATGATCCAATATTAGTATTAGAATAATAGTTGGAAAAAGAAATTGATAAATATAAGAAATCATTATAAATTAAGGCTAAAGAGGTTTAACATTAATTAGATAATGAAAAAAGAAGATAAAAACTACATCATGATATGATTGAAAGAGAGAAGAAAATTGAAGAATTAAAATTAAAAATTTCTTTATAGAAAGCAAAAAAGAAAAAAGAAATGAAATAAGCTTCTTAAAAGAAAGTTAATGAAATAAAATAAAAAGAAAGAGAAAAATAAATCAAATTGCTTGAAGATAGAAAAAAGTAAGCAGAAAAATAAGAAAAGATGTAAATTATTAAATAATACTAGACGAAAGAAATTAGAATAAGATGAAATTTCACATAAAAAAGAATTAGAAGATTAAGAGAAGAAATATTAAGAAAGAAGATTATAAATATAATTAAGGAAAAATTTACAAGATAAATAATATAATTAGTAAATGGCATAAACAATGACATAAATTTAATAAAAATGGGCAGAAACATCATTAAATAAAGAAAAATAAATATGGGAATCTAAATTAGAACGTCTTACTCTTAGAAGTTCTTTGCATGAAGAAAAATTAAAATAATATAAATTAAGAACTATGTAAAAAGAAGAATCTTTAGTTTAATCTATTGTTTAAAAATTAGCAAGTAAAGAAGAAGATCTTAAAGGTATTTTTATTTTATTTATATAGCCTTAAAATAATCAAAAGAAAGAGAAGAATAAAATAAACTTAAAGATGAAAAATTAAGAAGAAAAAAAATTGAAAAAAGTCTTAAAAATATTAAATCTTAATAATTTGATAGAGTAGATAGTCTTTAAAAGAAGTTTTAGCTACTTGAAGATTATAGTTTGAAAAGAAAAGAAGATTTAGATTACTAAAAATCATTAAAATAAGAAAGAATGAAATTAAAATAATAAGATTTAATTGAAAATTATTAAAGATAAGAAAGATTAAAGGATTTGAGATTTAAATCATTAATTAAATCATCTTAATAATTAAATGAACAAAAATCTTTAGAAAAAATTTCGAATGAATTAATTCGAAAAGCTCAATAAGAACTTTAGAGAAAATTGAAAAAGGATTCTGAAAATCTTGATTAAAGTCTTGTAAATGTAAGTTAAGCTGATGAAAAAGTGTTAAAGTAAAATATTAATTTATTTATAATAGCTAAAGAGTTAGTCAACTTGAAAAAAGCTTATCAAGTCTTAAATAAAGTTCTAAGATCATACACTGATAATATTTGCATTTTATTAATATTCTAAAAGCTTCTACTGTTCTTCAATATTCTGTAAATAAAATTATAATTTATTATATACTTAGAAAAATAGTCTAATTCTTAATATTAATTTTATAAAATAAGTTTATTAATAAAAGCAAATATATTACAATATAAAAACGATATATCAATTCTTAAATGTAGATTTGTCCTTTGTCTTAAGCAATTTCATTTTGAATTGATCAAAGTTATATTAATAATTTTATGTTTTCGAATGAAATTCAAAAAGTAATAGCGATAATAAAAATTGGTTTTTTTTGTGTTAAAATAATTATTATTATTCAAACTAATTATAATAACCCAGTTATTTCAAAGAATTTATTAATCTATAAAAATCATTATGATAAAAAATGGTTATAATTTCCTAATTTATAAGAACTATATAATAGATGTTACAATATATAGATTAAGAAATTTATGAAATTACTCTAAAAATACATTAAAAAAATTGATGGTATTTTATATTTTGAAAAACTGATATGATGAGATAAATAGATAATTTCCTTCTTCCATAATGAGAGGTTCCAATATAATAATTTAATTTATAAAATTGTAATATTTTTGTAAAATGGGATCTTGCTGTATGAATAAAATGGATATGGAGACACTTAATACTAATTTATCAAGTGAAATGTCAAAGAAAATAGTAATTAATAGTCCAATAGTGAAAAATATTATTGGAAAATAATTAGAAATTGTGGAAATTCCATCATATACAGTATTGGATAGTGTTTTTGAATATGAAGTGTTAGACAATATTGAAAGTGAAGATTCAGAATCATCAGAGAAAAAAAGATTTAGTAATGGGAAAGGAATTTTAAAATAAACAACAGCAAAATCTCATGGTTCAGGTGGAAGTTCAGCAAGTAGCTCAAAAAAAGTATCATTTTGTAGGACAACAACCTTCTTTGAGAAAAAATCAAGGAAAGGTTTAATGTTAGAATCATAAACTTTATCTTGATTTATATAATATATGTTTTTTTAACTTTATTTATTGTTTCATACAACAATTTGAAGAAGTGCTGCTCTAGTTCTATCATTGAAATTATTTTCAAACAATTCCAATAATTGAAGTACAATTTGTATTTGTTCATTTCTTGAGACTCTAGCCTATTCAGCAGCATTATTATCTTCTTTACAAGCAACTTCAAAAGACTTCCTTTCCACTTCTTTATTATCATAAATAATTTATTAAAGTAAAGCCTATTATTATAGATCTTCTAATCTTTATTAAGCAAATTCAGCAGCAACTTGATCATCAGCAATTTGACCTTATAATCTAACATTTTCTTTAGAAAGTCGAAGTCTAAATTTAAATGATAATAAATACAAATCTTATTCAAAGAATTTCTGTGCCCAATCTTCTGCATACATTTCTCTTTTTTAGACATCGTAAATACTTTCAATTAAGTCATTTATGATATCAACAATAACTTAAACATTATCATTATCAGAATGTATTTTAATATCTGTACATAATTCCATTAATAATGAAGCCATATTTTTAAATTCTGAATTTGCAGCATATGATTTTACTAAAATAGAATAAATTAGATACATAATTATTCATGATGTTCTTTCAATTAAACAAGAGCACCACCAGGATGAGTAGTTTACAATTATCTTATAATTTATTATGCTTATTTTAAACCATTGATTAAACCAATAAGTTCATCTCTCTTATGTTCATAAGCTTCATGTTCTTTTCTTCTTTATTCTGAAAAGTTTATTTATAATTAATCATTTCTTTAAATTTCAGCATTCTTTTATTCTACTTATGCTAATTTATTTGCTAATTCTTCTTATTTTCCTGGTATTTATCTTTCATAATCAGCCTTGGCAACAACAGCTTTTTCTTAGATTGTATTGATTTATGTAAATTAATCAGAACATTATGCTTATCTTTCTCCATTAGCTTTACTTGAACGAGCATCTTCATCTCTAAGATCATAAAATAATTTATTAAGCATAGTGTAAATTTATCTTGCTGCATTTCTAATGTTATTAAAAATTATTTTACTCTTATGTGAGTTCTAATTGAATTGTTTACAATATTTATCTACCAAAACTGTTTTATGCAATTTGCTCTAACATTTCAGGTTGTTGACCTAAAATGCATGCTAAAAGAGCGATGAAAATAATAACTTTCATAAATAATAATAAAAAACGAATATGATAATCTAAAAAGGAAATAAAATTTAGATTGATAATCCGAATGAAGAATTAGATAAAGAAATATTATAAAATTGCAAAACTCATGAAGCCTTTTTTAGATCATATTGCACATTTTGTTATCCTTCTAAGGACCCTGAAGAATTCTATTGTTAAAGTGACCAAGAGAAACCCATCAATTACTTTATATTAGATTTTCAAGAAAATAAATATTTAGATAATCAACTCTATAATGCAGGAATATCAAGTTTTGATCAATTTCAACATAAAGATCAAATAGCTAATCTGAAAAATTAATAAGGGAGTGATCCTAAAGATATTGCAATTTAATTAGGATTGTATACATAATAAGATGTGGAAGAATTAATTGATCGAGCTGTTTAAGAAAATTGGTAAGAATTATAAGAATTCTCTGTCACTGTTGATTTTTGGGAAATTAGTCAAACCAAGACATTTTTTAATAGAGCTGAGCAAATTTTAGAATAATTAAATCTCCATAATTCTATCATTATTTATCCTTCAAAAAGAGCCTAATTCATTAAGATGTTAGAAATAAACTAGAAGTAAGCCTCAAGATTCTTGGCATCCTTTTAAGTTATAGATTAATAGGCTGGCTAATTGAAATCAGACACAATTTAAATTTAAAGAAAAAGTTCACTTCCTGAATATGCTGATGGTTAATAGAAAAGGGTTCTAAATAGCTTATTAAAGACAACATAATATTTCCCATTTTGTGGAGAAATTGTATACTTTACAGATGATTATAAAGAATTATAAACTATTGCTTCCAAATTTGGTAAATAATAGACTCCTTTCAATATTTATTGTGATCCAAAAGATATTGATAAATATTATAATGTAGCAGGTTTATCAGGGGGTAAAGTTTATTCATACTTTTCAGAAGAAAAGAGATAAATAACACATAAATTAAGAGCTATTATATCAAATAATTATATATTTACAGAATCATAAACTAATAAGTTTGAAATGTTCTATACAGATATAAATTTTCCAATTGATTTGGATTATGAATTAAAAGACCCTACTATTGATAATCCTGGTGGTTGTTTGTAAGTAATATTAGAAGACGATAATGGTTATTATGTTGAATAAAAGATCATTTAAATGAATTCTAATGATGATCTACATGAACCAAGTGTGTCATTAAGTTAAGAAACATTGAATTTAACAGATTTACCAAAAGAGTGAATATAATAGTAATATATAAAAAATAATTATTTATTAATGTATAATTAGAACTTATTTAATTACAATTATTTTTGTATTCTTTTTAAATTGTTACTTAGGATGTTCTTTAATAATTATATATAATTTTACAAAATAAAATATTAAATATTACCTCTTCTAAAGGGAAATTTAAATAAATAAAATTATAAGACTTCAATTAATATAAAAATTGTTATGCTTTGATAATTTTATCATTATTTTTATGAAATTTATAATATTTGAATAGTTGTCATGTTTAGCTCATTTAACTCATAATACCCAACCATCTGAGTTTTGGATTATATTGATTGTTTTAATTACCAATCTTTAATACCTAGCAATAATGTTACCTATAAGTGGTTGGAATTTATGGAAATACAGCAATGGACACTTTTACCTTTTATCAAAACTTGCTTAAGCCTCTTTGATTATACCTTTTAGCTTTGAATCTAATTTTAACTTTGGAGATGTTGTATTTGGCATTCTCATTCTACTCCTGTTCACTTTTATAATAATCATCATTATCTTAGTGATTCTAGGAATACAAGATGATATAAATCCTCTTTAACATTATTAACTTAGAAAACTCATTTTTTATTTCATTATACTCAGTACTACAATATTTTAATTGCCAATTCTATTTTTATTAATACCATTCATAATGATAGGAAGAACCAATTTTAATTAAGAGTTAACAATTTTTAATGTAAAAAGTATTTTGAGTCTAGTAACACTATTTATATTCTCAATATTTGTATTTTTGCAACAATATTTTTTGAGGGCGTATACATTTGTACCTTTTAATTATTTATAATAAAAGTTTAATGGATTGCAATCAATTTAATACTGTCTCTCAATTTTAATTACAATTTTATATTTAGTTGAATATGATACAATTGTTTAATATATTCAAATATTAATCATATTCTTAGTTATAATTTTGAGATTAGTAGAATCATTTTTTATGAAACCATCTATTCCTTTAGTTAATCTATTGTAATTTTCATTTAATTTTACATTAATTGCAATCCTAATTATTTTAAGTATTAACATTTTTACTCATAATGAATATATTTTCTAAGAAGATTAACTTATTTATGTTTTAATGTTATTGGGTCCAATGGCATTCCATTTAAGTAATTAATTTTATATTATGAAATGTTTATCAGTATTTGATTATGAAGTAACACCATTCACTTGTATACATTATACTTAAGAAATGCATTTTCAATATTTAATAACATGTGAAAATTAGAAAAATAAAGAATTCTTTTAACTTTATTAATATTGGAAGGGACATAAGGTAGTTTGTTAAAAACATTGGTTAAAATAGAATTATAAAACAGATTACAATTAGATTTAAAAAACTCATCAAACTATCTTCTGTATCTTAAATACAGAATTAGAGAGAGCATAATAAGATTCTAGAACAGCTTATGAAGAATTATAATTGTTATATATAAGTTATGTGGCTTAATTCTGTAAAAAGCCACTCTTAGCTTATGTAGAATTAAAACGATATCAAAGTAAATAATAAATTCAATCATTTTACTTTATTTCCATAAGATATCAAATGAGTATTTATCTTTAAACTCTTATTAAAAATCAATAATAAACTAATTAATAAATATATGGATAATCAAAAGTTGCTATTACTGAAAGATAATTAAGTATATAATCAATCTTTGAAGCTCTCTAATTTCAAGATTAATTTATTCCTAGTGTTATAGAATTATTAAATGATAAGATCAATTTTTGGAATAGATAAATCAAAGGGTTTAATAATATTTATGAATTAGAACGATTAGCTATATATTAAAGCAAAAAGATCTTTAATTTAGCTAATTAAATTAATAAATATTGTTCAATAGATATTAAAAATTTAGATCATTTATCAATTTCTAATAATGTATAGGATTTGAAATTAATATCTATTTTTTGTAGTGCTATTATGAATGATTATTATAGTACTTAAATATGTGAAAATGCTATTAGTGAAATTTATAATATTGAACATACACTTTAAGAAGATACAATGACAAATCTATCATTTATTTAAGAAAGAGCAGTAATTTTAATGTTAAGTTTAGTTAAGAATAGAGGTAGAATAATAAATTAAGATAAGAAAATGATATCTTAATTTTTTAATTATAATGAATAAGAATTTGCTTAAATAGATAATATATCAGGATTAATGCCAACCTTTTTTGCAGAAAAACATGATAAATTATTATTAAATTATTTGTAAACTGCTAAATCTTAATTTTTTGATGATTATAATTAAGTTTTTGGTAAATCAAAAGAAGGTATGATAATTTCATATTAACTTAAATTGGATAATAATTTTAGTGAATTAGATGATTATGTTTTGATTGGTTGTCTTTCATAAATAAAAAAATCAGCAGATTATTTATTATTTAGTGATGATGGATTTATAATTGGAATGACTGAGAATTTTTATTCAACAATTATTGATTCTAAAGATTAATCATATAGAATATTACATGATAATTTGAGTTAATTAAATGCTTTTTTTTTAATTCCCAATATGATGGAATTATTAAATGAATTAAAGAATACTTATGGAAAAGATTCTATTTATGTTTAATAAGATAAGTTTTATAAAATCTGGAAATATCATAATAATAAAGATTTATATGATATGTCTATTAAATTTGGATATTCATCTAAATAAAATTCTTTTATTAATGATAGTAGTTTATTTAAATCTAGAGCCTCATTTGCTTCTATTGAAAAAGAAAAGGCAGATATTCAAATATACTAGTAATTAGGATAATCTATTGGAGAGAATAAAAAGTTAAAAGGAGTTTCAATTTTATAAGGATTAACAATCTACAGTGTTGCATTCAATAACTAATTAATTAATTCATTATAAATTTTAGAAGTAAAGTAAAATTGTTTATTTTTAGGGTAAACCTAAGCAACAATATATTGCTAAAATTAATATAGTTTACAAAATAATAGGAAAGAAGGAGAATAGAAAAAGTTATTTTATTTTAGAAATAAATGATTTGAGGAAGGCTGATGAATTTTTTAAGACAAATGATTCTCTTATGAATAATTAACATACTTTTTCAATTTAGACAACTAATAAAGGTAATATGCCTGCTGTTTAAGATCCAAGTGAAAGTTATTTAGGATCTTTAAATGTAGACAAAGAAGAAGTAACACCTAATATTTCCAAGTAATTCTAACCTGGATTTTAAAGACTTTTGAATAAATTTGAAGGTAAGAATTAAGCATAATAAAATTACATGGATTTATTGGGAATAGAATCAGCAAGAGATAGTATTAGTTATGGCCCTTTATCTTAAAGAATAAATTTCATAAGTCCATCATCAAAATAATAGCATATGTAGGAATTAATAGATAAAGATTTTATGGACATATAAAATTAATTGGAAGTAGGAAATGAAGATATAGGAAATGAAATTGAAATGGCTGATTCATCTAAAGTCAAAAGTAATAGCAAAGATCAAAATTAAAAGAGCAATAATCTTATTGAAATATTACAGAATAATAGATTAAATTAAAAAAATGAAGATTTAGATAGAGAAGCTAAAAAATCAAAATCAAGCATTACTTCTGGAACTTCAGGTGTTTCTGCTATGTCTACAATTAAAAAATTTTAATCAAAAACTGAAATGACAAATAGTCTAAGAATTTTAGTGACTATTAATATTATAATTATGATGATAATCCTTGCTTACATAGTAGCACATTTATTGAAGATTTCATCTTACAATAATTAAACATAATAAACACTATCAAACATTAATGGGCCAACATTATTTAATAGATATTTTTTTAAAGTTTTCACATACACATGGAGTTTGGTTTTCAACAGTCTTGGAATTATTGAGAGTAGTGATTTTTTGATTACTTAAACAATTGCAGAAATGTAAGATTTAGCCTCTGTTATTTTTGATAATTTAAGGAATATGTATGATACTTTTATTGGAATAGAATAATCAGGAATGCTTAGCTCTATCAACTTAGATTTTTTGTATTAAAATAATGAAAATGTTACATATACATATTTTATAAATATCATTTCTAATGTAGCTGACACTTTGTTTCAAGCTCTCAATTATAACATATAGACTTTGATTTAATTAATTGATAGAAATTACTTAGATAATTTACTTATGCTTAGATATAATTTAAAAAATGTTGTCAATATGAATTTTTAATTAATAGATTCCCTTAATGAATTGTTTTTTTAATAATAATAGAGTTAATTAGAAGAATTTTAGACATAAATAATAATAGAAATAATTTTATTGGTAATAGTTATAAATGTATAATTGACATATTGGAGATAAATAGAATAATATAGTTAATAAATATTGATATTAGTTGGAAGGCTATAATTGAATTAAGCATAAGATATGATAACAAGATTTACAGCAGTTACAGAAACATTAAAATAATTATCTGGAAAATATGGATGGAAAAAGTAAAATTATTATAAATTACTTTTCTTTCCTTTAAATTAGATAGGAATTGAAGCTATGTAAACATAATCTAGAGTTCTTAAAGAATATCAATTATCTTAAGTTGGTATGTAATCAATAAAGTTGAATCATATTATTGAAGACAGGAAAAATTATAAAAAAAATCTAAATGTTGTACTCAATTCCAAAATAAATAATCCAAATACTACTATATGGAGTGCTACCATAATAATTATGATAACTTGTCTTATTTTTTTATTTTATCTTTTAGGAGGTTTTCTATTATTTAAAAAATAATAAAATGATTTATTACCTACCTAATAATTAACTCTTGGTTTTATTCGTTTTACTTCTCAATTAGATATAGTTGTTAGTACAGCTTTTATTACAAAAACTTAACCTATTTTATATGATTAATTAGTTGATATGAAATTTTATTCAGATAAAGAAATGGAAATTTTTAGGGACTAAAGAGTAATAATTTAAATCTTCATTTCGCTTTATTCAATTTATTTTGAAAATATTACCTAAATTTATGAAAATATTATTGAATCTAACAAGATTACAGAAGAAGATGAAAACATATTATTAATGTTATATTCTAGTGATTTCTGTGAATTATTAAGTGAAGATATTCCATTTTGTAATTATGATAATACAACTAATTTTTATGAATTATACGGAAAGCCAACTAGATTAGATGATAATAGAGACTATTTAAGTAAAGGAATTTAAGGAGTTGTTAGTAGATTAGATTCATTTTTCAAATAAAATTATTATTATGAAACTAATAAAGTTGATTATTATCCAGACTTAGATGTTGTAAAAGATTTATTTAATACAAGAGAATTTACAAATACTTTAATTGAACATTTTTTAGATACTACAGATGGAACCAATCTATTTATAGATACAATAATGAAATCTGTAATAAATATTACTTAGAGTGATCTAAATTTAATGTATACTTATTATTTAGTGACTGGATTGATGTTATTATTATTTTATCTTTTATTCTATGGCTGCTGGATTTATAGAACAAATTAAAGACTCATATAATTAAGATTAATTTTAACCAATTTGCCTATTGAAGTACTGACAGAACAACATACGTTATCATTACTCAAGAAGCTGTAATGAAAATTAGTATCCATGTGTGTTATTCATATATATATTTATTAATTGGAATAAGTTATTCATTTTATCAAAAGGATCTTTATGCTCTAATTGATCTACCTCTAGATTGTCTCATTCTCAAATATACTCTTTATCTTTGTAATAATTTTTATAGAGCACCAAAATAATTTGATTTTGCATCATCAAAGAATCTTAATAATTTTCTAGATCCAACCTTTAAATATCGAAATCTTTCATGTAAAAATAATAAGTCTTTTTATTCTATTGCTACTCTACATTGTTGCTTTACTTCTAATTCCTTTACTAAATTAAATTCTATTTTTTCAAATAAAAATTTCAAATCTATATCTACTAACTATTCTTTGTATTTACAAATACAATCTGTAAGAGTATATATTACTTTTAATCTTAAAGCATTTTTTGAACACATTTTTTTAATCACAGGCAATAAATTAATAAAGATTTTACTTAGATTTTAATTTATAGGATATTCTCTTATTGTAACACGATTTAATTCTTTTTTTGTAAATTTTGGTAAAGATAAACAAATATAATAGAGAAGTACACTAATTTCTTGTGGATTTATATATAAATCATCAATACTAGCTAAATAATTAATTAGTTAATCATCCAAAAAAGGATACTATATTCTTTTGAATTCATACAAAGAATTTATTGCTAAAGAAATCATTTCTTTACTTTATTCATTGTTTGCAAGTAAATGTTTAATTTATTTAGCACATTTTTATACAATAGAAATTTCAGTTGGCCACAATTATCTACTAACTACTATAATTTTCTTTAATGAATTTTCATCAGTTTCTGTTTATAATTTATTTAAAATCTTTTCTCTTAAATCAACTTTTTGAACTTCATTAAGTTTCTATACATCACCTAAAAGAATTTCAGTTAAGTAAGCATTTAAATTTTAATTATCAATTAATTCAATACTCTAAGTTTAATGCTCAAGATTCATATATAAATCATATTCTTTATCTCCTTACAATTATTTTTCTTTTAAACATATTTTACGAAGTTCCTTTAATTCTGCAATATCATATTTATTTGCTTTTAAAATATTAATTGTTCGAATTATTTCTAATAATGTTGATTCTCTTTTAGAAAGCATTCTAAATTCATCAATAACATGTTTAAGCAAATTCATAAGATCAAATTTAATATTAATTTTTTAATGTGCAAATTATTGAAGTAATTAACAAGTATACTATAGATTTGACTCATTAAGTTTATATTATAGTATACGATTGAAGACTAAACTCCAAGTTTCATTAGGTAATTTATTAGTTTAAGATCTTTTAGATCTTTGATATAAGACTAATTCATTTAAGAATTCTAGTTCATTAGATTTTTCAATATTATAATGAACTAAATTAAATGTGTGAATAGGAATGACTTATAAATTGAGTTTTTAACAGAGTATTAAATGTTTAAAAAGTTTACTTAATTAAATATCTCGATATACAGTAAGTGTAAGTTCATATTGTTCAATTATTTAAGCAATTCCATCACATTTTAATAAATTAATAGGAACATCATAAATATTGTGATGATTAATTAATAATTATGTTAATTTGTTATTATTAATTTTAAACAAGTCCTCAATACCATATAATTCTGAATATCTAATAATTATTTATTTCATAAGATCATTAGGTTCTGTTTCAATTCTGAAAAGATTTAAAATGAGCATTCTCCAATTACTAATTTATTTAAGATCACAAGTAAGTAATGTATTAAAATAATTTTACTTGTGTTATTGAAATTATTCAAAAAACATTTGATTACGTGTTGATTATTGATTGAGATAATAATATCTCTCAGTGTCTTAGATTAATTGCTTTGAAAGAGTTGAGAATTAAAAAATTTTTCTAAATTACATAATTAAATATTTTATTATATTTAAAAACATCATGTTTCTATTTTACTAGGAGGTCTAAAATTTCTTTTTTTTTTTGATCTTTCTAAATTCTCTAATTTAATTTGATAGCTTCTGCAATGAAACAAAATACAACCTATCAAAAAAAGAATAACAAATATCAAAATAACTGTCAGATATATAGTTATTTATTATTATTCTGGTGAAAGCAAAGGTTTTTTTATTTCAAAATTGTATATATGATTTGTAATACAATATTAAAGTGGATTAGATTTATTGGTCTTCTTATCACAATCAGTACTATTTATTTAAACCTTTAAAAATTGAATAAATTAAATTACATTTGCTTAATAAAGTCCTGATTCAACATCATTACTATTACAAATGATTACTGTAGGATATGCTCTATAAATAAATATGTAGAATCCATGAGGAGATATGGCAAAAAGAGTATCATTAGTATTACCAAATTTATTTACACCTAAAAGATTTCCACTAAAGAAATAATTGTCTCTAAAATATTAATAATTAAATTTACAATCGTTTTGCTTCTTAATCAAGATATTAATCAGGCATTTAAATAAGCATGATTTTATGATCATGTAAACCACGAACAATAGCAAAATCATCATCTAGAATATCGGCTCTTCTCAATTAACTTTTTGAATAAATCCTACGCATTTCTAAATATTCATCATCCTATATAAATAATTCAATAATTTCAGAATTTGATTAATAATTTTATATTAAAATAATTGTTTATCCTCTTACTGAAAATGATTTACAATCTGAATATTTAATCAATCCCAATTTTCCATTTTTAGTAAATGCTCCACTAGAATGGATTTAATATTATGTAATTCCATGATAATGATCTAAAATATACAATTTATCCTAAGAAACAGCTACATCTACAATTTTGAATTAGTCTTATTAAGTATCATACAAATCTTAAGCAGTAATAGATTTAATAAATTTAAAACCATGCTATTATATTTCATAAATGAATAGACCTTATGATTCTTAAGCAGAGTATAAAAATCCATTATTAGCTATAACTCTAAATTTATCATTTGGCTTTGTCCATCCTCCAACTGGTTTATGTTAGATTTCATTGTTAAGAAATTAATATTTGATAACTTAATTATTGTCATTTAAAAAAGCATAGAAATATCTTGATTTTTCATCAAACACTAATTGAGTAGTATATTAAAAATCATTGAATAATGGTAGTGTTTAATTGATAATAGATAAATTCTTTTAATTTGTGTCTATGAAATAAACTTTACCTTTTGAAGATAATATACTAATTCCTTCTGGACTCACAGCATAAGAAGAGAGCTTCTCATTATATCCTCTATATAAATCATCTTCACTCAATTCATCAATATCCTTCTTTGCTAATTCATGTATTAATGATATAAATCCAGATGGAGATTGATGAATAGTTACTCCTTAATAATATGTTGAACAAATTTAACTTGATTCATCTTGACTTTAAAATTTCACAGATCTATAAATTAATAAAACAAAATATTTACAAAATTTTTCCCAAATCATCTAATCTTTTGATAAATGATTATTAATCTACATTCATCATAACATTTGTCAGTTTTTATTCTGTATCATTTAGAAAACTAAAATTTAATCCCATACTCTAACAGATTAAAAGAAAATAAAGGAACATTTTTAATATATTAATAATTTATGGAAGTAAAATTATATTGTATTTGAAATAATAACAACAAATATATATATATATTCATTATAAGATTTTAAGCAAGGATATTGTATATATATCCAACATTATTTCAACAGGTAATAAAGTAATCAATAGTCTTAGATGAATTAATCTTAAATTGACTTTTATTATCATAATTCCTCCTGATATAATCAAAAAGACTATAATAAATATTCCTATCAAATATTAATACAAATCTTATATATTTTATTGATCTGTTATAAGATTTATTATAGACTCTTGAATTTTATTAAAAAACTCTTCAAAACCTAAGTATGTATCTAAATAATGTTGTACTATAATATTATTAAAATCCTAACTATTTAATTGATAATTCAATTTAACAAAATCATTATCCATTTTTCCTGTCTAGTACTCATACTCATAATATTACATTAAAAATACATCCATCTTACTTACAATTCCTACAATCCCAGATTTTAAATATTAAGAATTGTTATCCTTACTCTCATATGTACCATATTCTAATCTAAATTATTATGATGATAATTCCTTATTACAAAATGGAATCTAATTACCATCAAAAATTAAACAAAAATCATTGTTGTATAATTTTAGTATATATGTTTCATCTTCATCATTAATTATATTATAATCTATTATCTTTTAATAAATTGAACTTAAATCTGAATGATTAAAGCTATATGCATCTGATATAATAGCAGTAACATTATATTCCTCATTTAAACTATCAAGTATAAGTTTCTCATTTCGTATTACTTCATCCATAACACTATAAATTTATTATTGAGACTTTATCATAAGTGCAACAGAAATTGCATTCTCAAATCTTATTTAAAATGAAATATAATCCATAGCCAACTCATATGCAGGATTTAATTTTAATGATTAATCCTTATACAATAAATAATCTCCTAAGAAAAAAAAGCATACAAATGATATGTTAATTATTACATAAACTAATTTTAACATTATGTTAATTTAGACATTCGAGATCCTAGAATTTAAAGGAATAGTAGTAGAACCAGGTTTTTTTGTTAAGATTTCTTATTATTTAGACTTTTTTGACTTTATTAAAATTGATTATATCTTTGATCTATGTTACTTAAATCCTTTTTTACTTTATAACATATCTGTGTAGCATAATTTATAACAATTCTACTATTTAAATCCCAATTCTCCATAAGTTTATTTGATTATTTATCCCACTAATCTAAATTTAACTATTTAATTTTCTGCTCCATTTTCTGTCAATCTATTAGATAATAATAATATTTTTTAACAATATTGTTCAATCCTTCTCCAAAAGTACAATTAACTTAATATAAGTAATCCAATTATAATTACTTCTACTAGAATCTAATTAAATAATAATAATATCTTGCCATCCTATTAATCAGTATAATATGATCCTAATGATTGAATTATTTAAAAATTATTTTAGATTATATTAGCAAAATTTAGTCTATATTTTAAAAGATTTGATAAATAAATTGAGTTTGATTCAAAATGTAATAGTCTATATCCTATATTTTAAAGATAATAGATATAATCAGTAAAATCTACTTTTTCAACATAAATTGTATTATCTAAATGAGTAATATTCAAATCATCTAAATATCCATTATTTTCTAATGAAATAAAATTAGAATACATTTTTGTTAAATTGATAAAGGTTGTTTCCATATTTTAACTTTAGATATACATTTAATTATTAATAAATTGACTTGTATTTAAAATGTTATTAATCACTAAAGAAGTGATCCATGAATAAGTGAACAAATTTAAAAAGTATTTGTTTAAATTTATAGGTAAGTTAATATCTGTTATAAATTTAGTTACTGATTAATTAAAGATGTTTATTTATGATAAGTTAATAGTCATAAAAATGATAAATAAAATAAGAATGACAAATTTTATTAATGAAATAATTGCAAGACTTGATATTAAGGAAGTTTTAGTCTTAAATTTATTTACTATTTCTATTGCAGTTAATCCTGAATTACCAGATTTAGTTGTTGATTAAGATTTTAGTATTCCTACTCCATGATTTGATTTGTATTCATTTTAATGCTATAATACTTATTGTATTTCATTGCTAAATAATTCTTCACTAAAACTTTAAGAATCAGCTTATCCTAATGAACCCATCAAATTTAATCTTCTTTCACTTACATAATGTAAAATCTAATTATTCACTGGAGATTTATCAAGAAAACTTTTCTTTTGTATTACTGAACCAATAGGGCTCATTAATGATGAATCCATATGATAATCAGGACTCTTAGGAATAGTTTAAAATTATTAAACAAAACTTTGCTTATGACTTGAATGTCTTTAAACTGTCCTACGAATAGGTAAATTTTATCTTCTAATTTATTTCTTTTCTTCATCTTATTAATTTGATTTATCAACAAATTCAGATAATTCCAAAATAAAATAATGTTATTTATTTTCTTTCTAACCTAAACTAGTTAATTAAATTTTTGCTGTACAAAAATATATTGTTTTTTGTAATACCTATTAAAATTAATTTATAATTACTTCAATTGCATTTAAGAAATCTATTATTTCATTTTCTTTTATTGAATTAGCATTTGCATTTTATAAAGTATTTTACTTTTATTATTAACCAATTTTAAAGAAATCTAAACTACTTTATTCAAGATTTTTCACATCTTCCATTTGATGAGATGGTTTAGTATCTGAAATGAGTCTCTTCAAATTACCATTTCGAGGACTAGTAATTAATGAATTCATTTATTCAAATTATGAAAATGCCCTTGTCTATTCTACATACTTTTAAGATGGCTATTAATATGAATTAAATATAGTTTAATGCATCTTTTATAGATCAACAAAATCTTAAAATACATACATTAATACAGATTTTTATTGAATTGCACCATCATTATTAGTAGAATTATTCAAAATATCATTCATGTATATATGGATATGAGGTAAAAACATATAAACATAAAATGAATCAATATTTGCTAGAAAATATTCAATATTATCTTATGGTACTAATAATTTACTTAATTATTATGTGATTCCTATACACTTACCATATTCATCAAAAATTAAATAATTATGACTTTCTTTTTCTTTTGTAAGACTACCTATTAAAGTAAAATCATCATTGATATCAAAATTATTATAAACGTTTAAATATTATGGTATTAGGAATCCATTTTTACCTTAAGCAAATGTTAAAGTCTCTTTAAATGCTAAATCTGTTCTAGCTTCTTTTATATAGTTTAATAGAAATTAATCATGTTAATTTCCAAAATATGATGGCATTAATTCTTTAATATTTGCAATTTATTGAAATTCTGAATTTTAATATCCAAAATAATTAGCAATTTAACTTTTATTCGAATTTAAAATTTAACCTAATTATTTTACTATACTTATAATCATTAATATTGTTTCATCTTTTAGAATATTTGTACGTGTTATTACATTTAATTCCTAAGTTGTTTCTATTTTCATTATGTCTTGTATTTTCTATTCACATAAATATGCACTATAATAATCATTCAATACAAAACTGTGAAACATTGAACATATTTTTAATTTTAAAATATTATCACAATTTTTTATATATTCTTCTTATATTACATTAATTGTTTAACTTCTAAGAAAAAAAATACATTCTATTATTTATTTACTTAAATTAACTGCATTATCTTCGAATTCATAAATAGATTTGCAACCAGATATTTAATTTTCCCAAATTGATATTTTAAGTTAAATTAAATTAGAAACTTTTGCTTAAAATTTCTCCTCTATTTGAGAATATTCATACAATTCTGCAGGACTTACACTTTTTTATAAATTTACATTCTTTAAATATGATTATTCTTTTTCATATATTTATTATATTGCTGTTATTTTCTTTTATAAATGTTAATCTATTCTACTTTTCATTAATTAAAAATAGTATGATTTCTTTATATTTATATTTGATTCAAATTTCTTAAATTCCACATAACCTATTAATGGTTTATTTCTAATCAAAGCTAAATAAGAAACAAATAACAATTAAAGCTCTTCAAGTTCACTTTTCTATTGTTCTTTTAAATGAATAAAAATCTCAGTTATTATATACAATCCTAATTTATAATAATCTTGCATTTTTGTACTCTTCTAATTTAATATTACTTTCTATTAAAATTATGTAAAATCTTTATCATTTATTAACTAATAAATAATGAGATTATAAGTTGTTATTGAATTTGAAGTTATGTTACCAATATATGAATACAACTTATAAATCTAATAGAGTTATCTAGTCTTTGGATCAAGATTCAATTAAAGTAAGAAAGTAAATAACAAATTTCCTAAAATCATGCCTAAACTAAAAATAAACATTATATAAATTCCAATCTATTGTTCAGGGAATATTTAATTTTCTGAGAAAACATTGACTGTTATTAATATAGCTATTGATTCTAATGTAAAAGATGCTTCAAAATGAATCATATTTTTATTGGGAGCTTCAGGTTTATAATATAAATGATTAAGCATTTTTAAAACAAAAATCGAATGTAACATTAGTAGGCCAATCAAATTGTATAATCTAGACTCTTATTCCAATGTTAAAACTATTGCTATCAAATTTAGAAGAATCTGAGAAACTCTTAATCGTGTAAACTTTTATTGCATAGGATGATAAGGTGCAAATGAATATTATCTCAAAAAGTATTCACTCATAAAAATATACATGCAGTACAATATAATCGAAATTATGTTTATAATTAATTAGTTCTAAAGGTTTTTTTACTATGCCTCTATAATTTATTAAATATAGAACTTATAGCATGGGATTTAAAGAGTTTGGATTGTGAATAGAATGACTGTGCATAAAGTACTTGTTCTACCTTCCTAATATTTGACTTTCTTGTTTTCAGATTGCATTTCTAAAGTAAAAATACTCAAATATAAAATGAGTCCTACCATTATTATTAAACTAAAAATTGTAAATGGATAATATATGAAGTTGTTTTGAAATTCAAAAAAAGGAGTTATGGTAAAATAAGAGCATGCCTTTTAAATGAATGATAAATAGCCATCACTATAATTCCAATAAGACCATCCATGAGATGGCAGCAGAAGAGACAAATATTATATATATGGGATTATGAGAATAACACTTACCATTGTATTTCCAGCTTAATTCTAATGTTGGGAATGAGCAATAATTGTTAAATTGTCTATTAAAGTTATTCTCATTAAATTATTTTATGTATTATGTATTATTTATCATTCTTATTAATCAAAAATAATTAAGAATAAATAGATTATTATCAAACAAAGTCTGATTTCAAGAACTCAATTTAAATTCAGGCTTGACTAGTTTAAAAGATATTTTTTATTAATAACATATAATAAATTAACTGAATTTAATAAAAAAATGGTTAATCTGATTTCTTATTTTTAAATCATAAAATATACCTATTTATCATCTTTTCATAATTCCAATTTAAAAATAATCCTTATAAGTTTTAGTTGTTAATAAATAATCATTTTATGATTATAAAATTTAAATTTTTATACAAAAAATAAAATGAATAGCATAATTAAATTGAAAATCAATCTAGATTAAAATGATTAAAAGTAAAATATACTAGAGATTTTGGAAAAACTACAAGGAGAAATCTTCTTGGAATATGATGGCCAAAAATAAAATGCTTTGATTCAAAATTAAAATTTTATTATTGATCAAAATGACATATTTAACTTGGATGATCAAAATTAACTTTAGTAAGATCCTTAATGGCATAAATAACATTTTAATGAAGCAATAGGAATATCTAAAAAAATTAAATTTATTGCTATTCATAATCTTATGAAAAATCACTTCTATTAATAAACATAATTGTCTTAGATTAAAATATATCCAGATTTTAATTTAAGTGAATATAGAACAAATCAACAACTTAAGGGAAATTAATAAAACCTTTTAAATCAAATAAATTAACAAATACAAAGTTCTATTGTATATTCTGTATATTGTAAATATGAAATAGAAAAGAGTTCTAAAATTGGATTTCTATGGAAATCTCTTGATAAATTGGCAAAAATTTTAGAAACAAATCAAGAATATTTACTTATTGGAGAAATTAAAGAACCCCACAAGGAGGTATAATGTTTAAAAAAATTGATATTCATTTTAAATTTCAATCAAAATATGTAGTAATAATATTTGGATCCTCTGATTTTATAGAAATAAGTATTATTAAATAGTTTCATAAATGATAATTTCAATATTCACACACTTGTAATTTCTATAAAGAAACCAAAATGTACTAGAATAGAATTAAAGGAAATTGCTAAAGAATTTGTAAAATAAAATTAAAATATTAATATTAAGGTTGGTTATAATAGATTTGATATTTCTAGTTTTTTAAAATTAATATATTTAGAAATTGAATAGTATGATGATTACCTTAATGTAGATTAATAATTTTAATAAGAAATACAGGATAGAGCATCTAAAATATTAAGATTAAATATATAGGATAAATTAAATTTTGAAAATTATGTTTGTAAATTACCTTTAATAACAAATTCAAATATTAAATTTAAACATTGTAAATAGGGAATAAAATTAAATAATTCTATTTAACAAATAAAATAATTTAGAGCTTAAGTTAATATAAATTTAAAATAATTAAAAACATCATCATTGTATCTTAAAATAGATTAAAAAATAAGTTTTTATTTGGAATAATTAGGAATAAAATAAAAAAAGTAAATATTAACAAAATTATTTATGGATTTTACTTAATAACAATATATTTTATCTATAAATGATATTAAAATATAACATATAGAAGTATTGGTTTATTTTAATCGAGTATTAAATAATGATATAATAGCTTTGGAAACAATACTAAATGAAACATTATCATAACTTTAAATTATAAATTTATAGATGAATGAACTTAATTAATTAGAATTGACAATTGATTAATTTTAACAGAAATATTGTGCTTTAGTGCATGTTGAAAATAATAAGTTAACTTGTATTTTACATACAAAACAATTAAATTAAATGTTAAGTTTGTTAGATAGTAAAAAATAATAATCACTTTTATCATATAAACCAAAATCTAAATTATATGCTTAATAAATATATTAGGATTATAAAAATAAAATTATAGAATAATCATTAGAGATATACTCAATTAAATTATCATCAAATAATGAAATTATTTATTTAGAATGTCCAACAAAAAATATGGCAGTATTAGAGATTTTTGCAAAATATGAAAAAGTCTTAGATAAATTATTATTAGAAATACCAATAGGAATTAGTAAGATGGAATCAAAATATTTATATAGTAATTGTTAAAAAGAAATTCAAAAAGCAAGTGAGGAATAGATATTTGAGTTACTTTTTAATTTTAATGAATATTAAACTCCTACAGATTCAGGAGAAATCAAATAATATTAAAAAAAACAATAAACTACTGAAAATTAATTTATTAAATTTTTAACAAAAGAAGTTAATTTTGATACTAATTTTATATGTGAAATTTTCATGAAATGCAATAATAAACATAATTTAGATTAGAAAGTTATTTATTAAAAAGAAGATATAGTTCATCCAAATATAATAGCTCTTAAAGATTATTTTTTATATTATCAAAAATAAAAAGTTCCATTCAAATAAATTGGAGTAATGTATGAAGATATAAAGGATGTATTCCCAAAATTATTATAATTGTTCATGTCTAAAGATTAAACCAAATTCTAATAACTTACAATTTTTATTGATAACAAAAAACTTAAACCTCTTTATGAATAAGAATTAATAAATACTTTAATGACATCAATGAGAGAAACTTATTAAGATTTTTAATGGTAATGGTCAGATGGAAGATAATTTAATGATTATGATGATGCTATGATTAATGAATAAATTGAAATTGCATATTAAGCTTATAAATTAGACAATAAAAATAATGAATTGATATTAAAATTTCCTTACTCTTAGTAACCTGGAACTCATACTATTGATATAAATAAAGGAACATTATTAGATCATGCAAATGGTTTAGTTAAAATGATAAAATAAAAGGATGGGTTATATTATATTGGCAATGAATAAGCAGATGATATTTTGAATTAATATATCAATGAAAGAATTTAAATGAAAAAATATTAATTCACAGTATTTTTTAAAAAATATTTGATATTTTTTAAAACTAAAGATGAAATTTATTAAATTAATTTAGATACAAAATACAAAAGAAAATTAAGAAGAGAAATTAGAACTGATAAATATTTTTAATTTATACATGATTTCTTAAAATAAAAATAAAATGTAGAAACATCTCAAGATACTCCCAATGGTGATAATCAAATTTATTGTCGTGCAAGAGTATTTATTAATTAGGTCTAAGATATTGAATAATCTAAGTAAAATTAAATTGAGAAGATAAAGAATACCATTTAAAAAATTTTAGAAAAACATATAACTATTTTTGATATTATATTACCTGCTACTAATGATTAGATCTATTTTAGTTTTTTGAATTACCTTAATAATAATACTCTATAAATAGAAGGAGAATTTAATTAAAATTAATCAATTTAAATTAAGTCTTTTGAAAAGTATCAATAATTAATTCTAGAGGTTTTAGAATTTCTATAATAAATTCCATAAAATTGGAATCCTTCTAGCTATTAAAGTATATATTATTTTGATGTTATACAACCAGATTTAGAAGAAATTAAATAAGCTTTTCCATTTTTAGATATAAAAAATATATAATTAGCTTAAAATTATGATTTATGGGCTAAATATTAATCAACAAAAAGTAAATTGACTAATTAGAATGAAGTATTGCTGTTATTTGGAAATAAAAATGATTGTGCTTAAGAAGAAATTGGAAGAGTTAGTTTATCATTATCATTTGATCATGTAAATTATATTATATATATATTTATATAGCATACAGGACCTTATATTAAATGTGGTACAACAGTTGCTTATGTTAAAGATAATTATTGTGAATCTTAGAAAGGAGAAAAATAATTAATTGTAGTATAAGTTTTATTAGGATAAGTGTAAGATTTGAAATAATAATTTTTAATAAGTGATTATTCTGAAAATAATTACAAAGAAGGTGATTATTATTATATTAAGAGAAATAGGATTTATCCAAAGTTTATAATAACTTTAAATGAACAATGATATTATTTATATAATATTAATGAGAAAATATTATAATATTATCCTATTTTTTATTTATTAAACAACCTATGCTCAAATTAAACTCTAGATCTTTATCTCTATAGTCTGAATGGAATGAAAGATAGCATTAATCATGTTTTAAATCTCATAGATATCTACAATAATTGAAGTATAAATGCGACTCTTCCTTTCATGTCTCCAGATTTAGATAAAAGTCTGCTAGGGCCTCTATATTTGGAGATGAAAACTATTCCAAAAAATGGATGTAATAAATCAAAATAGATATTCCTATGCATAGAAATTAGAAATTAGGAAAGCTAGTTTTTGATAAATTAAAAAGATTAATACCCACTGTAAAATATAATTCAGCATTAAAAAGTATTTATGCCTCATTCTAAAGCAGGCTTAAAGGATCATACAAAAGTTCTAAAGATATTGATAGGCATTAGACCAAGATAAGATACTATTAAAATATCTGATAATAACAAAAGAGGTTCTCTAAAGAAAATTCCAAACTTTATTATTTAAAAATGTAAATAACCATAGAAACCCCTCTTAAAATTATTTTCTTTTAATAAATCACTAATTATTTCTCAACCTCTCTTTAATAGAGTACATAGAAATTTCAGCCAAGAACATATATCATGTACTAAATTATCCTAAAATGATTCTCCAGAGAAATCTATGCCTTAAACTTAACAAAAGAGATTAAGTATCTAAATTAGAAACATTTATGGAGTAAAACCATTTTCAAATATTTGAATGGAATAGAACTGCTGACTCTATTTATATAAATATTTTTTCCAAATAATAATATATTAATAACACTAAGAAGTAATTTTAATGATGATACTAATTTGATTTCAGATAAATAAGTTTACTCTCTCCTTTTCTAAATTTTATTTAAAAAGAAACGGTCAATTATAATATAATTAAATTATCTATAATAATAGTATTACATATCTATTTTTATATTCTTTAATTATATCTATGTATTTCTAATTAAGTTATATACTCATAATTTTTATTTATCTTATAATTTAATGTATTATTATATCATTTTATATTTGTCTTAATAAATAACATTTATAGATAGTTTGAATAATACTAAAAATTTATCATGGTAATATTATTTATAAGGAATGCAGAAACTTATTTTTGTCCTCATATACTAATTTCTTAAAAGTAACTTACTTTAAATAGAAATGTTGATATATTTATTATTCTAAAATAATTTAAGATTATACTTCTTTTTTAATTTTAAGATAATAAGATTTATTAAATCAAGTATGATCTTAGATGAATTAGATTATTATTGATTATAAATTTCATATTATATAAAATATTTATTTAACAGAATTATTTTTCAAATTTATGGGTAATAATGAATTAAAACCTTAAATTATTCATTCAAATCAATGGGTAATGGTTAAACAACTCAATCATCCTTTATATGGACCTATAAAAGTATTTAAGAATTGTTAAGAGAAATATTAATGTTTAAGGACATTCACTGTATAGGAAGATGAAGCAAATAAAATATATGAGGAATTTTAAAAGTTGAACCAAGAATAAGTATTATATATTCTAATTATAATAGTATAATTTAGTGAGAATAAATAAAATTGAACATGAAATTGAATCATAATTATGTTCAACATTTCACAAAATTCATTTAACATTAGATTATACAGAAAAACACTTAAAAAATATATATCAAATTAATGTGCAAAAATTTAGTATTGATATCCTAAAAACATTAAGCTTTTTAAATTCACGTAAAATAGACACATGCTAATTTTGTCTATCTAAATTATTAATTTTTGGAGATTAAGTGAAAATTGTATATTAATAATTACTTTCATAATAAAGTGATTATTAGTGTATATTATCTGGAGATTTAAAATGTGAAGATTGGTATTTTGCACCAGAAGTCATGAAATGTTTAAGAATGAATGATTCAAGAACATTTAATAATGAAAAAGCTACAATATTTAATTTTGGATTGATTATGATTGCAATATATACTGAAACTACTCCATATGAAGCACAAATTTATAATTATGAGAAATGTTGTTTGACTGAAAAATTCGATAAATATATTAATTTATTTACATAATTTCATTTAAATAGTAAAAATTACATATAATAATTAAATAGAAAAATTAGAAAAATTAATATTAGCTTGTGTTAGTTTTATTCCTGATAAAAGACCAACCTATTAATAATTATTAGATGAATTTAATAATCCATCAATATTTGAATAATAAGTTGAAGATTAATCACCATCTCCATAAAAAACTGATTCTACTTATTTAATCCCCACAAATCAATTAGTTTCTTTCAATCCAACAGTCATGGATGAAAGAGTTCTATCTGATACAACAAATTAAAAATTAAATGATAATCAAAATAGAATATTAATGAAGAAGATTGATCAAGAAAAGCATTAGAACACACCTATTTGTTAATCACCTAAATTTAGATAAGAAACGATGTAGACATAAACAACTATTGGTAATTTAAAATCTACAAAATTATATGATTTGGATAAATTATAAAAGTAATCCAGGAATAAATAAAATTAAAGCAAATCTTAATAAAAAAGCAATTATACTAAGAAATTTTGATTATATAAATATGAGGTATTAATTTACTACATTTGAGTATTTAATAATCGTATTAATGAAAGGATTTGTCTTCTGTTATCTTATTTCTGTAGTCTATTGTTGGTGGGAAGTTGGTCATATGATGACAGCCCAAATCGCAAAGAATTTTCTCAAGGATAATAGACCAGATGTCTTGGCTTGGGCAGATTCGCTAGTTTAAGACTTCAATTCCCTTACAGATGGTAGATCTAACACATTTGCTGAAGCAGCAGTTTGGTTAGATGATATAAAAGAAACAGGAACCGGATTTCTTAATGATTGGCATTACACTGATAGACCAATCAATCCAGATGGGTAAAATTATAGACTATTTCTTAGATTATTGATAAAGATTGATGATTAAGGTAGAAATATAAACTCAATCTATGCTATTAATCAGGCAGTGTCAGTTTTAACTAATCCCAAGACTTCAAAAAATCGTCATACAGTTTTTAAAGCATAGATGATGAGAGTTTTATTACATGTGATTGGTGATATACATCAACCTTTACATGATACTACTTTTTGGAATAGTAGCTACCCTAATGGAGATGCAGGTGGAAACTTTATGAAGATCTAAGTATTTAAATTATATATATTAAGTTATCAAATGGAACACTCATGAACTTTCATTCTTTTTGGGATTCTGGAGCTGTCTCCTTTGCCCCTAATAATAGTTTCATGGCTAGACCACTAAGTTAAACTGATAGTGAGTATTTAGACAAATGGTCTAAAGAATTAATGACTAAATTCCCAAAATCAAAATACAGCAATTATGACATGACGTATTAAGAAATTTGTTATCTAGTAATCCTTCTGTTTGGACTTACCTTGGTTTTAGATAAGCATAATAATTTGTTTATCCCATGGTAGCGACATCAAATTCCTACAATAAGGATTATGAAAAATAAGCCATTGAATTTTGTGAAGAAAACTTATCTATTGGAGGGTATCGATTAGGAGCAAAATTGATAGAAATCTATGATTAAATTATACAAAATGAGGCTAAACTATCAATAAGTGAATGAATATGAATAGTTATTTATTTATAGAATCCTACCAATACTTTTTTATATATATTTTATAAAGATAATAAATTATTAATTGAAACCTAATTAAATAAAAAATAATTTTTCTAATTATAAATTATTAAATATAATACTTATCTGAAGTACAAGTCTTGGGATTAATATTGAATTATTTGTTAATTTTTCCATTTAGTAATAGATGTTATGGAAAACAAAATCAAATAAATCCAGAAATTAATTTTAATTATAAATAAAGTTCAAAACCTAATATATTTTTAGTTAAGGGTATTATTAAGAGGATCATAATGAAAATTGAATAAATTATCTATAAATCAAACTAAAATAACGAAATTTTTATATTTAATATATATAAAATTTATAATTCACTTATTTAATGTTAGATCAATCATATTACTTAAAGCTGTAGCACAATTTTGTAAGTATTTTGATTTAAGAGCTGAAAATGAATTGCACTTAAATATTTTACTTTATTTAATTAAGTAACAGTCACCATTCCCTACTTATGCCACATATTCTTTTTAATCATTTAGTGGCTCAATTTTTACTTCTTTATCTTTTATTAAATCACTCATTAAGAGGATGAAATATTCCTTTACTTTTGAAGGGTCATCCTCAACTCGTAAATTTTCATACAACTAATCCTAAATAAAATATTCAAATTTCTCGTCTACGAACTAAATTTCCATTATTTTAATTAATAACTAAATCAATAATTATTACTATATTATTATAGAGGAATGAAACACAAAGAATAAAAATAATGAAAACACTTAAATAACTGTTAATTAAAATATTCAAATACCTAAACCTGGTACATTTTAAACAAAATATTTATTATAAGAAAGATCTTTTTATTTTATAGCTATTAAATTGAATCACTTATATGAAATAACTCTAATAATTAATAGAAATATTCTTAATTGTATACAAGAGATAAATAATCAAAATATTAAATTAGTAAATAATGATAATTATATCAATTATTAAAGTACATATTAACATTAATAATTAATGCATAATAAATGAATATAATATCACTATTAATTATTTTATTATCGATTATATGAATATATTGTTTTATTTGATTAATACTTTATGAATAATATACTTTTAGATTATTGTCCTGATTGTATTTCAATTATTGATGAAAATCATATAGTAGTTTCGACTTATGATTTTATTAATGATGATACTAAAACTGGAGTATTGTTATTGTTAAACAAAAACTTAAACATTATTGATAAATTGGATTGTGATGGAATACTGCATTTTAAAATAATTAATGATTAAATTACAATTTGTACATGGAAAGGAGATGTTTGGACTGTTAATATATAGGATAATAAATTTAGTTTAAAAAACAAGCAATCCTTTGTAGAATGCTTTTAAAACATTAAATTATTATATTTAGATTGTAATATTCAATAAAGTTTATTATTGGGAGGAGATAATGGTGAAGTGATTTTACAAAAAGAAGGATAGATTATATATTAATAAAAATCTCATGAATATTCAGTATGGTGCACACTTTTAGATAATACAAATGAAGATTTATTTTATAGTGGAAGTGATGATGCTTGTCTTAATTATTACGATGCAAGAATTGGATTATTAAAAAAAGACAAAAAGTATATATGTTTTATAATACATATAGATCACATTCTTAAGGAATCACCTACTTATTAAATGATGGAGAACATAACTTAATTACAGGATCATTTGATGGTTATATTAGAATATTTGATAAAAGACAACCAAATTTTCCGATAGAAGAATACAAAAGAGAAGGGGGAATATGGAGAATTATAAAGAAAGGGAATTAATATTTGAATGGACTATTTTAAGAGCATAAATATGAGTTGATTGAAATTAATAATAAATAAGGTACTATGTTATATATTATCTTAGTTTAATTAATATAGGAATTTAAAGATCATTCTTCTCTTGCTTATGCTATGGATTGGTATAATAATCTAATAGTGACATCTTCATTCTATGATAAGCAATTAAGATCATATATTATATGACTTAATAATTATATTGGTGTTATTTTTAGATATAAAATTATTTATTTATTTTCTTAATTAACCTATAGGCTATCCTTTAAATGTATATCATTCTTATTATTAAAATAAGTACACAGAATCAAATTAAATGTTATATATGAAGAAAATCTAATTTATTTTTATAGCATATAATATCATTGATTTATATATAATAATGATAGTTTATTATAAGTAATGATCAATTTAAAAATATAAAAAGAGTCTTAAAAAATCAAGGACTAAGGATTTTATAAAAACTTTCATGACTATGGGCCTCTGAGAGGAGACGACTATAAGATTGATACTTAGCTTTTCCTTTCTCGAATGCTATCTCGGGCTATGGTTGAGAATGTTATTGTTTAAACTTTAAGCGCGATTTCCTAACTATTTTATCGACGTTTGAGACGAGTTCTGTTCTGACTGTTTCTGGTCTCTCTGGCAATTTGAGAATTTCGGAGTGGGGTTTCTATTTGTCTCTTAATTATCTTCGGCTAGAAATTAGGCGTTTTGACTTGAAAGGATAAGATATTCTTTCACTTTAAACATTCACCTCATAATTTGGTTGGGATTCGAATGATCCACCCATAAATTTACGCTGGCTTTGAACTCCAAATTTTCCTTCTTTGTTACTAACTCCAAAACATTTTACTGAATAAGATAACTTTTTCATATCTTCATTCTCTATTTTCAATCCTTCCAATAATTCCTTCTATTAATCTTAATACTCCTTTTTCTTTTATAAATAATGGTAATATTCAAAAGTATTTTGAACCTTTACTATTTTTGTGCTGTTATAGAGACTTACTTGTACTTTTCAAATCCATTGTATAAAACTCTTGGTTGTACTCTTGTTTTTATATATGGAGTTCTTGGAAGGTTATAAAACATTAAATAATAAAAATGCTATAATTTATATCTAAAAGACCTTTTTGTGTTCAATTAAAAGACATAAATACATTGCTTAGTAGATTATCTACAAGTATCAAAGAGTTGAATTATGTCAATCGTAATATAGATAAGGCAATCAAATCTAGAGATTATTAAGAAATACTAGATAGACTTCCTAATTCTAATTCTTAATTGGATAATTATGGTTAATTGTTTAATAATTAATTTTAGGACTCTAATGTGGTTTAGATTCATTTTCTCATATATTTGATCATTTGGGTTATGATAGAAAATTAGAACCTGTTAGATAATTTTTGGCGAAAAAAGCAGATAATTTATTGCAATATCCAATAAATGTCTTATGTGATACATATTACAATTTAACTCTATTAAGAAGTGATACAAATAAATTTCAAGATCAAATTTTAACACATATTAAAATCAACTAAAGTATTCCTGGAGAATAATATGTAAGATTACTTAGAGCTTTGACTAGAAAGTTTAATTTAACAGAAGATGATCATTAATTGATTAAAGTCCTAAATTAATTAAATATAAAGTAATCTTAAGTCTAAATTTTACTTAAATGCTTTAGGTTAATTGTAGAACAAAATTTAATTTAGATATTTTGCTGAGCTTCATACCCTGCATTAAAAACCATTGTATGCATTTCCTGATCTTTTTGAATATATTGCAACATAAATAAAGAAATTTCCAACTCATAGTTATGGTGATATCTTTTGTGCATATCACCATTTAGGTACCACCTTTGATTAATCTTTTTTACATAATACAGTAAAATAATTTGAATAATCAATTCAAACCTATAAAAATGGTATGACACAATTAGCAAGTAATATATATAATTAATAATAATAAGTGTAATAATATATTACAATACTGAGAATTGCAAATAAATTAGATAAAAGTGATATAATCAAATTTAATTGGGATTTACATTTCAATGTCTTAAAAGAATTAATATAATAACGTGATTTTTAATAAAAAAATACGATTACTTCATTTTGTTCACTATTTATTGATAAAATTTCTCATTTAAATCAAAATGAAAAAGATAAATTATTTGAAATGATTATATCATTTAATTATTAAACACCTGGAATTTGGGATTTTATGTACTAAAATAGAGAGTATTTAACCTAGTAATAAAATCAATAGATTCTTGATGAAGTAACAGAATTTCATATTTTCAGTTTATTAAGTATGGATAAGAGTAGCAATAAGTAAGTGATTAAAAGTATCCTCAAAATTATGTCTTTTACAACAAATATGCTAGACTTTATAATCTTCCAGAGAGAAAAGAACAGCAATTCTTATTAGGTGGTTTAGTTTTATCACAATATGAATAAACTACAGATGAAGTTTAAATTATTAAATTTCTTTAAAATCTTACAATTAAAAATTAATTTTGGAGTTCATAATTCAAAATATTATTAACTAGTATCAATGGAATTCAAACTTTAAATTTTTGGAAATAATAAACAATCAAAAATACTGGAAGAGTTAAAGATGAATATTAAATAGAAATATAAAGACATTTAAATGGCGACTATTATTTGTTTCCAAAGGTCTTTAATTAATTTCAGTGTTAATTTTTAATTTGGTCTTTCTAACACTTTCAAATAGTTCCTGTACTTGTAGCACCAATATTTTATAGATCACTAGGAACTAATTAAAAGTATATATTTTTTTAAGTTTAGTCTAATAGATGAATTGGTGGATTTATTTAAACTTCATAAATGTAATTTTAATGAAGTTGGATACATTTGGGAATAAATGAATTATCCTAATAATATAAAGATACTTTCTTTTCTCAAAACAGCTATGTCGGAGGACTCATCTTAAAGAATTATTAATAAATTAAAAGAATTTTGAATATTAAAACAATATCATATTATGTGAATTTAAATAATAATTATGATAACTTAAATTTAAGAAATTCTTAGATAAGTGGATATTTTTGGTCAATCCATAAGCTTGAGTTTTCGATAAAGGGAAAAGTATTAAACAAGTTTTGGAGGATTTTTATCTATGTGTATGATTGCTACTATCATCAGTTTCTTTTACTCAAATATCTTAAGTTTTTTAAATATGACATCTGTGACTTCAAATGAATAATTAGTTTTTGAAGATAGTCCAGAATTATTAATATTAGATCCATCTTCTTTTATGTTTGCAATTTAGATTGAACAATAAGATTTCATAAATAACCCTTTTTTCAATGTAACTATAGAACAACGGCATTACCGTAGGTATGATAATGGAACTTAATACAAATTTCCTTCCTAATATATAGATTTAGTCTAATGCACATATAATCATTTCTAAATCATATTTGAAAAATACAATATTAAATTTGAAGAACAATATAATAAATTAAATATATCTAATTTTTTATGTCCTAATTTAAATAATGAGAATTCATTGAATCTAACAGTTGGTGGTACATGGGCAAGTAAGATACTAAATATTATTAATATAGGTACTGATTACTACTTTTTAAAATTTTCAGTAAAGAATTGCGTAAATGATTCTGAAAGTACATTCTCATGGAAACCAACTTGTAAATCTCCTGAATAAATTAAAGAGGCAACTTAGAATTGGGGAAGTTTTAGATTCTAACTTTATTAAATAAATTATGTAATCAATATTATTAATAATTAGCTTGTCAATGCATAAAAACCAAAAGATTATATATAACCTTTACTGTCGACAGATACATTTTATTCGTTCGTTCCAAATACAATGTTCATTTAATCTGATATATTCTTTCGATATAAAGAAGTTAATTCAGATAGAGGCATATTGATGTATCCAGATATAGAAAAAGAAATCTATCCTTATAGGGAACATGGAGATTAAAGAGATTAGATTTCTATTAATTATTTAACTCAAAATAATTATGGAGCTTTTTATTTTAGTAGAAGTCCTTATAAATATATTATATAAAGAGATTTTATGAGATTAGATGAATTACTAAGTTATTTAGGAGGATTCACTTAATTTATGATTGTGATTGTGGGAATTTTTGTTTCTATTTACAATAGAGAACATTTAAAAATTTCAATGGCAAATGATTTATATGAATTTGATATGAGTTTGAAAAAATAAAATACCAAATAAAGCCATCTCTCTAATATAATAACTAAAGCAAAATAAAAATTAATATTCTAAAAAAGATAATCCAAAAAATAAATAGATTCAATAGGCTAATCTCCAAATTTGTGTTTAAATATAAATTAATAAAATGTAATTAGTACTTTTAATTAATAGGAAGGGATTGAAAATGATTAAAATGAAAATTAGAATTATTAAAAAAAGATTCTTAATACTAATTAGACTGTACCTGATAAACCTATGATAACTTAAATGAAAAATTAAGTATCTAAATACTTTGATTAATTTTGTCATTATATGAAAAAGAAATATAAAGTAAAGATTGGGTTAAGGATGATTATTTCATCTTTTTTACCATTTGATTGTTTAAAAAATGATGATGGAATTGTTGTAGAGAAAGCTATGTAATTATTAGATTTCTATTTTAGTAATTAAGTAAACAAAGAGTTAGATATAGAATATATACTTAAATAATTGCATGAAATATAAAAATTCAAGAAAATACTATTAGATAGTAATCAAATTGGTATTTTTAATTTCAGTCAAAAACCGATAATCGCTTTGTACTAAGATTCATAAATGAGAAGACGAACAAAGTAATTTTAATTATAAATTTAGAATAATTGTTGCAGATATTGATACAAAATCATAAGAATTTGCTTTATTTAAGCAATTTAATGATCTAGTTAATGCTTATCATTAAATTTAGAAACAAGAAATGAAAGGGGAATATCAATTAATTAACTTCAATTAAAGATTACTAGAGTTACTTGGTTCAAGTTTGTCCTAAATTTTAGAAAAAGAAATAGCTTTAAAAGAAGAAATGATTTTTTGCGAAGAAGATAAAATAGATCAATTTCCATCTAATTAGGGATGAAAATATATGATAAAAATTAAAGTATATAGATACTATCTTAGATTCTCAAAAAAAGACTTTCAAGACATTAAAATTTAGTATAATTTAATATTAATAAAGTTCATGCAACTAATTTATTATTTTTAAATAGGGCTTATAGTTTATCTCCATTTTCTTTCATCAAAACTCCTTATCCATTCATTATATCATCTACCCAGAAACCATTAACAAATTATTTCTCTGACCAATAAAGAATTCCATGACCAGATCTTTTTCCACCTAAAAAATTACCCTAAATTTATTAATTTAAATAAATACTTCAAATCTATCTCCATTTGAATAATAGTAGATTCCCTTTCCTTCTTTAAGTGAATTTGACCATTCTCCTTCATATATATCTCCATTCTTCATTCTTAACACTCCTGTCCCTTCTCTCATATCATTTTTAAATTCACCCTCATATTAATCACCATTTTAATGTAAATATATTCCTTTTCCATGTTTTAGACCATTCTAAAATTCTCCTCTATAAATATCACCATTTTCATAAGTCAACATTCCTTCTCCATGAAATAAATCTTGCTTCCACCAACCTTCATAATATCCACCACTTTAATATTAGTATCTTCCATAACCATTCATATGACTTCCAATCCAAGTTCCTTTATAATAATCTCCATTTGGTAATGTCAATTTTGCTTCACCTTCTACTTTATCCTTCTTCCATTCACCATCTAAGATTGCTCCACTTTTATACTTTAAAACCCCCTTACCTTCTTTAACATTATTATTAAATTCACCATCATACACTCCACATTGATATGTAAATGTACCATAACCTTATCTTAATCCATTATTCCATTCCCCATCATATTTTTCATTAGTTTATGCATATACATAAATTCCCCTTCCTTACTTCTTATCATTAGCCCAATTTCCAGTATAACTATTACCATTCAAATAGTAGTAGGTACCAAAACCATGTTTTTTCCCCTCCTTCAATTAACCTTGGTATCTTTCTCCAGATGCAAATATATATGTTCCATCTCCATCAAATAAATCATTGGCCCATTATCCAGCATATACATCTCCTGTAAAATAGTAATATACTCCCTAACCCCATCTTAGGTCATTATTAAGTTCTCCAAAATATTCACTTCCATCTTAATATTATTTGTTTTGAACTTATAATTATAGTCGATGAAGTTTAGATTCAAATTCTTTAAGAATTTATTCTTTCTCTTATTAGAATATTGCATCCATTTAATTATTTAACTGCATTTAGTAATTTAACAACTTTATTATTATTAATATATTTTTAAATGTAATAAATAATTAATAAAAATTTAGAGAATACAAAAATGTAATTATAAAATGTTTACTTTTTTCAAATCTTGAATAAATAATAGAATTTTATTGAATATAATATTTAAATAATAATAATTACATTAAAGTGTCAATCTTTCTCTTCTTCCTCTTCTTCTTCCTCTATTTTGAAACAATCTTATTCAACTTTACTATCTCTGTATAGATTGATCATAGCCTTCTTCTCTATTAATTCATCAAATATAAGATCAAATCGATTATTCTCAAGTACATTATCAGGAATGAATAACCTTTTATTTTGAGGCCATTCTTCAAAATAAGGAGGAGGGAAAATGGGATCGATTGCAATTCTAATAATATAGATTATAGTTTAAATACCGAAATAAGTTCTCAACCATGGCAGGGATAATTCTACTCAAAAGAGGACAGGATAATTCTAGACATGGATTTGTGTTTGCTTCAATAAGCCAAAGCTTAAAATTATCATCAATCATAAAATCTAATCCAAATAACTAAGAATATAATTTATATTGTACTTCAAAACTATTTGATCTTCTCTATGGATCTATTTTACCATAAGATGCTTTCATAAGATCTAAAGCAATATTTTTCATCTTTGGATAAATATCAATAAAAAAATTGAATTTAGATTAAGGATGATAAGTATCAAGATATCTTTAATATTCGAGAAAGGAGATCTTATTACCAAACTCAAATTTACCATAATCCTCATCTTTTGATTAAACAGCATCATTAGTTAAGTGTATATATTTATTTAAACATTTAGTTGTAAATTCTTTGGATGATGTTCGAATATAACCTTCTTAATACCAGTATCCTTTAAAGATTCCATTTTAAGAGGTCAATAACATATAGCATCTAATATCAAATTTCCTTTTATTGTATAAGAATGGATTATCAATATATTATTAGACAATATAAGTTCTTTAACGGCCATCAGGTTATTCTTCATTTAAAATTTTGTTGATTTCTTATAAATCTTAACAAACAGTAATTCCATTTCCTCTGTTAGTACATTCACCTGGTTTAACAATCCAAAGATTAATAGGTTTCTATCTTTTATCTCTTCGATACTCTAATTATAACTTACGTTCGAGTTCTTTAATTTCATCTTATCTTTTGTTATAATAATCAACAAATTTGAAATACTCAGTATCAGTCATTCCCTTTTAGATATGAAATGTAATTGGAATATATTTAGTATAATCTTCCTTAATAGTTTTGAAGTAATTTCTCATATTATAAAATAGTGCTTTCTTATTTCCCAAATGCCAATTGTCTTGCATATGATTATGCATCTTGTAATTCTTACTATCATAATGAATGGAGGTTTGCAACTAAGCAATTATGTAAATATTTTTACTCCTTTGATGGACATTAGCAATTTCTCAGTACAATCACTAAATACAATTTATGAATCCCACTAATTATTTTCTTCCATATAGGCTAAAATTTTATGTAAATCAATCTAATTAAAGATCCTTTTTAATTGATTCAAATTAGTGATTTACAATTTTTTCTTAGATTGATTTGATTATCTTAATTATTAATTGATACTCAAAACAGGAACAGATCTAGGTTTAACATGTATATCCAATTCAGAATCACTTGATTCAACAACAGTTTCTTCAATACTTTAAATAAATGAATCATTATTATAGTTTGTATCATTAGTAGCCATATTAAAAGTAGGTAAACATTCAATACATGTATTTTATTTCAATTAAGTCCAAGCCATATTCACTTTGCTCATATCCAATGTTTCTACTTCTTACCACCACCATCTTTATCTGAAGAGATTCTTTAACAAACTTCCATTATTACCCTTACCTACATAAAAGTAATAAGCAGGCACATCCATCTTTAATGGAGATTAAATACATTGATTATTAGAGAAATTGATTTTATTTATAAAGCAACGATAAGATGTATGTTTTTGATTAAGTTTATCTTTTTAAGAATTTTGTTGTTATAAGATCTATTGTTATTATGTTGTTTATAATTGTCTTTTCTTTCTTTTTACTTGTAATTTCTTATCAGTTGATTCAGCCATTTTTAAATTACTCTATGGTTACACATGAGAATCTTAATGATTTTGAGTATATCTCCTCTCATTTATTTATGTCAATTTTGGTTAAATGTTTATTTTTTAAGTTTTGGTTGGTTTAGAACTTGATCTTTGATTTGGTGATCCTGATCTACTGGTCAAATTATCATTTTGAAGAGTTTTATGAATAAAAGGTGTTGAGGAAGTTCTGCCAATTTAATCACTATTATCTTTGGATTCTGAGCGTTTCACATTTTTCTTTTGATCACTTCTATTGATCATAGGACTTACTAATTTACAACTTTTGGAAGTAGAAGTTTCAATGGGATCTTTATCTTTTGATTAAGTTCTAATTTAAGGGCGGACAGCTATAAACTAAAGTGGAGGTAATACTTTTTTATTTTCTAAGAGGTTATTTAATTTAGTTACATCGTTCAACTTCTGACATAGATGGATTAAGTTTTGAACCGTAGTAAGGATGGTTTTCTTATTTGATTTCAGATGTAATATCCTTATAATTACATGAAGTGTCATTAGATTATAGATTTACTATTCTTTATTTCTCTATGGGAACAAGTCCCTTAGAAACAAGACATAGAAGCATTTCTTATGGATATTTAGCACGAGGTTTATTTCTTTAAGTGAATTACAAATGTTCAAGTCTATGTTAATTTGGTCTTGGAGCAACCCATTTTGTATTTTGCATGGAATAGTAATCTTTGCTATTGTTTAAAGATTCAGATAATTTAGTATTGTAACGGAGTTAGAAGATCATTATTATTTATATATATATATATTTAATTAATTGAACTTAGTGTTCCATTTTATTTAATAAATACTTATATATATATAATTAATATCTCAAAAAGAATTTTATTTTTATTAATCTTTTCCTTCATAAAATTTAATATATTGACTAACCATTTCATTAACTTAAACTTAAGTAACTTCAACACTATCTCTTTGTACAAACTTTTTGAACAAAAAGAATAGAACTATAATAAAAATTGCTATTAGTATAGAAACTAAAAGTATCACCAAAAATAAATAATGTTAACTTTGATGTTCAAATTAATAAAAATTTTCTACTTCAGATTTACAAACCAAAGGAGGAATAATAAAACCTATTATATAAAATAAAAAGTATTACTATTGCATATTTCACCAAAAACTCCTTTGCCTGTTAATTATCCTTTATAAACTATAGAATTTACAACCACTGATGGTAATCCCACCATACCAGCCTATTCTCTTACTATTAATTAATGTTCCAAAATAGCATTATAAGCATTTGATAGATTCTTAGTTGTTTAATCATTTAAAGGATCTTTAAAAGACTCATCTCTACATTTAGTAATTTCATTTGCTGACAATTGTAAATTGGTTATTATTTTACTTCCACAAGTAGAATAAGCTTGAGCTTTAGTACATTAAAAATTAAATTAATTCTAAATATAAATATATCATCTTTACCATATATTGAAAATATTTATCTGGAAAAAGTTTAAATATACATGTTTATCTAATAGCTTCTTCAACTACATTTCTTCCTGATGCTATACCTTCTCCATCTGGATCAATTGAACAATATCTTCTTGAACAAATACAATTATCTTCATCAATTATATAATCTAATTCTGTATTATTAGAATTGAAAATTTAATAAACCAATGTATAATTAATATTCTCATTTTACAAAAGATTATAATATTAAGAGTATTCATCAACTACTCTATATGAATCTCTATCATTTACATCCAAACTAAATATTACATCTATTTGATCCTTTTTTTCAACATCAAATTTCACTAAAATAAAAATCTTATCATCTGAATTATCAAGGACTTTATAATTTGAAGCATATTCCTTCATTATATTAAAATCTCTTAATGAAATAAATATTGATGGAATATTGACCTATTGTATTGTTTTAATTTAATACAGAATATCCTTGACCGTCATCAGCCATTACAAAATCAGATTATAAAGGCTCATCATTATTATTACCAATAATAGCTAATGAGTATCCAGCATTCTAAGCATTCCTTACCTTAGTGACGAAAGTACAGTTTCCCCTTTCTATCATTATAAATTGACTTCCAGTAGCTGATTGAAGAGGACTGCATCCATCATTAGGTTAAGCCATATCAACATAACCCATTAGTCTATGTCCGAATGGAATTTAACTAATTAGATATAAATAATTTCAAACCCAAAATTAGCTAATGCAATGTTAACTTTTGAGCCTAAATGATCAACTAAATCAGGAGGTCTCAGAACTTTCATTTTACAATCGACAAATGCAACAATACAGACAATTAAGAGAATAAATTACATTTATATATTAATAAATATGAAATAGTATTATTGTCTTTAGATATCTAATGAACTATTCCCCTATTGTATTGCTAATCTAAGTGTGTATTTATAGTATTTTACAGTGTTACTGTATATTAAAATAAGAATCATAAATTTCTGAGAATTTAAAAGTGTATTATATAGAATATAAGATGATCTGATTAAATATATGTTTATTTTATTTAAAAATATATTATTACAATTAAGATAGTATAGAATTATGATATCTAAAATTGAATTATAATCTTTGTTTAATTATAAAAATACGATTTTCATAATTGTCATTATATATTTGAATGTATACAAATTTTTAATGGATAAGTAAAAAATAAGGAATATTGATTAATGGATTAAGTATTGATTATAGTTTAAAAATTGGATAAATTAATGTGGAATGAATTATATATACTGATGACTTCTGTGATGTAATTATTTAAATATTTATTATATCTAATGATTAAAGAATATGACTATTTGTTTAAGTTAGTGATTGTGGGTAATTCAGGTGTAGGCAAATCATCCTTATTATTGAGATTTTCAGATGATACTTTTAGTGATTCTTATTTAACTACAATTGGTGTGGACTTCAGATTTAAGACTTTAGAAATTGATGGCAAAAAGGTAAAGTTGTAAATATGGGATACAGCTGGATAAGAAAGATTTCGTACAATAACTAGTGCATATTATAAGGTATAAAATGAATTTGAATAAAGGGTGCTGATGGGATTGTGATGGTATATGATGTGTCTTCAATTGGATCATTTGAAGATATTGATAGATTTTGGATTAATGAAGTAGATTCATATGCAGAAAAGAATGTTGAATTACTATTGTTAGGAAACAAGAGTGATATTGAAGATAAAGCGTAAGATTATCATATATTCTTATTTTAGTGTTACAACACAAAAGGCATTAGATTATGCAGCCATAAGAAAAATGGCACATATGGAAGTAAGTGCAAAAACAGCAGATTAAGTATCTAAAGCTTTTATTTCACTTGCAAAGAAACTGATTGCAAAAAAAGATTCTCAAGGTTTAAAAGGTTAAGGGTAATAATATTATTAATTTATATATAAGACCATAAAGAAGTCAATAAACACCAGGTTAGAAAATTGGTTAATAAACAGATGATAACAAAAAGGACAAGGATAAGTGTTGTTGAATATATTAATATTGAGTTTTTTACTAATCACAATATTTCTCATATTTATCCTCTTTTGCCTTAAATATATGTTTTATATAGAGTTTCCTTTTAATTTTGTTATAAATTAAGATATTTCTTTATATCAATAGGATCACCTAAAAAAGTTAAACAATACTTAATACCTCTTTAGAAGTTGTGTTTTATTTCTCTTCTTTACTCCTTTGTTAATTTAATACCATGAACCTTTTTACCTTCCATTAATTAAGCTAAATTTTCCTAAGTGAATATCTCTAGTATCTCTTCATTGGAAATTTTCTTTTCTTGAATCAATTGATTTTCAAATTGATTATCAATATTAGCATCATCATTCTATTGATGTTAATGTTATTATTATTAATGAATCAAATTTTCCAAATCTTCTATAGGATTGGATTACCATAATGCTTCACCTTAATAATTTGGAGGCAATTTCACATATAGTAATTTACCATTAACAAAATCTTTTAACATTAATTTAGCTGCTTTTGCTTCATCTGGTAATCCTCTACCTGTCATGAATCCTCTTTTTTAACTATAAGTAGAGAGTACAGTTGAGGCATCAATAACTTTAAATTCTTACAAATTTATTCCATAAATCTTTTCAAAAGCAATTTTAGGTATTCTTTCAGCCAACAAATCCATTGGACTTAAATAATCTTTAATATTATCAATTGGTAGAACACCATTACAAACCATTTCAGCTCTGGATGATGATGCATTGGGAAATATTAATCCTGGACAATCACATAACTTAAAATTAGAATATAAATTAATACTAATAGATATTTTTCTAAAGGTATTGTTTAGAAATGCTTAGTTTTACCAGGTCTTGCTGCAACACCAACTAATTTCTTATTACAAAGAGCATTAATAACTGAACTTTTACCAACATTAGGATAACCAACCATTCCAATAATTACTGTATTCTCATCATGTTAAATATCATGATCATCCTAATCAAGTAATTTAGTTGTCTCTACATTATCTTATCTTTCTTTTCTAATCTTTTATACTAATGATTTTAATTCTGATAATAATATCTTTCTATCTGCAATTCTTGATGTATTTATATAAGCTTCTATATTTTCTTATATTTATGTTTCTTCTTATTAAATAATAATATTAGTAGCATCTTATTATACTTATTCTTCTTTATCTATTTTTTCTTATTCTAATTTAGCACTAAAAAACATATGATTTAATTTCTTTGAATTTAAAAAAGCTGACCATTCTTCTCTAATTTTATCAGATATTAAATCACTTTTGTTTATCAATAGAAAATTAATCTTTGTTTAATTCTTTCTATAAACTCTATTTTATTCTTCATGAACATATTTTGTCAAATCATTACAATGATAAAATAGAATGTCTCTTCCATCTACTACTTAAACTAAAATATCTGCTTTTTCTACTACTCTCCATAATTACTTCCAAACTTCAATATTCTTCTCATAAGGAGTCAATTAAATTTAATAATGTTCCTCTTCAAACTTTGCTAATTCTTTTCTCCACTTTAAAAAATTCTCATTTTCCATCAATCTCAATTACTCAACTGTAGTTTTCTCATCCCATCTAGGTCTTCTTGGTATTTATAAGTCTACCAATAATTAGTTCTTCTAATAATCATATACTGATGAATTTGGTAATTGTCCTTTTCTTATTGCATTCACATTTATCACTAACTAAAAATTATCCAATTATTTTTTTACTTATTTCTGCTATTCATTTACTACTATATCTGATTTCTTCTCTGCTTAATATTTAATATTTGCCATCTCTGCCATTTACAAATATTCATTTAAAGGATTCTAATCTATTATTGATTACAAGTTCTCTTATTAAATTTGATATTCTTCCTTTACAACCTTCCCATCATGAAAGAACTATCCTTAATTCTAAACTTTTGCAGCTCCTTCATTCATTTTCCTTTATTGTTGTCTCTAAAGAGCTTTACCCAAATTAGATTTCTTAGACATTCACAAATTTAAAAATATTAAAATGTCATTAGTCGGTTCAGGCACCTTAATTGTCAAACCTCTCAAAGCAAAACTAACTCATGATACTGAATTCCTTGGCAAGATGGATCCTTACTGCAAGGTTATTCTTGGAAATTAAAAACAAAGAACTAGAGAACATACAGATGCTGGTACTAGAAATATTCATATTTTTATAGGCAAGCATCCTTCATGGAATCAATCACTAAGCTTTAGGCGTACAAATGAATACATAGCTGAAATCTAGGTTTGGGACTCGGATGAAGTAAGTGAAGATGATTTAGTTGGAGAATGCTCCATAGCCTTATAACCATATTTAGTTGATTCTCCTAAACCACCTGAATGGCTCAATTTAAGCTACAAAGTAATTTAAATAATCATTAAAAACTCAGGGAAAATCGGCTGGATAGATTTACATTTCTTTTGAATGGTTTTCTGATTCAAAATATTAACAATAGCCTTAAATACCTTCAAATCCTCTATATTATCAATAAAATAATGTAATACCAATGAAACCTCCTGTAGCTCCTTATTACCAATAACCATATAATTAATCAATGCCTTATTAACAACCTCCCAATTATCCACCCTAATCAATATAATATCCATAGCCACCACCCTATTCTTAAACAGGGTTCTAAGGACCAGTAGGATATCCATAGAATCAATAATAAAACTATCCGTAGTAAGGTTATATGCCTAACTACCCTCCTAATTAATAATAAGGCTATTAACCAAATCAAGGATATCCACCCTATCAACCTCCAGTTTACCCACCAAATCAAGCTCCCAATTATGCACCCAATTAACCGCCAAGTTATCCTCCAAATTAGCCACCAAGTTATCCTCCAAATTAAGCTCCCAATTATCCACCAAATTAACCACCAAATTATCCTTAAAATTAACCTCCAAATTATCCACCGAATTAACCACAAAATTATCCTTAAAATTAACCACCAAGCTATCCTCAAAATTAACCTCCAAATTATCCATCTAATTAACCTCCAAATTATCCTCAAAATCAACCTCCAAATTAACCACCTAATTAGCAAGGATATCCAAATTATGCCTAAACCATGTAAAATAATCCTTAAAACTATCCTAATACTTAAGCATAGGGTGGCTATACAAATAATCAAATGCCACCAAATTAATAAGCATAGACCTTACCACCAGGTCAATAATATCCAAATTTACCTCCCATCAATCAACCTTATCCTGGCTAATAACCTCCTCCTCAACCAAATTATGTTCCACCTCCTTAATAAGGGTAATAATAATCACCTGCATATTACCCTAATCAAACGTTACCAAATTAGACATATCCGATGAATTTCGATCCAAATAAGATACCTAACCCTATGGGCAATTGAAGTATTGCTTGATTATTATAAAAAAATAAAAACTTATCATAATATTGCATTTGAAAAAAAATGGTTCGTATTAATAAACCTTTGATAAGTCTAGTAAGATTCCTGAATAATTGTAATAATTTAAATACAACATAACAATGTATAGATACATCTCAGAATAAGGATTCAAAACACCAGCTATAATCAACTCCCTAAAAATATTTGTCAGAGATTTCAAAGATGTTTCATCTATTTCAGCAACTAAATTGAATTCAGAAGAAATTACATCAGCCCTTGAAATTCATTCTTTATAATGGCATCCAACTAAAGACTCAACAAAAATTCATAAAGAATTTAAGTTTAATTCATTCAAAGAGACATTTGCATTTATGGGATCCATTTCAACAGTTGCAGAAGAAATGCATCGTAATTTATTTATTCTAAATATATATTAGATTATCCAAAGTGGACATAAAAAGAAAATGTTGTAAATGTAGAGATTTCAACAAATGAATGCTCAGGCATTTCAGTAAAAGACATACTTTTGGCATATACAATGGATTAATTGGCAATGGAAATTACTAATACTTAAATTATATCTGTATGTGACAGTCCAAAAGTTGTTGATTCTCAAATACTAAATACTTGGAATTAGAACTTTTAGAAAACCGAAGATATTCTATAAAATCTTTAAAGGAATACTGCTCAACTTTGATATATATTATATATAGTTTAATTATCATATATCTATAATGAGTTTTTCATGTAAGATACTTTATATATTATTATAAAAATTATTATTACAAATAATAATATGATTTAACAAAATTTATATAATAATTTTTGATATTGATTTCTAATATAAGTAATTTATTTATATTGGAATATTTCATTTATTAACTACTAATTTTAAATTTGAATCCATGAAGCTCTAGAAAGCTTTAGAAGCACAGAAAGCTCCAAATCTAATTTTATCTGATTAAATACTGAATGAAGAAGGCTGTGTAGTTGTAGCCTAATTTTTAGCTCAAAATACTCAATTTATAAACATTGAACTAAGAGGATGTAATATAAATGGAAGAGGATTTGAACGTATTTGTCGTTCAATAAGTCCAGATGCAAGAACATTGATTGCTGAATGGAATGCCATAGGTGGAGGTGTTAGTGCTTTGTGTGATTTATTAATGAATCCATCATATCAATTATAATTAGTTGATCTAAAAAATAATAGAATTCAAGCAGATCATTGTGCAAGAATATGTTAAATGTTAAAGCAAAACACATCATTATAATCATTAAATTTAAAATGGAATGAAATTGGAGAAAAAGGAGCTTAATATTTATTAGAAGGACTGAATGGAAACAGAAATTTAAAATTTTTAGATGTCTCTTGCAATAAGATACCAGAAGGATTAGCAACATAAATAAGAGAGAGAATTGAATAAAATAGATCATCTGATTTGATGGCTAAAAATTCAACAGGCATCAAAGAATCATAAAGAAATGTATATTAGCCTGTAAAAACAATACCAAAAACAGCTGCCACAACTAATATGCCTGATAGAGCAGTTAAAAAGAATGATGCTATTAGAGTAGCTTAATTGAAAGAATAAATTGATTAAGAATTAAGATAAAATAGATTAATGAATGAGGAACTTACAAATAGAATGAATGCTTTAAGATAAGAGATACTATCTAAAGAATAAGCTGTAAGTATGGCTAAAAGACATTTTGAAGAAGAAGTGACTAGGAAATCTATCATTGAGGCAGAATATACTTAAGTTAAAAGATAATTTGATGAACTTGGTAAGGCAAGTGATTATAGATAATAAGAAGTAATGAATGAATATGTGGCTAAAAATAAGCATGTATTAGCTTTAGAAAATGAATATATGCATGAATTATCATAAATTAGACATGACAATAAGGTTAGTATTAAATTAAATTTATTTAGTAATAAATTGATCAAATTAATGCAAATTGGTAGCCTAGATTGGATGGAATTTAGAGCAAATTCAATTCATTAATGAAAGCTAATGATTAATACAACTAATAATTATTAAGAATGAAAGAATTCTTTTTAAAAATGAGATTAGATCATGATGAAAATGTTAAAGCTGTTGAAGGTAGATTACTTATAGAAGAAAAAGCTAAATATAATCATTAAATTGAATTGTTAAAAAAGAAAGAGATGGAAACCTAGTAGACATTAAAAGTATTTCTTAATCAATAAAAAAGAGAGCTGAAAATGAAAGCCAATCTATTTAGGATGATATGTAGAGATTAGAAACCAATTTGACTAGAGATAGATAATTAATTGAGGAATAAATATAATAAGAAAGAGAAAAGGTTCATCAAACACATTTACAAATTAGTAAGAGAAGTATTAAACAAGAAAAATTGATAAATAATAATATTGTATTAGATCATCATATTGATAATCTAATTAGAAAAATAGATGAAACATTCTTTATCTTAAACATTTAAAAAGGTATATGATATAATATATATTTTTAGATAGAGGAATGGATGATATTTAATAGAGAAGATTATTATAAGAAAGATAATATGCTTTACATAAAACCAACTTATAGTTATAACATTAGAGAATATTAGAATTAGAAAGACTCATGAGTAGTTAAGAAGGAAATAATATCAAATTAAGAGCTGAATATGAAAAATTATGTCATATTGTTTAAGGAAAAGTGTAGAATGCAGTTATTGAAACTTGTAGACTCAATCTCTAATTAGGATGATTAGATATTTTATAAAATATATATATATATATTAATTATTAAATTTATATATTATTACAAGAATTCCAAATATTTATATTTATTATTTTCATTATCTTTATTAAAATAAGTGAATTTGTTTCTCTTTATTAAAATAAATTATGAAAATTATTGAGTATTTTCTTAATACATAATTTTTTCATTTTCAAAATAAGAATTAAATAAGAATAAAAATATTTTCAGAAATAATCAATTTTATTACAAGATCAAATAAGTTGCAAATAATTGATTTTATTCAATTTAAGGGATAATATGATGACAAATTATTATAATAATTGCATACTTTTAATTAATTGAAATCCCATTAAAAAAAATCGTTTTAGCATTATTAATATCTATGTATAGAAATTTCACTTCTAACAATACTAGAACCACAGCTAACCTGCTTGGTTTGAAGTATTTGTTGAAGGACTTTTCGGATGTACCCACTAAGAAGTTCACAAAATTGAGTGCTGATGAAGTTAACCAAATTCTTAGCATTCAAGAGTTGAATTCGAATTGGACATTTGTAAATCTTATATTAATAGTTAGAATGTCATTAGTTTAGGTCGTAAATACTAGTTCTAGAATTTTTAAGACTCTTTCAGTTTTATGGCCTAAGTTTCTTAAATAGCTGAGTAGATGAAACGTATTTATTATAAAAATTTTAGATTATCCAAAATGGTATAACAAGAATGGACTTGTTACTATTGATCTCACAACCAATGAGGTCAAAGGTGTAACATTCAAAGATGTACTATTGGCCTACGCTGCTGATCATATATCTTAGATTATTCAATCGAACCAAAACAACTCTATTTTTGATAATTGTAACATACACGTTGAAAACCTTATACAATCGTGGAATAACAATTATTAAAAGAGTCAAGAACTTAACCAAGTTATTGACAAATCTGTGAACTTCTTATGATGTACATATATATAGATATTGATTTAAAAATATAAGTATTTTATCTTTTCTAAATATTTTATCATTCTAAATATTTACATTTGATCATAAGGATTTATTTTTACTAGATCCATTTTGAATTTCTTGAGAATTTGAGAATTCGTTTTTTATATTATTATCTTTTTAAAAATTTCAAAATCCATAGTAATACTAAGAATTGATCTAATAATAGGATCTTTGATACCTACTTAAATAGGTTAATATATTTTTGAGATCCAATATTCAAAAATAAAAGAATTTTTGAATCTCTCTAGTTTCAAATTATATTCTTAAAGTTATAAAGAAATATTATAATTAATCTAAATTAATTAATTTATTCAATATTACTAAATTTTATATAGTTATTAAAGTTTTAAAATAAAATAAGCTAAAATAATTTTATCTGCAAATTGTTTTACTTGTTTTATACAAGCAATAAAGAATAATAAATCAGATAAACTTGATAATAAAATATTAGAAATAGTATAATAATATAAACATTATTCTTTCTTTTATTATAGAAATGCATTCTTTAGGATTGGACCTTATAAGAAATTAAGTGAATCATTATTTTTAATATTATTCTTTCACCAATATTTGAATTTGGTCCTATTAAAAGTATATTGATTATTGGTTCACAAGAGCTCATCATATGATTGGTAAAAGATGTATAAATTGAAATTAGAATATTTGGAATAATAGTTTTGATGACTTTATTTATATAATATGAATTATTAAGGAAATGCCAATAAATAATTATATTTCATAGAAATTAAAAACTCCTAATATTTTTTGTGGCAGTGCAATAAACTCAAAGTTTTTAATTAACACGTTCAAATCATAGCTGAAAATTGAATGCCTCTATGCCTATAAACTATAAAACAAATTTTTTAGAAAAACAATTTAAATAAAATATTAAATAAAAAACTCAGAATAGATGATATAAAAGCTTAGAATGAGTCTATGAATATTAGTTGGATAAAATAAATTTATTCATCAAGATTTGATTCTGGTTGAAATCATTCAAGAGAGCTATTATAAAATTTAGATAATAATTTTACTAAGGAATTGATTCGATTTTAAATTACATATTTACTAAAGTACATTTAAATTAAGTTATATAAAAAACACTTTCATATAACCCAATCTAATCCACAATATGATTAATTATTTTTTTACAAACTTCTGCCCTCATTTAAGGAATCCTTTTTATTTTTCCAATTATGATTAAATTGGCTTCATTTTAGTTTAGTTCAACGAATTGAATTTCTTAAAACTTATATAATTTTTTTAAACAACTAAGCAGAGTAAAGACGAGAGGTAATATTGTATTAAATTGATGCAAATCAAATAAGATTTTAGAAGGATTACTCTTGATTATAAAATTCATAAAAGCCCTTAATTTAATGAGAGTTAGTTATTCAACTTAATCTATTGTTACACTTTTAAAGTAGTATGATTATTAAATGATATGCTTTTGAATTTCTTTATAGTATAGTTATTTGTCTATCATTTTAATTTTCTTTAACAGTTTGAGATATGAATAATTATTTTAATAATCTTTTTCTGATTAAAGCTCAGAAAATTTTAAGGATATATTCAATTCTACTAGTTTATTCATTATGCAATCTATTACATATTTTTTTTTTGTATTATGTATTACTTTTACTTAAAATTGATAGGTCTTATCATGAATTCGCTCTAATAAATATTGATAAAAATCTATTTTTAAATTGGAAATCCTAAAATCTTTTAAAAACTCTTTAGAATCTAAATCTATTATTTATCTGATTGATTAATTTGCAAATACAAGTTCAACTTTATCCCAAGTCTCATCATAAGATAACAACACTATTTTTTCTTCAATTAAATTATCCCATAAAAACAAGGATTATTTTTACTGTTCTTTTAAGAAAAACTAATTTCTATTATGCTTTTATCTAAAATACTCTTTTTACCAAAATAGTATCAAATACATTATGAGAATAAAGGAAAATGGATTTATTGCAGCAAAGTTCCTCATAAATAATCGAGATGAAACAAATAAAAACTAAAGAAACTGATTTAGTATAAAATTAGGGCTTAATGCAAAATTTAATGCCATAAACTAGGATATATCAAAAATCCATATGAATTCTGTTTCAGAAAATTCTGTATAAAAGTAAGGCATTATTTGATAAAATGATGATAGTAAACTAAGGATGGATATTAGATAACCTACTAAAGTAATGAATCGCTTTTTAATTAGTATGTAGTAAAATACAATTGTTTATCCACAACAGATGATTATCATCATGCATCCAAGAGCAAATTATTACCTTTAAATCCAAAACATGCTTAAAATTACATTTGATAATGAGAGTAAGACCATTGTGTATTTAAAGGCATCATATAGTTCATTAGAGTAATTTTCTTGATATTTACGTTCTAATTTTGGGTCATGAAACTTTAAGGTGAAATGATTCATAATGGAATTAATTAAGAAACAATATTTGATTCATTAATAATTTGAGTCACTAATCATAGAAGAACTGATTTTTCCAATTTAAGAATTTGATAATTAAGGTCTTCCATTTATGGATTAATAAATATTAAGTCCTAAGATCTAAGACATATACTATTAATTGTCTAAAGGAATCTTAAATACCAGATGAAATTTCAGATTTGAAAAACTCTTAGAAGGAGTAAGTAATGTCCTAATAATTTAAATTAATTAAAAGAAAAAAAGTAATGAACATAGCATACATATACTAAAGATGATAAAACAATAATTAGTAAGAGGCATAATTTAATTTAAGTTTTGTAGAATTTTGAAAAAAGTTGATAATTTATAAAGTTGTAAAATAATATGTTATAATTCAGTTTTTATTTTTGAAACATATTCCTTATAAACTGATTCTAGGTTTTCAATTTATAAGTTAGATTTAATTGAAAATACTACATTTTATTTATATAAGAATTTTAGAATGATTTGAGATTATAATCGAATATTTTATTATCAAACATAAAAAATTTTGAAGATACATATAAAATTTTATCATTAATTGCATTATAATTATACTTATAAGTCTTATTAATCATAAAGATAACAACACTAAGTTATTTAAGATTATTTAATTTATGCAATATTTCTAAATTCTGAAACCTGAGATTGGAATTTCAATTACTAGGGGAATTTTAAAAGGTGTAGTATTAATAATAATTGGCAAAACCATTCTAAGTTATCATCCTTTTGATTTCTAGTCCGATTATCCTGAATATGTGAGAAACTTTTCATATTGAAATAGTTTGCTAGAATCCCTTATAAACATCCTATCAATCCTCCTATTTATGCTCCTCATAAAATGGAAGAACCCGAGGACAGAGAGAAATATGAAAAACTATTTGACAATATAATTCAAATCAGTAACAATAATCGTGAGTATTATATGTTCAAACATTTGTATCATCCTTCCTTAGAGGATGGCTTTATTATAAAGGAAGCATTGTGGGAATCTGATGGTGAGAGAGTACTGGACGAAATAAGAGGTGAAGTAAGAAGGTAATTAAGACAAGCCCAAAATTTAGAACTTTAAAATCAGTTTCACATTACCTAAAGAAAGGTATTGTTCTCAAAGTTAAATGGTCAAATACGTCCATCTATTTGATAATTTATTTTATAAAAGACATGTTTAAAGGAGTAATTAAAATCAACTGCAAACCCTATTTATAAAGGATTTTGTTTTTCTTTCACTATATCCAGTCATAGAGTCAATAGAAGTTCCTCTATTAAGAAGATGAACAGATGGAATTTAGGCCTTCTAAATAAAATCAATATTAAACAATACCGCTATTTATTATACAACGTCATAGAGCTCCTCATTATCTACATTAACGAGGGCTAGCTACCATTTTTCACAGTTCTTCTAAGCTTCTTAAATTAGTTGTGGATTCAATTTATGACATGGTGCACACCTATAATTGATTAATTTCAATATCGATACCATTCAGCAAAAAAACTAACAACAACTGGTTTTTAACAGCTAATGACGTGTTCTTTCCATTCTTAGCTGTTGTTTATTTAAACACAATTCATCAAAAAATATAATAATGAATGACCTTTAAACAAATCTGAACCAGTTTAAAAGATTGAATAGTGTGTAATAATATGATTTGTTTTATAAAATAATATTTATTCGTAATTAATGAATTCCGATGAAATGGAGAAATTACAACCAATGTTCAATCGTATTACTAGACTTTCACAAAGTATCATTTTACTTTATGAGCAGAGCCATCAACTCAAAGAGCCATTCCAATTAAATTTCTTTAAAAGATGGAACTACTTTAGAATTCACTTCTTGATCCAACCCTTGAACTCAATTCATTAGATTATGATCAACTTACATTTGATGAATTAAATTAATTATTCAAACTTAATAAGGAATCCAAAATTGAATTGCTTATAAGTTTATTCAATCTATTCTTCAAACAAAAGAAAGTGGTTGGTGAAATTGATATTTTGGGTAAAAGTACCATTTTATGGTCAAGGAAAAAGATTGAAATTGATTTAGACATAAGAGAATTGATAATTCATCGATAAAATCCAAAGGAAAAACCTTATATAATAGATTTGACAGAATTTCTAATTAATTACCGAGGCTATTTAAGAGGCAGATATTAATATGAATTATTATGTCGAGATCCAAATGCTTAGATTAAAGATATCATAATAGGGAGTGAGGACAAGGATGAAATAAATAAATGGATTGAATATTTCTAAATTTGTTGCAAATAAGAAAATGTGGAACGATCTAAAACAATTATCACAAAAAATGAATAAGAAAATGAAATAAAGAATTTAGATACTAGAGATAGATATCGCACAGCAACAATTAAAAAAAAGTAAGCTGATGACACTAATATTACCAAATAAAAAAGTTAACCTAAATTATAATAGTAATATATAGAACATGAAGCTATAATAATAGAAGAACATATAATACAAGAAAATTTACCAATTGTTTTTGAGAATCTAAAAGAGAAATTAAATCTAGAATTTTTGATGGATGATCATGATTTTTCTCTCATTTCATTTGAACATTGTGCTAGAATCATGCAATCAAAATTAAATAAAAATAATTTTAGAGTCTATGTATCCTTACCCAAAACATCTCTTGAAATATTAATTACTTCTCTTTATGATCCTTATTCCTTAATGAAATGGAACAAACAAATTAAAAATCAATCAATTATACTTTAAGCTACTCCATTTCTTGCTTAAATAGAAGAAATCAGAGAACCTTTAAGTTTCATTTATCAACCTAGATCTTTCAAACTTTTAAGATATATCTATCCATCCAAAGATTCCTTTTTCATTATAGAAAAATCATATGAAAGTCATGAAAATGATGGAAATATTGAATGGAATATAATTGGAATTTTTATGTAAGATCTTTAAAGTAAAATTATGATTGTTGACACACTTGTCTATAATAAAGGTTATATTACATAACATTAGGATTAATAACTAATATTAAATTATGTTTAACAATATCAAAATTATAAATAATATTTAAAAGAAGAAAATAAAAAGTAATAGATAGGTAATGTTAATTTACCAATATTTGTAAGTGAAGCCATGAGTTTAATCAATAGATATGAATAACTTAAAAATAAATAAACTAAAAGAACATTTAAAACTTAAGTTATTAGATCTGCTTATCAAGATTAAACTATTTCTCCAAATTTATCTTCTTAAATGAGCCAATTTAATGATAATTTTTCTTTAGATGGAGACAATTAACATAGAGATTCTTTTCTTAAAGAGGATATTCGATCAGAATAATAAAGAATAGCAATAAATCTAAAAAATGACAATATATAATAATTTTATCAAATCTCCAAATATACAAAAGAGTCATTACAATAATTTTTATGCGATAGACTTTTAGATATTGAATAATAAGTACATCATCTTTCATAAATTCATTTCTATTAAACTAAACCATAACAAAATATTTAATTAGTAAGATATGAGAAAGATAATGATGGATAACATTTTTTTTATAAATCAGATTGGATATATGATGGTTAAAAAGGCTATTTAAAATTTATAAATTAAGACAAATTAGCTTAATAAAAGAAGGTTTTGTATTATATCTTATAAAAAATTGGACAAAGTCTATTAAGGACAAGTATACTTCATATTTCACTTCCTGTTCACATATTTGAAAGAAGAACTAATCTATAAAGATTAGCAAGTTCTTTCTCTTATGCTCCTCATTTCTTAGAACCTGTAGTTAATAGTACTCCACTTGATTAAATGAAAGCTGTATTAGCCTTCATTGTATCTATAAATATATTGTATCTTTCTTTAGAAAAACCTTTCAATCCTATTCTTGGTGAAACCTTTTAATGTTGGATTAAAGGTTGTCCAATCTATTTAGAATAAATTAGTCATCATCCACCTATTGCTGGTTTTATGATGTATGGATAGGGATACAATATTAATGGACATTTTGAAACTTAAGCCACTTTAGGTTTGAATTCAATTACAGGTTGTAATTTTGGTAAAGTAAATTTGGAATTTGTAAATGGTACAAAGATAGAATTCAATAATTGTAAAGGTTATTTGAGTGGTATAACAATTGGAGATAGAATTTTTTATTTGGAAGGTCCTATTTATTGTATAGATTATGTAAACGAATATTTAGGGGAATTGTACTTTAATCCTCCTTGTGGATTATTTGGGAAAAAAATGCCATTAGATTATTTTCAAGGTTCAATTTATAAAGTAGATGAAAAAGAAATATCAAGATGGAAAAAATTAGGATATAAGAAATATTAAGGACTTTAAGGTTCTGCTTAAAAATATCCAGCTTTAAGTAAAATTGATGGATTGTAATTATAATATTGATTAAAAATAGTTGGTAATCAGAAGGTAAAAATTTTAATGTTGATGAAAGAAATACTTTTAATATAATGACAGAATTTCCTTTTGAAGTTTATCCAGAGTAGTATCCACTAGCTTCTGATTCATAAAATAGATTAGATTTAGTAGCTTGGTAACTTAATGATTTTGAATTAACAATGAAACATAAAGTATTTTAAATAAAATTAACATATTTAGGAATATTTAGAAAATTAATAAAGAAGAGATAGATAATTAAGAAAAAAGAAATGAATTAAATTATGCTTAAATGTGATTTGTTTATATTTAATAATTTGTTCAATTAATTAAGTCATTTATATTTTATCAATTACATATTAATAGCATCTCTTTCTAAATATTCATTTCTTTGTAATCTTTCTATCATTTATTTAATTTAAGCAAATGGTATTTCAACATTTTAATTTTTCTTCATATGTCCTTAAACTTATATTACCAAATCACTGAATTACATCTCTTTTTATTTTTTCATAATTTTCACAATAGCTGCTTCAATAGCTAAATCTTTATCATAAACAGATACAACTAAATATTTAAATTAATAAAATACCTTATTCAACTTAATTTTAAGGAAAATATGTTTCAGTTACAATTTTTTTAGATTTTCCTTTTTTTTATTTTGTTAAATTTTCATTAAATTAATAACAAATTTAATCATTTACAATTTATTCATCTAATATTTTAGCATCCTTCATCATTTTACAATTTTAAATAACATATTATTCTTTTAATCCAGTTAATGATGCTATACGATTAACATCTAAAATTTCATTTCTATATTAATAGAGTAATAAAATGACTGCTTATGGAACACTTAAATTAAATATTAATGCTTTTTCAGTACATTATATTTCAACATAAGAGATTAAATCTAACCAAATCAATGTTTTTTATTATTATCTTTTTGCTATAATTTCTTTTTATAAAGTAATTGTTTCAGACTGTAAATTTAATTATAATTCATCTATTTCTGGCCAATGTTATTTATTAATAATGATTGGTGGTTATATTTATAATTTACATAATCCTTTTTCTTCTTGTATTTTAGTTACTTCATTTTCTGTCTTTTAGAAATCTTTAATCATTATTTTAAGTGATTCTAAATCTTAAGCACCACATTTTTTTTCCATCTCTTCAACAATATTCACTTCAATCTAATATGCTAATTTATTTTTTTTTGTTTCCACTTATCTCTAATATTTAATTAATCTTTAAGCTAAAGATATTTTATATAACTAAAAAATATAATTTTATTTGTAAATACTTTTAAAAATCTACCTTTTTAATTTATAAATACAAACAACTTTACTATTTATTCAGGTGATTTTGTATTATTCTTTGGAGAATTTCTTAATATTTCTATCTATTCACCTATATATGTCACAAGATAATCAGCAAATTCATGATTCTTAAAATATTTAAATAAATATATACTCCAATAGGTAAATTTATAAATGATTCAAATGCATTATTTAAAGCCATTATAAAATCAGATTTTTAAGAAAAACAATTTTCTATCAATAAATAATATTTCTAATATAAACTATAAAATTATCCTATAAAACCTGGATCTGAAAAGTTTTAATCTTAATTTGTTTCAACAATTTAATGATTCTTTTTTTACATTATTATCTATCCTTCTTATGTTATAATATTCTTAAAATTTGTTGTTATCTAATCATAATGATCATCTAAACTGCCATATAAATCTCCTATCAATTTTAAATTTTATTGTTAACTTATAACTTCTTTATGATATTCATTTAAAAGATGTTCAAAATTATTTGGATTTTAATCTGATAATAAATATGGTTTATAATATGTTAAAAGATGTGAATTAAGTATTCTATTCACTTATTCCAAAATTGTCTTATCTCCAAATTTTAATACCTTCTCATTTATCTCTTTCTATTATTAAACCTTCTTTAAATAAACTTAAGTATTTAAGCTTTAATGCCAAGATTTATAATTTTATTAATATTTCTCTTCGAAATAATCAAAAATTTTTTATTTGAATTCTTACTCTATTTTAAATTCCAAGGCTTCTTCAGTTGATTTTTATAATTATGACATGACATTTCCAAAATGATATAGTAAATCACTTATTTTTTATTATTTTTATTCTTCTTCACAAGCCTAAAAATTATATCTCACTCAAAATTACAGTCTTAATCATATCAACTACACATTTAAATAAAACATTTTTAAACACAAGTTATAACTCTTCGACAAATATATTATCAAATAAACTTGAATAAAACTCTGGAATACTCTCTTATTACAAGTTTTGTGCCTACACAATAATTCAGACATAATTACAGCCTAATACAAAAGTGTTTTGTATGATTTCATAGACTTCACAAAGGTTTCATGTATCTATAGAAATGTTTCAATATGTTATAAAGCATCCTTATATTTATCTTAAAATTTAGGGAGAATCTAAAATACATAATTTCTTATTTTACATTTTTTGCAATATGTTTCTTGATGCATTTTAAAGCAACCTTTATAAATTTTTTGGCCTCATTTTATTGTTAATCATTGTTATGAGTTTAAACATGCACATCAATTTTACTATATTAAAATCATAATACTAACCTATTAATCTCTTATTTTTCTTTCAAAGTAACCAAGAAATTTTTCTCTAAAATGTTTGTGCAAACTTCTTCAATCTAATCAAAAAGAGAAGACTATGTAGAAAGCATTTTTGGCAAATTTTTATTTATTAATTTTAATATTCACTTAATAATTGAGTTAATCAAATATATTTTTAAATTCTATACAAATTGTGTTTCCACTAACTCTTATTTAACTTTAATTTAGATTTAATCCTTAAGTTAAACTAAATTTTTAATTCATATTTTACTTTACAAAAATAAATAAAATGATCACTTTAATTATAACATAAATATCATTTCATTTTAAATGAACATAAATTTATATATAAAATTAAAGGAAGATCATATTATACTATTTTAAATTAAAATATGAATGGTATCTTATTCATATATATTAATAGTAAACTAATTATAAACATTTAGATAATGGGATTTAAAATTTGTAATAAATAGAATTATCATAATATTCATTAATAATGATCATTCCTAGAATTCTTATAGTAGATTTTGGAAATTATTTTATGCACTAGGACTTTAATAAAAATATGAGATAATGTATTTATGTATTTTTACAATATTATTTTTTAATTTAAAGAAATATTATTTGTCAACATTATAAATTGAATAATTATTTAATGGACATATTTACCGAGTAACTGTTGTAACAAATTAATGAGTCTCATGTTATTGCTAGAGATTCTATTAAATTGATAGTTCATTTGGGAAGTGTAATAGTGGCTGAAAAATATATACAATCTTAAATGCCATGGATTGGTTATCAATGGTTTTAAGATTAAGTCAAGAATTTAGCTAAAAAGCATTATATATCAAATGATGATTATGATGACACTATATTAGAGGATGATGAACCTAATCCAGTAAATATTGATCACTGGAGAAGATGTCAAGGATAAGTTGCATTAGTAAAGTCTTAAGAATAATCTCCTATTCGAAGAAGTGAAACGAAAAAGTTAACAAAAATCTCAATGGGACAAACTCAAAGTAATACTGATATCTATGAATGTTAAATAATCAAGATGGGTGAGTTAGATGAAGATATTGAATTTGACCCAAATATTGAAAGTATGAGATAAGCTAAATTGAGGTAAATGTAAATACAATAGCTAAAGTAATAAAATGATAAGATAAAAAACTAAGAAGTTCAAGAATAAACTAGACAACTTAAGCGATTGAATGTTGACTCTAAATGTACAAATACTATTTTTATACTCAGCTAAATATACATATGACTTTGAGGGTAAAGTAATTGTCTAAAAACCACCTGATATTGATAGATATCCAAAGTCTCATTAAAATATTCAAGAAAAAAGGAATCTTGTTGAAGTGAGAGACCTCATCCCTAATCATAAATTATAATCTGAATTAATCACATCAGGTAAAAGATAGAGTGCATATCTAAATTCTATGAATCAATTTGCAATCAAGACTACTGTACCTCAGATTGATATAATAGTCATGAAAGAAGGAGTCTCATTTTATGATGGGAAATCTGAAAAAAAGAAAGAAAGACCCTTACCTTTAATGGATATAAAAGATAATAATGAATTGTAAAATACACTTTTAAATTAAAATGTACATATGACAAAGTTAGAATATCAAACCATAACAAATTCATAATAATCTAACAATAATTTTCAAAATAAAACTTTGTAATTATCAATTTCATAACCATAAATCTAATAAAGTAAAACAAGTAGAACATTTTAAGAAGATCAACCTTAAACATAAAATAATGATAGTTTACTCAGTTTTAGATAACCTAAAACTACAGTCAATCATTCAATCACATCTAATATTTTGTAAAAATTAAATGGATCCATTTCAATACTCAGTGAAGAATAATTAGATGGATTGATTGTTTAATCAAATGATATAAACAAATAAAAAGAACATCCGTTATTTATGAAAAAGCCTACAATTGATATTTCAAAACCTCTCTAACCTGTACCTACTATTACACTAGAATTACCATAAATACCACCAAATGCCTTATCCAATAGTGTAAGTAAATTGCCTCGCTCTTTTCAATCTATAGGGACATTCCCAAAATTACTATCAAAACATCCACGAGAACGTATTTCTAAATAAGTAATGAATATAATAAATATTAAATGACCTTAAATTAGAATCTATTAATACAGATATTTATTTTTTTTATTACCTTAAATTTATTATAAATAAAAATTGTAGTTTTCAACATTATTTATTTTTTATAATAATTACGAAAAATTAATCATTATAAACAAATTAGAACAATAATTCTATTTCTTTAATAAAAACCATAATTCTCCTTTAAACTTAATAAAATAATAAAAATTTATAATAAATTTAATATTATAGTAATAAATGGAAGATTTAATGAGTAAGAATCATAGAAACTTAAAATTAAGATATTTAGAATCCAAATAAATTTTCATCAAATACTTATATTGTAATTAATCTATAATAAGATATATTAAATTTTTTTTTAGCACTAATTAGATAATAAATAAATCTAATAAATTGTTTAAAATCAAAATATTATAATTAATGATATTTTCAAATATAAAAAGTTATAAAAATGTATAAAATAATGTAGTCTACAGATCAAATTTTATACTAATATATGAATAATTGCTTTGACAATCTATTATATAATATTTATTTGATTGATCATAAATCTTAGATCAATTATTAAATTATATCCACAGTTTATTCACCATTTTTTTGATTAGGTATTCCAATCATTGCCCCATGATCACAATCTAGTGTAGCTACATGTTGTCCCCATTTAGTTTCATTATGAGCAAAAATACCATCTGATCCACTCTCTACTGGATATTCTTTTTCACTTTCTATTATTGTACCACTTGCTTGATAAATTTATGACATCTAACCAACTTCTGTCTCTGCATTCAAACTAAAATACTGTATATTCTAATATTATTTACCTTAATAACATCTTTATTTGTGGCCACTAAATTGAAATCCCTTATATTTTCACTATTGATTTCCTCAAAGTAATTTTATCTAACACCTAATACTCTGCAAATTGGTTCGATAACATCATCTTCAATTCTCTTTCTTCTATATAAATCACTTAAAATAGATCCCCTATGAGGTGTGCCAATAGTAATTAATGATTTTGCTCGAATATTATTATTTTGACTTAAAACATATCTTAAATCCAATCCTGCAATTCCATAACCGATTAAATGAAATGGTTCATTAAATTTACTTAATTGCTTTTTAAAATATTGTGATCGTGTTTCAATATCTCCTCCACATTGATTAAGTATAAGTTAAGGTTTCAAAGTTTATAAAATTACTTAAAATTATCGAACACCTTAATTAGAAATGACTTAAGGTAAAGAATTAGCACAAAATACTATCATAAATTAAAATTATTATTATTATTATTATTATTATTATTATTATTATTATTATTATTATTATTATTATTATTATTATTATTATTATTATTATTATTATTATTATTATTATTATTATTATTATTATTATTATTATTATTATTATTATTATTATTATTATTATTATTATTATTATTATTATTATTATTATTATTATTATTATTATTATTATTATTATTATTATTATTATTATTATTATTATTATTATTATTATTATTATTATTATTATTATTATTATTATTATTATTATTATTATTATTATTATTATTATTATTATTATTATTATTATTATTATTATTATTATTATTATTATTATTATTATTATTATTATTATTATTATTATTATTATTATTATTATTATTATTATTATTATTATTATTATTATTATTATTATTATTATTATTATTATTATTATTATTATTATTATTATTATTATTATTATTATTATTATTATTATTATTATTATTATTATTATTATTATTATTATTATTATTATTATTATTATTATTATTATTATTATTATTATTATTATTATTATTATTATTATTATTATTATTATTATTATTATATAAAAAGAAATAAATCAAATAAAAATGTAAATCCATTAGATGTAAATCCATTAAATTAGATAATCATAAATTATAGACAAAATTTAATAAAACTTAAATAACTAATATTATTCAAAAACGAAGTTTTTTTGATAATTATTATTATATTCTATTATATGTAGGAGATTGAGACTTTTTTAATTCTTTTCCTCTTATCCAACATTTCAATTCTGATGAATTTGGTCTAGGAACTTTTTAATTTGGAGATTTTGATTCTTTTTTCAATTAAATCATAGATTTTTAATTTTTTATCTTTTGTTTATTGATATTCATTTTCTTTTTACATTTCTAATTACGATCATAAAATGATTCATAGTTACTCTCTTTAAATGTCAAATTTCCATTAAAAGTACACTAAGAATAATGTATTATCATACATCCCTTAAAACAGAATTCTATGTAAAACTAGTTTGTTCTTATTATTAATTTTCATCTATATGAGTAGTTCTCTTTTTCTTCATCCATTCATTTAATTTTTACATAAAAGTACTATTACTTACATGTTTTTCTAAAGATTCTTTAATTGAAATAGGAGTTATTGATTTTTAATTTAATCTTTTTTCCTGCAAAGGATCTAATTGTCTTTTTACTTCTTCATCCTGCATTAATTTGATTTCATTATCAAGTTATAAAATTTGATTTAGAATGAGTTTTTTCTTTTGTATCAGATTTAATTATGACGACTTGTTTTCTCGAGAATCTTACTAATTTGGTGATTTGATATTATCACATGAATTACGAATAAACATAGTAGGAGTCTATGTTCCAGATGTTTTGACAGGAGTATTCATTTTTGGAGAGGACTCATATTTTGATATGACAGTTTAGAGTAAAATATTATCTTGAATTTATTATCTAAAATTCTGAATTTCAGATGAAATATTTCGATTATGTTGAGGTTATACTCTATCAGTTTGATTGAGTGTTTAATTAAATTGTTACTTAGGTAATCTTGTTTTTGGGTTATTATCAAAAACAGTAAGTTATCTATCATTTTAGAAAAGTTTTATTGGAGATATTGTATTAATTCTTTTAACTATTTTTGCATTTGAGATTTTGTATAATTACTCGAGGGATTTTAGGGCTTCTATCGCTTGAGGTGAAACTTACCTATATGACTAATTTAATTAAACAGTATTCATTTCAACGTTAATTAACTTTATTAATAAAATTTTATATATATATAATATTGATTTGATTAAAAATTAATAGAGTAATCAATCTACTTTAACTTATCAAAAATGTAAATTTATTTTAAATAATTATATGTTTTAAATCTGTTGTTGTAATTGTAATCAGATATTCTTTAAGAAATAATAATAATATTATTTAAGTATTTTCATGTTTAATTCTATTTTATTATTGATCATCTTCTTTTTTTTTTTAAATGATTATTGGAAATTTTATAATCACTTATGGAATAATTTTTAATGCCTTTCCTTTTTGTTATTCAAAATTCATATATTTAATTAATAATAATGTTTTAGTATAGTATTATATATATTAAATAGATCTTTAGCGATAATAAAGATTTAAATGTGAAAGAGAACTTAATGTGTTTGTTATTTATTTAAGGAATTAATTAAATACAAAAAATAATAAATTAATAACATTAGGTATTATTAGTAAATGAATAATATTAGTAAATTTGTATTAAATCTTGTTACTCCTTTCAGCTAGAATTATTTCAAATATATTCTAAACTTTAGTTTTACAAATAATTTTGAAAAACAAAAAGCTAGAATTATATTATTTTTTTATTTAATTTATTTTCAAATAGTAATTTATTCATAAAATAAAATTCATTTCTTATCAATTATAATTATAATCAATACAAACTAGAATCCAAATTTTGTATTTTAACTATATAGTAAGTAACTATTACTAACTTTTTTGTGAATATTGGAATTTATGAGAACTGAAAATTTTTACTTTGTAAATATACATGTTATTTAAAATAATGTATATAAAGAAGGAGTGAATCAGTTCGAAATAATGTTGAATAGAAAAGTTTAAGATGGATATTTGTTTTATGGGTACTATGTATCCTATATATATAATGAACTCTAAATGGAATTGATCGATCAATGAATTGTGAATTTTAAAATAGTGATTAGAGAGTATATTCAATAGAGTCAGAATTTTAGGTTTTAAATGCTGGATTATAAGTGATAAGAGGGTAAATGTGGCTATTTTAGAAGAGATCAATTTTGGAAAAGAGAAAAGCATTGATTTTGATAAAATTATAGTTCATCAGTTAATTCCTATATTCAGTAATACTTAATGATATGATTGGAATATAAGTTTATTTGATTTAATTAGATGAAGTCTAATTTCCAATTGGATTTATATTCTTAATTTATTATATAATTGGTTATAGATGACGGAAGAGAATATAGAGATCACAACGTTTTCTCAGTTTATGTCCAGTTTCGAAACGTTATTGGTAAAGGCGTTACCTACAGTTATTGGAATGGTAAGAGATGGAGATTTATGAAAATAGGAATTGAGTATTCTTACAACGTTAGTGAATATGTATTTCATTATAGGAAGAGACAGTAATTATTTATGATTATTGAAGACGTTATTGGAATAGGCTTTGGGACAATATATGTGAATTTATTAGTAAAAGGCTTGTTGCTTTGTATGAATTCTAGCATTACTACTATTATGACTAGATAGTTTAAATAGCATCAATATGTGAAGATTGGGATCTCATATTAAAGATCTTTATTATTGAATGGTGTTTTTCTGATTGTGATAACCCCTGCTATAGCTGGTTCAACATATATCCTTTCCTAATTCAATATTCCAATGTAGGTTATTCTAATTATAAAAGAATTGTAGCTTAGAAAGCTATTCAATATGTATGGGAAATGCTACCTGCATTGTATGCATTCACATATTTTGATTGTACAAAGAATTATTTGAAGTCAATGGGAATTGATTATCCAGTATTAGTGATACACACATTTACTACAGTAAATTATTAGATTAATATTAAAAGATTTTACATATATATTTATCTAAGTAATTCATAGTATATATGGATCTTGGTATAAGAGGAGCAGCATGGTGTAAGAATTTTTCAAGTTGTGCATCTACTTTGCTTTTATATATTTATATCTTTAAATATTAATAAAATCATCCTGCTTGGATTGAATGGGATAGAAGAACTTTAAAATCGATCTTTTAATTTTCATATGGTTTATTACATTCCTCTTTCAAAAACTATTTGTAAAATGTTTCTTTTGAAATAATGGGATTTGTTGCATTGTGGCTAACATATGAAGAATTCTCGGTTTGTGTGTGTCTCATTTTCACAGCATAAGCATTATATATGTTTTTTTTGGGTGTAGCAATGACAGCTGCTTCTAGAATAAGGAGACTGTTCAAAGATCAAGAATATGAAAAGGGAAGAAAACATGTATGGCATTATTTAGCAACAAGTTTAATGACTGGAATATTATTAAGTTTCTTATTAGTAGTATTTAAGAAATAATGGATTGCTTTATTTTATATGGATAATGAAACATCTCTTATTTTGTCAAATAACTTAAAATTGTTCTTACCTACTCTTACAATTGGTGGAATGTAAATAATGTTAGCTAATTTATTGGGTGCTTTAGGAGAAGTAACATTTACTATAAATGTTCAATTATTATGTTAATATGCTATAGGAATAGGTACTGGAATCTATTGGGGATATTATGAAAATTATGGATTGAAAGGTTTATGGTTTGGATGGGCATGTGGATTATCAGTGAGCGCTTTAGTCTTATTCTTGAGATTAATTATGTTGAATTGGGAGAAAAGTGCTACTTAAATGTTCATTGAAGTTAGAGAAGAGACAAATTAATTAAAATAATCAATGAATTGATGGATTTTAATCAGAATTATATAGTTTATTAATCATCCAATTCTAATCTCTTTATTTGTCTCATCAAACTAGCTACTTTATCATCTCTCAATTCTCTTTCTTTTGCTTCCCACATCCAAAATTCATCTAATTTTTTCTATGTTTCGCTTATATGTTTATTAATATTCTATTGTAATCTTTCTCTTTATTTAATTTTCTCTTTAAATTCTGAAGCATATCTAATTATTATTATTAAATAAATACTTCATCATTTATTCTTCTAAATCTGTTGGACCTTAAGTAGTGATGAATTGGTCTTACAATTTTCTTAAATTCTATTCTACCATATTTTCAAATGGAATATTATATTTTGCTACCTTGTTTAGTACATCTACCTTATCCTATTCTAATTTATTAAGACATTTCAGATAATATGGATCATTAGTAGCCAAATTACCAGTGTCACTCATTATTTCAGCTTTTATATTACTATATCGTTGCTAATTAATTTCTTCATAATCCTTTAACATCTATGCCTTATCTTCTTCAATTTGTAACATTTGTTTGGTCAAATCTTTTTATTCTTTATCTTTTTTATGAGTCTAAACTTTAGTTTATTAATAATTCTATCTATTAATTTATTCAGTCTTTTTCTTTTACCCTGTTTTTAACTTTTAATTATCCTAATTCAAAATTTCATTTAATGGAATTCCCATCATTTTTACATACTTCTGAAGTTTATCAGCAGACACATACTTCTTTAACTTTTAATAATGATAAGCACTAACTATATACTTTATTTCATTTACAGATGTGCAAAAGATTATGCTCTTTCAATTTCTTTAATTTCAATTCTCCTCAATCTTTTATCATCAGTCTTAGTCTATTTTAATCTAATATCATCTAAAATTTCTATCCACTTATATAATACTTATCTTTCTTCTTAAGTAACATCTTCTTATTCCAATCTTTTCATAATATCCTTTTCCTATATCCTAGGTTCAGCTTACAAATCATAATCATTAGCTCCATATATTATTTCTCTCATTTCATAAGGATTAATCTTATCCTTATATTTAGCCTTCAAATATGTATGTACTGCATTATAGTCATTTGCCTTAAATCTCAATTCCTTATCAGGTTTTGTAGCTCCCAATATTTCTAACTTAGCATCCATTTCTTTCCAAGCTTCTTTGAGATTCAAACTCTCCTCTAAAATACCCTTATAATGTAATAATTCCTTATAAGTTTCACTATCAACATTATACAGAAATTCTTATCTAAACCTTTCTGGTACTCCTTGCTCTTCAGTTGGAATCATTTCCTCCAACGGAATTTGAATCCTTTAATACTCAGCTTTATCTAAATCACCATGCAATTTCACTAATTCTCTCTATCTAGTAGGTTAAGGTTTCTTCTTTTAACCATCTACAATAACACGATTAACTTTCTATCTTATCTAAGGCTGAGCAGTTATAGGCTTTCTAATTTATTCTAATTCTTATCTTTCCTTCTATACAGATTCTTTAACCTTCAACATTCTCTGAAACTATTATTCCTTAAACTCTCCTTCTCTTATGACTGGATGCTGAGCACTTAATTTATTACTTAGATCAAAAGTATTTCTATTTTCATCATGTAATATCTTGGTTATAATCTTTTATGCAGGTATTGCTTATTAAGGTATAGCAACTGGAGAATGAGTTTATTATTTTTGATGACTCTTAAATAATTATTAAGTTGATGACTTCTTTACTTATCTTGTTGGAGTTTCTTTATCACTTTCACTACTTTCATTCTCCATTACTTCTATTCTCTATTATCTATTCTGTTATTAAACTTTTCTTTATTGAACTACTTCCCTATTCTTACTCTCTTCCTTTGCCTTTTTCCTATAATAACTAATTGGCTTGGCTTCTACTTTACCTACTGTCTTAGGCCCTTTCATTTCTACACTCTCTTGACTTGTACTTTATCTTTCTTAAGGACTATCTCCTTCACTTAAAGAACTTTCTGAAGATCTGTATATTCTATCCTCATCTCTACTTAAATTCATTTTAGGTTTTACTTTAGTAGTCATATACATTCTTCTGATCTCATGATCACTTTCACTTTCTTCAAATGAAGGATGTTTCTTTTTAATCCTTTCTATTTATTTTCTATGTTTCCTCTCTAATTTCTGTTTTTTTTATTCTTCAAATTCCTTCTTTTACTATTTAAATTCCTCTATTCCTATTGTAAACTCTGAATCCTTGTACTATACATCTAATGGAGTTTCCCAAACAGAGAATTTCTTCTAATCCAATTTCTTTACTTTTTTAGCCTTCAATATCTCATCTGGATCATTAGATGGTTTCTCTTCCAATAATCTTTGAACTCTCTTTATGTATTTTTATATGTATTCATTATGCAATTTAGATTTCTTAGCATGTTTATATTTTTAAGTCTCAGAGTTCTCTACTTCTAATGCTAACTTATAATTGTCAACTCCTGTCACTCTCATAATGTCCATCTTCGATATTTAAGTACCATTCAAATATTCTAAATTCTTAAACCTCGTCTTTCTTGGAACTGGACACATCTCTAAACAAAACTTTCCCAAAGTATTTTTATGAGAGAACTTAGAAACAGTATTCATTAATTCTTCTGGTTTGAATTCTTCAGGTGCTCTCTATATAGATCTTAAACATTTCTTCTCCTCCTAATATTAGGCTTCTGTCAATCTACAAACAGGAAGTTAATTATATGATGCTGTAAATACTTTAACAGGATTGTATTTCACATATCTCTTAGGACATAATAATTGCTATATTTAAGTTATCCTAAGTAGATATGTACTCACATAATTCCCTTAATAATCTAAAACTGATAAATGTGGTAAGTTCATATCTGCAATATCATCTAATTCTTCAATCAGATTATTGGAAAGATCTAAAATTGTAAGAGACTACAATTCTTTTGCTACTAATTTTCCAGGAAATCTTTGAATCTGATTCCCATTCAATACCAAAACCTTAAGATGTGTGAGCAGTTGTAAACATAATACATTTGGCATTTATGTTGCTTTTTCATTTGATAAATCCAATTCCTCTACTTATATTGGTTCAAAACTGGGATCATGAAAGAGTTTCTTTAATTTTTCATACTACCCATAATCAAATGATTCATATTTGACTTTATTTTGAACTTTATTTATTTCCATTAATAAATATACTATTCATAGATACTCATTTCTCTATATTCTCTCAATTATTTCAACTAAATTCATACTTAGAATATAAATAGTAATTTCTAATCTCCTCCTATTTTGGAATTCCAATAAATTGTATCAAAAATTTATTCAGAATAGTATTTAGACCATATATACAAATAAAACAGAAATCTTTAAATTCTAGTTAATGATTGATTTCAAAATTAGTAACAAAAACAAAAAAACATAAAAATTCTTATAATATTAATTATTTTTATTTGTATTAATTTTTCATCCATTTAGGTTTTTTTCTTTATTATGAAAGATTAAATTTTGATTCCCCTATCATTAATTTTTAAATATATAATATGATGATACATAATATAAAGAATTACAATTTTGAGTAAGTTAAATATTTTGCAACTTATAATGTTTTTTTATGAACAAAATGACATCTAAATTTTCATAGTATTACAAAATCTAATTTTAAAAGAATTTTTCTCTAAAATAAAGTCATTGTTAGCTTATTATTAGATATATAGAGTGATATACATAATTTAATTGATATTAGCCAAAGAGTTATTTGCATTATTAAATTATTTAAAATTTTTTATAATACATATCTGATTTCGTACCTAATTGCTTATGAAATCCGTTTTTATTATTAATAATTATGATTAGCGGAGTTGCTGTAATATGGGTACTTTTAGAAGTATTAAGTAGCAATGATTAGTATAAATTTTAGTTGCTAAATCCTCTTTAATTAATATACAATTTTTGGCCAAGATCGATATAGAATCATATGGATGTGACAATAATATGTTAATAGAAGCTGAAGAAGGGTTAAAATAATTAAATTAGACTATCCATTATGTATAAATAGGAAAAATAGAAGAATATATTAATGAATTAAGAGAATTATATGTATTAGTCAAAAGGGAACTAGATGAATAGCTTTTTTAAACATTTGTTTAGATAGAGAATTTTCAGTACTCTTATCTATTTAAACAAAAGTTTGACTCTTTAAAACATATCGAAATCAAAGATAAATTGATAAATCCACAATTTGAGGATATCAGGTCTTTGATTAATTAAATCATTAAGACTTTGGATAAATAAAAGAGGAAAACAAATTGCGAGATCCTATCATAAAAAATAGAAATTTTATTAGAATAACTTACTTATATAGAGGTAGAAGGCTAAAATCTTAATGATATAAATTTTGAAGAATTAATCAGTAAAATCCAAAAAATTAGAAATAAATGTGATAATGATCTAACTAGTTAGTAAATAAAAACAGTAGATTTATAATTAAGTAAAGATGAATAAACTCAATTAAAAGATATTTTTATAGAACTTCCAGAATAACTTTAAGTAATAAAAACATCTTTTTAAATTGAAAATGATGATTAAATTAACTTATCAATTGATCAAGAATTAATAATGAGCTAATTTTGTGTAAAAGGTGAATCTTCAATTCTAGATATGTTTTCAAGTCAGAAACATATTATAGATCTAAAAGTTAATGATTCTAAATTAGAAGGAGTAATCGAATATGGATATGGTTATTGGATTCGATGGCTTACAAAATGGCCTGAATAATAGAAAGAAGGGATTAGTAAGCCATGGTATTTCATATCAAGATTGACAAAAAACGATCCATATGATAATATAAGTATGGGTGATAGAATATTGGCTATTTGGTTAGGTTAATCTGGATATACATTTGTTACTAATGATGTAACATCACAAAATCCTAATTTATAAAAAACATTGTCTTATTAAGATATTGAAGGAGTATGGACATATATTCATTTTAGTTATAAATAAAGTTAAGCAATTGGAATATTAAGAATTGAAGAGGAAACTAGAATGGTTGTTTTTGATGCAATACATGAATAACCTAATTTCTTAAGATTAATCATAGGTGGTTCAGATCTTAATTAATATCCAGGATTTAATGGTTAGATCTCATCACCTATTTTTAAATTAGGTGCTGGATCTTTCATTAATACAGAAGATGATTTTAATAGATTTGTAATGGCATGTAATCATAAACCAGAACCTGATTGTAGAGACAAAAGTCAAATAATATAATTAAGTTAAGGAATTAAAAAATATGATACATCTTAATCATAATTTTATGAACACTTTAATAATTAAAAATAAAAGTTTCCAACTATATATGGAATTGGAGGTTGGTATAAATGTGTTGAAATTGATTAATAATCTGAAAATTTAGCATTCAGAATTACAATTAATAATTAGAAGATAAATAATAATGTTGAAGAATTAGGAGATAGAACACTTGTTGTTTGGTTAAATGAGAAATAGTAATATACATTTTCTACTTATACCTATTTCAATATGTATGGAAGTGGATAATCAAATATTGTTTAATTTATTGAACATAAGGATAAACATACTTAATGGCATTACATTTCATTTTAATATAATAGAGAGATACGTTAAGCTTATGGTTAAATTATATTCAAAGATGAGAAAATGAATCTTAAATTTCAAAATATTAATCATTATTTAGTCCCAATTTTTAGAATTTTCATTGGTAATGATTAATTTTATTCTGGATTTAATGGATATATTGCTGATGTAAATTATGTTACATGCTAAGATTTATATAATTAATAATTCAATCCATCAAAGCCACCTGACTTAATAAATCATATCACTCTGCCTATTCAAGTACCTGAATTCAATTCTGAGTATTAATGTTAAATATCTGATAACACTATTATTGATTCAGCATATGATGACATATAATCAATTGCAGAAATTGAAGTATCAGATAATAATCTAATTGAAGGATATGGATATTCATTTTGGTTAAGATATCTTACTAGGTATCCAAAACCTATGTATTAAGGAAAGACATAACCATGGTATTTTGTAAGTAGATTGACAAATAATATAAATTATTAAGATACTGAAAAAGGAGATAGATTATTAGGAATTTGGTAAGGTTAAGGATTTTACACATTTTTCACTAATGATTATAAAACAAATAATTGGAATTTAAATTAATAAATTGAGTATTATGATATTGAGGGAGTTTGGACATTTTTTTACTTTAGCTACAGCAACACTTTCAATAAAGCTGTAGGTTTTATTAAATATTCTGACTAAGACTCTTAATCTATTACAATTAATGCATATCATGAAACTATTATCTATTTAAAACTTATTATTGGTGGTTCTGATCTCTCAATATATCCAGCTATTAATGGGTAATTCACTAAGGCTACTTTTAAGATAGGTTCTACAGCATTTATTGATACAATAGATAAATTAAATAAATATGCATTAGAATGTAATCCATAGCCAAATGAATTCTGTGATTAATATGATTAACAAATTGTTATTGAAAATATATAGAAGTTTTAAGAATAACAGAATTTTTTATCAGAAATTCAGTCTAATTCTTAAACTCAATTTCCAAATGAATACAGTGTTTTTGGTTGGTTCAAATGGGAACCTACAAAAATGGAATTATGGCATTTGGCATTTCGTTTGCATATTAATAAAGAAGAGACTAATAAAAATGATGAAATTTTAGGTGATAGAACTTTAGCTGCTTGGGTCTCTCCTTCACAAAATGGTATATATGCAATGGCTACATACAGTTATAAGAATTTAGATGGGAATGGAGAACCAAATATTGTTCAGATAATACCTTAAGACTAATAAGAAACAAAATGGCATTTTATTTTCTTTTCTTATGATAGAATAAGAAGAATTGCTGGAGGATATATAAAATTTTAGAATAAATAAGAATCTATTCATTTTGATAATATTAATCATTTTTTAGTACCTTAGTTTTATTTAAATATTGGTAAAGATCATTTCTACAAATCTTGGAATGGTTATATTGGGAAATTAACTATGAATCTATGCAATGGAGCATCAAAGTATAGTATAAATGAAGGTAGTTTAAATAAAAATATTATAGACTTTATGAATCCACCAATAAACACATATCCAAATTTTTATGTTACAGAAACTAAAGAGTATATATTATATTTATATTTAATAAGAATTTGTCTGATTGATACTAAAATAATTTAAGTTACTTAAGAGAATTTAAGTAGTGTAATTAATGCCCTTTAAGAGGAAGAGACAAAAGAAAAAGTTTGTTTCTGTTCATTAATGAATGATTGATAGCATTAATAAATCAATAGTACTTTTTAATTATAATTTTGTCTTAACATCTTTTTAATTATTACTATTTATATAATTGATAATCATATCATTTATAGATTACCTCGTATGCTGGATATGCTCTTCTTATGTCCATTGAGTATAGTATAAATACATCACTTCCATTAGTATTACCTTAAATACAATCAAAACCTTATGATGGTCTTTTAATAGCGCCATCTGGTTGTCTTATTTCAACTTTTCCAGTTGTCACCAAACAACATAAAAATACTAACTTACCAATATTTTGTTAACCATCTGTTAATTAAAATTAATAAGAATAATTTCTAGAATAACTAGCATTTTCTGCAAAATAGATACCAGCACCCCACATACCAACCTATTTTTAAATTAATAATTACATTGCTGTATGTTTAATCAAATGCTTCTTTTAAACCTGAATAGATAATTTAAGGATGTGATTATCTAACTCCATGCCATAAGTATCTTTCTGTTTGAATAGGTGATAATATTATCCCTTATTATTTATGTATTTCTATTAATTTATTTTTTTCGGCAATGTAATTATCCCATAAGGATTTATTTTAAATTCTATAAATTTCATATATATTTCCATTATCAGTCTTTCTAAATAAGGTTTATATTTTTTAGTATTCATCTGAGTCTGATCTTAATAGAACTTTCTCCATATTTTGATTTTATGGTTTCCAAGTTTCAGGATATGATTTTTCTTAGATTTTTATTGATTTAATATAATTAATAATCTTAGTTTACTTTTTTTCAAAAATCTTAATAGAAATCTTTTCCCCTTATTTAAATTTACCATTAATAGATAATGCAATTTATTAAATAAATAATTATAATTCCTTAAGTCCAGCATCTGAAATATTAGGAACATCAAATTTATATTCTAATTTTGATTTATCTAATTCAGATTTAATAATTTTATAAATGGTTTCATTAAGAGACCCATCAAAAGATTATAGTGTTAATTAATCATAATTAGATTTTTATTAAACTAATTTTAAAATTTGGTTCTAAGTTTCAATTAAATTAAAATTCTTACCAACTAATTTATTACTTTTAATTTATGCCTTACTTTTTTTTGGTTAATATAAAACAAATTTTATTTATCTCTTATATTAAGTTTCTTAATTCATTTAATACATTCCTCCAATCTTAAATTCTACAAAATGTTTTTTGAAAAAAATGTCAAATTTATTAATATTATTCATTTCTTAAAGTAGCAAATATTCATTTAATTAATCATCTACTATATCCTCATCAAAATAAAATCTTTTTGAATTAAATATATTTTTTGTAATTATTTTTTTTGTAGTTTTTAATGAGATATCTGTAATTGTTTAGTTTTCTAAATTAATAGTATGAGTTCCAGGTTATTTTGAATATGGAAAATTCAATAATACTTTCTATTCTTTACCTGTATATAAGAATTATTCATATGCTTCATCAATCTATTTATTAATCTCATCATCATCATAATCTTAAAAATTGTGATTATCTTACCATTACCATTAATATTTTACTTCCCTCTCCTTAACAGGTGGTTTTAATAAATTATTGAGTATTTTAGTCAACCAATCAACTCTTATATCTATCAACTCTACTATGTAAATAGTTTCAATTGTATTCTTTTAAAAATACAATTAATTTATTGTAGTATTCAAAACGACTTAAGCAACTTAATTATAACTATATCCACATGCTCCACCTCCAAATATAGGAAGAGTTAAAGTCTTTATATCTAAATCTTTAATTTCTTTAAATATTGCCTAAATGTTTTCTTAAATGATTAACAAATCATCATCTGTCACTTATCCTTAAGAGTATACTGGTGTAGCTACATTAAGTATATATTTAATCTATCGATCATTTGGCATCTTATAAGTGAAAACAACTCCTGTTTCTAATTCATAATACTTTCTAATGTAATCCTAACAAGCTGATTAAAATTATGTTCCTCCTAATTAAAAGATACTTTAAGCAACACCAGTCAATTATAAAGAATTACCAAAAGACATTTTATTATTACAAGAATTCACTATTGCATCACATTAAATAGTTGATATGTCACCATAAATTATTTAAATCTTTTTATTTTAATATTCCAATGTACATGCTGCTGATTTCTCTGATTAAGATGATCCTTAAGTTTAAGTTGAAGTAGAAATTAGTATTTCATTGTTTTTTTCTAATTTTTCTAATACTTATTTACAGTTTTTATAAATAAATTTGACTTCTTTGTCAGAAAATTAACAAGGTTTGATTACCAATTAATTTTTTAATTCTTGGATTTTTTTTATTATCTTCTCTTTTTCTTATTAAATCTGCTTTTTAGATGCTTATAACATTATCTTATTATCTTAAGGAAAACTGATCACTACCTTATTTTCATCATCAACATTATTTTATTACATATTATTGACATTTTACGATTTAATTTTATTAAAAATCAATTTATTATCACAATCAATAATTGTTGATGTTTAATTCTCTTTCTTTGATTATTCAAACTACTTTAACATTTATTTTATTTCTTCTAAATTCTCTTTTCTTCCAATAATCTCAAAATCTTTTTACTTATTTGATATTGCTACCACAACTTAATATTACTGTTCAAATTAAATCTCTTTCAGTCCTTAAAATGATAAAAAATCTTTATAATTTATCTTTGAGAATTAATGATAATCTAAATTTTCTAAAAATTCACTAACTTTTGTATTTATATTTGTAAATTTGAATACCTCTGGATTAAAATATACTTCAATCATAACAGATTCTGTATTTTAATCAATATCAATCAATTAAATTAAACATTATCCAAATTCAGAAGCAATCTCATTAAAAATTCCTCTAAATAATTTTGAAATTGAATTTAACTTACTCTTTAATACCTTTAAAACATCTTTATCACATTCATATTTTATAATCTTACATTCAAATTATTATAATAAAGTTTCTATTTTGTCTTTTTTTTCGTAAATTACATCTTAATGACCATTAAGCTCTATTGTTAATTCATCCTTATCTTCTTTTGTAATACATTCTTTTGAATTATTTTAATTTTCAAAGAGCTAACCTAAATATTTATTCCATAACTTTATTTGTTCTTTATCTATGATCTTAATAATAACTGGTGGATTGTAGATTTCATTTAATTTTTATTTAATTAATTTAAGTTTCTAATTAATAATATTTTCTGTTTAATAACCTTCTATCCATAATTACAATTCAGCTTATACTAAGTACTTTCCTTTATTTTATAAATTAAATATTGGTGTAGTAACTGTTATTTCTATAAATTCTTGTGCTTATAATGCTTGTATACATTTGTCAATCTCATTAATATCCTTTTGTGGGTAACAATCAATATCAAAATTTTCTTTAACATTTTTTATATATTAGGGATCCTGAAGAAAATTCTATAGTTTCTTTTATAAAACTGAGATGCTCTCATTTTAAACTTAATCAAATGAATTTATAATAAATATTTCCTTATTTTTTTTTTATAATGCCAATCCAGCATTATATAAAATTTATGTATCTTTCAAGGTTATTAGATTAAGTTCAGATGCCAAAATTATAATTGGTTTCTGTAAACCAAGTTCTTTGCAAAATGATTGATTGATTCTAGGTACTTTTAATAGTTTGATTTTTGAAATAGCTTCAAATTCTGATTTACATGATTCTATCAATATAGTGTAATTATCCCATGTTTTTTAGAAAATAGAATAAAATTTTTTTGCAAATCCTTCACTTTTTGGGTCTAGTGGATTTATTTTATATTGATATTTTTGGTAGTTAATTAATATTTTGGATTTGTGATTTTCAGCCTCTTGGTAAAGATTTTCAATAAATAGACTATGTAAAATAACCATTTTATCCAATTATGAAATATTGTTTTCCTATTGTTCTTTAACTTAGTAAGTCCTATTTTCACGATAATAATCTTCCATATCACTTTCTTATATTTTTAATTTCAATTGTTAGATTTCTGAATAAATTTCACCCAAATGAGATTACAATATTGGATTGATATTAGTAAGTTTAATTTCGATGTCTGCATATCCAAAAAAAAAATCTATTAATCTGTGATAAGGTTTATAAAGAATATCTACTTATTCTTCTTTTGTAAGTTAAGTTATAATTGATTTTGGGACTTGAAAATTTCCAGACATTTAAGTATTATATTTTTATTATTAATTGTTTTAATTAATTTAAACATCTATAAAGCCAGATTCATTTTAATTTTAATTATTTAATTAATTATCTCCTTAATATATAATTCTTGAAGATTAAGGATATTATATCATTTATTATGAGTATGGTTATTCTTATTTTTGTTAAAACTACTAATTTATTTAGAATTAATTTTAATTATTAGGTGTAGGTTAAAGTGGAGGTGCAAGTTAGATTTATTATAGAGGGTATTACAATTATTATTAGTATGATTATTATTAATATTACTATTACTATTATTATTATTATTATTATTATTATTATTATTATTATTATTATTATTAGGTAATTTATGAATTTTTGGAATAGTTATAATTAAACTAATATTCTTATTACTGATGATTCTTTTAATTATATTAAGGATATTGAGGCTGCGATTCAAATACCTGTGAATTCATTTTTTGATTATTACTTTCATCAGGTTTTTTTTCAATATATTAATCATAATATTAATTTGAAGGCCTTTATTCATAGATCTCACGTTATTAGTTCCTTCTATNTATCAATATAGTGTAATTATCCCATGTTTTTTAGAAAATAGAATAAAATTTTTTTGCAAATCCTTCACTTTTTGGGTCTAGTGGATTTATTTTATATTGATATTTTTGGTAGTTAATTAATATTTTGGATTTGTGATTTTCAGCCTCTTGGTAAAGATTTTCAATAAATAGACTATGTAAAATAACCATTTTATCCAATTATGAAATATTGTTTTCCTATTGTTCTTTAACTTAGTAAGTCCTATTTTCACGATAATAATCTTCCATATCACTTTCTTATATTTTTAATTTCAATTGTTAGATTTCTGAATAAATTTCACCCAAATGAGATTACAATATTGGATTGATATTAGTAAGTTTAATTTCGATGTCTGCATATCCAAAAAAAAAATCTATTAATCTGTGATAAGGTTTATAAAGAATATCTACTTATTCTTCTTTTGTAAGTTAAGTTATAATTGATTTTGGGACTTGAAAATTTCCAGACATTTAAGTATTATATTTTTATTATTAATTGTTTTAATTAATTTAAACATCTATAAAGCCAGATTCATTTTAATTTTAATTATTTAATTAATTATCTCCTTAATATATAATTCTTGAAGATTAAGGATATTATATCATTTATTATGAGTATGGTTATTCTTATTTTTGTTAAAACTACTAATTTATTTAGAATTAATTTTAATTATTAGGTGTAGGTTAAAGTGGAGGTGCAAGTTAGATTTATTATAGAGGGTATTACAATTATTATTAGTATGATTATTATTAATATTACTATTACTATTATTATTATTATTATTATTATTATTATTATTATTATTATTATTATTAGGTAATTTATGAATTTTTGGAATAGTTATAATTAAACTAATATTCTTATTACTGATGATTCTTTTAATTATATTAAGGATATTGAGGCTGCGATTCAAATACCTGTGAATTCATTTTTTGATTATTACTTTCATCAGGTTTTTTTTCAATATATTAATCATAATATTAATTTGAAGGCCTTTATTCATAGATCTCACGTTATTAGTTCCTTCTATCGTTGCCATTATTTTTATTTTTATTTTTTTTGTAATTTTTTAAAGGTTGGTTTGGATCATTTTACATTTTTTATTAATAATCAACTTTTATTAATCCTCCATATGAATCAAATTCATCTTTAATTTAATTATGCTTGTATGAGAACCCCCATTGATTCATTTTAAAAAATTATACAAAATTTAATAATAAGATGAGTGTTTTTAATTATGAATCATTTTAAGCTTATTGTCATTGATGTTTGATTAGATCTTCAATAAAATATCTATCACTTAATATCAGCATCATTATTAATCAATATGGAACATAAAATAATCATAGAAATCTAAATTTAGAGTTTATATTATTATATATATTGCTAAATGGTGAAAATTAATGATAAATTTAAAATATGATGATATTCTCTTTAATCACCTATCTCAATTGTGATTCAAAGAACATTAGATTAAATTTAAAATTAATGAACTTCAAGTATAATTACTTTAACAATATTAATTAATATTATTACTTTATATAAAGTAATTTTTGATGCTAGATGCTCAATTATTAGATAAAGTTCTCCCTGTTGCTTAAATGTAGTCAAAATTGATCATCATATTAGAGTGGCTTCCAGTTAGCCATAGGTGAATAAATTATTTAATGAAATGAGACAGAGTGCATATTCAAATAGATCATGGATGACAACCAAATTAAATTCAAATCCAAGAATTAGAATCAAAACTTAAGAATAAGTCTTCTCTAATCCTGATAACTCTAATTCTTATACATATTAAAGATAGAATTCTTAAAGATCAAAATAGAGTGTAGGACCAGGTTCTTATGAGATTTAACATCCAGCACATCTTCAATATAATCGTCCTTGCATTAGTTTTACTAAAAGTTAAAGAAAATGGTTATAACAATTTTAAAATCCAGGACCTGGATAATATAATATTTTATAGAATAAACAATCAAAAACATTTGTTTTCAATTCAAGACATTGTAGTGAACATTATTAAGAATTTCCAGGTCCTGGTACCTATGATTTAATTCATAAATCTTGTAGAAGTATATCCTTTGGCACTTCAAGAAAGTTATCTGAAAATAATTCTAAATTTATTACACCTGGACCTGGAGCTTATAAAATAGATTACAAAGTAGAAAGAAAAAAAATAGATAGAATAGAGAGACTTCTCAAACCTAAACTTATGGTTAGATCTTATTATAATAGAAAAGAGGATAAATATATCTAAGAATTAATCAAATAAAAAGAAGAAAAAGAAAAAGAAGTTGTTAATTTAAGACCAAAATCAGCAATCTAAATTAAATAAGTGGCAAGAAGAAAAAAAATGGAAAAAATTAGAAAGAGTAGTCATGATAAATTTGGTCCTCCTGGTCCTGGAAGTTATGATATAAAAGATTTCATTGAAATTGATCAAGTTAATAAGAAAAATGCAAAAAAATAAAAATAAAATTAAGAAGAAAAATAAAAACTAAATGATTCTTTAGGACCTGGTAGCTATGATATTAAAGATTTTCTTTATTAATCTGAATATATTAAAAAAGGTAACACTAATACAAGCTTTGGAAAATCAAGAAGATTTTAAGTTGAAAAGCATTCAGAATTAGGACCTGGAAGTTATGAAGTAGTTGAAGATTAATAGTGAATCAAAATTATTTAAAAAGTTTTCAAAAAAATAATATTATAGTATATTTGAAAACACAACATCTTTTCTAATATATATTTTTTTGAATCTATTAAAATAATTGACAATCTAAGTGAGTCTTTTGAAAAAGATTTTAAAAATTGAATTATTATATTAATTTTTTTATTTGAAATATATTAATCATTATAATTAAGGAGGATAATTCTGAATAATTGAAAAAATACTATAGAGAGTTTTTAAGAGTGCCTTATATAATAATCGTAATTTTTTAATGAATAGATTTACAACTAGTATTCTTTTTCATTTATTTAATAACTAATTTAAAAAATCTACTTATAAGACATATAGATTTACAAATATAAGATTAGGTTTATTGAAAAAATGAAAGTATTATAATGATTAGGATTATATTATAATGTTTAATTATTATTATATAGAATTATAAGGAGAATACATTTACAAAAATGAATGTAAAATTAAAATAATAAACAAGGATTAATAAAAATTGTATATGATTCTTGATAATTTTATTTAATATTTATATTATTTAATTGAAGGTATAATTGTATATGGATATCAAATCTTATTAATAGAGAAATCTATCTATCTTAGAATTAAGATTATTATTATTGATTCGTAATTCTAATTTTGTAAATAATCGTTCTTAATTAATTAGATATTATTTTTTAATAAATATTAAAGTTTTTAATATGTTGTAATTGAGATTGAGATATCTAATTTAACTTGAAAAAGTCTTAAATAAGTTGATTAATAGTATAATGTATAAATATAATTTCAAAATAATGTACATGCGATGAATATATTTCAATATATCATCTCTTTAAATTTGGCATTCAAATTTTTAGATTTCTTGGGTGATTTGTTTGTATGTTATGAATGATTTAAAGATTAAGATTGAGGATCATGAGTAATTTAGACTTTAGATGTAAGCTGGAACTTACCATAATAATAAATTTTACATTTTCTTACAAATTTTAGGTCTGTTAAATAGGATTTAGAGATGGTTATCTTTCTAAATCTAAGAATAAATCATCCATTCTATCCTAATCCCCAACAATGTTACAAACAAGAGGAGTAAATTAAACTGATTAAATATTGGGCTATGATGTTGTTTCAATTTAATCATCATCTTTATTTTGATACATGCTTTGTGATTTAACTTAACAACTTCCCATATTGAATTACTTTAAAAAATTTATTATTGGACATTAAACTTATTGTAATCCATATAAATCTTTGTCAATTAAATACAGATTTTGGCTTCAATAAAAAATTAGAAAAACATTTAGAATCATTAAATTACAGATTAAATTAAATGTTTTAATAATATATTACTTTACTCAATATAATCAATATTATTTATTTTAACAATTATGATATTAATATTGGTTATCTTATAATAATAATCAAAATTTTGCTTTTCTTATTTAAAAATATTTTGATTCTTCATCCCATATCACCAAGTATTCACCATTTGGTGATAATGAACCATAATTACAATAATGACCGACTTCAATTACTTAAGAAATTAAAAATTAATCATTTATTAATTTTTTCAAAACATATACATATCTTCCATGTTTATTTATAACAATTTATTTATTTTCATTATAAATAGATGGAAAGAAGTTTTAATATCCATTACTTTATTTTAGTAATTAAATATTTTAATTACTCTATTCAAATTAATCTAAGTTGCTGTTCAATTAATATATTATTGATTAATTAATATTTCTTGGTTACCAAATCAAATAATTGTTATCAACAAAACATATTCTATATCCATAGTCATCATTCTAAATTATTTATTTCAATTTCCATTCTTTAAATTCATCTATTTCCCAAACAATAATCATCTTATCTTCACCAGATGATACAAATAATTCTTAAGATTTGCTAAAACTAATACATCTAACATAGGCTTAATGATTGTTTAGCACTTATACCTATATCCATTTTTATTATTCATTTTTTCTCCATACTCTTATTGATTTATCACAACTACAAGATAATATTTAATTGCCTTTATTATCAAATAATAAACAATCAATTTATCTCTTATGTCCTAATAATATCTAAGTACAAGTCCATTAATTTTCTACAATTTACCAATATCTAATAGATTTATCTGTACTTCCAGATATAAATTCTGTTTTACTCAAACTAAAAAATAAAGAAATAACCAAATTTGTATGTCCAACTAATTATTATTTTTTATCAATTTTTCCATTATTGAATTCCCAAACAGTTATGTCATTTTAACAACTACTAATCATTATTTTATTATCGTGATTAAATTATATGGCATGACAATATTATTCTTATGGAAACTTTTCTATTAATTCATAATTATTTTCATATTAAAGTTCCATTAGATTCTCTTCTATTATTTATTAATCTTTTTATTGAATTGTTGATTTTATCTATGCCGAGGCACTTCTTTACTAACGATTTTCATTAATGGTTGATAATGTCTACATATTAAATTCTTTGTATATTTCTTTGCTATTTTTATAATCTTGAGATTCATGTGTTTAATATTATTCAAATTAATTACTATTTGAATTATCTCGATTTTCAATTATAATTTAATTTATATTATGTATCTATTAATCTGATTAGCTTGTTGCTTAACTTATTTCTTCAGAATTACATAATGTAGATCTTAGATTATCATACAAGTTTTATTAGTACAATTATAATTATTATAATTATTACTTTAATTAAAATAGAATATTATCTTACATCTCTTGATATTCTTAAAAAATGATACTTTATTAATTTTCATATGATTTACTTATAATATCAATTCTATCATATATTTCATTATAATTCTGTTTTTAAAGATCATAATTATAAAAATTGGGACTTTTAAAAAATATTTATTTCATCATCAATATATTTTCTTCAAAATTAATCCTTAAATTCTTAACCTATTCTATAATTTAATTTTCAATTTTGATAATCTACTCCTAAACTTATTCATATTATTATTCTTTATCATGTATTTATTATTAGAAATAATTACACCTTCTCACTTCAAACTATTTCCATTTCTCTTAAGCTTTGGTTAATGAAATATATTAGGATGGCATACATTCTATGCAACATAACCGTTTATATTTCTCTGTCTCATTGTTCAAATCAAATAAAATTATTTCTTTACCATGTATTTGACAATTAAAATCCAATTTAGGTGTTCTCTCATTTACTTAATTATAAGAAATTTATTAAAGTAATTTATTTATTTAATTTTGAGACTTTATATTTTAATCTTTTATTTAATATTATTTTTTGAGATCTTTCGATATCAATAAGCAGTCCTATATTTCTTAAATTTTGCTTAATCTCTCTAATTCCTTGGATAACAATTTTATCCAACTAAATTCATCTTCCTTTTGTTATTATTAACCGTAACTGAGTTCATCACTAAATATCAATTAAATATAATCATCTAAAGTCTTTTCACTCTCTTCTTAATTATTTTGTTACCTAAGTGTTTTTTAATTTTCCTATTATAATTAGTTTTCAATCAATTGAATTCCTTTTTCTAATTAAACATTCATATCATTTTTCAACTAGTTCAAAGTATCTAGTATTTTACTAAGATTTGCTTTTATTAATTAATGCTTTTCAGCCTACAATTATTTAATAAAAGCAAGTTTAGTTTCATACAACTTTTAGATTTCATTTATTGGTAAAACAGGATATTAAGCATTTCCTGTTAAGCAATACACACACATAAGAATATCATTTAGTTACTTATTGGCAGACAATTTAATAGCAATTATTTCACTGTTGTGAATTCGACATATATTCTAAAAAATATTAGACAACATTAACACTAATAATTTATGAAAAGTAATTATCAAATTAATAAAAATATTATTAATGATTTTTCTCTAGTAAAGTACTCTTACATGCTTTAACTAAATTAAAATATGAGATTTTACAAATCATAAAATCTTACATAAAGTATAATTCTTAATATTTACATTAAATAAAATAAGAATAAATACTCATTCAAATTAAGAAAAGACATGTTAATTTAAATATACAAATTATTTTAGGTATTCATTTATTTTGTAATCATTAATCAATATTAATTTTTTGATAAATATAATCCAATATTTTAATGAACAGATTTAATCAATAAAATACCTTTATTCTTAAATGATTTCCTCATTCAAAATTTTATTCAAATCTATTATTATAAGAAATATAACTAATACATTTCTTATAATAATCATAAGTATATATATATAATAAATTTATAAAGTGGCGCTATGAGTACATCATCATTATTATATAATTCATTCTATCAAAAAGCAAATTTGCTATCGAATTTTCATCAACAGCTTTATTAGCCAAATTATTGATAATGAATATAAATAGAAATCTGTATTATCTTTATTTTCATAAGTTTAGAATTACATATTTTCATTTTCATTTTTATCATATTTCTAAATAAAATCTTATTAAATATTTTTGATGCATTTACTCAAATTATTTTTTTTCACTCCTTCTCTCCCTTTTAGATAATTAATAATTTAATAGGTACTTATATAATTTATCAAATTTATCAAAGATTTATATTACTAAAATAAAATAATATAAAAATCTGTGTATATCAAAAATATTTTTTTGAATGAAATATTAACTTAGTTATAAATTATGTATTTTCATTATCTTCTTGATAAACACCCAAAGGCAAATTTTAGTCTATCAAAAAAATCCATTTCTTATAATGGTCTCTAAGGAATAGTTCTATTTTATCTTTCACTTATCCTACTCTTTCTTGGTTTGTATCTAAATTATTATATATTTAAAATACTATTCTTATGTTTAATTTTAGTAATTAACAGAATATGGATCATAGTCATATTTTTTAAATTGTTTAAGTTTTTAATCATAAGTATTTTCTTGATTGGATGATTTAGATCTCTTTAAATCTTCTAATTAATCTTCATCATATTATTCTTCAACTGGCTCTTACTGTTATTAAATTTATCTATATTTCGGATTTGATTTAGCTGGTATCTTATTCCTACTTCTATCTCTAGAAGTGTTCATTCTCATTGATCTATCTTGCCTAAAACTTTCCTCTACATTTTCAACTGTTTCTGGTTTGAAAGTTTACTATGCTTTTTTTTCACCAAAACTAAATTTATTTGTAGGTTGAGTAGACACAGAAATTTGTTATTAAGATTAAGATGAATATTCATTATTAGTGCTAGTATTAATATTTTACTTTTGCTTCTCTTTTTTGGGTCGTTCAGGCTATTACAACAATTGATTTAGCAACTTTACTTAAGGATCATCACTTAGATCCCATTCATCCAATTAATCATCTAACATATTATTAATATGAGTTGGTCTATCTTCCATTCTAGTGACTCTTGGAGTAAATCTTGTTTATCTAGTGTTTGGCGATAAAGATTTGTTATTTTATTAATTCTAATTCATTACAACTTCCATTTATTAAACATTCTCATATTATTTCATTATTGGAGCTTATTTCTATTATTGTTCAATAACACTTATATCCCAATCAAGATTGCTATTTTCATCAGGTTTTAATGTTTTTGTAATAGGAGGTATTTCTAATTAAAGATTTTATACTAACAAGTTATGAAGCTTTTATTCAAACTCCTGTTCATCTTCATTCATCTCATTTTTTTGTTTCTATGGTATATATGAATTATTATTTGTTGCAATAAACAGATCATCATCAGATATTTATCTTCTTTATTATTTACTTTCAGTCAATTATTTACTTGTATAACTACTATTACTTTGATTAATCAAATGCTATTGATATTCTTATCTTGCTCTTTATTCTAATTCCTTTAACTTTTAAGCTTATCTATCTTCTTCAGTTTCTTAACTTCTAACATTTCTAGAATTAGATCGATTTAATTATTTTTTCTATTCCTCAAATTCTCTTAATTTTCTATCTTATTCCTATTATTTTTATAATCTAAGTTGTTCTTCATATTGTTATTTTTATCTTTCTTATTATTTTAATTTTTCTTATTATTATTCTTCATATAATCTTCTCTTATCTTATTCCTCCTTTTCTTTTCTTAATCTTTCTCTCTATTCCTACTCCCATTTTTCTTATTCTCTCCTTTATCTTTCTTCTTATTCTCTTTTTGCTTATTCTTCCCTTCTTCTTTATTCCTCCTACTCTTTGATTTTACGATCTCTATCCTCTTATTCTCTTCTCAATTATTCTTTTCTTAATTTATCCTATTCTTCCTTCTCCTTTCTCAATTTTTCTAACTCTTATTCTCTTTATTTTTATAACATTTCTTCTTATTCTCTTTATTTTCTTAATTTCTCTTATTCTCTTAAACGTTTTTACTCTTCTTCATATTCTTTAATCTTTCTTTAATTTTCTAATTCTTATTCTCTCATTTTTCTTGATCTTTCTAATTCTTCTTATTTTTATCTTTCTTCTCTTTATCTTTATTCATCTAATAATCTTTATTCTTCTCTCTTTTATAAATCAGCTAATTATTGTTTTCTAAATTCTTCTTCTTTTCTTTTTCTTTCTTATTCTTATTGCATATATTTTGTAAAATCATCAGATTATTAAGATTGTTGATTAGTAATGTCTTAACTTTTAAACATTCCTGATTAGTTATTTGATTGTTAAGTATATTTATTTATTATCATTTGAGATTAAGCCATTTTATCATTTAAAATAGGTTTTCTACTATTTGGACTAACACCAGGTTTATTTGGAGAAACTCCTTAATAATTAGAATTCATCATAGATTAATTGGGTGATTGATCTCTGATCTAAGATTTTTGCATATCTTAACTTTACTACATTTAATAATTTATTCTATTAGATTATTCCATTTGTTTTGATGCCTCTATTGAATTGACACCTAATAATTCATTTTTTTATCTTTATTATTCTGGTGTTAATCTAGTAGGAGATTTGGAATTTGATTCATATTAAGGTAATGGAACATTATTAGTATTATTATGAGTTGATTAAAAAAGTTAATCAAAAGATGGTTTCTTATTAGGAGTAGTAGATTATTATTATTATTATTATTATTATTATTATTATTATTATTATTATTATTATTATTATTATTATTATTATTAATAGGTTGAATTATTTAATGATGGTGAAGATGATGGTAATTATTAAGAATAACAATTTTGATTATCTTATCTTTATTAAATAGTGGGCTATTTTTATGGAATTTTTTAAGATTAATAATTATTAGATGGTTGTGTAAGATTACCAAAATCAATTGATATATCTTATATTGATTATACTGTTTCATTTACACCTTTTTCATATACAAATTCAGGTATATTTATTTATAATGCTCTTGCATTAACTTTAATCCATTTATGTGTGAAAATCTCTTCCATACTCAATCTATCTTATGGGTTTACTTTTAAAAGTGATTAAATTAAATCTTTGGCATCATTTGAAATTTTATCATTAAATGGTATTTTAGTAGTAGCTGCATTTAAAATAGCTTTAATAACAACTTCTTATGATGATCTATTTTTATTATAAGGTGCATGACCATGTAACATTTCAAATAAAAGAATACCCATAGCCCATATATCTATTCTATGATCATGATTCTAACTATTTAGCATTTCTGGACACATGTAATCCAATGTTCCACAAAAAGTTCTTCTTTCTGGTTAGAGTTCTGCAGACCATCCAAAATCACATATTTTAATATTGCCTTATGCATCTAATAAGATGTTTTCTGGTTTCAAATCTCTATGTATAATGCCCTTCTTATGTAAATAATCTAAAGCTAATGCAGTTTGTAAGAAATAAACAAAGGCTTCTTGCTCTTCTAAAGTTTTGCGCTTTCTTAAATAGACAAACAAGTTCCCCATAGGAACGTATTCAAGCACGAGATAAACATTAGTATCATCTTCAAGAGAGTGATACAATTTTACAATATGAGGATGATCTAATTTTCTATGTAACTTTATTTCTCGTTTAATATTTTCAGCTTAAGCATTTTCTTTAAGTAATTTTTTGGGAATCTAGTTTAACTTATTTAATTACCGTTTTGATTGCTACCTTAGTATCAGTCACTTTATCAAGAGCTAAACGTACTCTTCCAAATGCTCCTTTTCCCAATTCTTCTTGAGCTTTGCCATTATCCTTTTTTTCAACAAATTCGAATTCATTTAATGTTCTCTTCTTTCTCATTTTTATATTTATTTTTTTAATGTAATAAAGCAAGACTTATAGTTAAATTAAGACAGCACTTGCTATTTCTCAAAAAGATAAAATAAGTCTAAATCAAAATTAAGGATAAACTAATAATCATTTGAAATAGACAATGGTATATTTTAATGGACTTAAATCTATATAATATATTGGCAATAATGTTATTCCTGAGATTGATGAAAATAACATTTTAGTTGCTGAATCAGAAATCCTTGTTGCAAATAGGAGAATTGAAGTGAATTAAACCCCTAAAATTGAAGGAATGGTTCTTAAGAAAAGTCCACATTAAATCTAAGGATGGTAATAGAGATGGGCATAATGTTCGGATAATCGCTTAGTATATTACCTGCCAGAAAATAGGAATACACCTTTTGGAATTATAGATTTTAATATTATGACATATTCCTTATAGGAAATAATAGATTAACATGGTAATATAATTGAATTTGTGTATTAATTTTTAATCTATTTAAAGATTAGTACCAAATGGATCTACAAAAAACTTTATATTTAAAGCATAAAATCCTTTGGATACACAGAAATGGCTAAATGCTGTAAAGGAAAGCTAGAAAAATTCTGAAGGGGCCAAAAAGATACTCAATAGTTTGAATAGATATCCTAAGTTTTGGAGAGTATTTCTTATATATAAATTTAGACAGATAGAATATCTAATGAATAATTAATGAAAATAGGAGAGACTGGTGACATACTCCTTTTTAGAGGAATCGGAATTAATTGTGAAATCTAGCGAAAACTTACTGGTTCTGATTATGATCATGCAGCAGTTTTATTAAGACAACCATCAGGGTCCTTATATATGCTAGAAGCAACTGGATATTTTGGAGTAGGATTATGTTCTTGGAGTATTTAGATTATTAATTATTATAGAGGATATGATTAATAATAGATGGTTTTAGTTATATGAAAAGATAATAGTAAGAAGATTAGAAATTGATAGAGATTTCTAATTTTTAAGAAATTTTTAAGAATTTGTGAATGAGAATATGGGTTAAAAATATTAACTTACTCCTATCAATTAGGTTAGAATAGCATCTATTAATTAAGAAATAAATAATTAAATAAATAGAGTAATTTTAATATCTATATAACAGGAAGAAAGAACAATATTTTGTTCTGCAATGATTGCTGCTCTTTATAAAAAGTTAGGAATCTTAGATTAGAAAAAATCTACAGCATTATATTGGCCTGGAAGTTTTTAATCTAAGAATAGAGAACTTCAAATGTTAAAAGGGAATTTGTATCCTGAATAATTAATTGATTTTAGTGATATATGATTTTTTTAATAGTATTATTATATTATTTATTTAAAAAATCAATTAATGAAGTAATTTTTTTTGATTGTTGCTTGCAATCTAAATTTTTTTTCTGGAGTAGTAGACAGTAGTTAATTAATTTTATGCTTAAAATTATTCTTTAAAAGATTCAATTGCTATTATTATTTAATACCAGGAGATTTACTAGCAGGTTTTTTTTCTACAAATGTTTCATATGCTTATTCAATAATCTATTTATTTTTTTAAGCCTTATTCATATCTCTATGTGACATATTTTTACATAACTAATGTTTATGACTATTCATATCAATTGTATTATCAGTCTTATTTCTTAATTAACTACATGACTATTAATGTGATTAAATAGTGCTTAGTTTTAAAGTATGATTGCTTTAATGTTATTATAAGGCACAATTAGGCTTAAAAGAATATTCTCTTAAAGTATTTCTATTTTAATCACAAAAAGGACGAATTTCTGTTAATAAATCCTCATCTTTTTCTATTTAATTCTCTTAATTGTTAAATTCAGAAACTCTGTCAATAGTCTTAGCTTATTATTTTCTCTTTAGATAAGATTAAAACTCAGAAGATGTTTTATTTAACTATTAAGGTTTAACTGGAACTTCATAGATTGGTATTTCAATTGAATCAGATGTAATATTTCTTGTATGAGTAGTTTCCTTAATTTCTTCCTTTTTTTTTAAATTCATCTACTTAAATAACTAATTGATAATATCAATTTTATTATTAATAGTTTCATCTTCATTTTACTTGATGTTTTGATAATTTTATTAACAGCTAATCATAATAATTAATATATAAATTATTATTACTTACAAATGTAATTGCTATTTTTATTATGAGTATAAAATTGATGTATTTTAATAATTAATTAAATGAGTTTGCAATCATTCTAAGATACATTTTGTGGTGCTGTAGCTGGATTTTCATTTCGTTTTTTCGGACATCCATTTGACACTGTAAAAGTTAGAATGCAAATGGATAATTAAAAGAGATCTTTTATGACATCTGCTATTAAGATTTTTCGTAAGGAAGGAGTAATAATATATATATATATATATTATTATAGATCTTTGCTTATTACAAAGGGATGCTATCTCCTTTGTTGGCAGATATTCCATCTAATGCTGTATTATTTGGAATATATGAATATGTTTTTAGATAAATTTGTTCAAACAGCTAAGAAAAGAAACCATATTTTTTAGAATGTTAACTAATAAAATATAATTGATAGGGTTTATTGCAGGAGGAGTGGCTGGTATAGGATATGCAATAGTAGTATGTCCAGCTGAAATGACAAAATGCGTATTGCAAATGTAAAAGGAATATTTACACAAGCAATTTAAGTCTCCATTTCAATGTTTTGCATATGCAATTAAAAATTATGGCATAGGCTCAGTTTTCAAGGGTCTCGTTGCTACAATTTTGAGAGATATACCATAAAATGCAAGTATTATTGATTAATAATAATAATTAGCTTTCTTTGCAACTTACGAATACTCTAAATATGTATTTAGTAAAAATGGTGATTTACCATTTTATGGAGCATTAATAAGTGGAGCATTAGGAGGATTTACATGTTGTTTAGCATCATATCCAATGGATGTCGTAAAAACTTAATTGTAAGTTGAAATAAAAGAAACTACACAAAATAGAAAATTTAAGCCAAGATTTTATGATGGAGGTGTTATGGAATGTGTAAAATATATTTGGTAAACTTAAGGTTACAAAGGTATAATAATAATATAGAAAATAGGATTTTGGAGTGGAGTTGAAAGTTGTATTATTTATTATATGGTTGGATGTGCAGCATAATTTACAGGTTATTATTATGCATAATCGCTATTAACAAATTATTCAAACAAACATTGACATTCTTAATTTTATGAAAATGAAATTATTCTTATTAATAATATAATAATAATTTATCTTAAAAATTTAATAAACATGAATTGTTAATTATTAAAGGACCATAAAGAGAGAGTCTGGTAAATAGCTTGGCATCCAAATGGATAAATATTGGCTTCTTGTAGTTCAGATAAAACAATAAAACTATGGCAATTAATGAATGATCAATATAAATTAATTGTAATATGTCCATTAATCATTCATCTTAGTAAACTCTTGATGATTGTCATACAAAATCAATAAGATCAGTAAGCTTTTCTAAAGATGGTCAATTTCTAGCATCTGGTGGTTTTGATGCTGTAGTTGGAGTTTGGATGTTTGATGGATCAAAATACAAATTAATTTAATAACTTGAAGGACATGAGTCTGAAGTAATATGGTTCTATATAAATTTAGGTAAAAGGAGTTGCATGGAGTGTAGATTCTAATTATTTAGCATCTTGTGGAAGAGATAAAACAGTCTGGATTTGGGATCATGATGATCTTGAATTCAGCTGTAATTGTGTTCTACAAGCACATGATGAAGATGTAAAATGTATTAAATGGAAAGATACTACTCTCTATTCTGGCAGTTATGATAATAGTTTAATTCGATATACTTATGGAGAAGATGATGAATGGGATCATAAATAATTCTAAATTGAACATTAATCAACTATTTGGTCTATTGATATATTCAATAAGTTATTGCTTACAACAAGTGCTGATTGCACTGCTAAATTATTCTCAATTCAAGATGGAACTATAAAACCTATACAAACCTTATAAGGATTTCATAAGGAACCCATTTATTCAGGATCCTTCTCATATGATGGATTATATTTTGCATTGGGAAGTGCCGATAACAAAATTAGTATATATAAAAAGGATGCTATAGATGAATTAGGATATCCTCATTTTGCTTTAGATTAGATCTTCGTAATTTATTTTTTTATATAGAAGGATGCCTTTGAATTTGATGTTAATTGTGTTGCATTCAATCCTAAAAATTATCTTTTGGCTGCCTGCAGTGATGATCAAAATATTAAAGTGTTCGATTTATAATTGTGATCATAAAATTTAACCCATAAAATTATTATTCCCAATTTAATAACATTATAACTAAATTTATCAGATAACCATAAGGGATGATAGTATCAATTATGATACGAGCAATCCTAATACAGGACGTAGTACAAATCTCGTTTATGTTAATGTGCCATCCCAAAGCAACGAGCTTTTATGGGTTGAGACAGTCTTCACCGGCTTTGACTCCTCATTTCAGCTCAATCTCTAAATTCCTACTCCCAGGGTATTATGGCATGTTATTCACATGTTGTTACCTCAGGACAAACCTTAGGGAATACATTTTTTTTATTTTACTTTAATATTTATTTTGTAAATGTACTTTTAAAGAATTCAGATACAAATATGTCTATTTTTAGTCTTGAATATAAAGATCATTCTAGAAAATATCTCAGGAACTTTCATAAATTATATTAATATAGAAGTATTTTAAATATTGATCATTTTATTTGAATGCCTTATCCTTATTAATCTAAATTTTTTTATTATATGTAAAGCTTCATCTACTAGACATGTTATTTTCTATAGTAATACTCATATATAATTTACTTAATTTCATTAGGCAAACCTTCAATAATCCAAGGATGCATTAAAGCTTCAGCTGCTTTCATTCTCATATTTGGATCCCATTACAAACATTTGTTAATGAACTTATATCATAAATTTGTGAAATACATCATAAAAGATAGGAGATCCTGTTTAAAGAAGCTCTTTCAAAGGTTTAAGTGGAAAGATTAAATCACTTTCTTTAATCTTAGTCAGAAGTTCATAATTAGCATTGAAAAATTTATGTTTCTTAGGACAATAATCTAAAAATTAATTAGATGGTTTCCCAAGAATCGAAACTTATAGAAATAACAATTCTTTTTCAGATTTCGATTAAAATAATGAGTTCCCAAGGAATAGTTCAGCCACTATACATCCAAAACTCCACATATCAATTTATGTTGTATAAGGAATACCAAGTAATATTTCAGGGGCTCTATAAAATCTACTCTAAATAAGATATTTTATTTAATATACTTAAATATAGGTGTATAATTTAGAGTTAATAAAACAACTAGATCCAAAGTCAATAATTTTGATACCAGATCTTGAGATATCCTTTAATAGTATGTTTTCAGGTTTAAGATCACAATGAATAATATTGCATTCAGATAAGTACAAAAGTGCTTACAATATTTGAATAGCAAATCTTCTGACTAAATCAAGTTCAAATCCTTAGAAATCATTAATAGCCAAGAATTCATAAAGATTGCAACTCAATAATTCAAAAACCATACACTCTAATAATGATGACTATCATACTACGTGATTTCGAAAAACAAAATAATTAAGCATTTTAATAAGGCAACAACTATTATCAGCTTTATTGACTACTTTCAGGATTTCAATTTCAATAAATGCTTATTTTTGGAATTTTTCTTTATTTTTTATAATTTTTAAAGCAACATTTTATTAATGTTTATGATCCAATACTTTAAATACATATCCAAAACTGCCATGACCTAATTATTCTAACATTTCATAACGATAAATGATATGATCATGTTATCTAAACATATAATCACCTCTATTGATATAAATAATATTGATACTTTTCTGTATCAAATCCATTATTGTATTCAGAATCTTAAGGTAGTGTTACATTTTCAGGTCTCAAATAATAGATGATTTCAATATCTTTAATTTCATTCTTTTCAAATTCAGACAATTAAGATTAATAATGTTCTAAAACAATAGGAGGTGTTTATGGTAATTATGGTTTAGGTTATTTGGTAAATTTATACTCAATATCTTCTTAAAATGTATTTGGATTTTTAATTGTAAAATTATTATTGAACTTATAATATCTCTATTAAATATTCCCTCGTAATTTTTGTTTTAAGGTTGAAATTCTCTATCTAACAGAATCAGACGTAATTTAAGGTATTTATTCAATTTTTTCTTACATATGTCCAGACAATTTATGTGATATACGATTTTTGAATGTCTCCTATATAATGGGATGCTTTGTATCTGGACTAGTTTTTAAACTCTTTTTAGGTGAATTATGTTATGTGAATAATTAAATGATAGGTTATGGATTTTAGAATTAAGTGCTGAAACCTTATAATTTATTGAAATTAATTACGAACACTATCAAGGGAGACTTTTTCTTATGCTAAAATATTCTTTAATTGATTTGTATGTAATCTACGACTATTACGTCTACTAGTAGGATTAGTTTCATCCTTTGACAAAAGAGATACTAAATTAAATCAAAGTTACTACAAGCATTAGCAAGACTTATAGGTTTAGAATTGGGTGGAGACTTAATGCTTGGTTAAGTATTTTAAATTGATGTATGTTGAGTATGTTGAGTATGTTGAGTGTGTTATTTATTTGGAAAATACTCCTTGATTGGATGTCGAATATGAGTACGATTAAAGGTAGCTTACATGGGAGTTTTAGGATTAAAGCTATTATATTTACGAGATTCTGATTCGTTTGTAGTTTTCTAATAAAGTGAATAAAATATATTTACAATAGTCAGATCGCTCGATTTTTTCATTATAAATATGAGTTCTTTTAATTTTTTAGAAATAAAAATTTATTTAACAAATAAAATACTAATGTACGATAGCATAACAACTGAATAAAGACCAACTCTCTATAGAAATTCTGATTAGAAACAATAATATTAAATGCCTATAACTAATGATTCACATTTACATCATTTAACACCAATGACAGGCATGAAGACTTATGAATCACCATCTAAACCATATACTTCACCTGAACAATAAACAATGGCATATACAACATCTCCAAATAATGTTAATTCATTTGTTTCTCCCATAAGACCATAAATCTTACAGCCATAATTGATTTCACCATAAAAGCCAATACCTTCATACATTAATCAATCACCATATATTAGACCATAAATCACTTCAATACAACCAATTCAATTACCACTTAAACCTACAATAGAAGAGATACATATTAGTGAACATCCAGTCTAAGTGATTAAAAGAGAAGAATTAGACAGATCATATTAAGAATAGATTCAAAAATTAGAAAATCAATTGAATAGTTTATAGATGGAAAATATAAAACTTAGAAGTGTTCAAGCAACTGAAAAAATATCAATTGGTGAAGATGTCACAAGAATAAATTAATTAAAGGATGAGATACAAAGATATATGAAAATTGCTTTTGAATTATAATAAGAAATTGATATTTGGAAAAAGAGATATGCTGATTTTGAAGCTGAAGTTAGATTTCAATATGGAGTAGAATAAGAATTATCTAATACTAAAAGAGGTAATTTCTATATATATATATTAATTATAGATTTATAGGAGACTAATATTATATTGAATCATGAAATTAAAATGCAAAAAGATTTAGTATTAGAATGGTAAAAGAAATATAAAGATCTTGAATTTAAGATATTTGGATTCAATGAAGAAAGTAGTGTGATACAAAAAACTAAGGAATAATAAATTAGAGAATTATAGAGTAAATTAGCTTTGATGACTACAGAAGTTGAAAGAGTTAATGTTTTGAATGAATAGAAGAATAATGAGATGGAAAGATGGAAAGGTAGATTTTAAGATATTGAAACTGAATCATTAGAGAAAGATAGTAGATTAACTTAATTAAATACTGAAATGAGTAGATTAAGATAAGTTATTGATAATTTAAATAGAGAAAATGGATTACTTAAAACTAAAATTATTAATCCTACTGAATTTTAGAATAAAATAAACTTATAATCTTAATAAATTGAATAATTGTAACTCAAACTAAAATAAAGTAATTAAGACTATGAAAATTTATATTAAGAACATAATCAATTATAATTATAAGTTTAATTGAATTAAGATAATAAAGCATAATCATATAAAGATTAGATTGCTAAATTAGAATTGGAATTAAGAAAAGTCTAAAGAACATTTTTAGAAAAGGATCAGTAAATAAAAGAGCTGAATGAAAAAAATGAAGAAATGGAAACTGTATTATAAAATTAATAGTCATCCTAATCAAAAACGGAGACTTATGTAACACATTATGTTAATGTATATATAATTAAATATTTCAAAATAGGAAGCAAATTAATGGAAAAAGAAGTTTGAAGAATAAAATAAGAAATATTTTGAAGTCTAAGAAAAATTGGCATTAGCTGAAGCAGAGTTGTAATCCATAAAGAAAAGACAATAAACTTAACCAACAGTTACCCAAACTGTATATGAAGTCAAAAATACTTCTACAGTTAGGACAAATAATAACATGAATTAGACTGCTAGAATTCCTTGAATTTGATTTTCTTAAATATTATATTATATTTTTAATGTTTTGGCAAATTCAGGCGATTTGTCCGGTAATATTGTATATAAATCCTAATTTAATTTACGTATTTGAGATTATTAAGTTTTTTTAGAAAAAACATTTCTCTTTAAAATAGAAAATGAATCCATATTACTCTTACTATCCCAATTCCTAATAAAATAGTAAGCATCAATTAATCTATTATAGACTTTTGGCAATATTATCAATATAATTAACTTCCCTATTGGTATTAGATGAACAACCAGTAGTAGTAATAAATTATGTCCTACCAAGTAGGATGTTAAAGCGTGCCATAATAAGATTAAAGCAATATTTAGTCTAATAATCTACATCAGATGAATGATCTCTAAAATTATGTTGATATATAAAGTTTAGAGAGGATGAAGACTTAAAATAATATTGAACAAACTAATTTAAAAGTTGATCAAGATTCAAAGAAAAAAGTAAAAAAATAAAGAGGTATGATGTTTAATCCTATATTTAGGTCATTGGACAAATGAGGAACATTATAAGTTCTTACAATTTGTTAGACTTCACAACGACCTCTTCAAAACAACTGTTCATAAGAAATTAAATCGTGTATTTAAAATGATGGCTGAAGAAATTTAAACAAGAAATGCTTGTTAATGCAGATCTCATTTCTCAAAATTTAATCCATTTATTGAAACAGTAAGATTATATTATATACTTCTAGAACATTTTAAGAAGAAAATTGTGTAATGATGAATAAGTATATGAAAAAATGTTTGAAAATAAAAACAAACTTGATGTGTAATGATATGTTCAAAAAAATCATAATTTATAGAAATATATATTAAATTATATAAATTAATAAATATATATAAAAACAACATATGTCATAACTTCTCTCCAAGATGGTATCATTTGCTGTTCCTATCGTAGTTTCGAAACACAAGTCAAAGTGAATTCAAAGTGCCAAGTATTATTTCATGATAATTTCATGAGCAAAGTAAAGCACTGCCTGATGACTTCGCCTCGTAGATATTAAATAATGACATCGTTTTAGTGCTCAGTAATTATTCCAATAATGAAGCCCTTAAAAATCTGATCTAATTGTATATGGTAAAAATCTATTTTAAAAAGAATAGTAAGGGGTAGAGTATTACAAAGAATGCGAAGATAGAGCGCATGAATACTTTGAAATAAAGTTAAAAAACATATTTACAAACCCATCGGTTTTATAGCCTACAGAATAAGCTAAACAAAGTACACCTCCAGAAAAGAAGAAAATCGAAGTGCCAAAAATAAATGTTGTGTAAGCTTCATATTCATTTATGAATAAACCTAAGACATCCAAAAAGCCAGATAACAATATACTTTCTTTTAGTTTTTAAGAACCTGTTGTTGATAAATTTTTTTAATGTGGATCTACAATAAACAAGAATTCAAATAGTTAAAGCTTTTGCAAGATAATAAAAAATACAGAGAGTAGTCATAGTGGAGAAGAGGAAGAAGAAGAAATTATTCATTAAAAAAATATAATAGAATAAGAGAAAGAAGAGAAAATTAAAGAGATTCAAAATTAAGTTATTGAAGAATAAATCATAATTTAAACAGAAGGTAGAGCAAAAGAAATAGCTAGTTAATTTAAAAAGCAAGAAAGACGAATATCATAGGTAATTAAAAATAAAATGACTATTAAATAGTAAATAGAAGCAGGAATGAATGCATAAGAGTCTAGTATTTAAAAGAGGAAAGAGATGAGAAAACTACGTTCTTAATTTTCATTGCACAATATAAATAAAACTCAATCAACTCCAACAATAAAGCAATTTAATTAGCATAAAACTCCATAAGATGATCCTAATTGTATACCTGAAGAAACAAATGAAATAGGTAGTGGCAAGTTGTCTTCAAATAAGAAGCATATAGAAGTTAATTAATTTTAATTTAATGATGAGTGTAAATGAACCCTAACTATTTATATTAAATTTGAATTTGAATTATCGTTGTTAAAATATATTAAAAACAAATGAATTAGCAAGTATCACATCAAACTAAGACATCTTAAACTTAATAATTTATAGCTTCCTAACTTTCCAAGTTGCCTGATAAAACAAAGCTTTAGCAACTCATTCCTGTCTAATTACATGTTAATTGTTTCGAGAGAAAACATAATGAAGGTATTGATAACAGATAATCACCACCATAATAATAAAATTATTGCACCAAACCATCATAAAAACCTTAATAGTCTAATCATAAATCTAATATGTCACTTTAAAATAAAAGCAATTCACATATTGAGTCTATTTAAGAAAAATTATAAGCTATAAATCATCCAAATAAAAAAAGAGATTACTCTCCAAACTCTGATGCTATAAGATAATTACTTAAAAATACTAAATAAGATTCAGATATGAATCATTTATTATCTAAAAGACAATAATCTTAAGATTAACAAATTATTTTAACTCCAATTACTACTAAGCATTCTTTAAAATCTCACTCTCCATTAGATATTAAAGAGAGTGTAGCTTAATTACTTTCAAATCATTTTAGTAAACTATATGTATAATCATTAGAAACAGATGTATCGTCCCCTAAAGGAAATGGAAGCAATTAAAAGTAAAAAAATAGCCATTTCGGTCCTTATTTATCGATCCAATAGTAGATTCAATAGTAAAAGCTTAAAGGACATAGTTCTACAAATTCACTATCATATGGATCTAGAAATCATCATCAATAATCTCTACAAGATTCAAAGAGATCTGAGACTGCAGCAATAACACCTACTCCGAAAAGATTTACAACAACTTCATAAAATACAGAGCATAGTAAAAGTAAATCTGTTGTTGAAGAATAATTGTAATGTATGAAAATAATGTAATTTGATAAAGAAAATCAATCCCATATCCTTAATTTAGGATCGCCAAGTGCTTTTAGTAATTCTGAGCAAGCATCAAGTGTACTATCTATTATTAAATGATAGATTGGAGATAGTATTGGAATGCATTTACAATTTGGAGTTAAAACTCTATCTCCATTTACAAAGCCTGCTTAATAAACTTAGAGATTTTGTATATATCATAAAGAGAAGAAGGCTAAATATGTGACAGAAGAGGGCAATGATTATCTATTCTTTTGTTCTAAATGTGCTGTAAAATTAGCAGGTAAAGGAATGTTCTTTACTGAAATTGCATAACTAAAACAATCTACAATTGATTCTTAAACATTTTCATTTTAATAAAGTTCATTAGATTCAACACAAAGATAATCATCTTCAGTAGATATTTAATTCAAAGAAAGAGAAATGAAGGTTTTCCTAGCATTATTATATTAAATTTAAAACAATAGACAAGATTTACTAAATTAGTTATCAAGTTAAGGCAATAAGCTTTAAAATTATTATGACAAATAAATGAAGTTATGTTCAGAAGCAAAATAATAATTGACAATATTTTTAGAAGAGATATATTAGAGAAGTATGAATTAATTATCTAATTCAAAATAATAAACCTTATCTTTCATTACTAAACTAATTTAATAATTGACTGCAAATCAACTTGATAATCAAAAGATTCAAACAGAGATTGAATAGAATTGGAAAAGAGTTTTGGAGAATATGGATATGACAGTATTTAGAGAGGTAATGAATCAACATCATTCTAAATTTTCTAAGTTTGGTGAATTTTAATAAGAGATTTAGAATCAATATATTTAACTCTATTCTATGGGTTCTATGGATATCTAAGCCACCATGTCTTTGATTGCATAGAAGTATTGTATTCAAGTATACATAGTTTTGAGGTTGTTGAATCTGCAATGCCTCTAATTTCAAACATCTAATAAATAAATATAACTTAACCCATTAGAACTTAACCTACTCCTCCTAAAAAGAGTGAAGAATCAATTAGTTAAAGAATCAAAACTGATTTTAGTAATTAAAAGAAAAATTCAGATGCTAAATCATAAAATTTTTGTTAATATTTTAATGAGAAAACAGATATCAATTAAAATTTAAGGGAGAAAAACTAAAAAATGATTCCTTAATTTTAATCTTAAAATAATAATCTTTATGTTTCATTTGAAAATAAAGAAATATTTATGAATGCTTTGGAAATGGAAAAAAATAAGTAAGTTATTTAATCTGAAGATGATAAAGCATCCAAATAATAAGCTATTATGATTTTATAATCATATAAAGGATCTCATGCAGATATTATGGAAGAATCACTCAATATGTCTCATGATTCTTAAAAATCTGCTGCTCATAGTCCTGCTTCTGGATAAACAAAAGAATCTGTTTAAAGAATCAATCCAAATTAAGAATAAGAATTTATTGCTCTTTCTAATAATTAAAATGAAACTGTTCCAAAAGAAGCATTTCAAAAATAAAAAAGTACTTTTAGAACACTTTTTGAAAACGAGGATTCTTAAGAACCTAATATATAAATAAAGAAGGAAGTGACTGCAATTTCTCCAGGTAGAAGTGAGAAGTTTAAATCATTCCTTAATAGAATTTCTAATAGCCAATCTAATACTCAATAGTATATTTATTATATCTATTTATATTAACAAATTTTAGGTATTATCAATAGATACTGCAGGGTCATTAAAAAGTAGCAACCGAAACACCAGATGGAAAGAAATAAGATTCATAAAGTTTAAATAAAATAAATATTTAAGTTCCTGATACATGTGTTAGAGAGGATATTATGAATTTATAAAATACAGAGGATATAAAAGATTCAGTTCATTAAATAAATATGTGTGATGATTAATAACATCTTAGTGATTATGATGATGAAAAAGAAATACAAGATACTAAATTAAGATATGTATATTAGGGAGATGAAAGAAAAGAATAATATTAAAAGACTTTGTTTTCATCACCCATGTTTAAAGATCATTGAAAATTGTTAGTTATAATAATTAATAGTTAATTTAATTGTTTTTATAAAATATATATATATATATATATATATATATATATATATATATAGATTATAATTTAAATAATTGATAAAATCAATTCATTTTTTTGATCATTTCCTAAATTATTGAAAGATCTCTTAGTAATTCTTATTTACTTAGTGTCTATTTTTCATTTTAATGATCAATTTTAAATTGAGAATATCTCATAGTTAAAATACTTTCTCTCTTTCTATCCTCAAACATAGTTTCAGCAATTAAATCTTACTCCTATTATTACAATTAATTTAATTTAGATTCATCTTCTAATGAATCTGATCTCAATGAATTTCTAAATTAAAAGTATTATCCTGCAACAGATTATTAATTTTATGTTCCACTCAATAATGAAATATTGATTGGATCTATTTGTGTTTTTCTTAATTCTTTAATGTTTACATAAGATTATTAATCAATTAATGATTCAAATGGTAATTAGATTGGATAGACAGCTTTAAAATCTCCCATATTTTATATATGTACATTCTCAATTCTAAATATATTCCAAACTGTTCTTCTACATAATTCTAAAATAGCCATAATTAGAGAGAATAAAGGTGACCAAATATGAATGATTGATGCCATATTAGGTGATATAGAAAGAATCCAAGCAAAACGAAGAAAGAATTCAAAAACAATTGCTATATAATAAAATATAGGTTTAAATGCTAATTAATTTCTAAGATGTTTATGATTTGAATTTATTTAAAATAAACCCCAATCCTTCTTAACATCCCAAAAGTATGCATGACAAGCAAGTGTACAAAAAGAGATTATCCATACTATAAAATAAGAGTTTCCAAATTATGATAAATATGAAAACACATTTACCATTGTAACTTCTACATATATTAAAACTACCAAAATATCATCTCTAGTTATTTTCCCAGCATCATAAAAACATCTACCTAATTAAACAAATCTTAAGAATATAGGAATCAAACAGACTATTAAACCAATCTATAAATTTTTAGGATCACCACAAGTAGCTTAAGATTAATAATCACTAATATTCTGGAAGTATTTAATATAAAAACATACTGTATAACCAAAATCTTTAAGCATCAATACTAATGATAATAATTAATCTGTTGACCAACCATTAACAAATGGACAGTCAAAAAACCCTGCCAATATACTTGTATAAACAATCTTCCAAAAATATTTTCTCCCTTTTGCATTCAAGTAACTTTTAGAAGGCCAAATCATATAGAGCATCATAATTATCCATAATACTAATGGACCTATTGCAGGATCATAAGCTATTTTATCTGTTATGTAATCTAAGAGATATTACTTTTTATCATTTTCTTCTTCAAGATAAAGTTCCTTTTACAAACTAATAATTAACACTGTAAAATATAATAATGTTATTAATGCAGCTCTTTTGATTAATTAATTAATTGAAGAACTATGATATTAAAAATTAAATATAGATCTATATCCAACATTCCCTTTAATCCAACAATATACACAAAATATTAATGACCAATAATATAAAATCATTAATCCAATCCCTCTAAACATTGGAAAATATAAATCATAATAAAATTGACTATTTATATTTTAATTTCATACTTCTTATAAAAATTATTATTTAATTAGTTTCTCTTTGATATTATGTATATAAATAAACAGAAAGTACCACCCAAATACAATCCTATTAATAATTATTCTTTTCTTGTAAATCCTTTATAAATATTATGATATTTTAATTTCCGAATATTCTTATTCTGCTATTTTGAAGAAAGACAACGAGAATATAGCAACTTTAATTTTACTTGTATCTTTTAAATATCCTGACGATTATTAAATATTTATAATTCATTATAAACACTCTACATTTTTTATAAATTGTAATAAGGATCTTAGATAAATACTTATTTTTTGTACTTTTTTAGAACCTTTTTAATAACAATTTCATTAAATTATGCAAATTATTCTAATAGATTGCATTCTAAATATAACATCTCTGAATATTATTTGAGTATATACAATTTTGATTTAATATTTTCTATCTTTTAAAGATCTTGATAAATGAATATGTTATATATCAACTTTCTTAATTTCACTTATATTTACTATTGATGTAAATTATAAAATTAATCACACTTATTCATATCCCTACAAAGTCTTTCTACAATTTTTTCATTCAATTATTCCAATTCATTTAAACAATTTATATCTTAAACTATCATAGAATTATAAGCAAAAGATGATGTTTAAACTTTATTCACTGATTTCTTCTTCTCTTGATTAAAATGATTTATCAAGGAAAATGGTTGTAATAACATCTCCATTAAGTTCAAATCTATATATATGGGTTTCCATTCAACCACTTTTGCAATTTTCATAATTTATTTATTTTAATAATTCACATGGAACCATTAAAAATTTATTTGAGAATTAAAAGAGAAAATAGAGTATTCTTTTTCGAATGCTCATTACTTGATCCAGTGGAGATATTAAAAAGAAAATTGTTACCTTATTACAAATAGGAAATCCAAGATATGAGAATCTATTTAGGAGACAGAGTAAGAGAGTAGATAAATAATATATTAGTTATTAGATGATAAAGCCAATCTATAAGACTAAGCTGTTCCAAATGATAGTTGTTTAATCTTAAAATTAAGAAAGGGTATGTCAGGTGAATGGGATGAATGAAATATTGTTTGAAATATAAACTATATAAATAGTTCATCCAAACTATTGGTCAAATTCAATTATTCCCTTGCACTACTTAACATTAAATAAATATTTTATCAAATCTCTAATAATAAGTTTCATATTACTTTCATACCAAAAATAATTAATTTATAATAATACTTTAATCCTCTAAATATCCATCAAAAAATATATATATATATTAACTTAAAACAATCCTGAATATCAAATGTTCTATAATTTTATTACTTTTATTAAATTATCATTAATAAGGATAACATATAAATATAAAATTTGTTTTTATAAATTATAAACATAAAACAAAGATTTGTCAACTCATAGAAAGTATTTTAATTGAGGATGACTTTAGATACATTTTATCATGTATTAATTTTTTATTAATATGGTACATACTTTTAACTTATGAATGTTCAGTTTTACATATTCGTTTCTAGGAATATGTTTAGGTATTAGATCTCATTATAAACTATTAAATAGGTCTTTTAATAAAAATATCAAAATTTCCTTACGAAAAGTGTTTCTTTTTAAGGAAACCTAAAGGCTCCTTAGACATGACACTATCATCAATTGTATTTGTTTTATCCATCTATGATAAAATTGGCAATTTATCCAAAAGAGGTTTACAGCGTAATATCGATACTCTTGGTCTTGAAAATCGTTTACACTTTTTTAAAAGTGGATAATATCTGAAATATGTGAGCAATAGACAAACTGCAATCACACATCTTCTAAATCTCCTTCTTATTTTATTTACATGCATCTTAATTTTGAATAAGCCTCTTGATACTAGACGCTTAAATTTGATACACATATCTCCAAATTAAGACCCTTCAGAGCTTTTAGCTCTTTATTGAGTTTGTCCCTCTTAAATCTTCGATTCAATAAATGATCGATTACTTTAGGCTTTATATATGGAACGAGCATAATGTTTGCGATTGGGCTTAGAATTAAGGAGTGATCTTAATAATGGATCTAGATGAACGATTTTTTCAATCTACAAACGTATGGCTTGCATCTTTAAATTATTCATATATTCCTCTTGATTTTTAACTGTAATAGTTCGGATATTCTAATTAAAAATAGCATTTCTTTTAGTAGCTACTTTCCTTTTCATAGCAGATACTAATTTATTTTAAATCTTAAATTTATATTTAGATTTAATCCAATAATGAATAAATCACAACATCTCTCTGTCTAATTATCTATTCAAATTTTAATTAAGATGATAATGATCAAAAATTGATAAATATTAATAAAATGCATAAAAAAAGTAAGACATAATTAAATTTATCTCTTTTGAAGAGTATATTGTAGTGTGTAATATAATTGAATAATAAAAAGTTTGTATAATATTTTTGATAATTATATATAAATAGTTTTTGAGTTTATTTCTCATAAAAATATTAGAAAATTTAAAAAATAACTTAAGTAAAATATAAATAGTATTAAATAATATGATTCAATTCTTATTATTTAAAGTAAAATTAATAACTTTAAAAAAATTAATCTCAGAAGATATTAGATTATAAATGTGAATGTTATGATTTTTGAATAATAATGATGAGAATTCAGATAAACTATAAATGTTAAGATTTTAATTTAAATTTAATTAAGAATTAAATAATTTCTTTAATTATATAATTATGTTGTCATTTTAAATGAATGATGATAAATTTAATTAATCTTACGCAAATTACTGATAAATATAAAACTAAAATAAAATAATTTTCATCATCTTGTGATTTGTGGTTTGAATAAATAATTGATATAATTTTATTTTATTTAAAACTAATAATTTATGAGTGATTCATTAATTCAAGAGCAATATTTTTATGAAGAGTAACAATTTTATACAATTATATTAGATCATGTGAAGCTAATTAGAATTTAGTAATTTTTTCATTGCCTGATCCATCTACCTAAGTGTAGCAAGAATAATAACTTCCTAAAATATAGATTTTTTAAGATGTAGATTAAGGAACTGATTAAATTTCTAAAGTCATTTAATTAGATAATTTAAGAATGGATAGATTACACATAAGAAATGATAGTTCATTTGAAGGTTAACCAAGAAGTGGAAGTGATGGGGATAATTCAAGAGATGGAAGTTAAAATGATCAAAGGAATTAGAGTAAAAGTAAATAATTAATTTATTTTTATTAGGAAAATAAACAAAAAAACATTAAAATAAATTAAATGAATAATTACAATCTGAAATTATATCTTAGACAAATTGCATTTATTCAAATAAAATATAAAATTTAGTTAAGAAAGATATAAATAATTAATTGATTGTAACTTAAAAAATAAGATAATCGTATTCATTTTTATTGATTTGATTTAGAAGAAGTTAATAGAAAATAGAACGAAAAAATGAATAACAATTAAATATTAATGTTGAACATAGTGATCAATCATCATCTGAGAATCCAGATTCAATTAATTATGGAAATTTAGATCCAAATAGGCTTAAGTAAGTGAGGAATAGAGAATCTGCAAGAAATTCAAGGGCAAGAAAGAAGATTTATTTTGAACTCTTAGAGATAAGAGTTAAAGACTTATAGGATGAAAATGATAAATTGAGAGAATAATGTAATAGTTTATAAAAATCAATTGAAACTTATAGTAGATAATAAGATAAGGTATTATTTATAAATCATTTAATTTAGTTCTAAGTGTTTTTAAATTAATAATAAAAATTATTTGAAAGGTTAGAAGAATGTATTACATAAGGGAAAGATGATACAGAAATAGAAATTCTTTTGGATGCATTAAAATATAGAACATCTTCCAATAAACAAGAGAGAATTGATGCAGCAAAATCACATTCATATTAAATATTGGATGTCTCTTTACCAATATAAACAAAATATTTGTTCAGTATTTTAGATGATAGAGATTTCTTTTCTTAAAATTATAAGTATTTATATAATAAATTAGAAATGTCTCTGAATTTTTAAAGGATATTTTGATAAATATTGAAATGAAACCTGAAAATTATACTAATAATGAGAAAATTAAATTAAAGATAGGATAATCAAAATAAAATATAACAAAGTTAGAAATTTAATTAATTTAGTTCATTTAAAAAAATAAAATAAGAAATTAAAGTTATATAGAATGAGGCATCTAAAATAGATTTATTATGGGAATAATTAAAAGAAAATATTAAACCAAAATTATTAGCTTAATTATTAATAGGCTTACATCAAGTAATGATGTAATATTCTATTTATTTAGAATGAATTTCGATCAGAATTTTAGGCAATAACAATTTTTTAAAAAAACAAAGAAAAAATAGATCAAAATTATATGCAAATTGAAGTTTAATAATTGTTATTACGAAAACAAATAAAAAAATCGAATTGATTTTAAACTTTTAAATAAATTGAAAGACAATTATTAATTATTTTATTAATCAATTCTCATATTAATAGTCTAAAAATAATTTTTATGATTATATAAAAATGCATTTAGTTTCTAAAAATAATGTTTAGCATTTAAATTTAATTTAAGATTCATTGTTGTTAATTAGTTTAAATAATAATGTCATCATTTAATTATTTCGTTATTGCATTTTTATTTTTTAAAATGGAAGGCGAAGATTTGGTTCCAACCGGTGAAGGTGATTTATATGATTAATGCCTCTTTTGATTCCTATCAAATATCCAAACTTGATTCTTGAGACTAAATCTAAGTTCTTTCATTGGCTTTCCTCTGCTTTCTTCTGTATTTAATATTTATCCTAGTTCATCTTTATCTGATTCTGGTAAAAGCATTTCTGAATCATCTCCTTCTGTTTTAATGATTTTCTGACTCAATTGTAGTTAGCTATACCCTAAACTTTTCATTTCTAAAATAAATTATTGTTTTTTTTATTCTTAATAAAATAAGTGAGAATTAAATAATATGAATGGAAATTTGATATAATGATATATCAGCTGAAGTGAATATATTTTGAAAGAAAGAACTAAATAAAAGCAGTAGTTACACAATCCACAGATCTATCAATAATATTGAATTAAAAACAAACTTATAAAAACTTTAATGATTCATAATAGATATGGTAAAAAGAAATAATTATGCTTAAGAAATAAATCAGGATTAATCTATAAAAAAAATAAGCTTAGAAATAAATAATAATTGAATACAAGATGTTATTATTTGAATCATCTTTATAAATAATGTCTATTACATATATAAATAGAATTCTTTAATGTTTGTGACTCTATTTTATTCTATTAATATATCTATAAAAAGTTATTCCAATTAACATAACCAAAAAATTATAATTATCAAAGTTTAGAGAATAATGATATTTTAACCAAATAATTAATGTATATCGTTTTCATTATTAGAAATTACTATCAAGATATTCGCAAATATTCTTGAAATAGATATAGAAATCATTTTTAAAATAATAATTGAAAAGTAAATAAATAAATTGTTTTTACTATAAATTAGCAATTGTTAAATATTATTAATACTTTACTGAAATTTATATAAATTTAAAACCCAAGTAATTGATTCAACTATACTCTATAATTAGTATTAATATACTATTACTTATTAGTTATCATTATTCTAATTCTTTTTTTTAATTTCTTAGAATATATTTAAACATTAATATACATTTTTAAAAGGAAAGTTTGCTCACTTTTTCAGTATAAATTAATTGAATTTCAGATTAATTGAAATCTCTTTCATTAACATTTCAACTATATTATACTAAACTTTTTTATATATATAATTTAAAATAATGAATCATTATGAATAATATGAATATTAGGACTGTTTTGATGATTCTAGACTTTAAGATGCATTCAAACAAACAGCCACTTTTTTCAATCCTAACTAATCAACACTTAAAAATTCCATAACTAGTTCTAAGGGATCAGGAAGACCACAAATGGAATAAACATTTAAGCCTGCTTAAACTCGTCTTATTCAACATGATTCTCAGTAGAGTCTAAACAAAAGAAATAATGGATAATTTACACAGAATAAGCTTAATGCTTAACCATCAAAAATCACGTACCTACTCATCCTATATCTAGTTCTCCTGTCAAAGTTATAAAAGGTATTAGTTAAAAGCCACAATCTCCTCCATAACTCTATGAATCACGCAATAAAGTTACTTATTAAGAATAGATCAAACGAATTAAAGAAACAGACATACGTGATGAATTCATACACATAAATTAATAAAAAGAAGCATAACCTCCAAAACCTATAAATAAAAATATTTTAGGTTCACGTGTGCTTCGATAAAAAATTGAAGGATCATCCAATACTGCTGATTCTGCTGTGAGAGTCTAATTTCATACTAAATAAAATGAATAAGACAATATAACTAGATTATCATCAGATTAAATGGACTTTCCTAGTTATAAAAAGTCTCTACTTGAATCAGAGCGTTTCAATAATCGTTAGAATTTAAATGACCTTTTGAAAAAAAGTAATTCCACTGCATTTCTCCCTTAAATCTAACCTAAATTGTAATAAGCCAAAAATATTCCATATGGGTATGGACCTATCTCATAACAAGATACTGCAATAAGAACTAACTCATCAAAACAAACAATACCAGGAAATGAAATAATATATGCTTAACCAGAAGATTCTTTAATGAGAAAATCAAAAACTGCTTAAGAAACTATGAGAGAATCGGGTGGTTAATAAATATAAGGCAAAATTTAGTATAAGTTAAATAATGCTGAATCTCAAGATGTATTACCTTAAATTCATTCTCCAAATTAAGGAACTTAGTAAGGATTCTCTTAGAGTAAAGGCCGATCTTTTTTGTAAAGAAAACCATAGGCTAAGATAATCAGCAGATTATTTTCATCAAAATCTGATAATAAAAATAATTGATATTTATAATATTTGTGTAGATTAGAGAAACAAATCTTAGTAGATTACAAAATTCTATTCTGACTCTTTAAATTTTAGATTATTTATTTTTTATTTATTAATAATTATCTACTTATCTAAACAAGTCCTAAATTCTATTTATATATATATATTAAAATAAATTAAGATTCTATTTCAATTATATTCTATACAAATAAATAATGTATAGTTATTATATCTATATAATGAATAACAATTGTTATAAATATAAATTATAATTTTAATCTAATTTTACCTATTAGTTTTTTGCTAAATAATATTTAATTTTTTGTATTTATTTTTAACTATTTAAATAAATATTAATATATCTGAATAAAATTATATATCATTTTAATAAAAACAATAAAATTTGATAATAAATATATTAATGTATGTTAAAACAAGCAGATGAACATTAAATAAAATATTTCATATAACATTATAACTTATTTTTTAGAATATCTCATTATACCATAAAAATAAGCATTGTTGCTAATATTAAACTTAGACTGCTTGGCTAAGTTGGATTGTACCCTATTTAAATAGAGTCAGTGGTTGTATTTGTATTTGTATTCGTATTAGTTTAGCCATTTGAATCATTTGTTGGTGAAGTTGGAGAGACTGCTTTAAGACCACAAACAAACTAGGAATATAATAATAAAATTTATACATTATTGTAAGGTGAAACGCATTCTTGACAAACTCTTTATGAATCTAAGAAAAATCCAGCTAAACATACTGTACATCCAGTAGAATCAGAAGTATAACAATTAGCCAAATTGTATGAAGTGGAATCATTTAGAATTTTTAAGGTTAAATCAATACAGCCTCCATTTTGAAGTACAAAGCCAGTTTTGCAAGTTTAACAAATATTGCCAGTGGGTCCTGTACAAGTTGCACAATTATTTTAACATGGATAACAAGGTTTAAATATATATGATTTGGAATTTAATATAACGGAAGATTGAACTAAATAATATCCATCATTACAAGTATTACAAATCTAAATATTAAATATTTATTACATATTTTGAATCACATGATTTGCAATCAAATGGACATCCTTAACAATTTCCATTATTATCAATATAATTTCCATCAGCACAAGTATTACACGAGAGTATATATGGAGCAATAGTACCAGTAACTGTACATTTTTAGCATCCATTGGGACATTATTAACATGAATTTGTATTATTATTTAAAACATAACCATTAATGCATGATTAACAAATTAATCCATTTTAATCTTAACTCTAAATACATGTCAAACAATTAAGTATTTTAGTATTACATTGATCACAATTATTTCCATATAATGTATAACCAGGAAGACATTATTGACAAGATTGACTATTAGAATTAGCAATGGTGTAGCAATTTGAGTTTCCAACTTAATAACAAGCATTTCCAAATAAAAAGTAATTATCAGCACATTAAATTATGGTTAATTGAGTTTAATTTTCTAAAATACCCTAACATCTTAAGGAATTATTTAAGGATTGAGAACATAATTAACAGGTGATAGGAGCTCCATCATTTGCTTATACTTTATAATATCCATCAGCACATTCCAAACAAGTTGGATTAGAAGTTCCAGTTTAAAGAGAACATTAGTTGCAATTCAAACATTATGTACATGTAGTTGGACTTGTTAATGCATATTAAGTACTACATGCTTAACATTAAGTATTATCAGAATTACACTAAATACATCCTACAAAAGAACAAGTAGAATTAACAGAAGGTATTAGAATACAAGTTTATTGAGTTTAATTATAAGTATAAGGTGAAGAACATATGCAATCACCATTAGTAGAATTAGGATCTATAGTAAAATTAGTATTACAGGCTGTGCAAATAGTTGAACTTGAACAAGTTGAACAATTCTTAGGACAAGGAACACATTAACCTGAAGCATTTGTTTAAGCATTTGTATAAGTTTTAAAAGTATATGAATTTATTGTAAGTGTTGATTAATACCAATAGTATCCAGGTAAACATTCAGTACAAGTATATTATGATGGACATATAGCACAACCTGTGTTACATTTACTACAAAATGGATTGAAATTTTGATAATAATATGTATTAGTAGATAATGAAGTCTTTGGATTTTATAATAAGAAATCCCAATTAAAATAATATCCATTAGTACATTAAGTACAAGCTCCATTAGTCTAATCAATATTCAAACATCCATTAATTGAAATACAAATGTTACCAATTAAAGTATATCCAGAATTACATTTAGTGCATGCTAATGACATCATTTAATCTGAATACTATATTTCAGTACATCCTAAAGGTATTTATGCACATTATTAATTATTATTGATTGTGATTAATTGATATTAAATATTACATTAAATTTAAGTACAAGTTGTAAAGTTATTACAAGTAAGACACATACCATTATTTATTGTTGGACAAGGCATACAACTTTATTAAGTCCAAAATGATCCAAGTTTACATTATGGAGATGTTTATCTAATTGGTCCTAATGAAGTAGCAGACTTATAATAATTGGTATTTTTGATTGAAGATATAGATCCATAGGAAGCACTTATAACTTAATTGTCTGAGGGATTAGCTCTACAAACAAACTAATTAATAAATAATAAATAATATATACTGCTGCTTATGGATAGACACATTATAAACAGGTTGTATCAATTACTTATGATTAACCTGATTGTGATAGCCAACCTTTAGTAGGATAGAAACCATATGCACAAACTTAACAACCATTATTTTAATTTTATTATTTTTCTAAACAATTTCCTAAATCTTTGACACAACCTCCATTTTATAAATAGAAACCAGTAATACAAGCAATACAAGTATTACCTGGAGAGACACATTAATTACAACCATATTAACAAGCTAAACATTATCCATTAGATTCATAATAACCATTTTAACAAGTAGCACAAGTATTTTCATTAGTACAATTCAAACAAGTAGATTTATTATTATTATCTGTAGTACAAGCAATACAAGCATTTAAACTCTTATAATATCCAATATCACATTATTGACAATTTTCAATACCTGCAGCATTGCATTGAATACAATTAGCAACACATAATTAACAAATAGAATTTGAATCACTATAATAATAATTAACACATAAACTGCAAACAGGTTTATTATTTTGATCTAATGAACAACTATTATCTGCACAATAAGGACATTTATAACATATTTAATTATTTTATTAATAAGATGGCCAACAATCTTAACATAATTAAGAATCAATTTAATTTCCATCATTAGATTAATATAATTTTTAACATGTATTTTCATCTTATGCTTTAATACATTAATTATTAACTAAAAAATAACCATCTACACATTAAGTTGGATATACTTATTATGTATCAACATCATATTTACATCTTAAAAAAGTACTTGAACATTTTATACATAATCCATTACTATTTAAATAATATTGATCTTAACAAACTTAACAAATAGTAGGATTAGTATTTTATAATGTATTTTTAGCACAACCTTAAGAACAATTATCTGGACATTTTAGACATGTTCCATCAGATTATATTAAATAATTATTGATACAACTATTACAATATCCATTAAAACAAGATGTACATTTATCAGAATATCCTATACATTTTGTACAAGCATTATTAATTACAATATATGTAGGAGCACAAGAAGTACAAGTATTTGCATCAGTACAATTAAGACAATTAATATCATTGCAATTACTGCATTAAGAACCATTAAGATAACTACCAGAATTACATGCAATACAAATTGTATTACTTTTACAAGCACTACAAGAATTCAAACTAATTGGACATTTTGTACAACTATTTCCATCAAGATAATTTCCAATTTCACAATTTGTACAAGTTGAATCATTTATACATGCTAAACATTTAGTTAATGAATTTGTACAATTTGTACATGTATTACCATCTAAATAATATCCTATTCCACATTAATTACATTATATATTATTTAAACAAGATGTGCAACCTATTGGACATTAAGAACATCCATTATTATTATTTAAATAATAACCTGCTATACATGATTAACAATTAGATGATGAATTGCAATAAGTACAATGTTAATCATCACATGTTTAACATTAATCATTTTTCAAATATGTACCAGGTTAACAAGCTATACATTTTTAACTATTTGAACATGCAATACATTTATTAATAATTGAACAAGTATAACATTAATTTCCATTTAAATAAGTTCCTGAAGCACAAGCAGTACATTTTGAAGAAGATTAATTACAATTAATACAATTTGGATCATCACAAGATGAACAAGTACTTAATGTATTAAGGTGATTACCTGGACTACATTCTAAACAACTTGAATTGCTTTTACAAACTAAACAATTTGTTATAAAATAAGAACATGGAGTACAATTATTTCCATCTAAAATGAAACCAGGTTAACATTATGTACAAGTCTAATTATTAGAACATGTAAGACAATTAAAAATTGTTTTTGCACATAAAATACATGATGAATTATTCCAAAAATAACCTGTATTGCAAAGTGTACAAGTTGAACCATTAGAACAAGTAGAACAATTTTAAATTCCAGAGCAAGACTTACAAGTTGTTGAAACATTATCTAAATATGTTCCTGAAGCACATTTTTAACACTCAGGTGATGAAGATCCAGATCCAGAACCAGAACCAGAACCAGAACCAGATCCAGATCCTGAAGAAGAACTTTAACAAGGTTCACATGATCCTCCTAAATCATAACCTGAACTACACTTTGTACAAACCAATTACTAATTTTAATAGGAACATTCTGCACAATGTGCTATTCCTTAACTGCAACTTTTGCATGAATCACCATAAGGAAATTATGTAGAATTACAATTAGCACCAGAATCAGCTTAACAAGGTTATACATTATTAACAGGTTGATCATGTCCTGTCAAACATTTAAAACATTTTAAATTATTACCCTCATAACCACAATTTGAACATCCATTCATTTCATATGAACAAGTCAAACATGATCCATTATAAAGATAACTTTAAGCTGGACATGTAGTACATGTAACAGTAGTACATGTAGTACATGTATCAGTAGTACATGTAGTACATTTACTACCATCTGTTTAAAACCCTATTAAACATGTTGAACAATTTGAATTATTAGAACACTCTGTACAATTTGAATCAGAACAAGGTAAACAATTTGTATTATCCCAATAATACCCAGTTTTACATTTATCACATTTTGAAGAGTTCGTACAAATACTACAATTATTAATAGATCCAGAGCAAATTTAACATATGTTATTATGATCTAAATAATAACCAATTAAACATCCTGTACAATTTTAAGAGTTAGAACAAGTACCACAATTAGAAAGAGATATTGAGCATTTTATACATACATTTCCTTATAAATAATAACCTTCTGCACAAGTCTAACAAGTATTAGAATCTGAGCAAAATAAACAATTAGAAATTGAAGCTGAGCACATCTTACATCTATTTGAACTTAAATAAAATCCTTTATAACAAACCTGACATATTGTAGAATTTTAACATTATTAACAATATGATATTGCTGTTGAACATAATGGACATTAATTATTATTTAAATATGATCCTACCTTACACTTTGAACAAATCAATTACTGATATAAATTAAGTGAACAGGTTGAACAATTGTTTATCTATAATGAACAATTCTAACAATTATTTATATCTAAATAATACTCACCATCACAAGAAGTGCATTTTGATGCTGAATCACATGTTAAACAATGTGACAGATAATTCACACACTAATAACATTAACTTTATTATACAAAGTATCCACTTGTACAAACAGTACACGATTATCTAAATAATAATATCTTATTACTCATTTTAACATTATAGACAATTAGATTAACATTATTAGCATTGATTAAATGATTGATAATATGTACTGCTTACTGTCTAACTGTCCTCATACCCTAAACCAACAGAAATAAAATATCCACTCTAACATTATTTGCAGATTCCAGTTAAACTATCAAATTATTAGCAATTATTATTGGCTATGCATATTCCACCTAAAATAGTCTCTACTAAATATACCCATTAATGTTGATTGGCCATTACATTGAAGACAGATCACTGTACTTCCATCAGAACTCAAGCTTCCCTTCAGACAATTTGAATCTGGGTGTTCCACACAAGAGCTAAAAAATACTTAAGTAGTCAATACCTTCCAATTAAATAATATCCAGGCCCACATGATATTTAATCACATTCACTGTACTTTTAACAGGTGCAAAAACCATTTTCAATCGATCGACATTCACTACAAATTTACCCATTAAAAAAATAGCCTTATTTGCAAGCATATTAAGTAGCTTCAACTATTTAGTTTTGTATTGAATTTCCTGGCTAATTGATAATTATGGCTTCTGACTGCAAAATCCCTGCAACAATGATGAAATATAGAAAAATATCCATATTTAATTGTTCAAAAAATTAAGAATCCGAAACTATATGAATATTATTCTAAAATCTTTCTGATATAATCTATTGAAAATAATATTTAAATGAATAACTTTTATATAACCTCTATGAAACATCTGATTCTTTGTATATGATCTATTTGATTCCTTTTGAACTCCTCAATGATACTCTTGAATAAACATTATTGATATTTTCCAAAATTATTCATATTCTATAAAATTAACATTTTTCTTGTTATGGAATAAATGTTTTATTTGATTAACAAGAAAGTCTCTATATTATTTATTATTCTTAGTACTACTACTATAACAAACAATCCCATATATTTAATAATTGTAAGATTTAGATGAGACAAAGCATTTAAATACAAAAAAACAAATTTAAATAGATGAAACCAATTTGTTAGCAAGACATCAAAAATAACATTAAAATAATCAACCATAACATTCTATTGATTGGAGATAGATTATTATCAAATAATTAGGTTGATAGTTGTGATTTTATTACATTTAACTTTATCATTAAATATAGTTTATATTAATTAAACTCTTAACATAATTAAAATAAAAATTTTTAAAAAGGTTTAGAATTAAAAAAAAGAGTTAGAGTTGGATTATTCTTATACTATTTTAATAACGTATTCTTATAAAGTACAATATGAACTATTTTCTATATAGTTATGAAAATTATTCTATTTTCTCATTTAAATAAAATCAGATGTAGTTCCTTTTTATAATTTGTGTATACTATTTCTATTATATAAATCTCTAATTTTTTTAATTATTTATTACTATAGACTCATATGATTTTTTTTATTAAATATTTTTTAAAAAACCAATATTCAAAGTAAAATAAGAATTATTTTAATATAAAAAAAGTTTGAAACAATGCTATTCAAATTTGATAAGTGAATTCTTTTTTATGAAGAACACTTATAAAGGACTAATATTAGAAAAAGCATAATACATAAAATACAAATTTATTAAAAAGAATTTATATATAAAAATAACGATTTCCAAATTTCCATTTTTATATGATTAATATTTAAAAGTGATCAAAATTTTAAAGAAAAAGTTAGGAATCATTTTGAATTTTAACATTTATAAACATTAATATTAATTTTTTCAATTTTTATATATTCATTTTTAGAACTTCATTATATTTCTAAGTATTAAAAATAATTACAAACAATATCAATTAAGAAACAAATCAGATTAATTCATAGTTAATTTTGAGGATAGATAATTATCATAAATAATGAATTTAATTTTTTAGTAGATGTGAATATGCTATAATTATTATTAAATATTTACTACTTAATTAATAATTATAGCTTATTCATTCAACTAGTAGGTTAAGCTAGAGAGAATGTTTAATTCAGGTGATTTGTTTTGGAACAAAAGTAAGAATGTGTATAATTAATGGATTCTGATATGAAACTATTTTGGAAAGCATAAATTTGAGAAGAGGAGCATCAAATAATCGTAGTTTTAAGGGAATAGATAAAATATATCTTGATTAATAATTTTTTTAATAATAATGAATAAAGTACTCATCGCCTCAATTCTACTTATTGGAGTTTTGGGATAATAATCACCACCTTTAGATTGCACATATTTAAGTTGTTTAGCAACTGGTGCTTTGAAAGTTGGTCAATCCACTCGTCAAGCATACTAATGCATGAATGGTATTATTCTATATTAAATAAAAGGTTACTATTGGGCTGGGCAATCATGCTAACCATGTCAACCAATAGAGGGAGGTTATTATCAGTGTTCAGATTATTACTCAACTGGATCTTTAACTTGTAGTCCAGGATGGACATAGCTAAATGGGTAGTGAATTTTCATATACATTTAGAATATGTGTGAATATGCCAAATGGATGTTTGAGTTATTCATTAAACACAGAAGCAAACGCATATGTGTGTGGTAAATGTGACTCAGGTTTCAGTTTGATTGCTGGAGTATGTGTTGAGAATTAAGCCTGCTCAGTATATAGTAGTACTCGATATGTATGTTCTCAATGTAAAGCTGGATATTTCTTAAATTGGGATTATATTCCCTCAGTATCAAGCTCATCAGACTAATACTACAATTATTTCGATGGTTTTTGCAGTCCATGTGGTATTGCAGGATGTTAAAATTGTCCATCATTGTATTAATTAAATATTATTATATAGAAACACTTGCACATAATGTGTTGGTGGATACTTCTGGTCATTCAGTGGATTGACAACAGGATCAACAACAGATGGATCTGGAACATGTTAAAGATGTTTAGATTATTGTACAAGTTGCACTAATGGTTCAAATTGTTCTTCATGTTTAGATGGTTACTATCTTAGTACAATTAATGGTGTAACAGTAAAAATAAAAAAATATTTAATTTTAGACTTGTGCATCATGTTTACCAAGTCTTACTTGTATAAAATGTTCAAATGGAACATCATGTTCAGCATGTGCAAGTGGATATGTATTGATAGGTTCAACAACTTGTTAAAAATTACCTGATGGCTGCACTTAAATGGATAATAATTAAAATTGTACATCTTGTATTAGTACATATGTTTTAAATACTTAAACTCCAAAAACTTGTACTCCATGTGGTAATGGATGTGCATCATGTACAATTAATAGTACTACTGTTTCATGTACAAAATGCTAAGAATTTTATTATGGAATAAAGGATAGTAATGGTGTAGTAAGTTGTTCAGCTTGTAATTCATATCCATAATCAACTGGATGGTTAAGATGTGGAGGTCCAAATGATACTCCTTCATATTCAACAGTTTAAGTTACTTAATGTGTAGATGGATACTTTTTAGTCAATATTACTACAAATAATATTTCTACTCCAACATGTATAGCTGCTGTACAAATACAGGCATGTTTAACCTTGACTAACACATCTACTAATACAAATAATGTTTGTGCCACATGTGTTAAAAATTTCAATTCATATGAAGGTGGATCTTGTTTATCTTGTCCTCCTTAAGCTGGAGCAAAAGTATAACTCTCTGCATAATGTAATAAATGTAATGGATCATCTTCTACTGAAATTACATGTTCTGGATGCTCATAAAAATATTTCTTATAAGCAGCAAGTGCAGCTTCTACTGCAACTTGTGCAACATGTTCTGCAAGTGGTGGTTGTTTAGAATGTTCTTCCAATACTAATTGTACTAAATGCAATATTGGTTATTACTTATAAGGAGCAACCTGTTAACCATGTTAAACTAATTGTGCATCATGTGACAATTCAACAGTAATTTTATATTTAATTTTTAGTCTTGTAAAGCATGTATGGATGGTTACTTCCCTTATTCTGGTATTAAGACTGCATAAGCAGTATGTGTTGCTTGTTAATTTGGTTGCGCAACATGTGCATCACCTGGATAAGTTTGTTTAACCTGTATTGATGGATATGTCTTCTAATAAGGAGGTTGTGTTCCTCTTAATTAAGCAAATTGTGCTGTAAAATTGAATTCAACAATTGCAACTGATAAACCTTATTCATCTTCTGGATGTTCTATTTGCAAATATGGATTCCATATGATCTAAAATCGTTGCTTCTAATCAGTCTAACCTTATGCTGGAGTATTTATTATATATATATTTTTATAGTATGCGTATGGATAAACAACTAATGTAACTACTGACTTGAACTACAAAAATGACACTATTACATATGCTCAACTATTAGTGGCTAGTTTTATCATGTTAGTTTTCACATTATGATCAATTATAATAATGATATTCATAAATATTAAATTATTTATAATTGCACACAGATAAAATATCAAACTTCTTTACGAGGACCCCATTTCAATTTTTATAATCTTTATTTCATAGAGAAATTTTATCTCTTCATTTCAAATTTAATAAATGATTTCTTTATTGGTTTATCTCTCTTATATCTATACATCATATCTTCTTAATTATCAGGCATAGGTTCTCCTCTCTCTTTCATATCTCTTACCCATGAATGCATATTCCTTATCTAACCATATTGACTCAATACAAAATTGACTTATTGTACTTCCACTTATGCAACCATAGCTATTTCTTTTTTTTACTTATTATTAGTATACCATATATACATCTCCAGTCAAATCATCTGGATTCAACAATTCTTCATCAAACATAGCATTTAAGACTTATCTTTATAGTGTCAATTGTTATTCAGTCTCTTCATTCCCTGAAGAAATTTAATACTTGAATCCCTTTTTTAATTTGTGCAATCCATCAAGTGCTCTTTGTCTAAAATCAATTAGTGTAAATTGTGGCTATATGCTATTATTAATATACTTTGCTAGCTAAGAATTCTAATTCCTTTTTGAATTCTTATTTTTAATTGTCTTATTGTTTCTTTTATAATTTATCTGCAAATCTATTGAATTCATATAGAGGTTATATTTGTAATTGGATGAACTTCTATGCAAATAATTTAATCATTATTATATTTTTTATATTATTTATTTATATCAATGATGACTTTCCTTCTTGCCTGGTAACAATTTGGATAAGAATCCATGATCATCCTATTCTCCTTCAGGCAATTTGAAACTCTTCTTAATTTTGTAATAGGGAGGTCCCCAATTCTTTTCTAAATAGATATCAATAAAGGCCTTCTTGAAATTCTTGCACCAATTATAATATCTTTTGCATTAATAGAAATAATTACCTCAAAGCAGCCAAGAATCCTCCATTAGAGAAGTAGAGGTTGTGCCATGCATTTTCATTATTGTATTTATGACATAAGAATGTGAGTGTATTTTAACCTAAGATAATGGGGACTTTGCTATATCCATCATATTCAGCATTAAGTGATTTTCCAGCAATATTTCTTTCAATATTATTTCTAACAACATGAAGTTAATGGAATCCAGCCCAGAAACAATTTGTTGTTGGAAGATCATTAACATCACCAAGTCCAAAAATATTCTTGTATTTATTATGTTACAATGTTTTAATGTTAACATCCAATAATCCTTTTGATGTTGTTAATCCAGCCTTGACTAGTGGTTCATGAGCTTTTGTTGGAGCAACAGCATAAAGATGATTGAAATTTCTAGTTTGTCTATTTCCAGTCTTAACATCCTCAAAAGTAGCAGTATTGTATTGTTTATTGACTTCAACCAATTTAAGTCCATATTCAACGTAAATATTTCTGCGTTTTAATTCTTCTTTGAAAAAAGAATCTCCAGCATCATTATATTGAACAAAGCGTTCATTAGGTTAGATGATAGTGAATTTTTTGATTGGAGATTGACGTCCATTTGCTGTTTACCATTCCCAAATTCTTTAACTTAAGAAAAAGTTATAAGATTCAACCTCACCACTGAATGGAAATTGAGGAATACAAAAATATGCTTCACCATGATTGAAATTGTAATGCCATCTAGTATATTTATGATTAGAGGATCTCCAACTTGGATGATCAAGGTTAGTGAAGACTGGTGAATCGAAATCTTACCAAGCATCTTCAAATCCTTTGATAGCATTGTAATTGACTTGTTGACCTATTGGAATATTGTTAGGATTATACCCATAGCAACAACCAATTAATTATAGCCAATTCTACGACCATTACGCAAAACAATGGCATTCTCTTCAGGTAATATAGTTTAACATCCAACTTAATCTGAATGGGCAGTGTACATGTTAAGTGATAATTTGGCATTAAGCAAGAAATCTGTCTTTGCTGTCTTCTATTATTCATAAATCTATCTAATTGGAGTAATTTGATTGATATTCTAATCAAGTACAACCATAATCTTATATTTTCCATGAGAAACCTATCCCGATATAACATTACAAATCTACCTTATCAAGTTGTCTACTCAAAACTCCTCCTAAATTGCAACCAATTACCACTATATCATAATGGTCTAAATCCTTCTTAGTTGGCTTACGCTTGTTGAAAACTCCTGCGAAGAAACGAGGAGTCAGCGAATGCCTCAATTGCATTCCAGATATGAGCATATTTAAATTAATCAAAAATATCTATATTATCAATTATAACTTATATATGTACTCATAACCAAAAAATCAATATGCTCATCATAATCAAATCTCCAAAATTGATATTTAATTTAGGCTTCTAAGGAGATCTAAATGAGATTATTCTATCTTAATAAATCTCAGATTTATCCATCAAATCAGGTGCTCGGAAATCTATTAATATAAATAAAAATCATTTACGAACTGAACCTCCAATTACATAAATATAATAATCTGTTTCACTTTCCAATCCATGTATTCTTAAAATGAAATCTTAATAGGGATCTGAAATCTCTATCTATCCATTAGGTGTTGGCCTATTCTAATAATCAAGTCCTTTCATTATTTAATAAGGTGATGGCCAAGTCTAATCTTAAGATTCAAAAACAACTGCAACAGCAAAACCCCATCCATAATTGCTTATGGCTAATTAAATGGCACATTGCTAATAATCAATATAAACTAATTTTGGTTATTTTATGAATCTTGGAACATATCGAGTAAATTTTTAAGCTGTAACTTCCTTACTCAAATTCAATGTTTCAATTCTTGAAGTAAGTAATTATGTTTTATTTTACAACCCAGCTACAACATCATAAGGATCTGGAAAACTATCACTATCAGGAATAGCTGCTAATTCTAAATCAATATATGATTTTATCTCATCTACAGTAATACCAAAAGAGTTTTAGAGTAATCTATTAAAATAATATTACTATAATTGAATATAATATTAGTCTATTCCAAGTATTTTAGCCACAGATTCAGTTACATTTCTAATAAAATCATCACTCACTGTTCTTTAATTAAATATTAAAGTAAAGTAACAACTTACTGGTCTATCAAGAGTTTTAAATTCAATACTTCTCTTTTCTGCCTAATTGTTACCTCTATCTAAAGCTAAAATATGTATAACATATTCAGTTTCAGCAATTAACTTAGATAAAGGAATTTGATATTATAAATCTGCAGTATAAGCAATTAAATATCCCATTTAACTTTGAGTACTTGAATAACGTATAACTTAATTTTAAAAATCACCTAAACTAGGAAATACTGTTCCTTTTAATGCAATCAAATAGTATACAACACAGGGTTCATTCAAAGCAATTAATAAATTTACTGATGTCTTTTTTATATTATCTATTTTACATGTAACCCAACTAGGAGGTTTTGTGTCTTAAGATATAATAAAGAATTCAACACTTGTAGATGGTAACTTATAAATATTTTTATTCACTCCTTCAGTCTATATTGTGATATATCCTCTCTCTACTTATGGTCCATCAACATTTACAGATTTATTATATTCAACAGCAAATCCAAATTTCTATTATCCAGCTTCTACAGTGATAGCTGTTTTCGATAACTGTATTGCAAAATAAGTTCTTTGTAAATATAAACTAAATGTTAATTCTGTATCTGGAGGAGCTGCTAAAATATATTCAGTTAATAGAGACTATCCTTAAATAGGTATTGAAAGAATAGGTGTTTGAGTAATTTTAACTCCTTGTTTTTTTGTTATTTAAATTAATGTTCTTTTAACAGGTGTATATAGAGGAGGATCTAATTCATTATCTAAAGTCCAATAGATTGTATAGGTTCCATCATACATTGATTATGGAACAGAAATATTAAAATATTGTAATGTCATTCCAAGTGTTAATGGAATTGATGAAGGATTAACAATAAATTCAGTTTCTGATGGTATTAATTTAAGATTAAGTAAACATGGAAATTCAATAGTAATGGGAATATTTATGGCTTAAGTTCCTCTTTCAATGGTGACTGTTTTTTCATTATTGACCTTAATAAGTGGACCAGGAAATTCATATGAAAATTTAAATGGATCTAAATTTGCAAAGTTTCTTTCAATAATTCTTAAATTAAGACCATCATAAGTTCTTATGTAAAAAAAGTCACTCTCTCCTTTTTCTATAGGATTTAAGACTTTCTTTAATTAAATATACATTCGACCAACATAATCCTCATAATTACCAGATGAAGTAATTCTATTACGATATGAAGAGCATTTCAATGTGGCAGCAAATAAAGTTGTACTTGAACATGTAATAGAACCATCAATAATTTCAAATTAAGATGGGTAATCTATTAATACAGATCCTTTTGATGATACTTTTGGTATGTTTTTATATGTTTAAAAAGTAAAATTATAGGTTGAATTCCATCTCACATTATAAGTAGAAACATCTATGGAAATTAATGGAGACCAACCTGGTGCAGCAAGAAATGACAATTAAGCTATTTCTTAATTTGATTGATCATAAATATTGCTACCTTATTATCTAATATAGAGTTTAAGGAAGTCAGTAGTTGATCCTCCATTAGAATTAGGATTTACAATACCAAAGATAGTAATGTCAATAGGATTTGAAATTTCAGGAGTATATGCATCATAACCTTTGAGTGTAACAATTCTTGAATCTACACTGCATGTATAACTACCTCCAGATAAACCAGAATTAACAATGCATTAAATATCTCTACCAAGTAAGGGATCAAATTGTTTTGGAAATTTGAATTCAATTTAAGTACTAATAGATAATTATGAATAAGGAAGGAATATAAAACGATAAGAAGCTTCTTCTCCTTCATTTTTTGGATCAAATACAAGTGAATTAAGAATTATTGGATTAGTTTTTGGTGCTGCTGTAAATGTTCTTCCATTTAAATTTGATTCATCTGTACCATCTAATTTTACTCCATCATATTCAGTTTATATAACAAATCCTTAAGTTGTTCCTTAATCTGGATTTTAGACACCTTTAATGACAAGATCAATGACTCCATTACCTGCTTTATATCTGCTATTAGTTTCAATGATAAAGGTTTTGCCATTTAGAATGCAAGATTAAAATGTATTGATACCTCCACTAACACGACAATCTGGTATAGAAGGTAATTTTTTATAATTTTCATCTGGAAATATTACTTTGACCTAACCACCTATAGGTATATCATTTTATGGAGTGAACTAGATTAGATAATCTACTTCTTCATCAGCATTTAAGATTGAAGCAGTAATTTAATTTATTACAATTTTCCCTGCCTTAAATGGAGTTGTAAAATCAAAACTGTAAAAGTTCAATTATTACAATACATATTTTCCATTAAATAACACATATACATGAAATCCTGATGCTGAATTATATGATTGAGAATTCTTCACAGACACAGCTACAACTTGAAATGAATTCGATTTGTTGAATTATTGAAATCCAGTGATTTTTATCAATTTTAGATTTATTTATATTGATACTTTATTTGTATCACTTAAGTCAAGAAGACCACTCTATGAAAAGGTAGGTAAATGTATACCATTAAGAAAATCATAGAAAGGTGGAAATTCCACAATAATTGTTGATCCCTCAGGAATATCAGCTTAAGGTGTAAATGTAAAAGAATAAGTAGCATCTACAAATCCTTTACCTTTATTTGATACAAGAGATTGAATTGCTGAAAATTATGAAGGTACACAATTTGTAAGAGTGCTAAATTAATATTTTTAAACTACACCTAAACCAACATTATTAATTATTAGGAAATTCAATGTATAAGTTGAAAAGTCCTCCACATATCTTGGCCATTATAAATTGCTTATTTTGAATACTGGAGTTGGAGAAAGTGGAACAGAAGCAGAAGTAACTATCAAAATAAAATCAGATCCTAATAAAGGAATGCAATATAATTATGAAGTGAGTGAACATGTTATAGTATTTTAATCTCTAATGAATCCAATATCATATTTTGGTAATTAGATCAAAATATAAAAGTTAGCACTAATGGCAGTAGTCAAACAAGGTGATATACTTATATCAAATAAATATCCAACTCTATTTTCTGAATATGAAGGAGCTGTTGTGCAAGTGATAGTTGCAGGTGCTGCATTTAAAGTGCTGGTCACTGTTAATTATTAATTTAATAAAGTAAATATTCTATTCTTCTTCTAGAATACTTTGATATCTATATCATAACTGGCTGCAGTAGGATTAGTTACACCTGAAATCATTATTCTAACATTAGTATTAGTAGAAATATATCTAAAATTTGACACTCTTACTATTGTTTTTGATGTAGCAGTTGAATGAAATAAAATACATTTTAATTCACTACCCTCATATGGTATTAAAGCATTAACACCATAACAAGGGATTGATCCACCATTGCTTACTCCTGAACCTAAATCTTAAGCCCAAGCACTACTGAAGTGAAATTCAAGAAAGCCTCTGGTATCTGAAGCTCTACTCTATTTCTATCCTGATGGTATTTAGAGAACTGTTATAAATTATATATCCACAATTGCTTTCTCTTTTGAATTTTTTGGAATTGAATTTACTATACTACCTGTTAATAAATTCGCATTTATTTAAACTGGATATGAAAAGGAATCTAACACAGTAAGATCATCAGTATCTTTAATCGTAACATCAAAAAAGTATGTTCCATTTAATGATGGAGTGTAGAATGCATTAGTTAATTGAATTTACCATTAGTTTCTTAAAGGTGTAGCTGGTAATGCTTAAGAGGGATATTATATGACATCAAATGCAAAGGGTAACTTAGCCTTAATAACCTAATCAGTAGCAGTACATGATAAAGAATTAGTAGGTGAAACAAAACCATTTAATGTTGGGGAATTTTATTATAAATAAAATTTGCAATTAACAGCATTAACTCCAGTTATTGTATCATTATTTACTTTGAATTCATTTGGAACAGTAACATAAATGAATGCAAATTTAGGTACAGTAGCAGATGGATCTATGTTCAATGTCAATGTTGCTAGTGCTCCATTTGCATAATTATTTGTTATTGAATAATCTTAATAATTTGGAAAGAACCCAGTTCTAGGTTTTAAAAACCAATTATTTGTATTCGTAGTTGGAACATTCTAATTACCTGCATTAACTGTTGCCACATCTGCTATTGCATACAAAACATCAGATTATAATAATTGATACTCTGTGATATCTTAAAATACATATAGTTTGAGTGGAGTTGTATAACCTTCTACACTTGGATTGATAACTCTAACGACAACGCAAATTTCATTATTCATTGTCATCTCTTAAAAATTAGTAATTCTTAGATAATTTTGAATAGAATCCTAATAAAAGAAACCTATGGGACTATCTTCACTAATATCTTCCAATCCATATTTGACATAATTCATTTGAAATTGTCCTGCTTAATTATAATCTCCAGGTTATACAATTTACATATAGACAGGGAAACTCAATTTGATATTGCATCCTGCAGGAATAGGAAATGTAGGAGTAAACCTTACTTCATAATCCATTATTCTAGATCTGGAATTGATAAAATTCTAAACTTAAGTCATAGACACATTTTATAATTAAGCAGCTTATATAGTAACTCCACTGATTCCCTTGACTTCTTCAAACATCATCTGAGTATTTGCTTTATAGATTCCCAAATTGAATGTTTTTGTTGTTCCAGCATATTTAGGATTTCTCATAGAAATTTTGAGTGCATAATCTTATAATCCTATAACTTATCCAGTGATCCCTTCAATTTTAACTACATTAGTTTGATTCACTTAGGAACAAAACAAAGTGCCATCTAATTGTATTCCATTGATTGGATAAGCACTACAAACTGGAAATGGTTCCAATTCAAAATCAGTGGGAACTGTAAATAACATATAGGAATTATAGATGATAGTAGTTGTGGTCTTGAATTTCAAAATGTATTAAGTATAATCCTTAATATTATATATTAAATTGTTACTCCTGCATAAAAGGAACCAGTTGGATTTACAACAACTTCACCAAACACCATTGTATTAATGGCATCTGCAATTCCTATGATACCAAAAATCAAATTCTCATCAATCACATTATCTCCTCTCTTACTACGTAAAATGAAATTAGCTGTCCCACCTTATGTGGCTGGATTCCTTATTGGTTACACCGATGCCGTGTAGACTATTAGCATGCCACTTTCTTACTAGTCCCATTCTTCATCTCCTCTGAGTATGTGAAGATAACTGATCTCCCTGAAACTACGCAACTCGGTATGCACACTAGCTCACTTTATGTGGTTCCCAATCCAGATAAATATTGTAAAGGAAACTAAACTTCTATTTGGGAATAGGATGCCAAGTATGTTTCCAAAACATAACTAAAAATGTATTAGGCCTAAACATCGGCATTGGCTACGGAATTCCAAATTGGTGTAACTCCTGTTGGTCTTAGGATCGATCCACATTTGATAATTGAAATTAGTGATGTAAGTAGTATTAGCATTTATAATATATTATTATTATAACATAATATATTTTATATATCTCTCTTTATTTAATAAATTAGTTATTATATAAATCAATATTTTATTAATATCTCATTTTCTAATTTTAAAACCATCTTAATTTAATCTTCCATTTTCACTCATCAAGTCCTTTAATTAAATCTTCACAATATGGATATTGAATCTACCAATCAAATATCCATAAGAACATCTATATTTTATAATTTACAATAAATATAAAAATGAGCTACTTAGTATATAACAATTTGTGATTATTGAATTTAATACTCATTAATCAGATTCACTATCTTAAGATCTTTTTTGCCAGGGTGCTCTTATATTTCAAAACATCCAAGTATGACATCGTATCTCCTAATGATTTATTAACCAATATCTAAATTTCATTATTACTCTAGCCATTCCAAACTACAGTTGTAGGTTCTTCCGAGATCTCAACTCTATTAACTACTTATTTTTCAGATCCATTGCTTTAATTATTCGAACTCATCTTAATGTAGATATTGATTGATAAGTTAATTTTGGAAAAATATTTTATTAAAAAAATTCATTTTAGAATAGCCAAATACAAATGAAATCTAAATTATTTTACTAATTTTTGAGAAATATACTTAGTTTTTATAGGTTCAACATTACCTTAAATTGTATTGAAAAAATGCTTATAAAACTAAGACTTCAAATTAAAAACGATATAAATAAATATATGCCGCCTAAATTTGAGTGAATAATTTCATGAAATGATTTAGAACTAGATGTCAATTTATTGGTTAAGTTTTGAGTATTATCATAAACTATAATCTTTTAAGTTACAATTTAAAAGCCTGTCTAAATTTGGCGAAACGTTAATCAAATTATCTTTTTTCATTTTTTAAAATCAATATTATATTGCAGTACTTAGACTATGCTTTGATATCTTTTTTAGAAAAATTCATTATTTTTAAGTTATTTTTGAAAAAAAGGAAGTAATAAATTATTCAAAAACTCATCATATATTTTATTTTATATTATAATAAATCCATAAATGGTAAGTGTGATATTTTCTACCAATAAATTTTTATTTGTTTTGTTGTTTTTTCTATCAATTTCAAAGAAGAATATAACTTAGAATCATTAAACAATAAAAGATAAAAAATTAAAAAATAAGTTCATTAATATAATTTAAACATTAAGTTGAAGCAATTTAGCTTTTTCAATTATTTAACTCTTTATTTAAATAATAAGTAAGTTCTTAATTATTTATACTTTTATATAATGAAAAGTGATTTATATTCATTATTTTAATATGTAAACAAAATTATTAACTAGAAGCTTCTTTATGGACTTTATCACAAGAATTCCCTTATTGTTTGATGAAACTATCCTTCAAATGAATAGAAATGCTAGAGCACCTAAAAAAGCTAATCATGGAGCAAGACCATGTTCTTCTGTTGTTAGAAGGTAATTGTTTAAGATTATAATGTTCAGATTGAGACATGCTAAACAATATAGAAAATCAAGGGAAAATACTCCTTTAGAATAGGAAGAATTAACTTCAAAATGGGATGATCTTTGAAAGAGCATTAAATATAAAATATATTATTGGTGTATATTTAAGTTGTTAATCATTTTACCCAATAATTATTTTTCATAGTTTTCTTTAAGTGCTCTGCTGTAGTTATGGTTAAGTCTTTTTGATATAATTCTTATTTCATCAAACTATAATACGCAAAGCATTCATTTCTAAATTTCAAAGTGTCTTATTATTATAGAGTCTTATTATTTTTTAAGGCAAGAATTGTACGAATTTTGTTTCTGGTAAATTAAGTATATTTAATTGATTTTAGTTCAACAAGAGCCATTTTAAGTATATTTAATCCTTCCATATGATATTTAGACATTATTTAAATAAATAATTATAAGAAAATGCAAAATAGAATAACTAATGGCAATCAAAACTATAAAATATTTGCCAGAGTAAGGCCAATTGATTATTAATAGAAGATGGTTGACTTTACTAATGAAAGTGTATCAATAAGAGTATTAGAATAATAATTTATTTAAGGATCCAACTAATAAAAATGCAGAAAGCAAGATTGTTTCTTTTTCTTCAGTTTGCTCTACATAAGAACATGCCTTTAAAGTAACTGAACCTATGTTATAAAAATTAATTGAAGGTCACAATTCTTGTGTTTTGAGTTATGGATAAACTGGAAGTGGGAAGAGTTATACATTATTTGGTTAAGAAGGTGAAGAAAACAAGCCAGATAAAAAGGGTATTATAACTAGAGCTGTCGAATATCTTCTATCTAAATCATAAGAATTTGAAGAGATTCGAGAATTTGTAATAACTGCTAGTATGGCTGAATTATTTTTGGATTAAGTGAGAGATTTGGGTAAGGCATATCAATCCCGTTAATAGGTTAATACGAATCAAATACTTTAGAATTACGAAAATGAAAATCTCACTATATATGAAAATTCAAATGGATAGATAATGATTAAAGATCTTACTTAAATATCTATAAGTTCAGCTTAAGAATTGACAGATATGATATAAATTGGATTTTAATTAAGAGAGAAATTAGAACAGTAAAGTAAATAATTTGGATCAAAGTGTCATACTATTATCACTTTGAATTTAGTTTAAAAAGATAAGGAAAATGGGAACTAATAATTTATGAATGCATTCATATAGTTTGTAGATTTGGCAGGATCTGAAAGAATAGCAAAAAGTTTAACATAAGAAGGATAATTCTAGGAGGCTATTTTAATTAATTAGAGTTTAACTGCCTTATCTAAATGTTTGACTGCAATATCTTAAATGAATTCTAAAAATATTCCATATAGAGACTCAAAGTTAACAAGAATTTTATAAAATTGTCTAAATAGTTAAAGTTAAGTGGCTTTAATAGTACATATTAATCCAAATGAAAATAATTTTGAAGAATGCCTATCAGCTTTATAATATGCAGAAAGGACAAAAGGAGTAGCAGCAGCTCAACCTATTGATGATAATCCTAATTAACCAGGTCCTTTTCCTGGTTAAGATAAATTGATTAAGAAATTGTAAGATGAAAATACTGAATTGAAATCAAAGATAGATTTTATATAAAAAGAACATAGAACAAAATTATCAGAAATCTAAAATTTATTAGGAATAGATGTAGATTTAGAAAAACTCTTTATTCATGGAGGTGCTCAAGAATTATAGAAATACAAAATTTAGAAGGATGCTATGTAGAAAGTAGAGACTCTTTAGAATTATTTAAAAGAAGCAGATTAAATGATTGATAAAATGTAGAAAGAGAAGGAATGGATGAAAAAGGAAGAGAATAACAAATTAGAAAGATTGTAATGCAGGAATATTTAATTAACTGAAGAAATAAAAAAATTGAGAGAATAGTAGGCAGAATACAAATAATAATTAGAATAAATAGAATAAGAAAAAAATGATAAAGTATTAGAAACAGTGAAAAAAAAATTAAAAGAACATTAAGAAGTGATTGAAAAGAAAGTTAATGTTATTATAAATTTACCTTAAGCTATTTAAGCAAAAACTTAAGAAGTTCATAAACATGAAGATATTAAAAGAATGGCAAAATTTGAATTAGAAAAAGAGTAAGAATTATTATTATAAATTAGGTATAAATAATAAATGGACAATTTAAAAACAGAGTATTCAAAGTTTTTATAAGATAGTACAGATTAATATGAAAAATATTTAAAAAAGAAAAATGAAGAAATAGATCACTTTATTCATTAATTCAAAAAATATTAAGAAAAAAAGAAGTAATTCATTTTTTTATAAATGTTATAGAATGTAAATTAGAGATATGAAATCAGAGTTATTTGAATTATATGATATAGTCATGAAGGCCTTTAGAGTTATAGAGAAAATAGAAAATGGAGCATATAGTTCAGGAATAAGATCATTTAATATTCCAGCAATGGATAAACCTCATATTCCTACCAGAAACAAATTTAAAAAGTATATTTTTATCTTAATTCTTAAGTCTCTTTAAATATCTAGATTCAAAAAGTTTAAAGAATACTAAAGAATATGAAATCAAAGAAAAAATTAATTTAAAGCCTTTACAGATATCATAGTTTTTGGAACATAACAATATCAAAATGAATCTCTTAGACATGCAAGAACCTACTTTAAGGTAGTTCGCAAGCATGATAAGAGATGAATTAATCTAAGTTTTAGCTAGGGAAAAAGAATTATAGAAAAGAGTAATTTAATTAGAGATTCTGCAATCAAATAATGATCTCAACACTTTGATCAAAGAAAGAGATGAATATAAATAACTTTATTTGCAAGAAGTCAAAAAATTAAATTAATCAAAAAGAATAATCTCTGGTAAATCTGGATCTCATCCAAATGTTTTGATAAGACCTTTAACTTAGTAGAATTCACGATATAAACTATGATTAGCAAAGTTTGATAAATTAATAAATATTAATTAACTCATATCAATATCTCAATTACTTGATATATCTTATGGATAAAAATTCAGTTTCTAATAACTATATTGAATCTCATCAATAAATTTGATATTTTTCTTGATCCTCCATTAATTACATCATTCTAATATTCATATATTTCATTTAAGAAACAACCTTTAAAAATCCATATGCTTTATTTGATAACTGTATCTTTGTAATTTCTAAAAGAAGTATCAGTCTTTTATTTTGACAACTTAAATTGCATATCTTAATTTAATCTTCTACTTTGTATCAGCATTTCCTGGATTTAATACTTTAGATTACTTAACTGCAATATCTTTCAATTACTCCAATAAGTAATCTAGCAATAGCTTCAAAACACTTTCAGCTGCCTCTTTCCTTAAAATTAGAATAATATGCTGTCATGTAAAGAAGAAGTAGATTTTCGATTAAAGATGCCTATCTATAATAACACAATGCTATGAAATTATAGATTTCTTTCAATGTTATGATAACTTAAATCAAAACAACTCATCTTCCTTTTAAATTACATGCCATATCAAAATTAAATATTTTCTGTCATTTCAATATATAGTTCTTAATTTTTGAAGAGATTACTCAAAATTTAATGTAATCACCTTTTTAAGTTATATATTATTTGATTATCATTTTGATTTCTATATCTAATTAAAATCACAATTTTGTAAATGCATTTCCATTTCTAATAATACTTCATATTGTTTGCTTATACTAATTAAATTATTAAATTAATGAACTAAAATAGACTAACATATGATATATAAAGAAGAAAAGAAAGAATGACAAATTACTTTATGTAATAATAGCAATTTCAAGATTTCACTAAACCTGAAAATCCAATCAAAATTTTAAATCCAAATAAGGCTCCTTAACAATTAGAATCTCCTTTAGTCAATTAAGTTAAATTTTATTTTTAAAACCGCGTTAATCGATTAGAATTTACATAATTATTTGAAGGTAGAGAATCTTTCACATAAATGTTTGTGACTATTCTCTTTACAACAATATTAATTCTTATTATTGGCTATGCCGCATATTATTTAAATTATATAGGCAAAACTTTTATATGTTTAGTAATGTTAGTGAATGGATTTCATGTATTAGGATTACATGTGTTCTATTTTTCAAGTACTTTATAATCATTAATCAAATAGAAAACTCTGATAAAGCCTTGGCTTATTTTTTTGTCATTCTAATACTTTAATTCCTTCTCTGCAATCAACTTTGGGGAGGAGGTTTACTCAACAATATTTTTACCATTTGTTATGTAGTGTATAATGGATATAAATTCTTAAGATAATTACCAGTCTCACCTCCAAACTAAAATTAAGTTTTATCATCATATAGTCAATATTTTATATATGCTTTATTTATTGCAATCAAACCAACTACAATTAGCAAAAGAATTATTAATTTCCTTTATTTTTTGATACCTGTGTATTTATTCATCTTTTTAATTGACTTTTTTTATCAATAATAAAGAATTACAACAAGAAAGATATTGTTGGCTGGCATTCTTGATTTAATACTATAATTTTCAGAAGGAATGATTATTATATTTAAGAAATATTATGTTTTCAATCTATCAAGAAAAGCTGATTAATTGCCTCTTTTTATATATCCATTATGCTTATAAAATAATCAATAATAAGAAATTGCATCAATTAATTATATTAATTCACTTAAGAATGATAATAAGGTTTTCAATTAAAAAGTGTTGTTTAGATTAGAAGGTTGTTAGCCACCAACGATTGCTGATATAATGTAATCTTATTATTATGAAAAATTAAAATAATATGTCCAAGAAATTTAGAATAATTTTACTTAAATATCAAAGTTATTAAATGAAAAAAGTAAAGTTAGAACACTCTTTGAAGATATAACACTTCCATTCACATTCTTCAAATATTATTTTATGACTTATAGAATTAAAAGACAATAAAGATAACTTATTAAATTGTATTATTTTATTTTTAAATCTTTTGATTCATTTTAAAAGGATAGCCAATATGAAGTTGAATGTTTGAGATTCAATGTATCAATTTGTTTAATATTCTAGATTTAATTAATATCTACAATTTAATAGAACCATTTTGAAGAACCTAGAATCCTGAATATATGTAAAAAGATAGCCAAAATTTCTGAAAAACATATGAAACATGAAATATTTTAATAATTATTATCATGAGTATAAGATTATTATTACTAATGTTAGAAATCAGAATTCAAACTATTAGTCATTCCAATATCTAATATATGAGAAAATTAAGTTTGTTAAATAACTCTCTTTTCATAAGCTACAACAATTATTGACTGAATTAAATTAAAATTTTTGAATTTTAAGGATTAATAATTAAAAAATTGTTGATATTAACAAAATAATTTTACTTTCTTATCATTATTTTTATGATTAATGTTAATTAATTTAAGAAGATAATTCAAATTAAACTTTTATCAATTAAAGCCTTTGATTTTCTAATAAAGTAATCTAATATTTTGTAACAAAATTTTAGAATTAAATTATAAAAATAGAGATATAATGTAAAAAAATTGTTCATTTAGAGATTAAATGAAATAAAAAAATGATATATATTAATTTGTTTAATTTTTAGTATTGGTCTTATATAAATAGAAAATATTGAAATATAAACATAAGATATTATATTCTTGAAACTATAATATTAATAATATAGGATTGAAAGAATGAAATAATATACTATAATTAATAAATTATTTTGTCAATATGAAACTTGATCTGGATATGTATTATTGGCTTGTCAAAATAAATGTGATATAAGAATTACCAATCAACAATTTATTTGCTCATGTTGATTAGATATTAGAAGAACAATTTCTGAATGGAATAATAGTTAGTCAAGTCCTTAAATAATTTGATTAGAAGATTGATGTTGATGTTAAGTAAGGTAATAGTAACGGAATACGATTGTTTAATTGGAATAATATATGTAAGAGTTTACAATAGATTAACATAACATTAGATGATGATATCAAAAGTACCTAATATCCATATCAGTAGTTTCAATTGTCAAAGGAGATTCTTAGATGTTAATGCAATTTTTGAAAGAATTAAAATAACATTATGATATGGCATTTTATGTAGAAGAATAAGTGAGTACAACAACTAGATTCAATTCTCAATAAAATGAGCCTTAAGAAATTGGTATTGATGAAATTGACCCTGAAAAGCCTCTTAATTAAACACAGTCCCTTTTAGAATTCATCATAGTTTCTCTTTGTAAACACTTTAACATAAAGCCTAAATAAGCAGTAGGTTTACTTAATTAAAATTATAAATAATTATCAAATATCCTGATTAAAGGAAACAAAGGCTTTAAAAGTGTAACAAATTGGTTAATGGAATTATCTAAACATATTAATCATATAATTAAATTTGTAACCTACAAAATTGATATTTTGTTGTCTCTACTTAAAGCTGGTTTAGTTTCATAAAATGCAGAAGTATGTTATTGGACTTTATATATAATTGAAGGAATTGTGATAAATCTTCCTTAAAAGGAATTATTGGAAGATGTGTATGCTTGGTTAATAAGAGAACATGGAGGTTTAATAGTATTGATATTATCATAATAACGGTATCATCAATATTTGGAATAAGTCTGTAAAATATATAGTGTAGTTTCTTAATATAATGTATTTGACTTCTTTGATGTACAATTAAGAAAAATATTGAAATCTGGTAAAGAGTATATAGATTTTATAAATGGAATAATATAAACAATACAGATTAGAGATCAGATGTAAGAACTAAATCTTTTTGAATTATTTGCTTCATATGCTGTTAAATTATTTGAACCTTAACATACTACTATGGAGAGAATGACAGCTCTAAAATATTTTGAGCATTATTGGGTATTCTATCCATAATAATTTGTAATCAATCAAATGGAATAATACTTATTAAATTCAAGGAAAGCAACTAGAGAATCTAGTTTTGCAATGAGAATATTTACTTATCAAAGTTTATTTAGAATTTTAGATAATTTGGCTTTGTAAAAGGATAAATATGCAGCTTTGTTATATAAGAAATTAGTATTTTCTTTAATTGAAAACTTTGATTAAAAAGAAGTGAGAGAATTTTTGGTAGCCAATTTTCTAATGTTAATTAAAAAATATTCAACAATACCAATTGATATTTTAATAATTCCTATGGTGAAATAACTATAAATTGAATAAAATGAAATATAAATTAACATAGTTGACTTTCAATTATTAAAATCTGTTTGTACACATCCAAAAATTGATGTTAATGTGACTATTTTAATGCTTGATATGTTAAGTAAGTTATATTTAAGCTCTATTATGTTTTATTAATTGGCATTTTAATAGATTTAATTATTATTAACACGATTTATTAAATCAAATCCAGTTCAAGAATTCACATTTAATCTTGTCAAAATTGCAATATCTGAATATTATGGCAACTATTAAGAACATATAAAAAGTAATCCTAAATCCATTTTGAATAGAAATCCAGATGAAAATATAAAAAGATAATAATTTAGATCTTAAATAATATCTTTAATTAAATTCATTATTAATCTTAGATCCTTTGAATTAAATGAATTGATTAAACCTGTAATTGCTCATTTCTATTTGGAGATCTAATAGGTATTTTGAATAATTACTATTGAATAGAATTTAAAAACAGAATCTAAAGCTTTATTTATGTTATTAGGACATTTTGGTGATCCATAAGAAATTCTTTAAGAAGAATAAAAAAAATCTTAATAAATTAATTAATAATCATAAAATCCTATATTTTAAAATCAAATTGTAAAATCTTAATTTTAGGGATCTAAAGTATACCAGGTCTAACAAAATTTAAATCATTCAAAGTCAAATAAAGGAATTATATCTTAAAGAGATGATCCATTTAAAGAATTAAGAGATGAAGCAACCAAACCAACTTTGACTATGCTTGGTAACCTATCATTAAATTATGATGAATAATCATTATTGAAATAATTTGAACTACTTTGAAATATTGTAATATATAGTCATATTTATTTATAAATCAAACCAAACTTTACTTTTTTCTGTGATTGACTTGAGAACGATTTTTCTGAAAGATTACTGGATTTCAGAATTGATTTTGGCTTAGAAATTTCATCTGCTTCTTCTTATCTTAATTTAATTAACTCCGTATGTTCTATAATAAATGATGTTTTATTTTTTTTATGTTAAGTGGCTATAATTCTAACAGGACTAATGCTTTATCCTTAAGATGATCTTCTAAATAAGGTTTTATCTTAATGTAGTAAATCAAGGAAGAATTAATCCTCATATGATTACCTTTTTTTTGATCTCTCCTTAGTAGGTGAGTCAGCTTACGATACTTTACATATAGAACAACCTTCTTCCTCTACTTCAATACTTATGTTAGGTCCTTCGTCCTCTGATTTAGCTATAGTTGGATTAATAGAATCAATGTTCGGCTTTGTAGGACTTTATTATTAGGAGTTGGGAAGATGTTGCTTTTGATCAATAAGATCGATTGTAGCAAGAGAAGGTGGTTATTGTTTACAAGTACCATTTCCCATTTTTAATATAATAATACTCAAATATTTTTCTTAATTACCTTGTCCATTCTGAAGTCTTCAATCTCATTTATAGCTAATCTTCCAAGATAATAGTCTTAACCAAGTTCTTCAAGTCTTTAAAGTGTATATTAAGTAGATCTCAGAAAACCCATTGCAAAACCAGTACCAAGACCAACAAAAACTCCTAACCCTTTAGCAGTGTAAGAGAGATATCGACGATTAAAAAAAGAAATAAGACTTGTCATTGCTAAGCATGCTCCCATTCCTTCATAACATCTCCATTTAAAAAATTATTTGCAGTCGTATAATGTTTCATTTTCTTCTGGTGTACTTGCTTCGTATTACCAAATAGTTTTGACCATTTCTTTTAGTGAAATATCTTTAATGACCTCCTAATATGTGGCCATTTTCTCATTATATCTTTTTCTGCCTTACTATAAAGTATTTTTATTTACGAATAATTGTAGGATCACTTGGAAGAGGTTTTTAAATATTTTTAAAGTAATCTCTTAATGCTGATTCTTCTTCTTCCATTCCCTATTACAATTTAGTTTCCTCTTCCAAATATTACTTTTTCATTTACTCTCTAATTTCTCTATCTCTATTAGTTTCTTAATTTTCACTCATTTAATATTTTAATGCAATTATATTGAATTTTATAATTCTTTATAATAATTTGAAATTCCTTATTGGATAAAATTGAAATTATTCTTGTTCAGAACAATGTGAATTAAAATATTTTATTATTTTTATTTAGATCATTTATTTTTATAATATGTTCTATATGGATAGTTTCTATACTCCAAATCATTCTAAACATCATAAATTTGTAAAAGATGATTTGAATTTTAATTGCTTGTTTTTTGTATTTACTATTTCAATTATTAATGAGAAGGTTAAGTAGTTAAAGTTTTACTAAAAAAAAATCTAATATATAAAAATACTTAGATGTAACATTAAATCCTCTAGTTTAAATATTTGTAGGTTCTTTGGATCCTGAATCTTATTCATCCTATTTTGAAGTAGTAGATCTTCTATTATGAGTTTAAGTTGTAGTTTAAAATGCAATAGCTTCTCTAAAATTAGTTTCTCTCAAAGTTTTATTTTCTAATTTTAATAATTCAATCTCTTAAATTTATTTTTCTAATTTTCTAGCATATGCTTGTATTTAAGCAATCTCTTATTCATTTGTATTATGTAATTATTTAACTTCTTCATTTTCAATTTCTAATCTTGAAATTTTTGATTAATAAGTGTTTATTTCAATTTTGTAATTTTCTTATACTAATTTAAGATTTCTTATCTTTTCTTCCATTTCATCAAATTATTCTTTATACCATTACATCTTTTCATTTTATTTAAAAAGAGTATCATTTTTTTCTTACTCTTTTCTAAATAATTCTTATAAATTATTGTATCTATCATCTAAATCTTAATATTTTTTTTTAGAATTCTCCAAATGTTCATTATATTATTATGTTAATATTTCAATTTTATGATCTCTTTATACAATAATAGTTTTTTATTCAATCAATTCTCTCCTTAAATTTTCTAAATCTAATAATAATTATTTCATTTCTAATAATTATTTATCCTTTTATTAATTCTCTTTTTATAATAATTCAATTTACAATGTTAATTCCTTAATCCTAAATTCTAATCTTGATATCTCTAAATTATGATCAGAAATCAATTATTAATTTACTTACTTTTATTTCTCAATCATTTATTTTTATTTTTAATTCAATTTCTCCAAATCATTATCATACTCTAATTTTAAATTTTCATAATCTGATAACAATAGATTATATTTAGTCTATAATCCATCTAATTGTAATTTAATAGATGTAAGTTTTTCATTTTAAGATTACTCTCTCTATTATGCATTACTATGTCGTTTTTATTCTAAAATTAATTCTTATTAATTAGAATTCAACTCTTATTTTAATATAATTATTTATTATGGATAATTTTCTTATTTCAAAGAACCTAATTCTGATCTTAATTCTTTTATTAACAATTCTTATTGATTACATAAATGACGTAGATGTTCTAAATCAGTTTTTTATGAATAATTTTGAGTATATAAATCTTTAAATTTTGTATCTTCATCCTCTTCTAATTTCTTTTTTGCACTCTCCAATTAATTTACTTTTTAAATCAAATTATCATTTTGCTAATTTAATTATCTAACCTTCTCCTCTAAAGGTTTCTATTTTTTATTCAATTCATTATATTTATCAGTTAATTCTTTTATTTTGATGTCTTTGGTTTGTGCTTCATTTGATACATCTTTCTCCTTCTAATACATACTATTTAAATTTGATTCTAATTTTTAAATCAATTCCTTTGATTTTTTAAGTTAATTCTCCTTCTCTTCTAAAATAGACTTTTACAATTGATCTCCTCCTTTAATATTGCTAATATGTTAATTAAGTACACCAAGTTCATCTTCATACAATTATATTTAATGTCTAAGATCTTACTCATTTAAAGTTTGATTAGTTGCTGTAGATTCAATTACCCGTTGCAAATCTTCAGTTCTTTATTCAATTTCTTTTCTTAAGTTAGAATTTTCAAAATTCAATGATTCAAATACCTTTACCACATTTTTTAAATATCCTTCTATTGTTTTATTCTAAGAATACTTTTGATTTAGATACATGTTCCTTCAAGGCATGATTTTCTTTTTTGAGTGCATTTAATAAAGTATTCCCTTCCTCAGATCCTAACCAATCATTATACTTAGGTAATGATGGACCTACAGGATTTGGAGATCTAAATTTTGGAACAGTTTGGGATTGATAGAAATTGCTTTGGGATGCATTCTTATATAATTTAGACATATTTTTATTTAATATAAATGTATAATCAATTAATGGAAACAACCTCTCTAAATTACAGCAAAAATCTGAATCTAAATAAAGAAGTAAAATATAACAGAGATCTTTATAATATATTATAATAAAGCATCGATATTCATAAAGGAAGAGATTACATATTAACAAATTGAAATTTTTAACATAACCATAAAAAAAGTCAGATTCTTAATGATAATCAAATGAAATTTTATATAAATCACTTTTTCCCTTTCTTCTTCTTATCGTCCTTTTTTGGTTATAATTATAATAATGGTTCTTCAACTGCTCCTATATCTTCATCAACAGTCCTTGCCAAATAACCTTCAAATTCTAAAGCCATTAACTATTCTTCCTCATCAGCTATCACTCTATTTATAAGATTTACGTGTGGCAGGGGCTTACAAATAAGCTAAAATGTAAGTGCCTTTATCACTTAAAAAGGTATTAGCTATACCATCTAATTTTGTTTTCACAAATTTTCTTTCTCCAGTTTTATCACATAATTCAATCACTAATTAATCATTATGATATTTCTCATTTAGATCTTTGAATTTTTCCAATGTCACTTTTATCTTATTCAATTTATCTGTATATTTTGTGACATACTCTTATTACTTCTCAGTATCCTTTTGCAATTCCAATTTCTCTGCTTCCAAAGGGTTACTTGGAGGAGCATCTTTTCCTTTCTTTTGAGGAGGTGGCTTAGCTCCTTTTTTGTCATCCTAAATATAATCATTTATATTGTAACTTTCTTTCCTGTTGGTGCCTCAAGTAATCCTTCTTCTTATAATTATTGATTTATTGCTGAAATTCTTTTCTCATTTAATGATATTTTCTATTAAGCAGTCTTTTAATCTTTCTAATGTTATTCGTCTTTGGCTGTAAGTAGCTATTTTCAAAATCTTAGATCAAATTTACTTTAGTGATTTCCTTTATTGCTTGAGTCCATATACAATCCAATAGTGTATTGCCTAGAACATCAATTGTGAACACCTTATATTGTTTATAACCAAATAAGACTAAAATAAACATAATTTATTATATAATGGATAAGGAATTAATAATTGATTGCCAATAAAACAAAGAAACTATTGGTTAATAACCCAATCAAACTAGAAAAGTACAAAATGATATCTTTCTTAAAAAATCGTCTTCTTTTTTACAAAATCAATAATCTAAATATGGAATCAGATAACCTATTCAATTAAAAAACCCCTTACTCATTAAATCATTATTTTAGCCTAAGAAATTCTTTAAAAAGAGAGATTCTTCACTACCTATTTGTACACTTAAAACTTTGCCTACATAACCATTATTTTCTTATTAAACTGATCGTATTCATAGTAGATGTCCAGCATTTAAAAATATTCGCTTGAAATCAGGATTCAAACAATCAAGACATAAAACTGAAGAAAAAATAAGAATTGAGACAGCACCTGCTATGTGTAGAAGTCCAGTTGTCTAAAAGGCATCTTTATCAAGCCTATTTAAGACTTAAATTTATAATGATAAAAAAACAAAACCTAAAATATATTAATCGCTTAATAATGATTGGGGAATTGGAGGATGGAATATAATTGACGATAATATTGATACAAAGCTATTCATTGATTGATAATTGAATCCATTTCATCTACTTTTAAAATTGAATTGTCATTTATATTACGAAGAACCTTTTTCTCTAAATCAAGTTTAAATTCTGAATAAGTTGGACTAAGTTCTTTAATATTAAGACCTGCCTATAAAGAAAGTCTTCTTCCAGCCTGACTCATTTATAATGAAATCTTCTCAAATTAAATAGATTTCTTTCTAATTTTATCTATTTATTCCAAATTTAATTTATTTTTTCTATCTTGGAATGCTATCTATTCTAAATTGGCTGAAACAGTCATATATGATTTATCATTCTTAATTTGATTTTCTTCATTTGAAGAAGATGATGAATCCGATGAATCTGATTCACTATCTTTAACTAAATTTTATTAATTCAAATCTTCATTCATTCCATTAAGATTCTAATTTTATTCTTCTTTATTTTATTCTAATTTATTTTCTACTTCTTCTTTAATATCCTAAACATTATTTTTTATATCATTATTTTCTATCAATTTTGCTTCTTCCTCATTGATTTACATTTAAGATCCCAATTTCTTTTAATATTCAAATTGTTATAATTTCAATTCCCATTTGGTTCTTCCCCAGATTTTAGATTATTGCAACTCTGAGTTAATTTCTAAGATCTAAGTATCATATGTAATATAATCCAACTCTTTGGTGATTTTTGTATTCAATTCTTATTCAAAAGAGAAAACTTATCTATTAAACATAGAATTAGTGTTATTTTATATTTGATAGACCTTAATTAATTAAAATGCCCAAAAGGGATGATAATCATTTAAGGCTCTTTCAAAAATATAAAATATTATTCTTTCAATTTAAGATGATAGAATGTCTGATTTTGGATATGTATTGCATAATCTAATAATTGAAATCATTATTTCAGTTTAATGCATACATTCCCAAAGAGAGACATCTGTAATTCTAACTAAGTTATCAACAATCTAAAGAATAATTATTCAATAAATTACTTCTATTAATTTTATAATTAAATGACTAATTTTTTTATTGTTATCACAATGATCTTTGATTATATTATTTACAATATGTAAATTTGTTTTGATAATTTGGTAAAACATTGTTGAATGAAACTAAGTAGTAGTCTGTTCTGACTCTTCTTCCTCTAAATCTAAATTTTATAATTCACCAGAGTAATAATTAGAAATTATAGAAATGATGTGAGCAGCATTTTTGGTAACTCTAATGTATAAATAAACGAAACTTACATTTTATTCGTTTATTATATAACTTCAAACATTTTAGTTAAAATTTGACTGGTTTTTATGTAATCTATCAAGTCTTTATTCTTGGCTTTTGTAAAGAGTTCATGTATAACTTAAGTAAAATTTATAGCTTGCAATTCCGTTAATTATTCGAATTCTTAAATACCTTTACTTATGAATTGCTGTTAGTATTAATTCATATGAGTACTCATCAATTCGATTATGAGTTAAGCTACATAGGTGTATTCAAGATGATTATACAATTTAATTAACTTATCCTAATGATTATCAAGGAGAGTAGACTTTTCTTAACTTACTAATTAGATTATGCGTAAAGCAAAATACCATTATATTTCTACTGTTTATTCATTATTTAGTAATTAGAACACTAATTCCCAATGAGTCTAATTTAAAATATAGAAATAGTACCAGAATTTGAGCATTTACCTTCTCAAGTTTGAGATCTATTAATTCCCACATGATAGTATATTAGTTGGTTAATTGTTCAAAATGTACACTTAAAACATGTTTATAGTCCATAAACATAACTTCTAGCAAACCAACAGTGCCTTAGACCAAAGTTTCTACAGCTAATGTGTCTCCCAATCTTGCTTGTTTTACAAATAACTCTGCTTCAAGCAAAAGCAGAATATCTCCTTATGTCTTCTCAATCAGTTATTTAAGTGGATTTTATGGTTGTCTATTATATCCTTCTGGCCACAGAAACATAAGATAATGTTATTATTATAAAAATACTCTTTCAAATATGTCTAAAATATTTCTTTCCTCCATTTATTGGACTATCTTTTAGGTGTTTTTCTTCTTTAGCTTTAATGTAATCATCCCAGAATCCATCATCATTGATATAGTAATCAACTGGTATATCATCTACTCTCTCTGATTTATCTACAGCCCAATCAGGTAGAGGAACATCATCTTTAGCAACATGTCTTGGAGTGTGTGCTCTTTGTTCTAAATACTTGAAAACAACATCAGGATTCTAAAAAAATGATTAACAATTGAAAATACAATAGCAGTATCAACATGTTCATTTTCTTAATCTTGCATTAATCTTTCTTCATCGAATCTTGAAACCATAGGTCTATATCCAGATGATCCTTAATCATAAACTTCTTGATTTAATTCATCAAATTAACAAGATAATCTTGCAGCATAATTCAAAGAGTTTTCTTTTTCAGCCAAAGTCATCTAATTATTAGCAAATTCCAATCCTCTATATACATTTTTAACATTTGGATTTTCTCTAATATGTTTAGGTAATGTTTAATAATATGTATTTAAGGATCCTGATTTAACAGGTACACTATCCTGTTGTTATAGTTTACCTGTTACACAATCTTTTAATAATTCATATGCTCCAAATGATCTGAAGAATGACCATCTTTCCAAATAATAAATTAATTCAGTCTTTTCTAATGGAAACTTTTCAGGTAATGGTTGAACTTCTCCTTCAGGTATATGAGTTTGAATTTTGATATGAGTATTTAAACCTAAATCTTTTATTGGATTCCTTTTTAATAATTATTCCATCATTGTTTCTTAAACAAAAAGTGCTGGTCCTGGTGCTACAGTTTCCCAATTTGACTCTTCATGTACTTCTTACTTTAATCTTTCTAATCTCTCTTCTAATTCAATTTTAGCTAAAACTCTTTTTGACTTTGATTTATGACCCCTTTTATTAGTAAATGCTTCAGGTAATTTACCATAACCTTTTCTGACTAAATATTCAATTGCTCTGACTGTTTTTTAAGTATGATTTTCTCTAAACCACTCTATAAATTTGATATTAAATTTTACTTGTAAATCCTGGTTTATCTTAAATAGGATATTTGCCTTAATCTGTACCTGGATATCTCTTAAATTATTCCATTTTTAAATCAATTAACATTGGCTTCTTAAATCTCATGTATTTCTTCCACTCAGCCACATTTCTAAATTTATATATATTTTCCTTCATATAACGATGTTCTCCATTCACAAAGAATCTTCTCAACATTCTCTTACCTTTTTTTCTTTCCTAATCGAGAGTAGCCAAGAATTATTTTGGTAATTTTGTGTCATCAATCACTTTTAATATTAATTAGAATGATTACACAATTCTCCTTTGCTTTGTAATTATAATACTTCTGCTTCCACTTTATAATCTTCTCCCAATTACTTTACTTATTTATCTAATGCCAATTATTATGCTCTATTGAAATGACTGTAATTGTCCTTCTCATTGAGATCAATTACTTTCACTCTTTGTAAAAGATATTTCTATTTTAATTGATCATCTTAAGGGATTGTTAATTATGGTTAGATTGGTTTTGGTTATCTTTAAGTGCTTTTATCAAATTCCAATAATTTATTGTCTACTTGAATCACATTCTTTTAATTTGTTTTGTACTTTTTCAAAAAAGCTGAAAGAGATTAATCTAAACGTGAATAACTTAGACAGAGTTTAAATCTGTACATAAATAAATTAATAATAATCTCAATAATCAATTTTTATTACTAATTTACTACGTTTTGATCTACGCTTTCTCACAAAGTTAACATTCATAAAATCAGTAAAATTCTATGTCTCTTTGAATTAATTGAGTTGTTCAAGAATTCTAGAAGAATTCATATGTGTCATGTAATTTTAAAAATCTTAAAATTTGTCAAATTTTTCAAAAATATCTTTGTATGTACCCATATAAAACTGTGTGATTTAATCAATCCCAGGACTAACATCTTTCGAGTTTTTTGAAGGAGATTCACTACTTGTTTATGACATAGAAGAATTCTATTATGATAATTAAGAATTCTCCTTTACACTATCCGTATCTGAATTTAATTAATCTTAATCTTAAGATGTTTAATTCATAGATTTGAAAGACAAAGTCTTAGCAATATCTGCAGATATTCTATGTTATTCAAAGATATTAATTTCCTCTTGAGTTTTCATTTTCGTATTTTGTTTTCTTTCAGGACTAGGAGTCTCTGAGTGTTATGCAGATACATTTTTAGAAACATTTTCTACTCCTTTTTTAATTTTATCTTCAGGCATTGATTTAAAATTAATATACTAACCATTTAGAAAATCAGGTAATCTTTTAATATATTAGGATTGCTTTCTGCCTTTAATATTTAAAATTGATGGTTTTCTTGTTGTTTATCTTATTTCATCTTAAATTTATTTATGTCCATTAAGATTATTATTTGAAAACTCTTTTTATATCTACTACTATTTTAAGGTTTAAATATAATATTAAGAACTAATTTATAAGGATAGTTTAGGATCTTTCAATAAATAGTAGAGTACTGTATCAGAAATCTATGCCTCAAAAATTAGTGATGATAATCTTCTTTTTAAGTTATTTCTTGTATGGAATTTCCTTTCTTGCAATTGATTCTTACGATATTAAATGATTATCTTTGTTTTATTAGGAAAACCAGTTAGCATTGGACATTAATATAGCATATGTGTGGATTTATTACAACCAACACAATGTAAATGAAATTCATCAAATCGACCTGAGAATTTAACTAAATCTTTCAATTAACAATATTTTTCCTATGATTAATAATGTAAAATACATATCCAAATTTCTTTGCTATTATATTGAAATCAGTTTTAGATATTTTTAATATTCTTGATGATTTTGTTGATCTACAACTAATTTCATAGTTTTAATCTAAGAGAAATTCTTATTAACCAAATATTTCATCTTATCCAGTTATAGTCTAAATACTTAAAATAGTAGCAGAACCCTCTGGAATTTCTACAAAATATTCAATTTCACCATCACATAAAATGTATAAAAAATTACTAGGATCATTCTTTGAAAATATTGTATTAAATGGAACTAACTTTTCTTCAATAAATTTAGATGCTAAAGCAGATATAAAATCCTCATTAAAATTTTCTTTAAAGAAAGGAATCTTCGAAATACTCTTCATATTTAAATCTATCATCATTTCCTATAATATTATTTATCTTACACTATGTAAATGAGATGGTAACTACTAATTAAATTTATTTAAATCTAATTGATTTTCATTTCTTTAATCCTTCCATAGATATTCAAAGAATCTAAGAATTTTTATCTACAATTTATTATTGTATCCCCTAACTCTTAGATATTATTTTAAATCATTCAAATCAACTCGAATTTAATGATTTTTTGATTGTAATTACCCAATTATTTAACCAATACAATTAATTGAATAACCAAATGTACAACATGAAAAAATTGCAATAAATATTAAAAAAGATTTCTCAAATAAATTCTAAGGTGTAATATCACCATAGCCTATTGTAGTCATAGTAATTATACTCCAATAAAATGAACTGAGCTATGATAAAATATATAATTACATATTTTATAATCCAAGTTTCATTAATTAAATCATTTTACAATAACCAAGATGATTCCTTATTTAAAAGTCCAACATAGAATAATCCACAACAACAAATATGTGACTCATAAAGTATTACGTAAATCAAACGTATTAAATCATAAATTATCCAATAATTTGTTGTAAGCTCTACTCTATCTATGATAGCTTCAGTTATTGCTGGTATTGATAGACATTTTAAAAGCATAAATAAATAAAGTGGGGAATCTTAGAAGGCTAAAAAGTAAATGGAGGTAGGTACCAATATAAACAAATTATTAAAAAAATCTAAAATGTTTAAAAGTAGAAAAATACTATTTTTGTAAAAGTTGTACCAAATCTTATTTCTATCTCTCACTAGATAGCCTGCTTCATAATAGCAAGTGTTAAGTTAAACAATTATGTCTATCAAATATAAAAAATATGGGACTTTAAATAGATAAATTTCGCAAAATTCATAACTTTCAGGTGGGTAGTTTTCAAAATCAAAAGAAAATTTAACTGTTATATACAGTATGTTTAAATTGATATTTATGAGTTAAAGAATATTCCATAGCAACAGTAATATTGACTCTGGTTCAAAGATGAGCCTCAAATTGGTCACATAATCCATGAATCCTTTCATGTAACAAATCTTATATAGTTTCTATTATAAGAAATATTTAACGCGAGAGGATTATTCGGGTTTCTAGATTAGGTTGATATATTACCATATATTTAAAATAATCATGGAGCAAGTAATAATTAAAATCAGCTGCCTTATCCCCAATTATTCTAAACATATTTCTATCTATTAAAGAGAATTTTGATGCAAAGGGACTACGAGTTATGAGAGATATAAAGCGAAGTACTTAGATTAGTACTAATAGTGCTCTATCTCTCCAGATTCTATTTTGAAATGAGTTCATTCTATTAGTGTGTATTGTTTTCAAATTAACAGTCTTTAAGAATGCTGGCCTTAGCTATTATTTTGGGAGAGTTGGTTATGTTTTTAATGGAGCACGTTCTGTGATGGATCCCAATTCTGAATTCATTTTTTCTATAGCTCACTCTTTTTAATATGAAAAGAAAAATAAAAAAGGGATTGAGGTTTTAATTTAAAAATAGACCAACTTAGATTTTTTTAATAAAAAATAAAGTTGTACAATAATGGAATCAGTTTGTCTTTTTGATGTAAAATCATTGAAAGAAAAAAAAAAATATTAATGAAAATCTCAATAAATTTTCTAACTTGAGATGTTTATATAATTTTATACTAATTAAACACTTAGAATGACTTAATTAGTTAATTAACTACTTACCTAAACTAATTAATATTAAATATATAAAAAAACATTCATTTTTTTCTTGTGTAATAGTCGTACAAAACAATTTAAATTGCTTCTGGAGATTCTATTTCTGTTCTTGTCATTCCATCTTCTGGTTTTTTGTTTGGATCTACATTAATGACCTTTATTAAATATACTAAATTATTACTTTTCTATCTCTTTTATTTCTAAATAGTAAACCTTATTATCCAGAATTAGCATCCACTTTGAAATTAGGTGAATCATTTGAAACACATTATCCAGTTCTCCAATTATAATATGATAGATCTGTTGGTCTAGGTTACAATTTTTTTTTGCCTTCAAAATATATTTTAAAATCTTCAGTTTTCAAACGATGTGCATAATCAATATAACCGCTTACTTCGCAATTAGTTGATTCCAATCTAATAAAAATAATTGTTAATAATTTTCCATTCAAGACTTTTAATTCTCTATAATAATAATATAAACAATTACCTTTCAGCTAAAGCTCTCAAAAAAGGTGATTTTTCAATAATAGATGGATCACTAACTTCTGTATGAGCAAGTGCCTTAGTTTTATCTTTATTTTAATTTAATCTAGCTTCTTCTACAGCCTTCTTTTTGGCCTCAAATTACTCACGACTCAAAATTTCTGTTTTTGCATGATATCCTTATTCTTTTAATTATCTAGCCAATTCAATATCCTCTAAATAAAATAGATCCTCCTTTGTGATGTGAGAATCTAAGTATTCCTCATATGTTTTAAATTTATCAAGTGAAGTATCATAAACTTCACTATCAAAATCCTCAGCAATCATCATAAATTTATATAAAAAATTATTATAAATATAATCAAATATTAAATAAATCATTAAATGAATCATCACTATAAATTGTTAAAATAATTTATCTTTAATAATAAAGAGTAATAACTTGTGATTACTTTATTTATTTTATAATTCTTACAATGTATAACAAAAATCCTATTATATTATTATCCAATTGGTAGATCATATCTGAACTTATATAGGATAATGAAAATAAGCTATATATTGATAATAATAATAAAAAAGATAAAATATAATAATATTTAATAACTAAATATATCAGGTTATAATCTTAATTTATTAATCATCAATTTCTCAGCTGAATACACAAAAATATTATACTTTTATTATTTAAATATAATTTTGAATCATACACTTTAATACTATTTCTCTTAATCATCGGAAATTAAAATGAAGATGTATGAATGCTATTGTTTACATTTATATCATAGATTCTAATTAATCTTTTATATATATATTTATATATATTCAATTTGGAATCAAAAAAGATAATGGACCTTATTTTGGGACAAAGAAGTTATTTCTCATAGAGGAAGCTCTGCTAGTATTAGATTAAACTATTCCTTTTTAGTTTGATATGGTTCTTGTTTATAGACTCATTCTTCTTTCTTATGTGTATTCTTGACATGATTGAAGATTTTCAAAATATGTACTATCATTAATTTATATTGAGAGTTGCTTTTTATTAAATTCATTATGATGGGTTTAAATTTCTTAATTGTTTGGATTAGTTTTACAAATTTTAATTTCAATTAATTTTTATTACTTGATTTCTTAGAAATTAAGTTTGTTCAGTTTATTTTATAATTCTTAATTCATTTATAAATATCCTTTTAAATCAATAAATCTTCTGACTTATTTCATTGCTCGAATTCTTTTTTCTTAATCATCATTCTCATCAAGTGATTCATATAGAGATATTATGTCAATCATAAGGATGCTGATTATTTCCTTTATTATAGGAATATTTGTCTTTAACATTAAAACTTCAAGTTATCTATTCATTTTAAAAATGCTGTCAATCTTTTCAAAAGTGTTTTTTTATGATTTAAGATAAGAATAATATAAATAAGCAACAGAAGCCATTAAGACATCTGCTGGATCTTTAGACTATTGATCAATAATTTTATCTGTCAATTAAGTTATCAAAAACTTATTTAAAACATGTGCCAAATATAGAGATTTGAGGGCATTTAAAGGTTTTTGAGAATATTGCAATCTATTTGAAATCTTTCGTAGTGCTACTTTAGGATCAACATTAGTATATTCCCCTTATAAACATTTATGAAGTATCTAATTGAAAATTAGTGAATAAACACTACTTAAATGTGTTTAGTCTTAGGAACATCATCAATCAAGCTTTTAAGCCAAGATGATTCAACGATGTCTTTATTAAAGATTGTCAAGTTTCTCTTAATATTATTAAACATATTAATTATAAAAGTTTCAGTCAATGTTTTTGAACATGAACGAAGAGGCAACTCTTAGGCAATGGCTTCAAGTATTAACTCAATAATTAAACAGTCCTATAACCATAAGAAATACATGAGAGAGGTATAGCACTCCATCCTAAGAATGTCTTGCTAACATCGAGTACCTCAAATATCAAAAATGCCAAGTCTGGGCATCTTATATTATACTTATAAATGAAGTTAAATTGAGGGTTTAATCCACTTTGTGAGATGGTTGCAATTTACGGTTTGTTATTTTATTCATCCTATAATAGACCTCTTATTGAAATTTTAATTTAAGGATTAACTTTAGCATTTTAATCCTTTTAATAAAAAGAATTAAAATACATATAATTATCTAAGATTATAACCAACTAATAAACTAAGAGTGAAAGATAATTGAATTTAAGTAAATTCATTAATCTTTTTTCTTCCATCTGATCTCATCCATTATGGTTTCAATACATATCCAGATTCAATCCCACCATTTTCCATAAATTTACACATATTGATTAACATAGGCATATCATTTGTTTAAAAATTGAGTGCCACTATTTATGATCCACTATTATAAGCTTGTATAGGATCATAATTACTAGAATCAACTCTTGAACCAGATGGATATATTCGAGTAAAGTACTTTCTATGAAAATCAAGTAGATTTTCATTGACTTTACTTTCATCCAAAGATGAGATTTCCCAAACTGTTCTATTTTATTATTTAATTTCTGCACCAAATAAAGTTGTTATAGAACTCATCTTAAGACTTTCAGCTTTCTCTTTTTTAGCTTTGTCTATAGATATTTCTTCATCAGAATCTACTTTTAATGGTGCTTGAACTATTTAAAATCTGGGATTAGGTGCATCAAATTAAAGTTGTGTTTCAATATTTTATATTTTATATTTAGGTCTTAATGTAGTTTCTGTCTTTGTTTTGTGTATTATCTTATTTGGTTTCATCTCATCTTCTATTTAGAAAGGATTAGAAATATTTTTATATTGATTAATAGGTAATCCATTATCTTGTCTCTTAAAAGACTTTTAAGATCTTGGTTTTAATGTACTTGGTGTATTCAATTATTATTCGCCTTAAATAAATAAATTAGGTTTTTTATCTGGACCATCTGATTCTTCAAATTGTGGTGGAATTATATTTATAGGAGATATAGTTATAAATCTTTCTCTATATTATAGACTAGATTTCATTTTACCTCTATGTTTTATGATTACTTTATAATATAATTTATTAAGTTTAGGATAATATTCAGAAGATTTATAATCATCTGGTAAAAGTAGGAGATTATCATTTAAATATGTTTTTAAAATGTCTGCCATAACATCTTATTATTTAACACAACAATGAACTTCAAGAGATAGAATCAAAGGATATTTGGAATATTTAAATCCATATTCTTTTATTGTTTCAATAACAGATTCAAATGAAATTTTAGAAGTCATTGTAAATCCATGATAAATAATTGGTTGATTATTATCTCCATCCCAACAATCTAATTCTACACATCTACAACCCTTTTGAAATGCATTTATGTAAGCTTAAATGGAACTTTCACTTGTCAATTGATCTCCCATTAGATAAGTATTATGAGAAGAATTAATCCAATAATCAGTTAAAGGAAAATCTTCAGATTAATAGATTTATGTTTTCTAATAATCAAACAACTAATTGTAAGTACTTAATAAATAATTTAAGAATTCTAAGAAAGATAATGAAAAATTATTTCCATCTTATTAAGCAAATAATCTAAATGCATCTTCACATTATTTTTGATATGGAAATTATTCATTTGTTAAGAATTTAATAAATTCTTATTTGTTCATTTATTACACTGCATATCTATCAAATAGAAATCGTACAAAATCTTAATTCATTAATCTCTTTAGTAAATCTTGATAATTAGAATTTGAAATGTATCCTCTTCTTTCCAAATCGTATTGATTAAAAAGACTTTTTAGCTGTGAATACATTTAGAAATACTTACTTCTTATTTTGTGATTGACAATTAAGGAAGCATTCCTTTAATTTATTTTAAAGTGATTTATTCAACTATTGGTTTATCATTTGTGCTTTTTATATCTCTTATTAAATTGTGTTCTGCAACATCAATAAAATATTACAAACCTTACCAAAATAAATCCCTTTCATCCTTTGTATTAAATAAAATTGTATGCTTTTTACTTGCAAAGGTAATTTATAGAGTTCTTTGATAAGGTAGGTTTTAGAATTATTCTGATGTTGAAATTTCTCTTAATTCAATGATATCTAATAAGGGGATTCTACATTATGCAAAAGGTCTGCCAGCATGTAGATATTACAAATAATCCATATCTTCCTCATATAAATAATATAATCTAGAGATTGGTTTTCTATTCGATTTATTATATTTTTGAACATGACACCCATATACAATCAAATTTACTGCAGCACTTAATGTTCTCTAATCAAACTCCTATCTATCAAATTTTGATGCAGAACTCTTACGTCCTTTCATTGTTACTAACATCTTAATAAATTAATATAATTCAAATTATGTCAAATTTAACTTTCTCAGGAATGAGAACTCTTAAAGCAAGAGTTGATGAGGAAGATCAAAATAAAAAGAGACATCCCTTTGATCTTCAAAAATATCAACACATTTTAGATTAAATCTCAACTACACATTAATTTGATATGGATCTAGAAAACAGATTCAATTAATTAGATTAAACTGAATAATCTAGACCCACTATTGATAAGAGTTCATTTTTAAATAAATAATATGCAAAATATATTGAAAAGGGATCAGATTTATAATTGTCCAAAGTTGATTGTATAGATCCAGAGGATGATATTTGCACTCATAAACAAACCAAATCATTATTAAGTTTGATAAAAGGAAGACCTATCAAATTTAAAGAGTTCTATAAAATATTATTATAAGAATATTAAATTGAATTTCAAAATGCAGAGTAAAAATTATAATTTAAAGAAAATTTAAAAAATAAAATTGTTACTGTTGATCTCAATATTGTCTCATTAAATGCTCTTCAATTATGTACTAGAGATAAAGGAATAAAGGGATTAATTTAAGAAATAGCAGAAGAAACATATCAAGATATAAATAGAAAGGAAAAATAAAAAATAAACAATGAAATTGTAGATGAATTAGAAAATGTTAAATCATTATTAGAGAAAAAGTAATTAATGTAAATAAAAAAAGAAAAAGAATTAGTAGAATATGAATATTCATTATAAAAATTTAAATCTGAAATGTCTAATAGTATATAATAGGTTTATGATATTTTAAGTAAAATGATGGAAGAATAATATTAATAAAAATTAAGTAATTTAAATAAAAAGTTTAGTAATATGGAATATCAATTAAAATCCAAAGTAAAACTAATTGAACTTAAAGGTTCATCAATCTAAAAGAATAATTCTACCTATAGTTAAGAAATTTAGAGATTAAAATAAAGAAATGCTATATTAGAAAAATAAGTAGAATCTTAGAAAGTTATAATATTAGAATTAGAAAAGAAGCTCTCTTTAGAAAAAGATAATACAATTTAAATGTAAAAAAAATTAGAAAAAATAAATTAAAAATTATTAGAATAAAAAGAATAAATTAAGGAATAAATAAATTAAACTGAATAAAATGAATCTTTATAACCTTTAAAATAATAATAAATATTAGAATAATCTAAATTATAAGTAGAATAATAAAAAAAAATACAAAATAATTAAGATAATTCAAATAAATAAATTAAAATATTTTAAAGTGTTTTTGAATCAATATTTCTAGGATTAGATTAATTACAAATATAATTAAATATTGATAATAACAAGTGGAATCAAGAACTATTACCTTGTTGTTTATAGGATAATTTAATAGATTTATTAGGGAATCTTATGATAATAGTAATTAATAAATAAGGGTTCTAATAAATTTATAAATTGTTATTATAACTATCTTACTTTTATTTTAAGAATACTTGTTCCTCAATTAATTGTTAATAAATTGAAGAACTCATAAAAAATCAAAAAAAATAACAAAATTGTAAATATTACATTGGGATTCATGAGTCAAAAAATAGAGAATTTATATTGTAATTAAAAGCATTATTAGAAAAGAAAAAGAAAAATTAAACTTTAGTAGCTTTCATATTACTATTGTATGATCGGGATATATCAATTTCAATAAAATATCTTTCTTAAGAAATTGTATATATATATATATTTATAGTCTTATAGTGTAATGAGGATGTTCAGAAATTCATTTTAGATAATGGATTATTGGATGTCTTTGTAATAAAGATGATTGATGATAGAAATATGGTTTAACTACTATTAGAAATAATTGCATAAGGCTAATTTTAGAATTAGTTTTTGTAATAATTGACTAAACACTTTGAAATTTTGTTAACTTTATTAAATTGTTAAGATTTAGAATTTTGTGAATAGTTGTCTATAGTTTTATAGAGAGTGTAATATTATAACAAATAAACTATTCATAATAATTTTAGAGGATTAATTGAAAAAAAAATGAATTGTGATTCGAAATTTGAGTTGTTGAAATAAAATTTATAATTTATATTATAATGAATTAAGATGTTAATAATGTTGCATATGGTTAAGGTTATTTAATCAATAATAAAACTGAATAAGTAATACAAATAAATAAAACATATGATTCATTTGTTCAATACGAATAAGCTAGAAGTGAAACATAAAAGAGAACATAAATTTAAGATCCAACCATTTGCAGATTAGTAAAATTTACAACAAGTGAATAAAAATCATTTTGTGGTCAACTATTTGGAATATCATTGTAATATTAATATACTGAAAAATGTATTGGAGAGATAAAGAAATTCAGTCAGTTTGATTGTTTATAGATAATCAAAGATGTAACATAAGCATTGTTGATTTTTATATCAAAAAGAATAAGACATGGTCAATTAAGTCCTTAAACAATATTAGCAACTTAAAATAATAGATATTAATTAACAGATATTCGATTTATAACTGATATGTATGAATACAAGATGCAGTTAATTGGATTTACAAATTAATGTTATTTGGCTCCATTTCTAGTCTATGAATTAGGAAAGAGGACTATGAATCCCATATACAATTATGAGAAATCAGAAGTATTAAATTTACTTATTAAGGTTTTCTCTTTAGGTATTGTAATCCTGGAATTAGCACTTTAATAATCTGTCTAATCTATATATGATTTATCCAAATTCTTAGTATCATAAGATGTTATCAATACATATTTGAGAGTATTATCACAATAGTTTTAACCTTCATTTGTTGATTTATTAAGTAAAATGTTACAAGTAGATGAAGAATAAAGAATTGATCTATATTAATTAGAAAAAATGTTGGGTCAAAAATAGAATTTAAATATGACTACAAATTCATTAAACACTCGTACTCAAATTGATAAATTTGTAAATAATACTAGTAGTACTTTGAATAATAATAAATATCAAACTTAGAGTCCTTCTCCATCTTAAGCTTATATCAATAAATAACATACTTAACATATTTAAAATTCATATAATACAAATAACTACAGTACCACTTATTTAGAGAGAAATCAATAAGAATAAACAACACCAAAAAATCAAATGACTTTCTATGCTCCATAGAGACAATAATACAATACTTAATCTAATTACCATTCAAAAGCTCCTACATAATTGAATTCATCATAATTATATGAGAGATCTAGAAAATAAAGTCCTGAAACTGTAGATTCATATAGATTTAGTGATAATAGAAGAATAAAAACAGAATATGACTATCAAATTTCCAATAATATTCATTAACATAGTTCAAATAGCTTCATATCTCCTGAAAGGAAATAAGATAATTAATTGGATTAACTATTTAATTAATTTGGAGAGAAGTTGTAAAAAGTTAAATAAAAAATTCATCATCTAAGAATAAATACTCCTACTTCTTAGAGTTAATCATATATTAATTAATCTTATCACTCATAATTTATTGAATCTGTAGATGAATTTCCAACTTTCAAACCAGATTCTATTCCTGATAAAATTGATATTTCTATGAATTAATAGTAAATTTAAAAAGAGTTTCATAATTTTTAATCTAAGAATTATAATTTTAGAGCATTAGAAAGACCAAATTATTATCCAAATTCATATTATGATGATATGCAAGGAGATGCCAGTTTACCAACCTCAGGAACTATACATATGCATAGTAGTGGACCAGCCACACTTAGTGATTTTTTTTTGAAAAAAAAATGATAGTATTCTTATTGATTATTGTAATATAAATGTAAATTAGGTCAATTCCATATTTTTTTGAATACTTACAAATAAGAGTATTTAATTTGGTTAGGCTAAATTAATATTATTATAATATTTTACATTATTGATATAATAATAATTTATTATTCCCATAGCAATTCCAAAAATAAAATATTCCCAATAGTCGATTTTCATTACAAAATTTCTTTTCTGTAACATATGCCATACAGTTTCTAAAAATTTAGGTGCTAAAAAGATAGTTATTTCAGCTCTTCTATTTAATTTTTCTGCAAAAAGAAAAACACCTGAAAAAAATCCAGAAAGACTTAAGGATATTCCTTTTAAATCTAATTGAAATAATTACTATTATTAAAGTCCATAGTTCTCAATATACAGAAAACATATTTGCAAGCTGAAATGTATCCTGCAACAAAAAATACAGAACCACAAAATTCCAAAAGAAATTATTTCAAAGTTTTGCCAGGACTATTTAAATTATTTGATAAAAGTTTACTTCTGCCTTAGTTTCTTTCTTTGAAATAATAAAAGGGGTATTAAATGAATAGGGATATAATATTTATATGAATTATTCCAAATTTTTACAAACCTTAGCAAAGCATCAACCAAGCATGATCCATCATGCATATCTACACATTTTAGTAACCCCCCATTGATTATATGTCTTTGTTATTCTTCACTCATTGGAATGTCCTAGAAACATGTTATGAGATTTTACTCCAATTGACTTAAGCATTGATGTATAATTATTAATATAATAATATAAAACTTCATAACTTTTTTTTATTTATCGTATATAATTTTATAAATTAACAAAAGATTATACACTCAAAAACTAAATAAAAATAATATACCCTTCTTAATATATTCAGTTAATATTTATTTATTTAAAATGACTCAATTCAAATTAGATATTATATAAAGAGATGAATCAAATAAACCTTAACTTTATTTTAATTTATGTTGAAATATTTTAAGATTTATTTAGATCGAGCAATTAAGACATGATAATAATGATGGAAGAATAAAAAAGATTTATTTTTATAAATTTCATTTTTTTTTTTTATTGTTTTCTTTCTCAACTTATTCAATAATTATTTTATTCTACTCTTCTATCTTTTAAAATAATTATTATGAAGTTCCAAAGACTTATTATTATATATATTCTTCAAATTCATTTGGTTTTTTCTATTCATTATCTTATTAAGCAATTTACTCTTAATTTTCTTACTATTCATCTTCTAAATCTTAATTTTCTTTTTCTAATTTATTTCTTCTTTTAGCATATTTTTCTTCCTCTTCTGAATCAACATCTGCATATTATTTATTCTAAATTAAGAAATTCAAATACATTTTAAGGTATAAAATTTGCTTATGATAATGGAGGTACAAAAGTTGGAATATCCAAAACAACATTATAAATAATATCTAATCCATCATCAGATAATGCTTTAAAATAGAATAAATCATAATGGGCAATATAATCATTAAGCCAAGTTATAAGAGTTCTAACTTCTAAGGAATTTAATTCATTTTTATGGAAAATTAATAATCTTTAGAATTCTTTAATATCATCAGCTTAATTCTTTTCTTAAAAACATTATTTGATATATTTAGCATTTCTGTAAAAAAATAGATGTAAGAGCATATTTACAATTAATTCTTTTTTCTCACTAAATTCTTTAACAAATGAAACTTATGTCAAAGCATATTCATTCATAATTTGAATGTCTACAGGTCTTAATTTTTAAAAGGAATCTATTCATAGATTTCATAATTCTACCTTCATATTTTAGATATTTAATTAAACAATCTCGAATGGATGATATATGATTTTATGTAAGAATTGATTCAGCAATTATTATTCTGATACCAGAAGGTAAAGCTTAGATTTCAATTTTTCTTGAAGATTTGTGTGATGATTCTGTCATTTTCCTTCCTATTTTTCTTTGAGTTGGTGTTTACTAATTTGAACGAGGTGAAAACATAAAAACAATTTATTTTATAATTTAATTACTAAATATATAAGAGCAGAATGGAAAATTATAATCACTTGACCTTGTAAAATGTTTTCATTCTAGTATCATTATAATAGGGTATATTTATTTAATTATTTTGGCCATAATCTACAGACTTCTATCTTGTAGATTCATGTCCATTTGTTCCAAATCTACATTAATAATCACTAATTCCTCTAGGTCTAACTGATGGAGTGATAATTTTTCCATAATTTGGATCTCTTACTGTTTAATTCAAATCTAATTTAAAATTGTCAAGTTATGGTCTTTTAGAATCTACAGAATGGATTTTTGGTGATTAATTTAAAGTCGTAGTTTATTGAGAATGCAGAGAATTATTATTATAACGACTTCTGAGATTTATAGGAGATTCATCTTGAAGCTTTGGTCTAATAACTGGTAAAGGTTTATTAATCTATTTAGTGCCATAATCAGAAGTAGAAGCATGTTTAGGTGGAAGTGGAATAGGAGTAAATATATCAGATCCAATATCTAGTATTGTAAAGAGTAAAATAATTACCAGCAAAAGATTTTCCTCCATTCATAATATGTTTCTTTAATAATAAATAATAAATTGTTGTCACTTAATTATGTCTATTGCCTTCCACACATTTTTCAATGTAATCTTATGCATAACCCATCTTAACTAATTACTTAAGTATATCAAAATCTAATGGTATTTTATGAAGTCCAACAATAACTCCAATTTATAATGGAGCCTTGTAATTATTAGTCATCCAAGGATGTCTTCTAATATCTGTAATTGTGTATCTTTTTAGAGGATCAGTTTATAAAATACCAGCAATTAAATTCTTGGCAGGTAATGAAACTGTATTTGGACATTTATATTCACCTGCCAATATTTTCTTATACAATAAATTTGTATTCGCTTCTTCAAATGGTAAATGTCCAGCTAACATGGCAAATAAGATAACGCCAGCACTCCAAATATCAGAGGTTAAACCATTGTATTTTTTACCAGCTATCATTTCAGGTGCTGCATAACAAGGTGATCCACATGCTGTTTTTAATAACTCATCATTTGTATATAAATTAGAGAGTCCAAAATCAATAATTTTGACTCTTAATTTATTCTCTAACATTAGATTCTCAGGTTTCAAATCTCTATGAACTATCTTCAATTTATGCATATACTCTATTCCTTAAATTAATTAAGCGAATAGTTTAGCAGCTTCAGCATCTCTTAGTCTTTAATTCTATACAATATGATCAAAAAGTTCTCCACCATTGATATATTCCATAACTAGAAAAAGTTATTTCTAAGTTTCTATTATCTTAGTATAATTGCATAGTACTTCATATAATTAAACTAAATTAGGATGTCTGATTTATTTTAAAATTTGAATTTCTCTTGTCACTCTCTCAATATCTGAGGCATCAATAATTTTACTCTTTTCTAAAATCTTTATTGCCACTTTTTCTTAAGTAGTTTGATGAGTTGCCAACTTAACTTTTCCAAAAGTACCTTCTCCTAATGTTTTACCTTAATTATTAGTTGAAAATGAATACCAAAAATATATTATCCGATTGATTATTATTTATTCATTATAATAATGTTTAATTCTAATGAAAATGTACTCGAAGAAAGACTTCCATAAAATTACATAGATGTTAAACTAACATTATGGAGAAAGTCATCAACAATCCAAGACTTTAAATAATATTCATTTTTTAACACTATTCACATTTATAATGATAGATTATTGATATGCTATTCACAAAAGACAGAATTACATGGAGTCTATATAAATAGAGAGAAATTTACAATAGAAGAACATTTTGTATTTTAGGGAGAGTAATTTGACTATCAATTTGTACATCCTTAAACTTATTTTACAAAAAATTGCATATGGTTCATATCTTACAATAGAGCTACCTAATAATAAATATTTTATGCTGATTTACCAACTAAAACAATATTATCTATTAAAAGTGAATATAAACCACAATTTAGAATTAATTTCTCATTTACTTAAATAGCAGATTTATCATTTTATATATTTGGAGGTTTAGATGAATAAATGAGACTTTCAAATTAATTAGATTTCTTTTAAGTTACTTAATGTGATTTTACACCAGTCAATTTTAAAGGACAACCTCCATCACCAAGACATAGTCATCTAGCTTTTGTTAATAGCAATAAATTAATCATAGCAGGTGGTTCATAATCAACTAATTTATTTGAAAGAACATGCTTATAAGATATGTATTCATTAGATTTAAAAACCTTTACATGGAGTCAAGTCAAAACAAATATACCAAAATCAATTGCTTTTGGTCAATAAGTTTCACTTAATCAAAATTAATTAATATATTTTGCAGAAGAGAATGGATAAACTACTCATTATCTTTTATCATTTACAGATAATTAATGGTCATGCATGAGATCTTAAAAGGAAGTGTAATGAATTTATTTTATTTCATAGACCATCATATAAATATAGAGCATGTGCTTGTTTGGATATTAAAAATAATCAAATTTTATTATTTGGTGGATATAATTTTCAAAAGAATTCTATGAATTGTAATGTTATTGAAAGATTGTAAATTATTACCAAAGTAATTTATATTAATATATACTTTAGGATTTCAAAGAATAAACCTTACTAGATTATAATGGAGACATAATTAACATTAGTAAATTTGAAAAATAATTATAATAATAATAACAAAATCTGTTATTTTAAGAAGACAATAAAGACAATGATTAATAAGAAGAACTGACTTTTGAAGAATTATTGGAATAAGAGAAACAATTGCAATAACTCCAACTTGATGAAATTAAATAGGAAACCAAAAAATCTAATAAGAAAAACAATAAAAAGAAAAATAAATATAAATCTAAAAATTGATTATAATGCATTTATGTGATTTTTTTATAGAATGTGCTTAAATAGAACAGAAAATAGAGCAAAACCGATAATTCTTAATCTAACTACCCACTTTCCATCCTTATAAAGCATTTATTGAATTATAGGATGGAAATAACAAAATTACAACTACCTCATTATCATCTTATCTAAAGAGTTAAGGATTATTATGTACAGAATAAGAATGTTCTATTTTTATTTAAAAACCATTCAAATATGTTGATTTTTTAAGAACAATACTCCCAACAGATTAAACTTTAAGAAAAGTAATATCAATCTAAGAACCTAAATAATAGTTATCACCAGAAACATAATTGGCATTAGCCAGACATTTAAATTAATAAATAGATCTAATGAATTCTTTGAAAACATCTAAAAATGTATTTTTTGAAGGAACTATTCAAGATGTTTAGAAATATTTTAAAGATAATTTAGCATATATAAGTGATAAGGAATTAGAATAAATATCTAGACTATTAGATTAATAAGGTGAAGGAATAATAAGTACTTCACAATTTATAAAAAAGAAAAATGAAGAATATGATTTTACATTCTCTACACCAAAATAAGTAAAAAACAATTTATAATCAATGACAACTTAAAAAAAGAAGGAATAAAAATTGACATATAATGGTAGAAGCAATAAAAAACCTATTCAAGATTTAAATAATAGAGATGATAATTATTTATCAATTGAATCTCCTTTAATTCCTTTGGTAGCACTTATGAGAAGAGAAATTAAGTTGAATTCACTTAAGAAAAGACTTTTAAGTTAGAAAACATTTAATTTTTTGGATGCTTTTAAGGCTTTAGATCAAAATTCAAATGGTTACATAACAATGCAAGATTATGATAAATTTTTAGATCAATAACAAGGAAGTTCAAAATATTTATTTTAATAAAAAAAAGAATTATAATTTAGTGATTTCTTAAATTTAATGATGCTTAATGAAAATATCTAAATATCTAATAAATTATTTATAGATAAACCTATAGAAGAGATATTTTCTAATTAAACTTTGTAATTATTTAAAGAATATCTTGAGTTACTTTAAACACCACCTCCTAAATTAAATGGTTCTAAAGATCTCTTTAAATTAATTGATTCGGTTACAAGAGATAATTATATTAGTTCAACTGATGTATTTCAATTATATTTATTAAATTAGCTTTAATAATATCTTTATATGAATGGTCTTCGATATACTGCTTCTGAAGTAAGTCTACTTATAAATAGGTATGATCATAATCGAGATGGAAAACTATGTTTCTTTGAATTTTAAGACTTATGATTCAATAATATATTATTATTAAAAATAATGTTATCCATTATTAAATTTTAATATTCAAGAAGAAAAGAACATTTAGAGTAATTTGAAAAAGAAGAAGCTGCAAGATTAAGAGAGAGATACTAATAAACTAAAGTACAATACTCTGTTGTCTCAGATTTTATAAAAATCATAAAATGGAAGGCTTTGAAATATGCAATCATTTCATTTGGAATATATTTTACATATTAAATGTATGATACTGCAGATATATACTTTGATAATAAAATAAGGATTTTACCATTAAAATAATAATATGAGATATCTTTGGCAAATACTACTATAAATCTATTGAAATTAGAAAAAAACTTAGAAAGAGATACTGAATTAGCTGAGAAAGTTAAACCTTATTCTTTATATGTATTAGATGAAAATTATCCAATTTTTAATTTGCTTCCTAATGATGTTTTAATAGCCAATAAGAAATTGTTGAGATAAATTAATACTTAATAAATTTAATAGTTAATTTAATTTTGTAAAACTCATAATGAATTGAGAACATCATGTAATTTATTAGATTTAAAGTATATACCAACATTAACTTTTATGAAATTAAAAAGTTTTATGAATATAAAAAAGATGAATTAAATTATTTTAGCTAGAGAATATTTCTTTTTACCTGTTCCAGAAGAATTTGAAATAAAAAATGAAGATATTTAACACTTAATGAGATAATATAAAAATGTTGAATAGGGACCTCTTTCATTTATTTTATAACATTAATATATTTTATGAATATAAATTAATAATAATATTATTCAGCATTCATCATATAACAATGGTGGAGAAGAAAAATGACTAAGAAATAACTTAGTAGAATTAAAATTTATTATACTTCCATAACAGGTTAAAGTAATAAGATTAAGACAAGTTAAACTAAAACATTTTTGATTTTAGAATAGAAATTATGGCCTTTATAAAAAATAGATGTTGCCTCTGATAAAAAGAGTGTATAATTTTTTTAGGCTTTCAAAGAATATGGTTATGAATTACCTTTGATTTTTATTGATGATATGTATATTGGAGATGGAGATAAATTATAAGAATTAGAAGATAATGGATTTTTAGATGAAATATATGATTAATAATATCTTGAAAGATGTTTATTATGTAATATGGATAGAAAGAGTGAAGACTAAAAACACTGTAGCGATTGTAAATAAAATTTTTTATTTTTTCGAGTGATTTGATTTAATATTAATCAATATTCATTATTTACTTAATTTTTTTATTCTATAGTATTTATAGATAAAGTAGTAATTACTCAATGCAACAAGTTAAATTATTGATAAATTGACAATCAAATGTTCAAATACATCTCTGTTTCCAAATATGAATAACAATGAAGATATAGCAAAACATAGTGAATAGATAATATAAATAGTATCTACCATATATATCAAAGATGAAAATTCAAAGCATAAAAAGGAAACAATTGAAGAGGTTAAACCTGATGCACAAAACCCCAACATGGCAGCAAACAATTAAAAAAAAAAGTAAATATTAGTTCTATAACTTATTACCACCCAACTAAAAATAAAACTAAATTATAAGATAGTCAATGTAAAGATCATCCATACTATTTTATCTTTAAAATCTCCAAATATTCCTATAGCAAAACATCCAAGAACATAACCTAATCCAACATAAAAGAAAATGAATTCAATTTCAAATGAACTACTACCATCTTCTTTTTATGCTAAAAACATTATATAATTAAGCATCTATATATATATAAAGCCTTCAAGTAATGCTACTGTTAATACTAAGGGTAATAAATAAAGAGCATTTCTTTTCCATAATTCTAATGAAGTGTATTTTATACATTCTAAATATGATTTATTTTAATAAACATTAAATTCTTCTTTTTCAATTATCATACTTAAATTACTTGAATCTAATGAAAAACATTAAATTGTCATATTATTCATTATTTATTTTAGTTCCTCTTCAGATTTAGCTTTTTATTATTGATTTAAACTATCAACTTATATTCCACTCATAATTAATTATCTTAAAGTATTTACCTTATCCACTTATTAACTTGTTTTTATTTCAATCAAACTTAGAATTTATTCTTTAGTCCTTCTTAATCTTGGATGATTTGGTTCAAATGTTGTTAAAAATAATAAACTTAGAACTAATTATACAATAGATATATAAAATAATCTGCCAATTGCCTCAATTGTTGCTCTACTAAAAATTTCTGCAAAAAAGCTACCTAATATCCATTAAAAGCTATGTCTATATTATAAATATATATAAATTACATAAAATACAATGAACAATAATACAATATTTTCTCATCACCAAATGATAAGTTAGATAAATAATAAAGCATTCCAAATAAAAATATTACTGATAATATCCCAGAAAAAATCGAACAAACTATACCAATTAAATATATTGCCCAATCAGGACAATTAGAACTTGAAGCCAAAATTGCAGGCAAAATAAAAATTTAAGGTCCTAATGATCCTACCATCAATATAATTCTGAAAGTAATAAAATTTATTATCTTTGGTAATTAAGCTAATCCTATAAAAGCAACTGTTTAATAACAAAACCACATCAAATTACCTAAATTGTTTTTATCACCTGGAAACCTTTAAGCAAATATGTCCTATTAACACATTTTTCCAGCAATGTTAAATGATATAAAAAATACATATATCAATAAGGCATGTAGAGCCAAAGGAAAGTTCTTATCTGAAGTTGTATATTCTGATTTCCTAATATGAGATTTGAACTCCCTATATTATTACATTAAAAAAATATTTAATGTAAATTTTGTCTGATCTACAATATCTCTAAGATAAGTTTTCACAATAATCCTTATAAATTCGATAGCTATTCACAGAAATTTAACAAGCTTAATAGACATTATCATCTTTAAGAAAACCTGTTGGGTAATTGAGATAAAGCAAATCAACTATTATTTTACATTCTACTTATTAAGATTCAAATTAGAGTCCCAACAAAATCATTAGGAATGCTTCATTAAAATAAGAAGATTTCATAGAATAATGTTTAAAAAAAATTGAATAAGCCAATAAAACTAGTAATACAAATACGCCATCCCCTCAATAACCAAAATAGGCCAATAGAATAAAGGGAAGATTAGAAAAACATATCCCAGAAATGAAAACTTAAGATGAATAAATTCCATTGCCTACAACTAGTTTACAATCTATTTTCTAAGCAAGCAATAGTCCTCAACAAAAATTATCCAAACTAATGCAACTCGATGACTTTAAGATTACAGCCAAATAATAAAAATAAGAATATTTTGATATCCATGAAGAAGGATAATTATAAAATTGAAAATATTCAACTTTCCATTATTTCATAGTACAACTATTCAAATTCTAGTTTAATAAATAGTAAATGTACTTTCATCTTGTTGTCTTTTATATTTCTATTCCAACAACTCAAAAAATCCAATATACTCAGATTTATCAGCATCTGGAGTCCATGTATCTACTAATTCAAATAAAGAATCAAATAAATCTGCTTTTGTCATAAAACCATTTCCTTTTGAATCATGCTCCCTTTATAATAAATAAATTATACCAATCCTCAAGCAATAAAAATTTCAACTCCTCCGTATCTTCTTCAATGTCTTTTCTTAATAAATATGCCAATCTTATATGAGTTTTTAAATAATTTTCCTTGATTAATTTGTTATTAATATCAAATTAATAATGTGACATAAAACCTTCAATACTTTAGATTACATCAGGATCACTTTTGAGTTTTCTTCTCTTTGTAATATTCTCCTTCGAATACATATTTTCATCTCCATCCTCATGATAAGGTTTTACTAAATTAACATCTCTAGAGCCATCAAAGAGAAAGTCTAATTTTCCATTTGCAATTTTAATTGCTTATTATTATTGTTTAATTTATGGAGTTAGCATTTCTATAATTTTAATTTCCTCATCTATCTATGATATAAACTTTTACCTGTAAATTTGACTTGCTTATCTTATTTATCTTGATTGTTGGTTTTCTTTTTACTTTATTTTTATTATTAAGGTAATTATGATTGTCTTAATGAATCTTCAAAACTGATTTCTTTATTTTACATTTAGTTATTTAAATAATCATTAATTATTAACGTATAGATGTAATCCTAAAATGAATAGTTTTGCTAAGAAATGAGATAACAATTATGTGAAATATAGAATAGAATAAATAGATTATTACCTTAAAGAAGTATCAGTCCAATTAATAGTCAAACTTCATCTATGATGTCAGATAAATCATAATAATCGACACAATCAAGTTAGTTCATTAAACTCTAATAAGAGGATGATATATAAAAGAATATAGCTAAGATTAACAACATGATAATGGAAAGAAGATAAAAGACAGAATAACTGCTAAAATATTAATATTGATATTTATTATTATTTAGATTCATTTTCCTCCTTTGGATACTTAATATAAATCTGTTCTCTTTTAAATTGATGTTGGTATATTCTTTCTAATCTAATCAACAAGAGATAAGTTTATTTCCTATATTAAAACTGCAGGATCTGATCCACATGTTGCTAGTACTCTTCCCATAGGATCAGTGATAATGGAGTGACCCCAAGTTTAATAATAATCAGGATCATCAGAATAATATCTTGCTGCTTATGTACTTGCAACAAACACTTAATTGTCTAAAGCTCTTGCTCTATTTAATAATTCCCAATGTAAAGGTCCTGTAGTTTAATTAAATGCTGATGGGAATGACAATACTTAACATCCTTAATCTCTCATCACTTAAGAAAATACAGGAAATCTGATATCATAACAAATACCAAGACCGTATCTTCCATATTATGAATCAAAAATACAATAATCATTACCTTATCCAAAAGTATTAGATTCAAAATGAGTAATTCCTCCTGGAATATCTACATCAAATAAATGACATTTTCTATATTAACCAACAAGTTTTCCATCATTAAATGCCAATGCAGCATTAAATAATTTACCATCTGCCACTTCTGGCAATCCACCAATTATCATGATTTATAAGTCTTCTGATAACTATTACATTAGATTATATGTTTCTCTATTATTTTTATCTGAAAAATCTTCGGCATTCTTCTTTAAATGATTTGTCTCAAAGACAGTGTTAAAAAACTCTCCTAAGAATATCACTTTGCACTCTTTTTAAACACAATCACGAATTTATGCAGCTACTCCCTCAAGTATTTTTTATTTTGTTTCAAATATTGCATTTTATATCAATGCCACTTTGTATTTTGTGAGAATTTACATAAAATTTTAATAATAATTCATCATTTTTTGTTTAATAATTTATAAATGAGGTTTCTTTTGTTTTAAGATATAGGGATTATTATTATATATAATAATCTATCTTAACTTCTTTAATTATGATTGCTGGATCTTTTTAACATTAAAACAGTACTTTAGATTTAGGATTTAGGAATAATTGTTCCAGAATTATCATAGATTAATTAAATTTTATATTTGAAATTGAAATTTATTCAACATTCCCTTATTATGATGGATATAATTGCATATTCTCTTTATCTCATAATATTATGCATTTATTAGTCCTTATAATTTACAATGATTTTAGATATCTTTATTTGATGTTCACTTTCTTACTATTTATGATATAATAAGTTATCTATAATAAACTAATAACCAAGTTATTTACTTCTTTCAAGGTTTAGAATTGAATCAAAGTATTTTTGAAATTCCAATAATAGAACCAACTTTTTAATATTAATTATTAATTAATTAATTCGAAAAACGATATATACATTTATATACTTAACAGCTGTCAAAATCATCTATTTTCTTTTATTCTTCTCATTTGATTGAATTAATGCTATCTATTACATTAGATAATTTGAAATGATAAATTAATATTAGTAATAGTAATAAAAGTATCATATATATAAGAGATTGATAATTTATTTAATAGCATTTAGTAATATATGTTATTTTTGACATAAATCATTCAACAAAATGATTAAAAACTTTCTTCATTCTAATTCAGTATTAATTCATAAGATGATCATTAAATTTTGAAAATCTACTAATATTATGTATTATGACTACTTTCTTCTAAATTATCTAAATTCTCAATCTCCTTATATATATATTTAACATCTCTTTGATTAGTAAAGAGCAGCTTTACAAATATGAAACAATATAAAGAACTACCATATGTATTTTTTATGATTAAATGTGATTTATAGCTTGTAATGATCAGGAAACTAATCTGAATTAATTATTTTCAACTATTTTAATCGAATATCTTATGATGGATAATAATTCATTGTCTAAGATTTAAAAGGAAAACTATGATCAGCAAAGTTTTTTCTAAAAAAGAGAAGTGGGCACTTTTAATAATATAACAACTTTTGTGATTGATCAATAAGAAGAATAATAATTTGAATAAAGACCTTTATAAACTCCAAATTAAGGATAAGAATAGTCGATGCTTTCTATTCCAGAATAAGATGAAGAGGAAGAGAAATTATATCCATATTATTTGGGTTAAAATCACTATTGCATATCAAAAATATTCTTTGCACATCTAACTTCTTATTGTTTGTTTTTAAAAAGAAATATATTAGATAAGAATGAAAAAATTTGTGATAAACATTTACCAAAGTTATCAGCTTCAGAAAATATAAAATAGACTATTGAACAATCTTTATAGAAATTAAAAGGAATTCCTTAATTGCATATCTACGATTTGGTAAAACTTGTATTTTTTGGAGAATTAAAATTCTTAAGCTTCATCAGTTGTTTGTCATATTGCTTTGAAACTATAGCAAAGAATGGAATTTCAGTAATAATGAGCCTAATAATTACTTCTGTTTCATAATAAGATATGAATAGTGCATATAAATATGCTATTGGATACATTCTTTTAAGTTTAATTGGAATTATCTTTAAACATCATGGATCTAACTTTTCTATGATATTTTCATCTAAAGCTAGAATGTTGTTGGTAAATTTAGTATTTATTAAATTGACTGAACTAAGTTCATTTTCAATAAAAGAAGCTAACATTGGTAAGATCTTAAATCTTATATCAGGAGATATTAATTAACTTGAACAAATTCTTTATATGATATTCTAAAGTAGTGTGATTTTTCTTTCTGTTGGAATAGGTTGTTATATTTTATGGATTAGATTTAATGGGGCTATTGGTATTCTCGTATTAGCTATAGTCTTTTTAGCATACCCAATATAGATTTCTTTGTAATCTTTCAATTCAGAAACTTTAAAATAATCTAAACAATTTTAAGATAAACGTTTGAAATTAACAAATGAACTTGTTGAAGGTATAAGATTGATAAAAATGTATGCTTGGGAAGAAGCATTTTATCAAATGATATCTATTATTAGAAAAAATGAATTCAAATGCTTACTAAAAATAGCAATTCGCTCATCAATTGATCGATTATTTACTATAATTTCTTAGATATGGTCAAGTTTAATCTTCTTCATTATTCTTCATTATAGTGGATATCGTGAATCGATGAATGTTGCAGAAATGATATCAACCTTACAATTATTATCTTTTTTTAAAATCAGTTGCGTTTTAATGGTATCATATGCAATTTAATCTGTTATATTAGTAAAAATATCTTTTGAAAGAATTGTGAACATTCTAAACATCAAAAATCGTGAGATGGAAAAGGTTAAAGATGATCAAAATATCAATACTAACCTTTAAACTAACACAAATTCTTTTAATTCAAGAATTTAGTTTATCAATTTTGATGGATATTGGACTAATCCAGAAATAATAGATTCTAAACCAATTTTAAAGAAAATCTCATTAAATTTTTAAGATGGAGAACTTTGGGCTATTGTTGGAAAGGTTGGAAGTGGGAAATCTTCATTATTAAATGCTTTATTATTTGAAATGCCATTTTATAAGGGTTAATTTATTATAGATGGAATAGAAGCACAAAAGGGAAAATTGAGTATTGCTTATGTTGAATAAGAACCATATGTATTTCCAGGAACTGTTAGAAACAACATTTTGTTTGGTAGACCTTTTAATAAATTATTATACTAGAGAGTTATTCATGCCTCTTAATTAGAATAAGATTTATTGTAGATGAAATCTCATGATTAAACAGAAATAGGGGAAAGAGGGACCACACTTTCTGGAGGCTAAAAGGCTCGGTTATCATTTGCAAGAGCATTATATTAATAGGCAGATTTATATTTATTGGATGATCCTCTTTCTGCAGTAGATGCTCATGTTGCTAGGAATATGTTTTAGACAGGAATTAAAGAGTTTATATTTGAATATTAAGTTATGATGAATTCTAATAAGAATAAACCTATTGTAATTTTAGTTACTCATTAAATTTAATATGCTGTTGAATGTGATAAAATAGCAGTTATGTAAAATGGATAAATATAAATGTCTGGTACATTTGAAGAGTTATAAACAAAATTAGATACAAATAATAATGATATAGCAGGATAATTATGTTAATCACCATCTCCAAAATAAAAATAATTTAAAAGATCTATTATTTCTCATAGATCAAGAATTAGAAATGCTAAAATTAATTCTCTTATTGTAAAAGAAGCTGATTCATAAAGATTAACTAATCTAAATACATATATAACATACTTTAATTATTGGAAACTAATAATCTTTATATTAATATTGAGTTTGGAAACAGGTTCAGAGGTCTTAATTATTTTTTATTCTAGAATTATTTCCTTATTTTAATATTATCAAGAACATAATTCTATTGACTAAGCTTATCTACTTTTGGGTTTATTGACTCTTGGATTATTAATCTGTAATTCGATGAAATATATATTGAATTCTTTTTAAGTCTAAAATACAACCTAAGAAATACATAATAATATGTTAAATTCTTTAATTAAAGCTCCTGTTTCATATTTTGATGTAAATCCATCTGGTAGAATTATAAATAGGTTTTCTAATGATTTATCCTTATGTGACTATTCAACAAATACAGTTATTTTAGATGTGCTTGAAATTATAGGCTATTTCTGTTTTGCACTTGTAACCTTGGCCATCCTTTAACCCTTTTTCTTAATAATGATAGTTTTCATAATTTTAGTTGATTGTTATTAATATAATTTCTTGAAGAAGATAATTAGTTAATTGAAAGAATTAGAATTGATGTAGAGAAGTCCTTTATTTGATTTTCTAAAATAAACACTCTCTGGAATAACTCAAGTCAGAGCTTATGATTAAAAAGAATGGTTTAGAAATCAATTTTTAGATATATCAAATAAATGCAATTTAAATTCTCTAACATATTAATATGCAACAAGATGCTTTGGATTTAATTTAGATATTGTAGGTTGGATTGCTTAAACTGTAGGAATATTTCTATTTTTATACTTTTATGATAATGATATTGCTATACTAGCATAAGGTATATTGATGTTGACAACTTATAATGATGGATTATAGTATGGATTAAGATAATTGATAAATTTAGAAACTTAGATGAGTTCTTATAATAGAATGTTTTAAGTCATTGAAATTAAACCAGAAGCTCCTCATCAAACTAAACAAGATGAACTCTTTCCAGACTTTCCAAAAAATGGTGATGTTACATTTGAAAACATACATATGTAATATAGGGATAATTGCCCTTATGTTTTGTAAGGACTCACTTTTAATATTAAAAGTGGAGAGAAGATAGGGTGTGTTGGTAGAACTGGAGCTGGCAAATCTTCTATTTTATAAGCTATCTTTAGAATGATAGAAATTGATTAAAGTTATGATTCAAAATTAGAAATTGCTAATATTGATATATAAATCTTAGGATTACATAAACTAAGGAGCAGCATTGGTATTATACCATAATCTCCTTTCTTATTTTCCGGAACTATTCGTTAAAATTTGGATCCATTGAGATAATTTAGTGATGATGAGTTATGGAAATCTTTAGAAGATGCTAATTTAATTAATTATATCATCACTTTACCAAAAGGATTGGATTCAGATATAGATAATGTCAATTCTGTATTTTCTGTTGGTCAAAAACAATTGATTTGCTTGGCCAGAATTATATTATCTAAAAAAAAGATAATAGTATTAGATGAGGCCACTGCAAATGTTGATATGCAAACAGATGAATTTATTTAAAATATCATTAAAAGAAAATTTAAAAATTCAACGTTAATTACTATTGCTCATAGGTTAAACACTATTGCAGATTATGATAAAGTTATGGTAATGTCAGATGGAAAAGTTATTGAATTTGATTCTCCATTTAATCTTTTAGCATTATCAAATGAATCAACATCAATTGATAAACGCACAGAGTTTTCAAGATTAGTAGTAAACACAGGAGATGAAAATGCTTAATAAATCTTTGATATAGCAAAATAATCTTAAAATATAATGGAGTGATTAAAGAGTTATATAATTTTTTAAGTTTTCTTAAATTTATTATATATTTATTATTTAAAATTATGATTATCAATCCTAAAAAATAAATAAATAATTATAATTGAATTCTGTTGTTCGTTTTCACTTGAAAAAAATAAAAATTATTTTATATAATAATCAGAATTTCAACAAAGTTTATATCAAATAAAATGATATAATTTACAACTTTTAATAATTGTTGAAATTTATAAATATTTTATTCCAACTAATTAATCAGAAATTATTGGATCAGAAATTATCAGGTTTATTAATTATTCAAAATGATTTAGTTAAATTCTCATAAATTAACTAAATGAATAATTTTAAATATCAAACTTTATGCTATAAACATAAAGGATAGGGAATTACTTTGGAATCAGACTTATCTAAATTAAAAAATAAAATTTAATGTTAGGAATGTCTTGCAGAATAAAATTAGAATAAAGATAGTCTCAATTATCAATTTAGATAACAGTAACCAAATAAAATCAAAACTTAAACCTTTACGATAAGTTATGATAAAAAACCATTTTCATACGTCTTACAAGCTAAATAAACAAAAAAATAAGATGAAAATTCTTATGCTATTGAATTTAATAATGATATGACGTTACTGATTGTTGGATGTAATTATCGCATAAAAATTTTTTAATTAAATTAAGAGAATCTTAAAGAAGTTTAAGCTCTTGAAGGGCACAAAAATAATGTACATTAAAAATTGAAATGGTTTTAGAAATTTGCAGATTTTAATTAGATATCTATTATTTAAATCTAATCTCTTTAAAATTTATGAAAATTATATTCAGGATAAATTAATTGTTTAATAAGAAATAATAATGATGATCTTATTATTTCTTGTAGTTGGGATAAAACGATTAGATTTTGGATAAAATAGAACGAATGGGAATGTTAGTAAATAATATCAGAAACTGGTTCTGTTTTATAATTAAGTCTGAATTTAACTTAGAATAAATTAATATCATGTGGAATTGATTAATTTATTCTAATAATGGAATTATAAAGTTAAGATAAGAAATGGATAGTGATGAAAAAGATTTGGACAAGTTTTTAGGGAAATAGGTTGTGCTTTCTTAATGATAAAGTCTTTGCCTTTCAACCAGATAATAAGAAAATCACTCAAATATATGAGATTAACAATACAAAGAAGCAATATGATAAAAAAAATGAAATTGTACTTTAAGGTAATGATGATGGAAGTATGTTATTCCCATAAAAATTCATTAAGGAACAATCGTTATTAGTTAATAAATATTATACATTCGCGAATCTTATGAGATTGGATGAAGACGGAAAGTTATTATCAAAATTAACAATTGAATTTAATACATATGGTATTTTCGGTACAATAAGTCCTGATGGAGAATACTTGATCACTTGGAATTACAAAACCAAAGAAATTGAAGTTAGAAAGTATAATGATTGATTTTAATTTTATATAATTTATTAATATCTTTTGAACTATAAAAAAAGGATTAATTATAATAAGCTGAAAAAAAATCCTAACTAAAACAACTCACAATTATTGATGATAAATTGTAAAGTAGTTTAAATGGATTAGATTAATTTTTAAATTGATTATGTAATTTATATTTCACAGATATCAAATCAGTTTCATTTCGTAGTGTTTTATAGTTTAACCATCAACGATTTAAAAAATCTAAAAGGATGTTGAAGTCGCTAATAATCTAATTTATGATTATTAGATTATTGTTCTTTCTAGAAACAAAGAGGATTTTACTACATTGGATCGTTGTTATTTACATATTGCTGTTCCTGTTTTGTAATCTGGATAACTGCTTTGTAAAATTGAAATGGAAAATGTAAGATCATTTATAAAACATTACCATATTATAGATACTGATAATTTTTTTATTGAAGAATCAACAGATATTAGTTGATCAAAATTAGGCTACAAAGAGATTCCTAATTCAGATATTTCAATTTTATTTTGCAAAGTCTGATCAGATGAATATTATGTGGATTAAATATAATTAGTTCCAATGAAAGCAGGCATGGTAACTGAATCAATAACAGAGTTACTGCACTCCTTAGGAACCCCATAAAATAATTAAAAATTTCTAATTGCCCAAGATTCATTTTCAGCGAGTTCATCTAATGAAGTTGTCATAACCAAATTGATATTAGGCTAAACATGATTAAATTCAAAATCTAAATTCTTTGTATAAGCTTCTTTTTAATTTGAGCCACAAATTACTTGCACTCCATTTTATCCAAATTATACTTAATAAACTTGAATTCCATTAGCAAATACTTTAAACCATTCATTATCCCAAGTTTCAAATTTCCAAAATTCTAATTGGACTCTTATTTTTGTGTGTTTAGGAAGATCAAAATTTAATCCTATTGAAGCATCTTTGCCTAATAATGAGTATCCTCCTAATAAATTTGTATTAGAACAAATTTAAAATGGAGATTAATTATTATATACATTTGATATAGTCCAACCACTTTAAGTTTAAAAATCAGAGGGTTGGAAATATTGTTTTTAAGCCAAAATCCATTTTACTAAAATATAGTTCAAAGTATACCATCTACACATTCAGAATTATGCAAAATATATCCAGTTTTGCATTATGAACAGTTATTTATAGATAGTCCAAAACAAAGAAGACATGTTTAATAGCATTTAACTAAAAATAATCTAAATGCTCTCAATCCCCAAGATCCATTTGATGAAGGTAAATTAGATTTCATCTTAATTTGCATATTATTTGATGTATGAGATCTCACCAGACGAATGTTTAATAACTGTTCTCCTCCACTACTATCACCACATAATTGAATAACTCCTTCTTAATTGAAAACTGCTTATCCACTAACTTACCCATCGATCTCTATTTAAAATTAGTTATTATTCCATATATCAAATTTCCATATCTAAACTTGTAAGATTATTTTATAATGAGCATCCAAAGAAGTATAATACTTTGATAATTATTTACTTCCTGTTATTGAATTAACTCCTCCTATTATCCAAATGTTAGCACATGAGTTTTTGGTAAGAAACTCTTAATTATCAAGAGTCCACCCATCAAAATTAAAATTATCAAACCAGTTCATTTCGACTAATAAATAATACCAGCATTCATCAGGAGTATCATTATTGCACAATAAACAGCCTGGTGAACAGTATTATGCCTCTACCTTAAAATTTCTAAATCCCCATGATTCCTTAATAAATCATTCAAATACTGTATATGGACTTTCATCTAAATTAGTTGTAATAATAACAACAAGTGTTGGTTCTTAGTGAGAAAATTCGAATACATAATTTGTTTTAACTTCTCTCCAATTTTATACTTCATCTGGATTACCACAGATCACATCTCCAGTATTCCAATACCATGTAGCTGTTTATACATAATCATCAAGTATAAAATATACAAATTCATCATCCCAACTATCTATTCTATTTCTTATTATTATTAATACTTCCAAAACTCTAAAGAAACACGTATTTTATAATGAGGTGGAAGAGAGATTATTTTTGAAACACTAACCCCAGATCCAAATGCGTTATAACCTCCAAATAATGACTCTGCACCACAGAAGCTAGTTAATTATCCACTACTTCCTTAGACCCACCAACCTAAATAAATTAGAATAAAACCTTCGTTATCAACTATGTTATTAGAAGTGAAAGCGCTATATTAGACAATCCAATACTCATAAGCATCTAATGAAATTAAACTTAATATCAGTGCAATGAATCTCATGAAAATGTGTAAATACTATAAAAATTAACTTAATCATGCAATCTTCAATTAAATAATTCAAAATCTTGTATTAACGTTCTAAATAGATCCCCATTTTAATTTTATAGAGGTTTCTTCTTAGTCTTTTCAAGAGATTTATAGTCTGAAAGGTTTTATAAGATAGGCAATTTTGATGTATCTTACTTAATAACAAAAATCAATTATTTATTATTTAACAAATAACAACTCATTTAGAAATATTCTCACCATCATCATCTATGATCAATTTTAGTTGCTTTCTTTTTCTTTTTTATTTATCAATCCATTTTTAATAACAGAAAAAAAGTATTGGTTTAATATTTCGAAATTGATATCTGTTATAAATTAAATATTTGAAATAGCAATTTAATATGAAATATTAAAGTATTGAATTAATTAAAAAAATTTTCATATTATCATCTAATTTACAATCAAAATTTCATGCAGTGGACTGTCTAAAATTAATATAATCTTACATCATTGATGTAATTTTTAAATGAATTTAATCCATAATTGAAGCATTCATTTTTTCATCTATGATAGCAAATATTGTGTCGCTTATATCAAGCTTTTAATGTGAGGATTTTCTTTCAATTGCAATTAATTCCTTTATCATTATTTTTTCGTTTTTTTCTTTATTCAAAAACAATGTCCTTTTTAGATTTAAAAACTAAAGAGATCATACTTCTCTAACATCAATATCACTTAATCAATAACATATTGAAGATTTTTATATTTTAAAAAGTTCAATTGCTACCTTTATATCTTAAAATAGAAATTAAAAATAAAAACTTTTTGTAAATAGATTGAAAGAAATCTTGATAATACCTTGTTTTAAGCATGAAGGATAATATTTACTAGAAGAGACAACTTAATATTTTTTTGATATCTGATTGATCTCTCTATAAGAGCAATAAAATTTAGAAAAATTTTAGAAATTAATTCATATTAATAAAGTAAAACATAACTGTTATATAAGAATAAAATACCCTAAATATCTACTTACTAAATTGGATATCAACTTATAAATAAACAATTATTTTTTTTTATTTAGTCAATAAGATGAAATTTTTTTGATTAAGGAACTTAAGGAAATTTAATAAAAGATCCTAGAAATGCAAACCATTTTAACAAAACTATTTTAGGAACTTAAATTATTTGTCTAAAAAAAACAAGATTTATAATAAAAATCAGGGTGATGTATATTCAGTATTTGTTTGTAATATCAAGATCATTAAACTTGGCCAATTAAAGGAAATTATTAGTAGTTTGAATTAATTAGTTGATACAATAAATCCTTAAGCTATTGAAAAAAGTGAATAAAACTTACATCAGTATATGCAAGTTTAATTTAAAATAATGGGGCTGATTTAAATTAAAAACTTCGTATTGTTTTAGATTAGAAACATAATCAAGTTAAGGATTTAAAAGAAGAGAAATTTCCGTAATTTAAAAAATTTGGCTAATTATATCAACAAATTTCAGAATGACATTTTAATTTAAATAAATGGATAGATCCAAAACTATAGATAATGATTTAAACTAACTTATTGAAATAATAATATTTATCAAAAATATNTATAATCTTACATCATTGATGTAATTTTTAAATGAATTTAATCCATAATTGAAGCATTCATTTTTTCATCTATGATAGCAAATATTGTGTCGCTTATATCAAGCTTTTAATGTGAGGATTTTCTTTCAATTGCAATTAATTCCTTTATCATTATTTTTTCGTTTTTTTCTTTATTCAAAAACAATGTCCTTTTTAGATTTAAAAACTAAAGAGATCATACTTCTCTAACATCAATATCACTTAATCAATAACATATTGAAGATTTTTATATTTTAAAAAGTTCAATTGCTACCTTTATATCTTAAAATAGAAATTAAAAATAAAAACTTTTTGTAAATAGATTGAAAGAAATCTTGATAATACCTTGTTTTAAGCATGAAGGATAATATTTACTAGAAGAGACAACTTAATATTTTTTTGATATCTGATTGATCTCTCTATAAGAGCAATAAAATTTAGAAAAATTTTAGAAATTAATTCATATTAATAAAGTAAAACATAACTGTTATATAAGAATAAAATACCCTAAATATCTACTTACTAAATTGGATATCAACTTATAAATAAACAATTATTTTTTTTTATTTAGTCAATAAGATGAAATTTTTTTGATTAAGGAACTTAAGGAAATTTAATAAAAGATCCTAGAAATGCAAACCATTTTAACAAAACTATTTTAGGAACTTAAATTATTTGTCTAAAAAAAACAAGATTTATAATAAAAATCAGGGTGATGTATATTCAGTATTTGTTTGTAATATCAAGATCATTAAACTTGGCCAATTAAAGGAAATTATTAGTAGTTTGAATTAATTAGTTGATACAATAAATCCTTAAGCTATTGAAAAAAGTGAATAAAACTTACATCAGTATATGCAAGTTTAATTTAAAATAATGGGGCTGATTTAAATTAAAAACTTCGTATTGTTTTAGATTAGAAACATAATCAAGTTAAGGATTTAAAAGAAGAGAAATTTCCGTAATTTAAAAAATTTGGCTAATTATATCAACAAATTTCAGAATGACATTTTAATTTAAATAAATGGATAGATCCAAAACTATAGATAATGATTTAAACTAACTTATTGAAATAATAATATTTATCAAAAATATAATAAATATAAATAAGTTCATATTATAAATAATCATTTTGAATTTTTCAATATCTAGAGTATTGTGTGAGGTGAATATTGTATTATGATTAACTTTAAGATTTAATTATATAAATATAGAAAAGCAAAAGCAAAAAAAATTTCTTATATTGGAAATGTAACTATAATAATATAAATACTTATTTTTTATAATCTCTATTCTTATTAAAACTTAATATAAATTGAGAATGATTTATAAGAAAATTTAATATTTTTACATTTAATTAATGGAAAATCAGATCAATTCAACAAATAAAATCTCATACGAACTCATTGCATAGAAATAGCTTCCTTAAATTAGTTCTTGTAATGCTATTGCTATTGAAACTAAAAATTCTATAGTAGTCATTGCAGAAGAATCAAGAATAATAATATATTCATTCAAATATCATTCATTAAAAAAAATTAAGTAATTCAAAATAAATTCTGGGAATATTAATACATTAAATTTCTTCAAACATAGATAAAACTTTATATCTGGATGTCAAAATTCATCTATTTACATATGGCCAATTAATATGATAATGACATCTAAATACATTTAAAAATTAAAAGCAAATTCAGGTTCTACTCTTTGTTTGTGTATTTCTAAATCAGAGGATCAAGTCGTGACTGGACATTATTAAAATACAATCAAAATTTGGAGTTAAATTGAACAAAATTCATAAGAGTGGTCTTGCTTATAAAATTTAGTTGATCATACAGGAGCAGTTTATGGATTGTCTATGAGTGAGTATTAAAATAAAATAATATCTTGCTCAAATGATTAATAAGTTTTAGTTTATTAATTTTCATAACATTATTGTAAATGGATTTTACAATAAATAATTTAAAAAGATGGTTTGCGTTTATGCTTTATTACTAATGATATCTTTGTATTTCAACCTTATGCAGCCAATTATCTATCAATATATATATTTGAAGTTAGATCTGAAAAATTTATAAGCACAGAAAAAGTCTAGATTTAAGAAGGAGGTTAATTTTGTAACGAATTTTTTCCATGTATTTACAATCCTAAAAAAGGAATTATATTTACTAAAAGTAGTTACAATTTAAATATTTTAAATTGTAAATTTTAATAAGACTTTTTATTTAAAGAATAATAGCTAATTGAAATAATTTTAAATGATGTAATTGATTTTGGTGATGAATATTTTTGTGGATCAATAAGCGATGATGGGGAATATTTATTTATTTGGAATAATGAGTTAAAAGAAATTTCAATAAGAAAGTATAAAGAGGAGTGATATCTATGTATTAAGGCAAATTATGATGGATTTTCTTAATATTTCTGAATATATATTCTTATAATAATAAATAGGAATTTACATTTAAGTTTTAAATTGGTTTCAACTTTAATTTAGATGATTTTTTGACTATGTTTACTTATGGTAAAGAAAAACTTGAGTGTTCAATAAAATATCTATTTCTATGTTAAGTGTCAAAGTATCTTTTACTAAACGCTTTGAATAATTTTCGTGATAATTACATCCATTTTAATAAAGTTTATTATTAGTTATCCTTTAACCTTAGTATATTAAAAAGAGCGTTTTATGTTTAAGGGTTTATCTTAAATTCATTATATTGACATTTCAATTTTTCTTCATACTATTTAATACAACCTATTATTCTAAATTATAAAAAATTTGAGATTAATCAATAAATTTTTATTTTCCCTTTATTCATTATAAAAGTTTACCTTAGTTTTAAAAGAAAATGCACACAATTGTATTTTGGATATTTTTAGAGCACTTGGATTTAAAATAAAGTTTAAAATGCAAATCAGTAAAATTTTGCCTTAATGTAGGCTTCATCATTATTTGGATTAAGTTTAATTATCAAATCACTTAATTAACTCCTCAAAAATCTTTTGCACATTATTAATCTATAAAAAATCAAAAAATATTAATTAAAAGGAATTATTTATTAATAATTTTTCATGTGATAGAATTGATTAGATTTTCCTTTTAGTTCTTCTATCTTTAATATTAATTATTCTTTTATGAAATCTATGCTAATTGAAAACTTTTTGGTTAATTGAATTTATTGTTTTTCTTCCTATATAATTTTTCTTCTGATGTAATTTTCTTAACATATTCAAGAAAAATTTATCAAATTCCAAAATATAATCGTGTGATTAAGGTAAAATTATTTCTAAATAAAATATTATATGCCAACTTGAACATCAGTAGTAGAATTACAATTTTACCTTTGTTATATTAATTAGATTGAAGTATTTATGTTTATTTATTTGAGTACAGAGAACATAATCACACATATTGTTATTATTTTTATACTATTGATTTTTACAGAAGAGTTAAATTAAATTAGTTTTGACTAAACATCCCATGAAATTAAAAATTTCCATCTTGCGATTCAATAAAAAATTTAGATCCTGAAATGAATAGATTATTTAGCAATAAATATCCTTCTATCTTCTAATATGAATTAATAGACTTTTTTTTTTATATCGTATAAAGAATACAAGGAGTTCTAGGCTATTTTGAATTCCATATTGATATTTTCAAAATTTATTCATTTAGTATCTCATAGTTCTACATTTATTCTTAATTATTAGTGAATATGCAAATCAATCATTAATTATAAAATATAAATGTAATTCAAATTACTTTCCACCTATTTGTTATTCTTCAATCGATTTTCTGTCTTCTACTGAAGTCTCTATGAAAAGTATTGAACTTTCCTCACTAAAATTAATTAATTTATTCTTTTCTTCATTACTACTTAATACAAAAACTCATTTCTTCTGATCATTAATATTCTGCTTACAGTACAATTAGTAATTTATATATCAAAACTTAATTGTTATATCATCACAACTTTGATAGCTACTTTAAACTGAAAAAGAGCTATATTTCTGCTGGTTTGAACTTAAATCAAAATTTTTAAAAAATTCAAATCCTAAGTCTGAAATTAATTCAAATCGAACTAAATTAAAAATTTTACTTAAAAACTTTTTTCACTTATGAAGTCAAATTATGAAAAATGAATTATAATAAAATCTCTGAAATTAAATTAACTATTTGGATATTTCAACTCTTAATTCTAAATATTTTAATGGTTTAAATGAAGATGAAGTACAAAAGTGGTAATAAAATGCTCATGATTAGAAATAAAAATATTTTATTTGAGAATTCTTTCAGGAATATTTAATCCAAACCAAGAAGTTTTCACTAGATTCAAGATTTAATTATAATAATAATTGTTATTATTATTAAACTAACTCATAAATACTTCACCTAGAGTTGATAATTCAAATCCATAATTCGATTAAGCTAAGAAAAGTATTAATGGTCTAATTTTAACCCAACAAAGTAAGTTTCATTTTAAATTTTGAGAGCAGTAATAAAAATACAAAACTGCTCATCTGAGGCAATTCTAAATCCATAAAAAAAAAAAATGGAAGTGAAAGTAATTTTTTAAAACTTACTTATGATTTTTAATATATCATTTCAGTGTATTATAATATCTAATACTTTTCAAATCAATTGATAAATAATAATAAAAGTTTATAGAAATATTATCTTGAATAGAGTATTAATTATCATTCAATCTAATTGCCTTAAATTATAGTTTAAATTAATTTTAGGTATAATTTTGTAAATTATTGACATTTCATTTATATTAATTATAACCTTAGTATTTATAAAATAAACCTTAAATTTTAATAACAATCACTTTTATATATTAAAATAAATTAAGTAAATCTATCAAAATATCTTGAAGTTTTATTATGCTACTTTTTTGAAGTAATTATTTAATACTTTATTTTAGCCTCTTCGTTGTGCTCACTGTTCTCTATTTAGATTATCAATTTAAAGCAGGGTCATTTAAATTTAAATATTTGCTTAAGAAGTGTAGATAAAGGACCTGATAAAGAAATAATTAAAAAAATATTTGATTTTGTTTGTAAATATAATTGAAATGTTGTTAATGAATTATCAAATTCATTTTTTTTTAAATATTTAAAAAACAACGTCCTTTTTATTTGAATAATTATCTTAGATCATATCAGTCATAATTTCGAAAATGTCCTTTCAAGACCAAAGCTCCTTATGCTTGAAATAATAGTATTTAGGATATTCGTTAAATTGTAATATCGTCGGATTCTAACAATAATTATAAACTATATACTGGGTGCTTTAAATTAATCTAAAACACCTTTACATGTTTTACTTTGGATGAAATTTCTTTTCAATTCTTAATATCCCATAGACGGATAGAGTTATCTCTACTACCAGAAGCTAATGTATTTCCATCAGGAGAG